TTATTAAAGTTATAGGTATCTCTATCCTATATACTATACGCCTAGCGCGTCTCCTCCATAAGCTTATACTAGGTAGAGATCCTAATAGGATCCTTATATAGGGTATACTAACTATGGAACTTCCTATTCTACTTTATCTAGAGCTCTAGCTGGGTCTTGATAAAGCGTGATACCCAGTTCTTACCTATAGGAGCTAGAGGAGGGATCTGGCTACGCGTAGTAAGTAGATTGTCTACTATCTATCGTACGTCAATGATCTGGGGTGGAAATCCTCGTCGGTCCAGGTCTAGGATCCACTCTACTAGAGCTTGCTCCTCTATAGGGTGTAGCTTTTGTTTTAGGGCGTTGGCAATAGCTTATAGGCGAGCACCTGCTGTTCGATTCTAGATAGAGGTTTTAGGGATCCCGTATAGGTATGCGGCGTAACGGCGACTTTTAATCTATTTATTCTGAATCGCGTGTATTGAAAGAGCTAGTCTGCCTTCCTTCTGGGATTGCTGAGTGCTTTGGGTGGGCGGCATGGCGCGTTGTAGAGAAGACGCGTCGCGATTTTGGTGGGGTGCGCCGATGAGTGATGTGCGCCAATGAGTGGTGGAACACGTTAGCTGTATCTCAGATTGCTAACACATGTCGATTTGAGGTACATATCCTCGAACAAAAGAAAACTTGTTCCGAATTATATACATTTGCCATGGTAACCTTAGCCTTACTTCAAATCCTCGCCAAATGTCCTCGCCTGAATACGTTAGTACCTCTTCAGCTCCTGTTAGACAAACGAACGACTCACCCTTACAGCCCTCGGTCCTCCAAGCTCTGTCTCTAATCCGCCCTCATACTGTTTTGGGACGCTGATTTTGTCCGGGTAGATCAGGCTCACAGCCCCGCAGAGCCCGAGCACCGTCACGACAAAGGTACCGAACAGAACCCCTCCCCAGCCCGGCGTGAAGTGATCGTAATCGTGCAGGGAGAGCGCACCCTGGATATCGTTGTCTTCATGGACCGGTTCACCGTAGTTGCGACGGTCTTGCTTGTCCCACCAGTCGGCATACGGGTCGCGCTTGTTGCGTAGCTCAGCCGGGGGGTTGATGTAGCCGCCGTTCTGCCCTCTGTCAGCTCTCATCCACGCCCGTGCACTCAGTTTTGCTCAGGAACGAATGTACCATGTTCGGGTCGGCGAGTTCCGCATGCTCCGCTTCGGTGAGGGCAGTGCGGATTTGTTGGATGAACTGTGGTCGGCGTGCGAGAGCGGGCGCAACGGCGTGGGCCAGCGGGCGGGCCGCAACAATGCGCCGAGAAAACATGCTGAGAGAAGGTTAGGGTGCGACAGCGAAGCATCAAGGCGGTGACATACGTGGTGGCGCGATTGTAAGCTGTCGATTGCTGGAGCTTGAGGTGAGGTTCGCAACGCCGTGACGGAAGGCGAGCGTGGCTTGGCGTGTTCGTCCACTCTGATTGGTTGAGAAGATGCCCACACGAGTCGAGCACTCGGGCTCTGGGGCATGTTCAATCACGTGCGCAGGTGAGTTGAAAACAGGATCACCGAACATTAAACAACTTGTAGATAGGGCAGGCGATGCATTCACCTGCCTACCATAGCAAACTTATAGGGGTATATTGGTACGTGCATATCCCTGGGCTGAATAGCCCACAGACAATACAATCTATCTCAATATCTCAACTAAGTATAGACTTTCCCTAGCGAGGGGCGGACAGGGTGTCACTGAACCTAAGTTGAGGTGGACGATCCCTTCAAACCTTCGTCGCAAAACGCCTGTATAGGGCGTCGCATCGCATTATCATACTGGCGCTGGACCTAGGCATAAGTGGCGCCTTAACGCGGTCTGGCGTCTTAGGCATAATAATCGGTTCAGAGATTCAGCATTGAAATCTAAGCTGAGTCGACGCATCCATCGTCTCGACGATTTCATCCTAGAATCAGAGTTGGGCACGATGTAGTGTTTTATGGTTGAGAACGAAAAAGCCAGGCCCTTATTCTACACCATTCCGTCTGTTCCAAGTACGATCAAACACTGAAATGCTCCTCTGCGCGCTAGGAAAGATATCCAATGCTTTCACCAGGATTCGTTCTTTCGCACTAACATCCACGCAGCTGCCTCCGCCACATCTTCTGCAAGTAAAGTTTCGAACCCTATGTATATTGGTTAGCTTAGAGTCAAGGTATACTCTATAGCTCTGACACAAACATACCTTCCATGAAGCTATCGTAGGCATCTTTATCAAAGTCGACCCTTTGCTTGTGGAAGTGTGTAGCCACGACACCCGGTCGCAAGGCGAGAACCTTGATGTTTGTCCCTGCCAATTCTGTCCGCAGAGCGTCGGTGAACCCTTCCTGAAATCGCTTGCTACCATAGTAGATGGATTCACTAGGGAAGGGTGGGGCTTCCATCGCCGTCGTACTCGTTACGTTCAGTATTGTTCTCTGTCCTCTTTCCCGCATGCCACCCTCGTTGAGCACAGCATACGTGGCGAATAAATATCCATTGACGTTCGTTTCGGTCATTGCAACTACGTCTTCAATCTTCAAATCTGGAAAAGTAGCAGGGGCTCTGAGGGCGAGACCCGTATTATTGATGAGGACGTCTATAGGTCCGTTCTGTTTCACCACATTGCTGACAGCCTTTGTCACTTGTACATGACTGGCAACGTCCACAGCTGTGGTAAAAATCTTGATAGTATTCGTGTCGATTTTGGATTGTATTTCCTCGGATAGATACTTCAGCTTCGACTCGGTGCGTGAGAAAAGGATGAGATTTGCGCCTTCTTGTGCAAGACGGTGTGCGATGGCGGCACCAATGCCAATGCTGGCCCCCCGTGAACGTTCAGGTTCTTGAGAGACATGTGCAGTGAAATCCAAAGATTTTAGAATCTTCGAAGTGTACACTTTGACAAAAGTTTAGGGCTGGTGGAGGTGGAGAACTTTGTATATGCACAGTAACGACGTCACAACTGGTTGCGACGGTCTGGTGCATCACAGATGATGTATTTTATTACTGTTGTCTTTGTACCTCTGGTAATGCATATTGTCAAACTAGCAAAGCTGCATCAACATCTATGAGGTGGTGAGCTTCGGAGAATAGTGGGACCCATTCGTAGTCGCAAGGAGGTGAACGAGGGTCAGGTACGAGAGACTTAGCAACTGACCAAGGCCTCGTAGAAGTGTGGCAGATAAGCATGTCTAGTAGTAGGTATGCATATATTGTAGCATTCGGAAAAAGGAAGAGGCAAGCACCGAGCGCGGGCGTGCATGTCTTGGCTTTTTGTGGGTGATGCATATTGCGCAGATTTGCCTCATCCGTCCCATCGCTGCGCCTCCTTGTTGTAGCCGATCAGATCGAGATCAATGTTGAGCGTCTTCAGCATCATGTCCATGGTGAAAGACTGTGAAATGATAAGTACAAGCGCATAACAACAACAACAACCTTAGTGGTCAACTCACATCGTCGTCTACAGCTTTGAACGTCTCTTTTTCCTCTTGCTCGGTGCCCATTCCCGCGTCAGCACACTGCTCGTACGTATCTTCACTGACTTGACCATTCTCTCTAGCTTCCTCAAGCCTCTCCCATTCCGCCTCCATCTCCTCTTTCTCAGCCTTGATTTTCCACTCTTTCTGCTCTCTTTCACGATCTTTCCAGGCGCCTACGCCACCCATGCAGTTCACTCTATCTTGGGTCGTAGCAAACAGCTCCTCGGCTGCAGCACGACTCGCTGTACGCCAACGCTCGACGAGAATGAGCAGGCCACTGTCCTTTGATGATGTAGCGAGCGCATGCGCTTGTGAAAGTGTCTGAATATCGTTGCGAAGGTCGACAATCTCCCGCGTCAGACTTGGTTTGGAAAGCGCCGCCTTTTTCCGTGAGCGCGGTCTATGCGTAGGTGTTGGGATGCTAGGGCGTGGCAGGAGCGGCTTCATGGCATTTGTAGTCGAATGGTCGGGGCTCGGCCGGACCGAAACCGGGCGCGCCTGGACGATGCCACTGTTCGATGCGGTCTGCGTTCTGCCGATATCTGGGGAATCTGAAGAGGGTGGACTGGAGCCGATGGTTGGCTTGAGCGGTGTGCGGAAGGGTGATTTGAACGGCTTGTGCAGTGTCTTAGTAGCATTGTTCAGCCGGCGGCGCTTCGCTTGCGGTGTGGACATTGTGAGGCTGTGCACATTGACGGTTCGGGTTGTGCTGAAGGAAAGCCTGAGACGACAACTTGTAAGGGAGTCGGAGTGGTGTACGCTGGAAGCCCCACTAGACGAGGAAGGAAGGAAGGTGGGGTCTGTGCTAACGGCAGGCGCGATGTTGACGCGTCTTCGCGTGACCGTCCAAAGGCCCTTTGAAGCACGTTTCATAACTACGTCATCCGAAAAGGTCTCATCGCGCTTCACAACTCCATAACTGCTACAATTCACCGTCCATCGTATTTACTTTATCTTGCAAACAACAACGATGTGGATGGCATGGATGAGGATATCAAGACGCCATCTACTGCATCGGCCTGTCGACCATCTACAGCTTGATAGAAACATCGGCTCGATCTAACCAGATCGCAAGCCCAGCTATACAAGTAATATATGTCACCAATACTGCCATGGTATTTACCACGCCCATGTCCAGCGTTGGCATCGTGAGATTTACGAGCCCTGTAAGAAGGTTCGCCAACAGAAACACTGCCAATCCATTCCGATTGACGGCATACAGGATCTGGCTTGTTGCTTCCCGGCACCTTTGTTTCTCCTCTCCCCTTGCCACAGCTGTGTAAAGATTGGGAAAGACGAATGTTTCGATGGCGCAACATATCGCAATCTGGTAGGTGTTGAATGAACAGACCCAGAGAAAGTAAGGCAAGTTGGCAAGACGCCGTGACACAACCAGACCAAGGCCATAGTAGCTGATGGAAATATAGAATAGCGCGGTCCAAAGGACGGAAGAGACCACGAGTTTGCCTAAGATTGACTGCCGAAGCCGCGTTTTTATAGAAGCGTCTTTGTCGAGCGGCACCTGCCGGGGTAGGGTGTAGGTCCCAAGTGATTGACCCGCGAGGAAAATGGCCAAGTAGCCGAAGAAGGAGAAAATACCTTCTCTGTTCTTAGAGAGGATATCAGTGCGCTGAGCGGTAAGGATGAAAGCACCGAGGTTGGTTTTATCGAGCGCAATCTCGTAAATGCAGGCTAGGGCGCATGAGAGAACTGCATATGATGGTACGAGGGCGAAAATTGACTGGAAGATTGCGACGAAGGGCGGTATGAATCCCAGCGTGAAGAAGAAGTTCCAGTGGACACCATATTCTGTGACATGCTCTGCATAGTCAAGGCCTTTGACCGAAACCAGGCGGACCGTTCCCAGGGCAATCAGTGGGAGCGCATGTCTCAGGGACGCAACCAGCCTCTTGGCCAGAGGTGGTAGCTCTCCTGTCTTTGTCTTCAAGGACGATCGAACGGATACAACCCCATTCGTAAACACGAATGATCCTACCCCCATGTCCATCAAAGATGTTCCCCAGTTTTCCACCTTGGCAAAGCGACGCGGAAAGATGCGAAAGTCTACAGCTAGGATAGCAATGCACGTTATGACCATCATGGACCCGCGATAGTTTGTGAGAAAGGGCTTGATTGGGAGCGCGTCCAGCTTCGCTTGCTCTGCGTCGTCGGATTTCTTCGGTGGTCGTCGTGCGCTGCTTTGTCTAGGCATCGCTGGCTTCGAGTCGGTGAAGTATATCATGGCTGCCGGCGCGACCAATAATGTATTCAAGAGCCATGGCGAGGATGAGTACACAGTCGTCGCCACAAGCGTTATGCCGCAACTCAGTAGAAGATCGATGAAGAAAGCACTCGCAGTGTATGGCGTAAATTGACGCATGCGCGATTGGAGTACCGACCACAAAAGGATCGTCAACTATCACTCTCACTGTCAGTCTCGGCGGGCGCATTGAAGGCTGGGTCATGTACGGTACAGGCATTGAGAGGGAAACACTGTTAATATCGAAGAGCGAGCTCCCTACATGTCCGGAGACATGCTGTGTCTTGAGCTGCTTGTAGTCGTTTGCCATTGTAGTTTGCGGTGGTCACTCAATACGAGCGGAAGGTGTGGATGGAGCGCGTTGAGGTGGCATCTTCCACGCTTGAGCACAAGCCAACTACCGTAGTTTAGCTGTCTGTGCGCCGCATTAGTAAAACACGTCACTTTTACTCGGAAATTTTATAAAAATAGTAGAATATCTAGAATCCTAGATTTAGACCTAATACATCTATGAATTTAACATAACTACTAAGAGGTCTCTTGTCAGGATTCACAGGCGAGCAATGTAGATGGTACAAGACGGGCAACCAAAGTAGATTGTAGGAGAGACGAATCGCTGTCGGACTAGATCCAACAGCTCCCTAGTCTTTATAGCTAGCTACTGTTAGCTTGGACCTGATCGTCCTGGGCTGCGCCCTGTCTCGACGGATACCCCGTGACCGAGAAGATAAGGTACAGGATACCCAAGGTTCTAACATCTCTAGTATATAGTTAGATTCAACGGTACGTACAGTGCGATTTTTGTTTCAACAATTAGGTAGTGAACTAGCATGTTTAGTGCGAGAACCATGCTTCCTCGTCCTACGATATTTATTTGCCTGCAGATCCTCTTTTCTCGACCCCAAGTCTACAGGAGTCAGTAATCGAGGGTGGAGCTTCCTGTGTCACAAACCTCGAGGGACGCAGCTTACCCACTGGTCCGCTTGACTACCACCTTTCATGAACTACTGCCATTCATGGAAGCGAGTCCACGCTGGGGATCTCGAGAAAGTTCGCTAACTTCCTTTTGATATAGTGTGATTTGGTCTGGAGGGTGTGGTGGACAATTATAAAGACAATTAGCCGCTCCTTCCTAGAGTGCATTTTGTAGCTTGGGTGACCTATACTCGTGGCGAGGCCATGCCATTCACCTCAATCAAACCTCGGATCATGAGGCAGCGATTCAACGCGCTAATCTCCTACCGCTTAGTTGTTTGCCGACACCAGCGCGTTCCTTCTCTATGTTTCTGTGCACGCTCTGATTATGTTCTCTCGCCTCGCCGCTCTCCCAAACAATACACCCGCACCCTCGCAATCTACCCGACCCATGGCTATACACCCGCATGAGTGCTGAAGACTGCATATCTCACAATTCCTCAACATCAACCCTCGGGGTTGTCCACCCGGCTTTGGCCCAGCGCTGCCGTTTGCAAGCCAAAGATCGAAATCGAGAAGCAGCGCGTCGAAAAGCAGCCAGCAGAGCTCCAAGTTAGTATCCAGACCATAGCCGCAGAAACGCCATGCTGACAAGTGTGCAGAACGCAAAGCGAGACTCTATCGTGAACGCACACAAGCCACTCCCGAGCCCACCAGCTCTACAGGTTGTGGATTCCTTGAACTCCCCTAAGGCCCGGCGCACGTTCGACGCTGAATGCCAAGTCAAACATTCGTCTGTGGAATGGCCAGCTCTCTCGCCGGAGGATGTTGCTTCGGAGGGCGATGAAGAAAGCCTGGATACTATTGCTGCTAATGCCGCAGCTTCCAGCTTTCCTTTCACTGAGTCCGTGTCGCTCCCTGAGCAATATGAGCTGGCAACTGGTGCCTTAGATTATCCATATAGATTGTCGACGAATCCTTACGCCCAGAAGACTGATTCATTATCAATGTCTCCTATACAACCATCATACACCAACATTGAGGAAGGTTTCGTCCCGCATCAAATTATACATGCCCTCACGACACGTGATGAGGAGGCTCTGGAGAGTCCACTTGCCAGGAAAGTCGCTATTCCGCCGCGTGCCAGCTCAAAGAGAGTTCCTGAACCTTATGATGCCACATCACAAGAGTCACAGATGGTTCGCGCCGCAGCCACGGCTGCATCCCGCCGTTGATAAGAGAGCATGAGCGGTACACAGTGGCCTCTTCTAGACAGAAAAGGCAATCGCCCGTCTAGGACTGCAGAGCCGCAGTCCGAGCCCGCTAAGATGATGAGCTTTAGTGAAGATAAGACCTGCACTCGCAACGCACACGGCGTCTCTGAATCCATAGGAACCTATCACACTGCAAACTCACATCGTGCTTCAGCACACTCAGCGTCATCTTGGAGTCAGGCGGCCGGCTCGTCGATATACGATGACGAGCCACAACCTGAAGAGCCGGGATGCCGAACTAAGCGTATCTCGGATTATTCATTAAAGTTAACTGTTCAGTGCCGGATTAGCGCTTCCAGAAGCCACTACACCAGACGCAATAACTACCTTTAACAAGATCATGAACCACGTTTCGCAGCTTCCAAAGACATCTTCGGTCCGTTTATGTGGCCTCGAAATCGCTCAGGTCCGTACTACCCTGACCCAACGTGCTCGTATGTTAGATGAACTGCCTCTAGCAGCGCAAACAGAACAGGCTCTTCTCGCTTCTGTTGACGCTTGTAAAACGGCGCAGATCGCGGCTACGGAGGCACAGCGATCTGCTCGCCAGGCAGAGCTAAGCATACAGAGATCGGCAGTCGAGCTGGGAAGACTCTTCAAACTTTGCGAGGGATATCTCGACGAGGAGACTGTGCAATTACTCAAGGACCTGCTTCGTAACGTCTGGGCTCTTGCGTTCCCGTTGTCGCCATTGACAACCTCGCGCTCGACATCGAATCCCCAGTGAAAGGCTATGGAAAGATGGTACTCAGGATCCGTAACCAAGGTAAGCGGCTTACTGATGCCTCGACGCAAGAAGGGGAAATGAACAGTATAAGCAGGGTTTCAGAATCGGATATTTTGTTCAGCATGTTCTAGTTGCAAGTAGGCAGCAGCACCGTGGTTTCTTACGTGCAGGAGGATTTTCAAACCTGCACTTGTTATGGAATGCGGAAAGTTGCGCGGATCTCAAGTGATCTAAGAGGCGATACCAAGTTATGTCTTGGATGTTGGTTCATGTCTGAGTGCCATTTGCATCTTGCATATCATACCATTCCAAGCACCTTGCTCAATCCGGTAAAATCTATTGTACAGCGCCAAATCGATGGCGAATTGCGTGAAGCGGTGGTTTGTCTTCCCCCCCCCCCAAAACGTCCCATCTCCTTGACCTGGTTCGCGGACACTGTACCTCGCTCGTCTCGTCTTAGCATTCTCGATTTGTGCATCCGGCTTTGTCTTGCCTGTAGCGTAGACTTGTTTACATGCCTCCACCGAACATGGCTCCACCAGCAGCCTTCCCTTGTGCCTCGCCTTGCATTTTTTCACTAACCTTTACGTTGACCTCGAAGAACTTTGCGACACAGCGGTCGAGGCAGACGGACTCGCCCTTGTTGAGATCGGCTTCGCGGTAAGAGGTGTCGAGGCATTTCTTGCTGCAGGATTGGACCAGGCTAGACCACCAGAGAAAGTCAGCGGCGTGTCCCAGCTGACATTGCCGACGACGCGAGGATGGGGGAAGTGGAACGTACCGCGCGTACATGTCCGAGACCATGTCGATTTCTGCTTCGGCTTGGGCGATCTTCTGCTCGGAGGAGAGCTGCGGCTGGCGGCCGAAGAGGAACGACATTGTGGCGGGTGATGTGTTTGGTAATGGCGGGAGGATCTGGGTTCGTGAAGCGCCGATTGAGTGGCCTTTGGCGATGGAGATGTATAGGTTGCGTGAACTGCGAGGGATGTGCTGGTGGTGATGCGCGCGGAGAGAAAACGGCCGAGCTTTGAGAGCTTTGGGGCCTGTGCTACTAGTGCTACTAGTGCTAGTTGACGTACCTTGCTCACATGTACACTTTGGCTCGCTTGCGGCCCACCTCACTATTGCTTGCGCCTGGACAGCCGGTCTGCAGCTCCTACAAAACATACATCAAATTCTTCTCGAGCTCAACTCAGGGTCGCCTCGAGAGCTATCATAGAGCTTCATGCGAGTGACGTACAATAAGAATGTATTGTTGCCACCTAAAGCTCCGTGTAACCCTCAGCTCGGGCGGGCATGCATTCCTTCCCAATCAAGCCGCTCAGCCCGAGCCTCACGCCACGGCACTTCCCTTCACTAGATCCTATACAATATGATTCACCTCACAGTTGACAGCTTCACCGCATTGTTACTGTCACGTCATATTCACCACTGTGCAAACATCGGGGGCGCAAGATATCGCACCCTGCTTCACCTCAAGATGCAGTGCAAGGCATGGCTGCTTCCAGTCACGCTGCTGCAGGGAGTTCTCACTTCCGACGTCGACATGGATCCATTATCGAACCTCAGGCCCAATAACATTTCAGGCTTGAATTACTATTTGTACCGCTGGACAGGCTCGTACGCCGTCCTGTCGAAGATTCTAGCTTCGGTGTTGATCATTAGACAGGTACTATAATGGCACTACCACGATTCGTGTGCAGCCGCAGAATGCTTTCCAACAGAAAGAATGTGAAAGATTTGCACCAGGGCCCATCATTGTATCCTACAACACCTCACTCCTGGCTGTGACGCAGACAAATGGGCACCTTGTGCAGGAGAACCATGACGCTGCCAACCCCTTGGCTTTCAGTCTGAGATTTTGGAACGCCGGATTGAAGATTCTGCCAGCTGAGAGCATGGACACCGGGCCCGTCAGAGATATTCAGGATATAAGTTCGGACAGGTATGTGTTCGACGTGCACGAGTAAGAAGTACTTGGCTGAACTACGGACAGGATGAACACGAAGGATACACCTGATGACCCAAAAGCCCCGCCACTATGGAATCTTGCAGCTTCCCACAATGCAGCTCTTGCCTATTCCTTTACTGGCTATCGTAACTCGACCACCTCACCACACTCCCTGCGCTTTAACTACACACGATGTGCTGGTCATGCACTAGCCTCGTATAACGGCACAATCACCGGAACCCAGTCTTTGTCCATGTCAAACGTTAGTCTCAACAGCGAGCCCAGGGTGAGTGGGCAGTTCAGCAATGGCAGCGCTTCACTAGAAATCAAAGGCATTTATCAGGGTCAATCAATGGAAGGCGCACTACTCACGGGCAACGTAACAATCAGCTTCAACGGAACGATTGATGAGGTGAGAAGTGATCGGCTGGTACCGAATACCCATGACTCGACGCCAATTTGGCAGTCGACGCTGGGTTACGAAAAAGATTTGACGGGAAACAGACCTCTGGTTCAGTTGGGCGCCAGCAGTAGTATGCGGATCGGTTGGGGCCGGACCATCGGAGGCTTGGGCTTGATGGCCCTATACACCGTGTAAGACGGTGAGGCTCGACATAGCAATGTACCCTGTGTTTACAGCACAAGTGCCTTGAAGACAATGCTGCCCTCTGCCGTGGACTATCAAAAGCAGTTTTCAAATTGAGCCATGCGTGAGGTTAGTGGTGCAATGCATGAAAGCCATGCTGTATCTCGAAGCAACGGGCCCAAGGATATCAGACCGAGCGCGCGATGAAAGGGACGCGACGTCAAGATACCAGATCCTCCATGAGCCAAGCGCGAACTGTTCTGTACTATACTTCGTCGGGTGTTGAATCTCGAAGCAGATCGCTGCCGCATCGGTAGCAATGATGTGTGAGGATGATATCAGAGCCAGGATGTAGGCTTAGCTCTGGTCGTCTAGTGTTGCGACAGCCAATGCCTCTGCCGATGCTTCCATCCGTCGCTTTGGGAAACACGTACACATAGACCTGCTCCCGGAACATGAGAGCGCTCGAGCGGACTCGGGACTGTCGAGGATCGCGATGCTCGCACGAACATGCGGCACAGTGTTTGGAAGAAATGTGCGCGCCGGTGGTCTGCTCAGAGACATAGGCGAGGGACGAAGACAGCACGGCACCTCTGCGCCGAGAGCATAACAACAGCTGGCCGACAAGAAGCTGGGCATCGCGCCATGCAGGCAGCTCAAGTGGTTTGCATGTAGGTTGACGACAGTTTGTCACCCTGGCCGTCTCCACTGCTCCCGCGCGTGTGGCTGAGGCGTCCTAAATTTAACGTCTCGCGCGGCTGTGCTCGCTGGGAGGACGAAGGCTTTTGCGCCAAGGTCAGCGTCGCCGTCACGCGAGATGATGGTCTCAAAACAGACTGGCTGGGAGCGACATGGTCGTCTTCTCGCACGCCGTTGTCGCTGCTGAGCTCCATCTTCATCTCCTTTTCGCTCTGCCCTCCAGCCTGCACCGCGTCGGCGCTTGTCTTGCTCGCCAGGAACAGGGACCGGTAGTGAGCGAACGCTGCTGAAGGCCCGCCGCCAGGGCAGCTCTAGTTGGCCGCTATCCGGCGCTTTTCAGCCCAGCTCCACACAACCAGACGGAGACGGGGTCAGCACCGCACCAGCCGCAGCCCGTGGCCTCTCCTCTGCTGTAGGCCCATAACAGCCAACAACACCGCGCGCACTCGTCTCGTACACACTCCTGTCTCTGCCCTCGCTCCCGCCGCTCGCTCACCGCCCGCCACCCACGCCCGCCGCCCGCTGCCCCTGTCGCGCCCTCGAGCATTCCGCCGTCTGTCGTTCACTGCCAGACGCCGTTTCAGAAGGCCAACACGCACCACGATCCGTTTCAGCGTCGCGCACTGCCACCGTCCACTCGCTGCAGCCCAGCGGCCGGCCCCGTGCATCACTCTCGTCTCAGCCCTGCCTGTCTTCACACCGTCGCCGGCCACTCAGTCCTCGCGCGCCACGCCCCCCGCGCAGAGTCGCACGCTGCTCCTCCTGCCAAACGCCAGCGCACCCACTCGATCCACCCCCATCCAGCCGTCCACCGGCTGTCCCCTCCCGCCAAAATTTCTCACCACGAGGCACGCACTTCCCTCCTCGGAGGCCAGCCGCTCGACCACAACTACAACTACCCTCCGCAGCCCCAGCCCTACCAGCCCCAGCCCTACCAGCCCCAGCCAGGCGGCTACCACCACCGCGAGGGCTTCCCCACAGAACTGCCGCCCGTCGCGAGAAGGAAGCGCAGAATGTACATCCCCAACACCAGGTGGACCTGGGCCTTCCTGTTGACCGCCGTCACCCAGGCCGTCATCGCCCTTGTCCTCGAAGCGTACGTCTGCCCTGCCCTGCCCCACGGTGTACACATGCTGACCTGACCCGCCCAGTTATGTCTTCGCCCGCTTCCAGAATGCCCTGAAGGACAACGTCAACGACCACAACGAGTCGCGCACAATCCCCACTTATCTTGCCGTCTTCATGTTTGGCTACATTTACCAGATTGCCCTCGTCTACGATGCCCTCGCCCAGAAGAACACCATTCAGGTCATTGGCCTGGTCATATATAACCTCGGCATCCTCATCTACGCCGCAATCCAGTTCGACCAGATTGACGAGGCCATCACTGCGCTCAAGGCACTCCAAGGGCTCGACGATCCGTTTGTGTGGACCGAGATCCGCGCCGAACTCATCGCCCTCCCCATCTTGATGGCGGTAGCCACCGTCGTCTTTGCTTTTATTGCTTGGAAGCTGTATGATGAGTTTGCCTGGACCATCTACAAGCACATCTCCGCAGACTTGCGCATGAAGAGGCGCTATCTCACCTTCCAGGTACGCCCTGCTCCCCGCTCCTTCACCCACCACTCGCACTCCTTGACTGACATGCACAGATTTATATCGCGCTATTGAAGTTCGATTTCTTCTTTTTCCTTGCATTCACGGTCCAGTTCCTCGTCGTCGTCGAAAACACCTCCAAGGTAGAACTCGCGCTCACGGCGGCAGCACTAGCCATCACCTTCATCCTGCTGTTCCTGGCCGCATGGTGGGTTCGCCGTGAGTCCGTGGCCGGCATGATTGCCGTCATCGTCATCTACTTTATTGCCCTGGGTTACTTCCTGTTCAAGCTGGTTCGCATGTACGCCGCCGATGCGGCGCGTCTCGATGATTACAAGCCTGCGCGAAAATCGCTCACAAGTTTCGCCGTCCTGACCATCTTGCTCCTCATTATCACCATTGTCACGGCTTGCATTTGCACACACAATTTCAACAAGGGGCTAAAGCCGTTTGTCAACGAGAAGAGCGTCGGCAGGGGAAGCGAAGGCAAAGGCTACGCAAACGAAATGCCGAGCTTGAGTGGCCCAGCTCCCGCGCAGCGGATGGAGATCGACTGATTGCGTTTGGCAATGGACGAGGACTGTACTTCAAAGGGGTTTTTTTTTTGAGGGTTTGTGCACAATATACTTTGAAAATCGAAACGATCGGCATGCGTTCCGCGAAGCATAGCTCTGGCCCGGTCTCCCACGAGAGCTAGGCCTGGACCAGAGCGATTGGCGTTTATTTGGACAGGATTGGACACTGCAGGCAATAGCCTGGATGGATTTGATTTGATCTGGGTAAAGGAGTCTGGCCCGAGTTGGAACACTGGTCGACCCCGAGAGCCTGGATTGGATTGGAAGGACGCCTCTGCTTGATATACCACCCATGTACTGCTCTTAGCTCTTGACTTTTTTTTAGGTTCGAACGGCCTTTGTATAAAATCGATTTTCTTACCTTCTACCAATTCCGATATCTATACTGCGTCCTCATGGCAGTGTGAACGTGAAACGAATGATGTATGTTTCGTAGGATGAAGTCTGTCAAGCGGATCTCAGATTGGAGAAATGACAGCCTATGGCAGTCAACATAGTACAAGTCATTCTGTGTATAATGCCCGCCAAATATCCAATTGTAGGGTATCACTCTAAGTGGGACTCCATGCTGTCCATCGCATACACATAACAATCACACGCCCCCATATATGCGTCTGTAGCTCTTCCAACCATGTTCCCCCAAATCTACAACAACCTGAGTCTCAATTTCAGATCAAGCCTCATTGCACGTCCGAAGCCTTCAAATCGGCTTCCCGATTCCCTTCCCTGCCTCCCCTTCCATTCTCTTTAACTCACTTTCCGCCTTCCCTTCCATCGCTTCAATCCTATCCACCGTGCCCTTCTCCGCGCTTCCACTGGAGTTGAGGTAGCTCAAGTAGCAGTTCCAGCCCAAGGCCACAAAGTTTACAACCAAGACCCTGTGCTCGAGCGGCACGAACTTGAAGTTGACGGCCTGTACCCACGGCCACAGCAGAAAATTGTTCGTCATGCCTGGCACCCACGCCTTATTCAACTTATCTTTCACGCTGCTGCCCTCGAAGTAGGCCATGCTGGAGAGGAAGCACGTCATATTCATGGGTGCGAAGACAAATTGGTCGGCAGCGACGCGCGCAGCGATTGTACGGTTGGTGGTGGAGAGGGAGACGCGGTTGGCGAGGAAGGTGTACCATTTTGTGGCTGCGGGGCCAAAGATGACTGTTTGGAGGGGTTAGCGGTGAATGGATGAGCATTAGTGATGGATCGTATAGAGAGCGAGAGATTATGAGGATACAGAATCATGCGGCAACGTACTGCCACCGTACGCAAACATGCGCCCTGTCCTCGCGAGTTCATGCTTATCGAGACCCTTCTTCTCGACGGCTTGCTGGGCGATTACGTCGCCGGTAGCGAAAAGAACCTAGCGATCTCGCTCATCAGCGTAGTTCTTCTATTTTGTCTTCGATACAGCCTGGATTTTGACGACGCTGTCCATCTCGGATCCATGTAGAGGGAGGTGTGCGCTGGTTCGAGCGCGTATTGCGAGGATTGATCAGAGAAAGAAGTTGTCGTACCGCCGTAGTTATACTTTGGGTGAGCAGCGGGGCGCTCTTAAGCTTTGCCTGGTACCTGTGGTGTTCACAATCAGCATCATTTCTTGGTGGCCCATATCGTTCTCCCAAGCCAAGGCCGCGCGCTTACCAGCGTAGCATGGTCGCGACTTCACGTCCGTTGTTATAGGACTTCTTTTTCTGCAGCTGCTGGGGTACTATAATGCGGCACTCAGACGACGGAAGTGCGTCGTAGGGAGAAAGCGTGTGAGAAGCAATGGACGCAGAGGCAGGCTAACTTTGTGACGTCGCCGTGTGGACCCTGCCAGTGGAGCTTGGACCCCTTTCCGCGTGGCTCTCGTCAACAGCGATCCTACGTCCGCGTCCGGGGTCTCTCTTCGGTTCCGGGGCTTCAGCATACGTTTTTGACATTTCAAGCTATATGCACGTACTATTTTATGAATTTAGGGAAGTTTGCATTCCATCAATGGCTTTGAGTGAGTGAATCATGTTAAAGACAAACGAAAAAGAGTTCTCATTCAAGCAATCCATTCCTGAATCCTATACTATCTGCATTGCGTCTCTCCCCTCAATTGCCAATGCGCTTACCGTTCGCGCCTCCTAGTATGTTCCTCCGGAGAATTCAACCACACAATAGAAATTACAACGTCTGCCGACGCCCTTGTCCCTGCTCTTCCCGGAAACCCCCTTAAGCTGGAACGAATAAAACCCTCAAGCCGCAAAAACGCAAAAACGCCGATTGGATGCAGTATTAGGACACCATGACGCTTCCTCACGTATCCCATATAGATACTGTCACTGCACCAGTATGCTTTATCCGTAGCGGACCTGCTCTTCGTCGAAGCACACGCGCCCGCATCATGCCCGAGGACAAATCATGTTCGCAAAGAATAGAGCCAGATTCAGCTCTTCACTTCTCGCTACTGCGTCACCGGTCCTCCTTACCCCGCTGTCTGCCCATTCTTCGGAAAAAGTCCATCACTCGCTTCGAGCTTCCACTCGACCCCTTGTTGCCTGCACTCTCATCATACGCATCCGCGAACTTCCTGCTTTTCTGCAGCACGCCTTTCCTCTGTCTTTCTTCCGGCCCATCACTGCCCATACCGGGCGGGTACTGCGGCCTGTATTGACCTCTAGCAGCTCCCTCGCTTGCTTCTGAGTCATTTGTATGATGACGATACGGTCGGTTTGCGGCAGGATGCTGTTCTTGAGGACCAGGAAACTTATCGTCGCCAACGGGTGAAGCATAGTCGAACTGAGTCTGGTTTGGTGGAGCGGATGCAGGAACCGCACGCTTGCTGTCGTGCGGCCCGTCATAAAAACCTGGAATGTTACTTCCCGTGGTGCTCTGACTAGGAGACCGGGATTCGTTCCCACGCCCAAAGGCCATGCCGCCTGGACGAGAACCAGCTCTTGGTCTGCCCGTTGCGACTGCAGAACCGCGGCGCTCCGAATGCGGCTGCACAGGCATGCTCTCCCGGTGCCCCGAGCTAAAGGTTTTCGACAAGGAGCTCGGCAACAGAGAAAATCTTCGTCCCGACTTGCCCGTATTGTGGGAGTCATTCGTATTTTTTCGTGAGAACCCAAACGATGTCCGTCTACTGGATTCATTACTCTGTCGGGGAAACGCCTCGTTAGCAATAGGTCCGGGCATGGAAGTGGGTGGATATGATTTCTGCGGTTTGTTCTCGTGCCCGTGATTTGAGTTTTGGGAGATAAATGAGCCTTTGGGATCTTGCGAATAGGACGGCTGACGGCTCGAAAACATCGACGTCACCCTGCCCAGGGTCTCACTAACCGTGTTCGAGCGCTTGTGTCCTTTATGCTCGGTTTGTAACGATTGCACTCGTTGTGTGCTGGGCTGTCCAATGCTGGGCTGACCCATACCCGCGTCGCCCTGCGTTATCGGTCCAGATATTGAGTACTGTTTGCCCTTCGGCTGGGAGAAACGCCCTTCCACGTTGGTTTGAGCAACAGTCGCAGTAGCGGGCTGGCTGTACGAATTTCCTCGCGAAGGCAAGCGTGAATTTGCGCCCAGTGTTCCGCCTGTTGAAGGACGCGTTGCAGATGTTGCAGGCACTGTACCAAACGCTGTATAATCCGAGACCGATCTTTGTGGTTCACGCCCTGGTCTTGGTGGAACAGCCATATTGTTGGTAGTGGTTGACCTACGAGCATTGTAGCCATCCGTTGCGGGAATCTCTGTGGGCCCAGAGTCTTTGACACGTGACTTTGAAGATGTTGCGGGAGCTGTTGGCGGTGATGCTTCGCCACGAGTGGTTTGTGAATGAGGTGCCACGTACTCGACTTGCACAGTTCGGCGCTTGTTGTCCTTCTTGGTCTTTTCGGACGTTTGAGAATTAATTTGATCACGTTTGGCAGTGAGACCGCCGACGGGAGTGACGGCTGTATGAGGTTTCCCGGGTTCGCGTACGGAAGCGCTTCTTGCGAGAGCTGGAGGCGCCTCGAGCGGATCTTCTAAAGCAGATTAGCATACTTTTTATTAGAAGTTCGACTGATCCTAAACATACTGTTTGCAGTAGGAGCTTTTTGGACATCGTTTGAGGTGGTCGTGCTCGAGGTGATGAAGCTCACTACGTGAGCATAATCGCTGAGCCAGCTGTGCCTAGCAACCTCGAATAGATCTGCACGTTTCCGTGGGTCGGGTACAAGTATGCGTTTCAGAAGGTCTCGAGCATGTGGCGTAACATACTCGGGAAAAGTAAGTGGGGTAGATACGATGTACTTGTATAAAAGGTTGATGTTGTCGCCCTCGGGATTGGCTGGGTCGTCATCAAATGGTAGATAACCGGCAAGCATGGCGTACTAAAACATGTTAGGTTCTGGGTATAGCCAATGCCATTGACGTTGAATCAGTACGTACCAAAATGACACCGCAACTCCATACGTCCACCTTTCGACCAGTATACAGCGAGTCGCTGACAACCAGCTCAGGCGCTGCGTAACACGGACTACCACAGCTGGTCTGCATGAGATCGCCTCGGCGTGCTCCATCAGTACCCTCCAATCCCATTGCCTTGATGTAGTCCTTGTTACCTAGGTTGAACTCAATGTCCTCGCTAAGCTCGTCGTTGGGATCAAATGTGTTGGCAAATCCGAAATCCGTGATGATGATATTCCTATTGCGGTCCAGGAGCAAGTTCTCAAGCTTCAGATCTCGGTGGACGATGCCCCTCTTGTGCAAGTAGCCGACACCAGAGATGAGTTGCGCGAACAGTCTGCGCGCCGCGTTATCCTTAAGATATCTGTGGTTGAGGATGTAGTCAAATAGCTCTCCACCAGACGCATACTCTAAAATGATGCCGATGTGGCGCTCCGTCTCTACCATCTCGTGCAGGCGCACGATGTTTGGATGCTCGAGACCGCGAAGAATATGGATCTCGCGGTAGATCTTCTGCAAGCGGTTTGCGTTGCTGCCCAGGGTTTCTCGTCTGATGAGCTTGATGGCCACTTCGACACTGCTGTCCTTCTTCCAACCCATTTTTACCTTGCCAAATTCGCCCTCACCGAGCGTCTGTCCTAGGATGTAGTTGCCGAACCGCGAGCGCTTCGCGGAGCTGGTGGAGTGGTCCTGGCGACTCCTTCCTGCGCCTCTACCTCCATCATCAACACCTTCACTGCCTACCAGACCAAGGCCAGTTATCGGCGTAATGCCTGCTCCAGATGTCGCGGGTATAGCTTCAGCTTGCCTTGCCTGCTCGCGGGCAATGTCTTCTTGTGGGTCTGCCACCACTAATCTATTGATGACGGTGCTTTCTTCACGGGGCAGGTTCGTGCCCGCCGGGGGTTGGCCGACAGCGGAGGCAGAGCGGCTGTGTGACGGCTGCGAGGGAGAGGGCCGCGACCTGCTAGCGCCCCCTTGCTGATGCGGGCTGTCCTTGCCTTTCCTGCGCGACTGCGACGCTTCTTGCGCAGCTCGGGGGGTCGAGGGGCTGGCAGGAGTGCGGTGCGAGGACGTCCGCGGCGGAGGCATGGGCGCGCCGGTAGTGGTGACGGCGGTGGCCATCTGGGGGGATGGCTGCGAGGGCGAGGGTGCGGACGGGACGCGTGGGGAGTTTAGGGCCGAGCCTGCTGCAGGTTGGGGAGAGTTGTGAGCTTGGGGTGTTGTTGGTGCGACGATCCCATTTCGCGAGGGCTTCCTCGAGTCTGGCGATGCGGGCGGCTGGGCGGCGTAATACTGTTGTGAATGCGGCGACTGTGACTGCGGCGGGTAGGGTCGGTTTGCGATTGCAGACATGGATAAGGGGAGGCGGCGTGTCGTGCCTGCTGCGGTGACGGCTAACCAACGGGGCTAGCAATTCTTTCAGGAACCGACGCAGGCAGCGCGGCAGCGTCGCTGAGGAGGCGCGTCGACGCAGGCCAGGCGGGCGGCAGCGCGAGAGGTGCTCACGGCTGCTCAGGCTCTCTGCGCGCGGCAACGGGCAGCGGGCAGCGGGCAGCGGATGGGCGGTCGAGGGAGCTGGCGGCGGCGGCAGCGCGCAGGTAGGCGAGAGGGGAGCTCGGGCACAGCGCGTGTTGTGGATGCTCTGGCGTGCCTTCGCATGCACATGCACCGCGGATGCGAGAGCGAGCGGGCTGGTCGCGCTGCGTCTGCGAGGGCTGCAACGAATGGCAGGGCGCCGAGTCCAGCGTTGGCGACGACGGTGGTCGACTCTCAGAGGCCTTGGACGGCGGGCTGCTGAGTGGGACTGGCAGTGGTGAGGGAAGCAGGCGCGGCTGAGAGGCCTCTAATCTCGGTTCTTCAAAAGGAGAGCACCGGCATTGCACAGGGCCCGGGGACAGGATATATTCAGAATGTCCAGCAGGTCGTACCGCGACAGCCTGGGCCGTGCCTGGACGCGACGTGCAGCGGCACGCCGTCTTCGTGGGCGAGCATCTCTGCCTCCTCACGCCCGTTCTGCGCATGCATCTGCCATGCTCCTCACCACGCCGCCGGCAGACGCCAGCGCGCTGCCCTCCAGTCCTAGCTGCAGTGTCTCCCTTTTTGGGCGCACGCAGGGGTTGCCGTGTTTCACGTCGACACGCCGGGATAGTTACGGGATGGCGCAAATTGCTTGCCATGCGTTCATCACCCGTCGCGTACCTCTGCACCGCGCTCCCTCGATACGATCATCGCATGCCCAGTTCCTCACAGCGTCACACGGCGCTGCACGGTCAGGTTTACACTGCACCAGCTGCCACGAGTAGGGCCGGAGCAGGAGCCGATAAACAGCTCAATTCACCGCCGTTGCGCACGTCTCGCTGTTCCTGGGCCAACCGCCAACCCAGGCTGTCGAAAGGGACGCGTCGCGATGTAAACAACGCTACATGTAAGTATGGCTCGCCGTGGGCGATGACGTGGGAAGCTCAATCGCCAGAGCGCTCCCCGCCCTGCCCTATCCCGCACCAGGGAGCCGTCAACAACGCGTTCTGCGCTCGCGCCTGAAGACGCCCTCCGTCTGTAGCTCTAGTTTTGTCTCCGTCTGCAAGGGATCCGCCCTGCATCTGCTTCCGTTTCGCCAAGCAACGTCAGTCAGCCGCAGCCGATGACTCGCATCTGCTCTTCCTCCTTGCGACCGAGGCCTGGAGAGATCCAGAGGTCGTCTCTCGGTCGCAAGGACGGGATGCAATGTCGTGTCGGCGAGAGGTTCTATTCTTACATTTTTAGGCCAGCCCTGGGCAGGTGGATTCGGAAATTAACCTGGGCGGCTAGTGATGTCCACCGTCGACGGCCGGTTCCACTTTCCCGCCCGACTTGCCAGCGCCCGTTTAGTTTTGGCGCTATCGTCCATCGTGAGTTCACTTGCGGGCATCACGCTCAAGGGTAGGCTATCTAGGGCAATAGCATTGAGGATTGACGTCATGAAATCTATATCGCATTGAACCCCCCTTTTCTGCAAAGAAGCAAAGCTCCTTCTCCCGAGGCGACGGCCCTGCTTGTTGCCAAACCATCCTGGTAGGAACAATGTGCTTCTAGATCTTGATCTCGGAGGGGATGCCGATCTCGAGGATATCGACACCCTTCTGGAGCTCGCTCTTTTTGGGCATCTTATTTCTTCGCATCAGCTCTGCGGCTTGGGTCATGTATGGATCCTTGCCCATGGAGGAGACGGCAACCACTTCTTCGCCTTTGGTGTAGTAAGCTACAAAAGAAGGTTGCTTTATGTCTCCGGAAATAACCACGTCATCATAACCAGCAACTGTGTTTCCGCAGTACCTCAACTGGGAGCCCAGAGCTGACCAGAAAACGGGAATGAACGGCTTGGGCTTCGAGCCTGGGTTGTTGATGGTGTTGGCTACAGATCGACCGGCGTTCTGTGCAACATTCCAGTGCTCAATGCGAACTGGGGTACCGTTACCGCCAGGTCCGTGGTAAGGGTAGGTTGCGATGTCACCAATGGCGAAGACATCCTTCAAGCCCTTGACCTCGAATGCCTCATTGGTTGATATCGAGCCATCCTTCTCCAGCTGCACTGCTGAGTTCTCCTTGAGGTACTCTGTGGCCGGTGCAACGCCAACACCCTCTATCACGATATCGGCTTCGAGAATGGTACCATCCTTTAGATGGACGGCCCCTACCCTTGATGAATCGTTCTTCGAGGGCGTGGCCTTGTCGACACTAGCTCCCATCTTGAATTTGACCCCGTTCTTCTCGAGAAGGCCTTGGAATATCTTGCCGACCTTTTTGCCCATGACGCGTTCCATCGGGGCTACAAAGTCAGCAATTGCACTTTCTTCTAAGGAGCCGAATTGGCATACCTTCTTCCATGCCGATGATTGTAACGTCGTTCTTCATCCCGGCCAGGCAGTTGCCCACTTCCATGCCGATGAAAGAACTACCCACGACAACAACCTTCTTGCCATTGTCACCAACAGCCTTTACGATGTTCTGCGCATCGGGTAATGCCCGTAGAATGAACACATTACCCAGATCCCCTTTCAAGCCCTCCAATGGTAGCCATCGGGGAGTTCCTCCAGTTGCCAGCACCAGCTTGGTGTACTCGTATGTTTCTCCGCCTTTAGTGGACACCTTCTTTGCGGAGAAGTCCACATTGTTCACCTCTGCCTCTACAATGTTGATCGAAGCATCTTTGTAAAAGTCAGGTTGTCTCCATGCGGCCTTGGACAGGTCTGCAAGCAATGCTTTGGACAACTTGGTACGGTCGATAGGGCGGTAACCCTCCTTTGATAGTACCGTGATGGCGCCCTTGAATCCTCCTCCACGCAGACCTTCGATCGCGCCGAGGGTTCCGGAGCCGCTGTACGCCCGAGTCAGCCCTTGATAACCATTTCCACTGCAGGACCTACCCTCCGATAACCAATACCTTCTGGTCATTCGATGCCGAGCACTTGAGGTTCAAGGATCTCCTGTTCGCTTTGATGGTGTCTTTGTCGGCCTTGATGTAGACAGCACCGCCCTTCTCGAACACTTCGTACTTGGAGAGCGGGTCAAGTGCGGGTGCATCTTCAACGTCACCCGTGGAGACATTGAAACAAGCTGACGGGGATTAGCTCACGTATTGAGTAGCCAACGGTGAACTCACCACCGTGCCAGGGACATGTCAGTCTTCCTTCCGGTGTAAGTACACCCTTTGCCAGAGGCGCACCGTAATGAGTGCAATTTGCGCTGGTGGCATGTATTTTGTCCTGGATCTTGAGTATCAAAGCCTTCCCGCCTTCGACACCCTCTATCTCCACCTCTTGCTTATCTCCGTTCTTCAGGTCCAGAGAAGAAAGCCCCTTGACCTTGAATTCTTGCGCCATCGATCTGCTTGTTGTGTTGTACGTAGCTGTTCTGCAAAGAGGTCGTAATGTTGTGTGGAGCCTGGAGGAGCTTCGGAATGGTGAAAGTAAGCGTACCGACTGCATGAAAGGGAGCGAGCGAGAGAGCGATTGCAGGACATCTATAGCTTCCCTTGCAAGCACCCCGCCTGCTGACAGCTACATCTTTGAGTGGTTGTCATTGGCCGTGATTTTTACGTCATCGACAACGTGTCTAATCTACAACGCGTGCTCGCCGATTGGCTCCGCTCGAGCTCCGCATCCGCATACTTCCAGCTCCACCTTCAGAACCCCACAGTACGACACGCGTCAAGTTGCTTGCCAGTACTAGAAGCACAAATCGTCGTTCGCAAAAGGCTCGATACTCCAGATATAGCGCGTCACTCTAGCTACATTTACCAGCAGTCTTCGATAGATAACTGACCGATGCAGATACACAATGTCGTATGGACCTGCCCGTCTCTCAGGACGATGGTGCATGCGCGCATTTTTCAGCTTGCGGTTGCCCTCCGTAGCCTTGTCGACGACGTCCGGCGACCAAGTTGACTTGCCATCACTGTCTGGTCTGAAATTTCGCTTTTGCTATCCCAGAACTGGTGCGCCGGACGAGAAAATCACGCCAACATGGAACGCTGTACCTGGTGCCCGGGTTTGTACACCCCAGGTTTGCTCCTTCCGTGATAAGATAGACAAATTTCGGCAGCTTAGGGTGGAGCATTTATACGGTCTGTCTACACAGGATACCCAGTATCAACAGGAAGCACGAGAGCGATTGCATTTGCCATACGATCTGCTGTCGGACGATACGCTGGAGTTTGCGATGGCGCTAAAGCTGCCGACGTTTGAGTGGTAGGGGCAAAGCCTCGTGACGAGGCTTGTGTTTGCAATAGAGGAAGGGGATATCGCCAATGGCTGGTATCCTGTCTTCCCTCCGGACAAACGCGAAGAATGTCACGGAGTAGCTGAAACGAGATGAAAAGCGTGAATGCTAGCTCGCTTGGAACAGCGCTTCGTCGACTTTAGGGCACATCTTCTTAGTCACCCAGCAAAGCGCTAACTAGCTGAGACACTAATTGTAAGATTTGTCGCAGTGCTTGGCTTAGGACTGTGCGAGTTTTCGCATGGCTATCACAGGCCTAATCTGGAGCGAGGGTCATGGTTATCGCCGTTGCTGACGACAGCAGCCAAGTGTTGTGCTGCAGCATCAATAGTAGCTCAACGTAAAACACCCAATCGATTACCGAAAAGAGAGACTCGCAACCTCTGGCTGTTTGCTGTCTGTCTAGCAATATGGACCTTGGTCTGTACAAAGAACGCCCACTTGAACGTTGTTACAGATGTTTGTTGCCACGAAGGTCTATTCTGCATTCGTCTACGCCTACCGCGATTATCGGCCGTGCGTCCAAGAATGGTTGGTCGTCAAGCCATCATTTCCGAATGTCGACTGGGCAATGCGGCGGTTACCATCTGCAACCCTCAGCTGCTAATTTCAAGAACTCAGCCTTCTGCCATCTTGAAGCCCACAAGCTAAAAGCCACGGCCGTAACGGACCTGTTTCTTGCACGACCCACTTCGAGGTTAGAAGGACCCTTACGTCCTTCCTTGGCGCGTTGAAATGTCCTCAACTATCACCTCGCTCACACGACAGACACGTACTGCATCGCGTACCAGCAGTGCGACCGAAGCGGTGTGTACTTGGGAGGGGCATTGCCTTGGAGACACCTGCAGCAACGAAAATGACTGCGATAACGATTGGGTGTACGATACTCTTGGTGCGAAGTCGCTATGTTCAGGACATAGACTTCGCATCTGGCCCCACTGTTCAGCCTTCACTGACTCCGTGCTCGCGGGTATAGGTGCGCGAACACCACCTGCCAGACATGTTGCATTTCGAAAAGCGAACCTACATTTTTCAGCACGTTCTCGGCTTCCGACCTCACCACGATAACCTCCCCTTCCTCGATAACAACTTCTGCAACAACCCCAACGAGCTCGTCTGCCACAAGCGCACCCACAAACACATCATCTGGCGGTCTGAATACCGGAGCCGCAGTAGGCATCGGTATAGGAGGAGCGGCATTGCTCATAATATGTATTGTCGGTGGGTGGTGGTTCTTCATGCGGCGAAAGAACGCCAACCAAGCGTATGAACTTGGGGCTGTGGCTCCACCATCCTACGACGACGACAGGAAGGAGCTGTATCAGGCGACCGCACAGGCGCAAGAGTTACCAACAAGACATCCGCCGGTAGAGTTACATGCTATTGAATTGGCCGAGCTGGAGGATAGCAACACTGGAAGACCGAACAATGAAGGCAAAGCTATGACTTGACGAGGCAAAGCGGCACGAAGTATCCCCTAGAAGGTTGAAGATCAGGATGTGGTCCAGCTCCGGCTCCGTTTTTCTGGCGATGTCTGTCCTTAATGCGGCAAATGTTTTCTTTGAGACTAATGCTGTGGTCAAGAGGTGGCAGATTGAAACAGACCTTCGATGCATCCTGAGGTAACGCGCTCCACCTCGCGTTACCATGAACTTAGTGTGCGTGTGATTGCAGAATACCTCACAATGTTAGGTAACATGACGCAACATTGCGGGTGCAGACCTACCTCACAGTGCCAATGCTCCATAGGTGCCCTAAAACAGAGGCATCGATGCACGCTTTCCAGATATGTGTCTATTCTTGCATCGTTCAATCGTGAATTTCCCTACAGAAATCAGTACATAGGGTGGGCTAGGAAGTTCTGCAGCATTGCATGCATTCGTCTCTGGTGTCATTCTTCGATGAGTGAATGGATTGTTCGAAGAGTGCCATCTTCGTCCTGTTCCGGGAATCTCTCCGTGGGTATATCAGTGCAGGGCAGATCTTGCTCACAGACTTGGAAGGAGATCGCGGAGTGTTGGATTGCGCGGCCCGCGGTATGCGCTAACGGTGAAGGGCATGTTCCGACATCGTGCCAATCATTGAGCTCTTTCAGTAGCCCCATCGGAAAAGTCTATCGCCGTGCAAGTGTGAAGCTTGAGCTTGAAAAGCCTCAACGCGGGGTACACTAGTGAGTTATGTAGCTGCTAGTATTCTGTCGTTGCTGGTACGAATTGTCGACATGACACGAAACGTGGTTGCAACTGTCACTTTGTAACCTAAGATGCAATATTATTGCTTGCTGTAGACAGTAGGACTGCTTAATCACAGATCTAGTAAGTCAAGATTCAATGCAGGCATGGAGCTGTCATTCCACATGCTTCTGCGGCTCTGCCCAGCTCGAACGGCGAAGCGGGGATCACCCCACATCGAGCCTCCCGTCATCGGTCGAGCTGTCTGTCTTCCCGCACGCCGAATGCGACTTCGCATTCAACAGTCCTCCGAGATGGAACCAATACAAAGCTAATATCGCTCCGAGGAGCCTCAAGAGATCATCACTCTACATACAATCTGCATCTCCCCGTCCTGTGGGCTATTATGCCATGCATGGTGGAGCCGCGGCAGCAGTGTACTCTCGGGCCCATTTTTACCTGTTCGCGCATGCTAATGCCGCCTCTCAACGTATCCCGCTATACCTTTACAGCTCTACTACCTCTCCCAGCCATTGAAAACAACCGGAACTTTGATGGTTGCACCCATATGGCGTGCAATCGTCCCGCGTTTTCCACCGCGATCACACTTGCACGCACAACTACGCCCCAGCGGGCAGGTATTGGCAGGTTGAGGTCGCCCAGCTTATTCGCTTATGCGTTCTGCAGCTTCTTCCCTGTCCGCATTCCTGGTTCATCGTCATTTAGCTTTGTTGTTTATTGCGGGGATCTTGGAGCCGTGCGCAAGCTTGTGGCCTGCAATAGACTCGGCAGTGTGAGCGCAAACACCTATATCACACCATAGTCCCCCCAGGACAGAAATTTGGGGCCACCCATACAATTCTGCACTCAATCGTATCACTATATCGTTGATAACCATTCTGAGGCTCTGATCATTCTTCTCTCGAGCGGTCTGCTATTCAAGAGCGCAAGCTCTAGCCCGCCATGGCTCCCTCGAACTTCTTCAAGTCATCGTTCACATTCTTGTCTCTTCGAGCATTGACATTGGCGCAGCAGTCAATGAATTCTGTAGACGGTTCTGGACCATCTGCCTCACCGCGTCCTTCACCAACACTAAACACGGTGACAATTGATGGCTCTCCTACCACCTTTCGAGATGTCTTCACAATGCCTGCGTCGGTCGACGTAGGAGCGAACCTCTTGCCGAACATCAACGATCCTTCAGCTGTCGATGCTCAGACTGTTTGCCCGGGATACAAGGCTTCGCAAGTCAAAGAGAGTGACAGCGGCTTGACCGCCGTTCTCACACTTGCCGGTGCGCCGTGCAATGTTTACGGGAACGACATCGAGGTCTTGAACTTGAAAGTGGAATATCAGAGCGTCAACCGCCTCGCCATTAATATTAGTCCTGCGAACATTGTCAGTCTCTAAATCCTCTCCGTTTGCGTCACACAATGAGAGCTAATTTTTGTAGGATGCATCAAACTCGTCTTGGTATATAGTCCCAGAAGACTTAATCCCACGACCGAAGGCAGAATTAACTGCTGGAGATATTGACCTTGAATTTGATTGTATGGCAGTGCCCGCGGGCTCAGAGGATATGTTACTAACCAATGCGTAGGGGATGATGAACCTTCATTCTGGTTCAGTGTCACCAGACACTCTACCGGTGATGTGATATTCTCGTCCGAGAACACCAAACTAGTTTATGAAGACCAATTCATCGAATTTGTCTCTCACCTCCCGGAGGACTACAAGCGTGAGCACCCCTGTTTTACAATACTACATCCAAGCGTTTAGGCAACCACCCGTCACATCGTAAAAACCAGCCCAGTCTGTGTACCGTCTTGCTGACTTGTATCGCTAGTCTACGGGCTCGGTGAACGCATCCATGACTTCAGATTGAATCGAAATTTATCAGCTACCATTTATGCTGCAGATGCAGGCGATCCAATTGACGAAAACATCTATAGCAGTCAGCCGTTTTATCTTGAGACGAGATACTTTGAAACCGACACACATGGTCAAAGAAAGTTAGTCAAGAAGACTGAACTCGACGAGCGTGGTCATGCGTCCAAACATCAGTATCCGACCGGAGGCTACCCAACCAACGGGTCCAACGGTGCCGGGAACGGAGGTTCTTCATATGAGTCCCACTCTCACGGTGTGTATCTCAGAAATCTCCACGGACAAGAACCCAAATTATCCAGCGACCGAATCACATGGCGTACTATCGGGGGTAGCATTGATCTGTTCTTCTATGATGGACCCACGCAGCCAGAGGTTACAAAACAATACCTCAAGTCATTAGATGCGCTTCCTGCACTACAACAATACTGGTCCTTCGGATATCATCAATGCCGTTGGGGCTACCATAACTGGACCGAGCTACGAGAAATTGTTGATACGTTCAAGGCATTCGACATCCCATTAGAAACCATCTGGACTGACATTGACTACATGGATCAGTACCGGGACTTCACTCTGGACCCTGTGTCTTTCCCCCTTTCCGGCGTGAAAGAATTCTTTGATTACATCCACAGCCAAAACCAGCATTTTGTTCCTATCGTCGACTCCGCGATCTACATTCCGAACCCTCAGAACTCATCCGACGCGTATGATACGTATACACGTGGGAATGAGTCCGGCTCCTTCATGACAAACCCAGACGGGAGTCAATACGTAAGTGTAGCGACCATATTGGCCACTGCCTTACTGACTTGTTTCATCAGATCGGTGCTGTATGGCCAGGCTACACAGTCTTCCCAGATTGGCTCTCCGCCAACGGCCAGGCATGGTGGGTGAAGGAGCTCGTTGAGTGGCATAAAGAAGTGCCATTCTCAGGTATGACACTCCCCAGTAAAAGGTCGTTGTATCTTCAATATTGATAACTGTATAGGCATCTGGATCGATATGTCTGAAGTCTCCTCTTTCTGCGTGGGATCTTGTGGCACAGGAAACGTTACTTTAAACCCTGTGCATCCGCCTTTTAGTCTCCCTGGAGAGGAAGGCAATCGCATCTACTCGTTTCCCGAGGCCTTCAATGTTACAAACGCCACTGAAGCGGCGTCAGCAAGCTCTGCGAGTAGCTCCCAGGACGCTCAGAACAGTGCGACAGCGGCACCACAACCGAGCACCACAAGTTATCTCAAGACTACGCCGACCCCGGGAGCAAGGAATGTGAACCATCCTCCGTATGTGATCAACAACGTGCAAGGGGACTTGGCAGTGCATGCTGTCAGCCCAAATGCAACGCATGCCAATGGCGTACAGGAGTACGACGTCCATAGTATCTTTGGGTAAGTGAGGATGATCATAAAAGTGAGGAAGTCCACGGCTAACTCAAACATAGTCATCAAATCCTCAATGCTACCTATGAAGGCCTCCTCTCCGTTTTCCCCGGAAAGCGACCGTTCATAATAGGGAGATCGACGGCTACCGGTTCTGGAAAATGGGCTGGACACTGGGGCGGGGACAACGCTTCCAAGTGGTACTACATGTACTTCTCCATCTCGCAAGCACTCTCGTTCTCACTCTACGGTATCCCAATGTTCGGTGTCGATACGTGGTAAGCACCTCTCTTCCAATATGCCCTGTTCGCACTTCTGACTCTAGCAGTGGGTTCAATGGGAACACAGATTATGAGCTGTGTTCACGCTGGATGCAACTTTCCGCTTTCTTTCCTTTCTACCGCAACCACAACACTCTTTCTGCACTATCGCAAGAGCCCTTCCGCTGGGCTAGCGTCATCTCTGCCTCAAAGACGGCTATGAACATCCGGTATACACTCCTCCCATACATGTATACACTGTTTTACGAAGCACACACTACCGGGTCGACTGTCATGCGTGCTCTGGCATGGGAATTTCCGAACGAGCCGCAGCTCGCGGATGTAGGCACCCAGTTCATGCTCGGACCGAACATACTTGTTACACCCGTTTTAGAACCGCAGGTAGAAACCGTCAAAGGTGTGTTCCCCGGCATCATCGACGGAACGAGTTGGTACGACTGGTATAGCGGAGAGAAGGTAAATGCACAGGCTGGAGTGAATACTTCGATCACAGCGCCGTTGGGACACATCCCAGTGTATCTTCGCGGTGGATCCGTCACACCGATTCAAGAGCCGGGCTATACGACTACGGAGTCGCGGGCTAACCCATGGGGTCTGATCGTTGCGCTCAACGATGATGGCAAGGCGTCGGGTGCTCTATACGTGGACGACGGAGAGTCGATCGAGCAGGAAGCCACATTGGAGGTGGCATTCAGTGCGGAAGATGGAGAACTCAAGGTCAAAGTCAAGGGCGAGTACAAGGACACCAACGCGCTCGGAAACGTCACCATTCTTGGAGTCTTTGACGGAGTCGGCGAAGTCAAACTCAGCGGCAAGTCTTTGAACGGAGGGAACGTGGCGTACGATGAGAGTACGGGCGTGCTGAAGCTATGCGGCCTGAATGACGTTACGAAGGGAGGAGCATGGCAGGGAGCATGGACGCTTAGCTGGGGAAGATAGTTTGATCCCTGACGTTCTGGGATTGAGATGGTCGCATCGAGTAGCTGTCCTACAACCTCTATGCTCTTCTCTGACTTTCACAATCCCCATACCCCATTGCTGTAGTACGACGCATAATTGGCCAAATACCTCACTCGGTAACCCCGCACGGCTTCAGTGAATCTCTCCAACAACTCATCGGCCTTTTCTCGGTCTTGTTCCCCAGCGAACCATCTGGCATATATGACATTCAGCCAGAAGGTAGTCTCGGCGGTAGCTGCCAAGGCAGATGCAGTGTAGAGAGTGTAGCGGATTGGACGGGGAGAGGAACGGATCTGGGCCCATATGTTGAAGGGCGATGGTGAAGGTGGGCTGGTCGAGTTCCTGTTCTTTGCCGGATTTGGAGGCCCAGGAGTGGTGAGCTGGGCTGCGGAATGGCTAAGAGGGCGAGGCCGCGCGGGTGGAGAGCTGAAGATGGGGTGGGTAGCTCTTTTCTCGATGATCGAGCGCGGGTGTTTTCTTGATATTGTGCGGAGCATGGTTGCGATGGAGTAACAAAAGTTGAAGCTCAAGTCTAGAGTAGTTGGGAGGAGCTGCAGGGACGGAATATAGAGACAGACTCAACCCTTTCTTACCTGTGCTGGTCTTATACACGAACAACTTGATCACGTCCGAGATGCGTATCAGCTTGCTAACTGCATGGGGCTACGCCAAGACCGAGCGCTCTGGATTGGGCGGACGAGTGCGAGAAATGGCGAGTCGGCGCAGTCGCGTACCGACAACAGTCAGTCGTTACAAGAGCAAGCATGCATGATGCTGCACTCAAGTCGCAGCGCATGCGTCCTCTTCCAGCTGCCATTGTCGTGCGCAAAATCACCAGGCTGATGCAGGTGTGGCAAGAGGAAGCGCCATGGCCAGAGATGTGCGCTTGCAGCAACATTTTGGTTCGTGATTTGGCGTCGCATTGTCGTCGCGATGCACTACTCCAGGCACGCGGTAGATGTGCAATCTCCAGGTTGTCCTAGCCATGCGCGACCAGGGAACGTCGTTTGGCACGCCTGGGCGGTGACGTCGGGCGGCAGGCGCACGCAGACAGACAGACGTCCACTGGCACACGGGCAGCATGCGCGTGGGCGTGGAGGCGGAGGGGTCGCACGCAGCAGGCCAATGGGTGCCGTGCTGCGAAACAAGAGGGCATGTTGCGCAAAACGCGGTGGCTGGGCGGGGCGGGCGGGCAGGCGGGCAGGCGGGCAGGCGGGCAGGCGGGCAGGCGGGCAGGGACGGCCGGTTGTTCCTTGGTTCGGTGCAACAGCCAGGCACGCCAGCATCCATGTCGCACGCGCCGGCGGTTCACCAGAAGCTCCTGTTCCCTCGTTCCACCGCCCCTCCGCCGCACAACGCTCGCCGCCAGCTCGCCGCCACGCACGTCGAGCATGCGCGCCGCCGGCCACGCCAACACGACCCGGGCCCTCGCTGCACCGCGCCCGCGCCAAGGGGACAACACACAGCACTCATGGAGCTAGCCAGAGACGACAGCATTCCGGACCGGCCGCATTGCTGCTGCGGCAGCAGCGACTGCCCCTTCCTCCAGCACAACGAATCGCTGGTCGAGGGGCTCGAGCGGAATGTCAACAGAGCTGCCGTGCTGGGCCAGGTACGTGTCTCGCCATGCTGCTGTCATGTCGCTGTCTGCGTCCCGCTGCGCGTGCCCGCAGTAGCGCCGCAACATGCTCGACACGACGACATACTCGAGAGACTGGCTAACCTTCTCTCTGCAGGCTCTCCTCTCCCGCCACGAAGCCTACGTTGCCGACTCGGAGCGCGAGCGCAAACACATGCTCAGCACCATCGAAGGCCTCGAGAAGGACAAGGTCGAGCTCGAAGAGAAGAACGCCCAGGCCATCAAGGCGAACCGCCAGCTCCTGGACCGCCTGGAGGAGCTCAACAATGCTGTCGCCAGCTCCGACGCCCAGATCAAGGCCCTCAGCGACACGCTGCATTCGACCGAGGAGGAGCTCCAGCGCCTGAGCTCTCTCGCCGCCCGCACCCAGATGCTCGAAGCCCAGCTGCTCGACCTGGAGAGGGAGCAGATGCAGACGCAAACGAGCCTCGAACTCAAACTCTCCGACGAGAAGACGGCCATACAGCGATGGAAGCGAGCAGAGAGAGTCATTGCAGATCTCCAGGACCAGATCGACCGCATCGAAAAGGAGTCGCGTGAGGAGCGTGAGCGCCACGTCGAGATTGTAGCGCGCATGGAGCGCCGCATGGCCGTGGACGGCGAGCTGGCAACCGCAGCGGGGAGGTTGAAGGCGAAAGCTGGCGTCGACAAGAGCGGCACCAATGTCGTGTCGCACTTCGTCAAGGACATTCTCCTGGACAATGTGAATCTGCAGCATGGCATCGTCGAGCTCCGCGAGATGCTCGACAACTCGAATAAAGAGGTGGAGCGTCTTCGAGAGTACCTGGGCGCTCATCAACCCGTGTCCCCCACCGAAAGCCCCACCGAGCTCGCCACGCCGCAAGCTGCCACGCCGAATTTGCAAAAGGAACTGGCAGGAGAAACCGTCTACAACCAGGAGCTGCATATTCATCACCACTACAGCCAACCCATTGCAAAGACTCCGTCAAAGCCTCCCGCTCGCCGCCCTCGAAAGAAGCGCTTCAGTCTTACACCGGGACATTTTACGCCTCCTATGCAAGCAGATCCCGCGACCCAGACCACTATACTAACTCAAACGGCCGTCACTGTACCCAATACCAATCGCTGGTCCAACGCAACGACCCTCGCACCCTCGCTTCCCAGCTCACCTCTGTCCGCATCACACCGCGGCTCTATCTACGATCGCGTCTTCAGTGACGCTAATTACGACTCTTCGCGTCCGACGAGTCCTTCCGACTCAATCGACCTCCAGTCACCTAATTTTGGACCGAAATCATACTTTATTGGCGACATCAGTCAGCACAACCGCAAAAAGTCACAGTCGCTTAAACCTCCAAGCCTAGCAACCATCAGGAGCGTCAGTACGCCTGTATCGATAACAGCGAAAAGTAGCCCTGCGTCTGCGGTCGTGTCTGGCATTAGTCCCGCTGGTTCTCTCGCCAACGACGAATTCGTCCTCTCGCCTTCTCTGCAAGCGCAGCCTACTATCCCAGAGGAAGGCGAGGACTCTAACGTTGACAGCAACGCAACTCCTGAGAACCTTGTCTCACCGCCTCCCAACGCTCGTATCGACGATGAAGAACTTGGCGATCTGATTTCACCTTTGGCGCAGTCACGCCCAACCCTCCGCCGGGCCGTATCACACGAATCCTTGATTTCGATATCCGGAATGGACATTCATACGCTGCAATTGCGGCCATCCCAGTTACTCTTGTCAGCCTCTCCTCGCTTTGCTACGCCAGGAGGCACAGACAGCCTGAACCCTGAGCTTACGCCATGGACCGCTACAGCGACTGCGCGGATGAGCCGCCGTGACCTCGACTCCAGCGCATACAATCGATCGCTTCTATATTCCAGCACACCCCGTGCTCCAAGTGCAGCCTATCGAATTCCCTCAGCCGGTGGTTTGGGCAAGAAAGTTGGCGGTTGGGTTCTCGGAAGGTGGGGTACCACGCCGGCTTCACCGTCCGCAACTTCTTCACCACGGCCTGACTCTAGTAAGAGCGCGGAGACCCAGTCCAGTACCGATACGGTGAAGAAAGATCTCGGTGTGAAGAAGAAAGAGGTCAAGAAAGAAGTGCGTCTGAGGGCGCCAGGCGTGAATCAAGACGGACCTATCTGGGGTTTCTTCGATATCAAGGAGACACCTACAAAGGTTGTGGTCGAGGAGTACGACGCGGAAGCGCTCGGAGAAGCGCTCGGGGAAGCGCTTGCAGATGGCTAGTCGTTGTCGTGTTCTGCAGCGTGTCTGTCACCCGTGCGTAACGATCGTTAATCATTACATCTCCTATTCGTCTTTTGGTTTCGCATGAAGGTGTAACAAATAGAGCAGCGAAGTGGGGTGTATGTGTTTTGCATCGCGTGGCGTTTTATACCTGATCTTGAGAGGACCCCTACGGTCGATTAACTGAGGGTGCAAGTAGTTTGGCTCTCTGGAAGTTAGATGGATAACCAGCACATATACAACATAATTCCCTAGTATCAATAATGGATAGTATAATTTCCGATGGTCTGAAAGACTTATGGCATTGATGGTTCATAAGCTGTTTCTGAGCACACCAGAAGCACTGTAATCTCTAATACCGTTCGAAGTATCTGGTGTTGTGTCCGCCACATGACAAGGGATCGAATACACCTGATCCTGGCCAGTGCCATAGGTAGCGACTCAAAGAAGCGTACGCTAGTTGATTTGCCAACTGGAAATTCTCGGTAATCACCCTAGATCTTGCGAGTCGAAAGTTGCGGCACCGGGACCTACGCCCGCCAAGCCGGTCGTCTCACCCCTCCCATCCCTCCTACTCGAACCTCGGCTTACCCCAGGCTTCGCTTCTCCGCACATGTATGCTCTCACAACGAGCGGCTAATCATACCATTGATCACTGTGCTAATCCCCTGTACTTGTCGCAGCACCCTGATAGACATCTCGTTGGCTTGACAAAGTTCCTCGATCGCGCTGGACTAACATACACTCCTCCCCTTCACCTTCTGGCCCTTGTCTGTCGTTCTACAATGCCACAACCACGCACCGCCCCAGCCCTGCCCAAAAGCTACAATGACATCTCCTGGAAGGAGATCAAGACGGAGCACTACGCAGAAGACCCGAGCATCATCATCCTCACGCTCTGGCGACCAAAGAACCACAATGCCTTCACCGGCATCATGATGCTCGAGCTTGAGGAAGCATACGCAATGTTCGACATCGACGATAGGGTAAAATGCATTGTCTTCACTGCAACAGGGAAGATTTTCTGCGCGGGCGCAGATCTGGATGTTGGATTTGTCGGCGGCCAGGAACCGGTTAATGAGCATAGGGATGGGTAGGTGTTACCATGAACGAAGAAACCCGTACACAGACGAGGATGTAGCTAATATGTGTAACAGTGGTGGACGTGTAACCCTCGCCATCCACAACTGCCGCAAACCCACCATCGGCGCCCTGAACGGTAGCGCGGTGGGCGTCGGCATCACCATGACCTTGCCCATGAACATCCGCATCGCGCCCAAAGCCGCCAAAATTGGCTTCGTCTTTGCGCGCCGGGGCCTCGTCATGGAGGCGTGCAGCTCTTTCTTCTTGCCCCGGCTCATCGGGCACTCGCGCGCAATGGCGGCGGTTACGACAGGGTCTACGTATCCCGCGAGCGACCCGATTTGGTCGGGCCTGTTTGCGTATACGGTGGATAGGCCGGAGGACGTGTTTCCCAAAGCGATTGAAGTGGCGAACGAGGTGGTGAAGAATACAAGCGTGGTGTCTACTTATTTGATGAAGGAGTTGATGTTTAGAGATACGGGAAGTGCAGAGGGACAGCATTTGCTGGATTCGAGAATCCTCTACGAGTTGTTCACGTCTGCGTAAGTGTGGCTTTGCGTTAGTGAAGGACGGCGAGGAGCTAACAGAGTGCAGTGACAACAAAGAGGGCGTGCAGAGTTTCCTGCAAAAGCGGCCTGCGGAGTTTACCGGGACGATGGACAACACACATGTCGCAGCGTACCCGTGGTGGAACCCCATTGACGTGGTGCGGAGGCCGAAAGTTGAAGGGGCAAAGGCGAGGCTGTGATGTTAGAGTGGCATAATAAGATCGAACTTGGTCTTGAAGCTTTTGTATTCCAATATCGTCCACATATACCGTGTATGTGACTTCATAACTCATTCCCGCCCGACCCTCATCCCGGCATCTTCCCTGTGTCCTTCACATACAAGAGGCGAGATAGTTGGTATCAGGGATTTTGATTCGTTCCTAGTGTACTTCATTTTTGAAGCCATGCATGAAAGCCCGAGAAAGCCATATCACCCCTGCCAGCCAGACCCCACTCCAGGAAAGAAGACGCTTAGAAGAAAGTTGAAGGCCTGGTAGCGGAGAAGATCTTCTTGCTGGCCGACTTGTTGACGCGGTGGGGGAGAGGGAACTTGAGGTTCTTGACGAGGAGCTGTTTGATGTACGGGCGGCGGATGTCAGCGGTCTTCTCGACCTCGACGACCTTGAGGATCTAAATATTCGGTCAGTCGCGTGCATTGAATGGTGGAACAAGGGTGAACGTACGTGAATCGACCGGAAGCGGGATCGGTGACGCGCAGCCATGTCCTGGTAGAGGGCATCGACGGCATCCGTCCGGGACATCTCACGGTACTCCTTGTACATGTTGTGGGTGCCGGAGCGCGAGTCGTAACGGATCCAGATACCGAAGTTCTTGACCTTCTGGGGGCGCTTCTCGTGGATCTGTGACGGTTAGCGGTGCTCAAGGTCACAATACGGACGATGGCTATACACACCTGGTTCACAGACACAATCTCACCGTTGGCCTTCTTGATCTTGCGAAGCTTGCCAAGGAAGTACCAGAATCGCGACTTGGCGACAACCTCGTTGGGCGCAAAGATGCGCATGCGGTAAAGCTTCGGGGTTGGGTTGGCCTCGCTGGGCAGGTGACGCCCGATGATCTGGTATTCCTGAAGGCGACCTATGGCTGTCAGCGAGTGCCCATACATGTCACAGATCGTGGTCCAGCAATTGCAGTCTGGGCGGTCCTAGACGGGTGCGGTTGGCTGTGCATCTCGTTGGATTGTGTGGTCAAGGGCTGTCAGGCACTGGATTTTGGCGTCCGTTCTCGCTTGTGCGCATGTTCGCTGCCGCAGCGTCACCCCGCTCGCCAGCAGCGCAGCATGGTCTCCCTCTTCCAGTGTAGCATTTCTCGTGTACTCCCAGTAGGAAGCTGAGCAGGATGGTTGCAATCGGCGGCGGTCGCGACGTTGAGTGTAGGCACGCGCATCTCCAAGCGGAACAGACTGCAATTGCTGGGACCGGGCGGTGGGGAAAAGGACTGCTTACCCATCTGGAGTTCTGTTAGCAATCGCAGCTGTTATGGATGACAGAGAAGGCAACGCACCTTGATGCTGTGTTGTGGTGGTTAGTACCGGTGTTGTCGTGGAAGTCGGGTTGGCAATTGCGAGGTGCCAAAATTGTGCGTCGAGCCGAAGTGTGCGAGCTAACCGGGTTTGCCGCTAGCGCCCCGTCGGCGGGACCTGCCACAAGCACCGACGCAACTGCCCGCTAAGTCCCCTCCAGCGCGACTGTGGAAGTACTGAAGGGTCTCGCGCTCGAATGTGCAGGATGCGCGACTTCTGATTGCTGACCACCTATTCGCGGGTCAACGTGCCGCTCCACCATCGCAGAACGTAGTGCTTTCGACTGTCCTCGCCGCTACCCAGCATGTCCACAGAGGCCGCACTCGCCGGCTTTCAGCAAGCTTATTATAAGCATGATGCCTTAGAGCTCGCAAGCTGCCTCAAGCCTACACCCGTCGATCGCCTGTACGACTTCTGGCGCTCCACGAACGAAGCCAGGGTCGAGCACACCGTCAAACACGCCATCACATACGGATTGAGTGGAATAGAACGCTCGGAAGCGCAGGGCTGGATCGACGTGTTTGTGGGCTTTTGGCGGGCTTCGGACAAGATCATCAAAGCAGACCAGGCACAGAATCAAGGCAGGCTTTCAGAGCGACATGCGGTTGAAGTCTACGAGACATGGAAGGACTTGGTGCAAACTTTCCAGAAGTACATCGGCAACGGAACGCTGCCACATTGGATCATCTTCACGCTTTACTTTGTCGCGAATGATCTCAGAAGGTTCGCTATCAAGGCGGATGCACAACTGGCCAAGGCAAAGCCAGTCACCTTCAGTGCAGGACTTTCAGATGATATAGTGGCCACAACACCAAAGAACCAGAAACTTGAAGAAGCTGCACGAGTCTTCAGCCGCATCTTTGCATTGTGCATGAGCGATAGGTGGGGGCTACAGTCCGCTGCCTTGAAGACCACTCTGACGCTTCCAGAAATCCCAACCTGAGCGAATCGCGCAAATGGGCTGTGTACTGCATAGCGAACCTGCAGTTCAAGACATATTTCAAGCTGAAAACGATCACCCTGTGCAAGAATTTGATCAAATCAATCGAAGCTCAAGCAGACATGCCTCCGTGGAACCTATACCCGAAGGCACATCGGGTCACCTACATGTACTATTGCGGCGTCATAGCCTTCCTACAGGAGGATTACAACAAGGTTTGCTATTTTCGCAGCCATACCCCCAATCACTAACCGGCATTAGGCAGAAACCGCGTTGTTTAATTCGTGGGCATATTGTTACAAGGGAAGCACCAAGAACCGAGAGCTCATCCTGACATACCTGATCCCTTGTCGGCTCATCACAAAGAGCGAGATTCCGTCTGCTCAGATTCTTCAAGAATTTCCGCACCTCCAGAATCTATTCGGTGACCTCGTTAGCTCCATCAAGAGGGGTGACCTTGCAGGCTTTGATAAGGCGTTCGCGGAAGGCGAACCCGAATTCGTGCGGCGACGTGTCTTCCTGACATTGGAGCGAAGTCGCGATATCGCATTACGCAATCTTCTGCGCAAGGTGTTTCTCGCGGCAGGATACGAGGATCTCAAAGAGGGGCAGACAGAGAAAGATAGAATGAGGAGGACCAGGATTCCGCTAGCACACTTCGCTACAGCACTAAGGATGGGATCCGGAGGTGGACAAACTGTAGACGACGAGGAGGTCGAGTGTCTGCTAGCCAACATGATTTACAAGGTGCGTTGTATGTGGCGGTTTGCGAGTGCCGTCTCACAATTGGCGATCGTCGCGCGCACTCCTATTTGCCTGCATCGCAGAACATCGTTGACCAGCTGCAGGGGCTCATGAAAGGCTACATATCGCGCGAACATGCAATGGTGGTGCTGAACAAGAAGGGCGCATTTCCCGGAACCGGGGTGTGATACCTAACAGGTGCCTACGTTTCACTACTGCGCCCCGCCATTGTCCGGGTATGTTCCGCGGTCTATGTCAGGCAGGTTCGGCTGCATTGGTGCCATCCATCTACATTGAGTTCCTGTAAGAAGCTACATGTTCGGCGCGACTATATTATCCGTGAGCGAGCGTTAAGGCAGCGAAACATGCCAAGTCACATCCGGATTGAACGGCCACGTAGTGACACAATGTACCCAGTTACATCTTCAGGAGGATCCTTCTTTGTTAGCTCTGGCACATACTTCACGCTGTGCACAAGGCTGCGTCGCACTACATCCCGTGTGCACCGACCAGCTCATGTGATATCGGGTCGTGTTCGCGTCAGCGCGCCTAGACGCGTCGGCCATCCCTTCAACCAATGCTTGGTGAGACAACCCCTCCTCAACAATCTCTCGGATTGCTGCTTGAAGACACCGGAGTGAGACGACCCGCGTGTGCATGACATCCCCTGCTCCTGTACCTGTCGGTCGCGGTTTTTTGCTTTTGTGCACGTCTCGCACTGAAGATCGCTTCTTCCTCAGATGGGCGGCCGCTCGCTTCCACTGTGAGACATTGATGAAGTCGTCGCACGTCTCCACGTATACTGTGACTCACTTTGTCGATCCGAAACCAGTGGGCGGCTTTCGTGCGACAGCGATATGACTGCTAGAAGTGGCGCCTCGTTCGTCCTCCTTTGTCCCGCTGCGTCACTCATCCCAACCCAGCGGTTTCCTCCGGCGCATCCCTGCAAACCGCATGCATTCCGGTAAATAGCGTGCTTGCCAATAGCGACGCCTCGCTGTGCGCAGATGTCACCTAACCCACGCAAGGCAACCCTGGAAAGGTGCTCCGTGGCATTACTTCAAGTCTTCTATTCGTAGCTTCTGACCACCTTATTGGTGGATAGTATGCCCGCTGCAAGTCCGAACTACTGCCGGAGCTCTCGACGAAGGTTTCGACGGACCGAAGTCTACCTCCTGTCCACTCATAGGCATTGTCCCGATCGGATTCGGCTCAGCGACCGCAACACAGCTGCCGCTTTCCTCCCAGGCGGCTCAGATGGCCCCTTGGTACGACGTTTTTCTACCATTTGCTTTTTGCGGTACAGCTGTGGTGCTTGTCGACCGTAGCGCCGCTTCGCTTTGAAGGGTTTGAGTGAGCATGGGTTACCCGACACGTCGACCTATCTTTAGTTCGTATCTTAGAAGTTCAGTTTCATGAACAAGCTGCACGTGCGAACATGGGAAATGATAGGGACACTGAATAGATGCCGTCGTGAAATTGTTAGCTCGGCCAAGAATGTCCGTGCCAGTGTCCACCCAATAGCTCGGCCAAGGCCCCTGTGAGTGAGGCGAAATGCTACTGTCTCCACCACGATGGGCATCACGGAACATTGAGCCAGGGACATTATCGTGAAGCAAGATTCGATTCATAGTGCTGAAATTGCATAGTATGCTATGCGTTGACCAGCTAGTCCGAACTCCTGAATGACCAAGCGCATCAGCAATCAAGTCGACAAGCATCCCACCGCTCCTTCTATGTAGTACAATTTGGTGCCATCTGTCCCGCAGAAAGGAAATCCAAAGACATTGGGGCGTTGAGATCATTAGATGTAAGGGAAGAGGTAAAGAGAAGTACAGCCGACCAGGCTGCCGTAGCATCGCCACGTATTTTGGTCCAGTCTGGAGATGTGTTCTCCCAGACCGCGACAGAGGAAACCGTGAGAAACAAGGCCTTCTACAATTTCAATGCCCGAAAGATAAAGGCCGTGATGACGAAGCGCAAAACAAGACCGAGAGCTCAAAGACGGAAAGTATACTGGTACAACGAGTCGGCAAATGAGTGCCTGAATGGTATCGCTTCTCGCAAACCTGAACGCCTTGCGAAAGGAGATGGAAAAACTGATGGAAAGGGGATGGAAGGCCTCGGTGATTGTTGCACCGTAGCCGCGTAGCCGACCGAGGAAATAGTATGTTACAAGAAGCGAAGACAGAACGACGGCGACGCCGACGCGAAAAGTTCCGTTGGTGAATTAGTATGTTGGTGGTGCGTGCTGATGTTGCGTGGTATAACCAGGCAGGGGTAGTCGGGGATCGGGATGAACCGAGCGTGCCAGGCTGTGAGTCAGAGAAAGGGGTGAGAAGAGTTGCGCACGCGACACACAAGATCGTGTCCGTGATGAAAAGCGACAAATAAGAGTAGAGAGGATTGCAAAAGCCGGAGATGGAAGACGGCGACGTGTGATGCATCGTTGCCTAGTGAGGCGAACAAACTTAGCGAGGCGACTTCTGCGCGAGGTCGTCCATGTGATTGACCATTGCAACGAAAAGATCGAAGAACAGTTTGCCGCCGTTCTCCATCTCATTCTGCATGGTTCCGCTACGCTTGAAGGTGTGTCGTGCACGGATGATCAGTGCAAGGTAGTGTGCTCGTAGCTTCGAGTCGCTGTCAGGAGTATTGGCATACGCGAACCGGGCCGACGTAAGAATAGTAGAGCACTGTATGCCTGACTGAAGTCCCTGCTTTCGAAGGGCGAGTTTCTTCAACTCCTGCAATCCGTACTTCTCGGCCTGGCAGTAGATGACGGTGTCCTTTAGGATCGGTCCGACGGCAGTGTGGATAGCGGCTTCATTGGCGCCGGTATTGCCGCCATCTTCTAGGCTCCAGCTCTTCCTCTTGGTATCGTATTCCAGTCGTGGATAGTAGTCGCCTTTGTAAAGGTACTCGAGAATCGAGGAGAAGACTTCGGGATCTTCGTCGGGTAAGTCGATACGCTTGTTGCTGCTAGAGAAGAACTGATCTCGACAAGCGGACTGAAAGTATGGCGAGTGGCAAAGAACGTCTTCGTGAGCTGCAAAGAGTCGTTGCTCGTGTCCGACAGAGAGAGTGATGATAGCACTGATAAAGCCAACGTTAGTGATCGACTCCTGCAAGCACTGATACGAAACACTGATCGACTTACCTTCCGATTGTTGGTGATGTCTGATTCGATTGTGGAGATGGGACTGCGGCCTGCTGTGCGAGCTTCTCGACCTTTCGGGGCGAATCCACGAACGAAGCATTCCGCTTGTGCGACTTCGACTTGCTTGCTCGGTGTTTCGAGAAGCTCCCTTCTTGACGCCTTGGCCTTGATGAAAACATTGTGATTGATGAGTGATTGATGGGTTTGATGGAAGTGGTGCTACAGGGGATGAAGGTCGATGGGTATTATAGTTTTAGCACCTAGGCAGCAAGTATAGAGTCGTTCGGGGATACGCAAGCCGATGGGGAAGTCCTCAGGCAGCAACTTGGAAGGCAGGCAAAAGGCGATAACAGGCAAATGGGGGCGTACGCGGCTGCAATTATATAGGCGGCCTGCGGCGGAGGAGCCACTATCTGCCCAGCGACGGGGATAGGTGAATGTCGACGCGAGATTGAACGCGTCGACTAGCAAAACGCGCCAACGCGCTATCACATGAGTACTAATCCCGGAGCGGAACCAGAGAGTCAGTACGAGCGGCCCCGGCCCTTGTCTTAGAGCACAAAGCGCAAGGGGCTGTGACACAGCCTCGGGTAAACTATGATAGGTGACGCCTTTGGGGCGGAGGCCTGGACAAAGGAAGTGCAGTGGGTTGCTCCTGCGTCGCTTCGAACGTGAGCTGGGATGCAATTGCAGGCGACCGCAGGCGCTGAATACCATCAGAAGCTCCGTCACTGAGGGTGTCAGAGTAAGGAGAGTGGATGAAAGTCGATACTGACTCCCGACGGCGCTGAACCCCTGGCTGGTTCGGTTCCATCCTTCGATCCGCCGTCAAAGCTATGACCCAGCCGCCGTAGAAGAATTCAAGAACAATTCCGGCGCAACGGGCATCTGATGCCCAACACAGCGACGAATTTTCGCCGCTGGCCGTCGAGCCGCTGCCGCGGTCGCCGGCTCAGACGATGATTGCCGTCCGTCTAAATTAAAGCCGTTCTCCGAACCCCTGAGGGGCAAATTCACAATGAGGCGCTTTGGGAGAAGGCCAAAACGCCTCAACCCGTTTCCCCGCTGGGACGACTTGTCAGCACAAGGGGTTGTGAGGCGTGCCAAGGGTTATGCAACGCCGATCAAGGCTGAGATGCGAGGGTGGGTGTGCTGGTGGGTCGCCGTTAAGGCAGCGATGCTCCACAGCATTCGTACCTACCATCCACCTGGCAAGCGCGCTATCACGTGCGTTTGTTCGGCCGAATTGGGTAAGGTCGTGCGCCTGCTGGTTTTTGATCACGGAGTTGTGAGGTGCCAATCAGAGGGACATTTGGGTGAAGTATATTTGAATATCTGTGTTCTTACATCCCGTCAAGCCCATGTAGTGCGCTTTACGCCGTGGATTGCAAAGTCATTTGAGACCACACGTGCCCTGGAATGGCCCTCGGTGCATGATCAAGTTATGCTTTGTCCAGGTGAGTACGAATTCTAGGGCACAGACTTAAAAGCCATTGCACGATTTTATCCTTTCCTATGGTACAGCTGCCGGCCCATTCCGCCGGACTTTTATCGAGCTTGTGGTATCTCGAAACCACTCCTCGTCCTGATCAAGTTGCCAACAACCTTTGCATATGCATAACAGAAAACACACATTCTGCCATAGACATGCCTGTTAAATAAGATTTTGTTGGGACAGGTATGATTTCGGTATCCATATCATAATAACGCACTACGCGGTTGTAGGCACGAGTATCTCCACTCGCAGCTGGACGTTGGTAACCTGGAAAGGAGTCATATTCGACAGTATGTCGTGATGCGCATTACCTTGACCGGCGCGCGTTCTGCGGCCATGACGCGCACATGAGAATTTTGAAGATGACGACGTTCCACTCATAGATCCACTGGATTGTTAGCCTAGTCGACTACGACCTTAATCTTCGATCTTTTATAAGGGATATCAGTGACGATTCGAGTTTGCCGTCGGATCTTTTCTTCATCATCGTCGCTGACCTCGAGGACTCGTCGCTTGCTGCAAGTCATCGCCGAGCTGCTCAATGTATTTTTTTTTGAGTCTTCGATCCTTGTACCAGGCGCCAAAAGTCCCCGGGGACTGCGCACTTGAGGCGCTAGTCTCCGGTCTGAGAAAGTAGCGCCGGCCTCCATTCTCTTGATGCTCTTACGCCAGTCCCTGGGATCGCGCTGAATGTCGTTCTTTCCGACATCGATGCCATTGATCGTGTGTAGGTCCAGGGCATCCGCACGATTGTCGGCCCAGAACCAAGTAGTACCCACATTAGAAACGATCCGCTTGTCATTTTTTGAAGCAAAGTGCCGTGCGTCAAGAACACCGTCTCGACCACTATCTAGATCCGGATCAGAAAGCCACGACTCAAGGGCGTCGCGCTCATACAGACGTCCAATCATCCTAGAGAACGGCACTGCAAGTTCCTTGCTCGGCGGGTGCAAAGGAAACCAGGCTCCGTAGCCAGACGCCGACTTTGGAATCTCTGTATTGCTTTCACTGAGCCAGTCTCTGCTTGATCGTGAAGCTGTGGTAGTGAATCCGGAGCCATAGATCCATATCTCTGAATTGTAGGGCCGCCCTTCGTCGTAGTCATTTGCAGATGCGTTATCAAGATTAGAGAGTCGGAGGCGAATCGTCTTCACCACCAAAACGTCTGTGATGACTTTTTCATCAATTCCAGCTTTAGGCGCGAGACGGACAGTGTCACCGACTGCAATCAATTCGGACCCGACGTATATGGCATGGCAATGGATGTACGCAGTTGGCCATATACCATGGAAGCGATACTTGCCCATCAAAGACATCGTAGCGGAAACTGTGAACGTATTTTGGATGGTTGGATGCCGTTTATCTCGTGGGACGTAACCAATGTAATCTTCCCACAAACAGAAGGGTCGCGTGTGCTCTACTGGAACATATGTATAGCGTTTCGACATAGACTTGTTGGTGTCGTTGGGATTAGGTACGGGCTCCATGCGTACACCAGTCTGACTGACGTACCATTGCTGTTCATCATTCGCAGGCCCATGGACTGCAGGCGCTTGGCCGACCAGGCCTGCTTCCCACACAGCCCTTTCTCCGAAGTCATTGCTTCGTGGGTCGTAGAGTGAATACTCGTCTGTCCGAGGGTCCTGTACAATTTGAAAGCCTTCGGGGACATTACGAACGTATAGAAGTATGTCGCCAACGCGAGGGATCCATTGTGGGTCGCGTTGCACCTTCTTCATCAGATCTGGGATGACTTCTTGCTCAGCGCGCCAGTCGAGACTGAGCGGTTCTTTGATAGATTCGTCCAGCTTGCCGTGATGTTTTAGCCTGTCGATAAGATTGCGATAAATGTCCGGCGTCCCCTCTTCATCAACACGAGTAGCGTCCATGCCCATAAGAGTCACTTTGGGGCGGCCCAATGACGCTTTAGTTGATGCCCCAACACCATTCTCCTGCACTGCTTGAGAGGTGGTGGTTTCCTTGGAAGCGGTCGCAATGCTAACTCTTCTCAAGCTTGATCCACTCGTGGAAGAATTTCTCGTGCTGAAATGGCCGCTTGTCGAAGGAGGTTTGCCAGGCAAAACGCCGCTGCGAGGATCGCAGATGGTGCATGGACATCCTATGGAATTACCACCATTCTCCATAAGATGTTTGAAGTGCGGGTAGAACCTGTTTGGAGAGTCGAAGTACTTGTGATTGGGATGGCCGAAGAGGTATTTGTCCTTGACAGTGCCATTGGCGCGCGGGCGTTGGTAGAGCGTGTAGCCTACAGGCAGCCTTTCAAGAACATATTTGATGCCGGGCTTTGCTTCGTTTCGGTCTTCCATCCATTGCGATCCGACGCGCTCTAAATATAATGTGGGTGGATCGATAATAGTCCAGATCGAATTGTCGGGGGGCTTGTGTGTGTAGTCTCCATCGGAGCCGGGCTTGAGCGGTACAGTGACAGTAGGCATGTTGGGCAACTGAGTTGTGGTGTGTGGTACGCAGCTCCAACTGTCAGCACGGGCCAGCCGATGAAGTCGCGAGGGAAGAGTTGGCGCAATATCTTGAAGCTTCTGTAGTAGAAAGAAGAGTTGTCATACGGCCGTCTGCAGATTACAAAAAGGGTCCGACAAAGGTCAGAAGGTGGCGAAGCTACGACATTTAGGAAAGAGGGTTGGTCGCTGCTGCTGTTTGTTGAAGCGTTTGCAATCAGTCGCGTGAAGAGGAAGAACCAGTGACGCGAAGCGTGATGTGTACGCGCCTGGACTCATAGCGCGCGTCCGTTTGCTATTGGGTAGCTTTCCTCCCGCAACGAGTGGCATTCGATGGATCGTAGCCTATGTTTCCTTCTCACCAACTTCGCGTGGACAGAAAAGTGAGGTTCAAAGGACAGCCTTGGCAATGGGCAATGGGCAAAGGGGTCCCACAACCAACAAGCGCAAGCGGGTCGCGGCTGTCATCCCTGCAAATCCACCGATTCGTGGACATTATGCTGCGCCCCTCGCCAGGCGACGGCCTCTCAACGCCGGCGAAGCTTGATGGTATATTTGGGAATGACATGAGGTTGTGTATAGTCACCAGGGTGCGACCCAGAGATCGCGTTGCACCTCGGCAAGGTCGATGCTCTCAGAACAACCACTAGAAGTCGTGTTCGACGCCCCTTCGCTAGTGAGCTGAGCTCTTTGCGGCTTTGACCTTTAAAAAGCATGGCGCAAGTCTAGATCAACACCCAGATTCAGTGCCTCGCAGCAACGCTATGCCAATTTTGACGCCACCACCTGATTTTGGGTTTCGATAGGCCCTCGGCTGCCGTCTGCTAAGCACATCAGGGAAAGATGCAGGTCATAGCATTTGCGCCATGCCGTCCACGGGAGGAGCCAGGTCTCCACGTGCGCCGTCCCCAGTGCTGCTCAGGGAGCTAGCAATGGGCTTGTCATCCGTTGTCCCTCGTTTCTCTTCTTGCTCGTCATCACCTCAGCTCTCGATTCGACCGTCCAGCGAAGGGCTATTGTTGAGCGAGGATCAAAGGTTATGGGCCGTTGAAGTATCGCTTGTAGAGCAGTACGAGAAAAGCAAAGCATCCGTGCTGAGCATGCAAAGGAGCTGGAACAGGACCCTGTGGCACGCGCGATAACACAAACGGGCCTGCCTTGAGCCGCCTTCGACCCAGCATCTGCCAGTTCTCTCGCTGCGATGGGTATCTGGAGCCCCAAAAAGCATTACCTCAACCAGGTCGGCTTCGAGCAACACCAGGATCAGCCTAAACGCATCTCCACCTCGGCCGGCCACCGTCTCACCGTCATCCTCGAAAATGGAGCCTCCGATTCTCACACTTCGAAGACACGTGAAGCGCATCGTGATTCGATACGGAAGAGCGGGTTGAGTGCTATACTGGCCGATGTACCAGAGGATCGGGGTGCGAGTGCGCACTCAAGCGGGTATAGCTATAATGTATGGAGCGAGAACGAAAAGTTTGCAGCGCTGCGGAACCACAAGCAAATCGCGAAGAGAGGGGGTTGGAAGAGGTTACTGACCATACTCGCGGTCATCCTCTTGTTAATCATCGCATTGGGTGTCGGTCTGGGTGTGGGATTAAAGAAGAAGTCTGAAAGGTACGCGATATTGCTCATTGTGCAACACAGTTCTTCAGCTAACAGATCAAAGCTCCTCTTCCAGCACACCCACCACCAGCTCAAACTCCGATTCCGGCTCTGCAGACACTCCCGCCTCTCCGACTTCCACCTCAACGTCAAGTGCGAGTTCAAGCGCCCAGCCTTCTAACTTCCCTCTCGGTACATACAGCCTCGTAACCTTCCTTGACACAGTCCAAACGAACTGCACGTCCAACCCATTGACTTGGACATGCGCGCCCTATACCGACTACTACACATCGGTGTCCAAGTCTCAGGCAATTTTCAACTGGATCATTTCCGGCTCGAAAGACGCCTACAAAATCTCGTCCACCGACAACCCCTTCAGCATATCTTTCAAGAACGCCGACCTGGAACTTCTAGATGAAGGCAAGGATAATGAACGCTTCCGCTTCCAGATCGATCAAACCAAGACGGTCAGCCCAAGCACGAACCTGACGTCCGATAACGCAGCTGTAGAGTGCGACTTCGTAGGAAATCTGCAGGGTGTCATGTACACGAAGATGGCGAAGGAGTATCCGAGCGACCAAGACCCGGATGCTAGTACAACCTACACCACGTGGCCGTACGCTGTAAAGGTCGAGCAAACCGCAGCAGGCGGTAACAACGTGCCCAGCTGCTACAAAACTACTTCGAGTGGGCAGCATGGCGAGTCTGTCAGCCTTGAGGCAGAGGTTGAGACCACAATGTGCTCGTGTCTGTACAAAAATTGGCATACGCCCATGTAACCGCGCTTCAACATGTGTATAAACGGCGCTTGTAAGAGCAGAGTGCATTCGGTATTGTGTCAGGGCGTTTCAGCTTATTTGTATGTTCTTTAGCGTGGTGTTCATCTCTTTTGTCAACACAAGGGAACTGGTCCCAAACGATCTTACATAGCTGTTAATTTCTATTGTCTAACCATGCCCATTGAGCCTGTTGTAAATTTTCTGTTGTGCAAGGTGGTAAATAATGATTCACGTTTTGACTCCAACGACGAGTCCAGCAAGAGACTCCTCATTGCAAGTAAAGTCAATCCAAGCTAAGTCAATTCGCCAAAGCTGCATTTCCTGACCAAACACATGTCCGTGGTTCGCTACAATGGTATCATTACAATGCCGGTTCTGTTTCCCTTACTCTGCTTGGCGTATCGGTCATGGCTGCAGTTCGCCCTCAGCAAAAGCCCGACCCAGCTCCTTCGCGATGCCTAGCCGCAGTACCCTGATCACATCCTCGCCCTTCGCTCCCCGAGGGAAGCCTTTTCGCCAATCCCATCCCCTCTTTACATCATCGACACCTCCACCTTGAACCAGCACAGTCGAGCTCTCGGTGCTCACGCCTTCCACTGATCCAAGATCCATACTACCAATTAAGGAGTACTGTGAAGAGGCCGTCGTCAGGTTGGATGTTGATTTTTGCAATGAAGAGCGGGAATTGTGTTCATGGGCAGCAAGGAGCGTAGTAGAGAGTGCTTCTTCGCATTGTGCGCGAATCATGCTAGGAGCGGTTGAGAAGTCTTCAACGGCGGCGAGGAGTTCGTATAGGTGGCGGAGCGTGAGCGTGCGTCTCGGCTCTATACTATCGTTAGGAACTGTAGGGATATCTTAGGATAATACATACGGTTGACGAAGACAAGAGCCTCCCCGAGTAGAGGTAGTAGCACATCAACTTGTACCACAGTCTCGACTTCCTGGTCATAGAGCCCTCCTCGGATACTTGACGCTGCGCTCGAAATTATAACAGCAAGTGCATTGGCTGCTGTCCGCTTTCGCGCCATAGGCCGATGAGTTGGTTTCTCACCCTCCTTGAGCAGCACTTCCTCGTCTCGTAGGTCGTAGAACTTGCGTATGGTGGCATAGCCACTCAGGTAGTTCGACAGGAGCTCAGCAGCTTCAGAATCTAGGCTAGCAAGTTCGGTGAGGCTTTTTTTCGGTGACGTGATAAGCTTCTTGAGGGAGTTGTCCAGCTCGACTAAAGGTGGGTAGGCGATAGATTTGACTAGGCAATGCGCGACAAGCGCTCGCAGTACTTCTTGAATCTTGGATCCTGCATGTGCACGGGCGTAGTATAAGATTGCATCACCGTAATTCTTGGTATTGGCTTGTAGGTATTCGGCGAATTTCTGTTCACATTATTAGCCTCGCAACTGAGAGTTCACAGGAAGAGCGGAACATGTGAGTAGTCTGCAATTCGTTTGCATGTCATCTTGAAAATTAATATATGCATCCAGGCTTGAATCCTCGGTGCTTGTGGGTGGGGATTGAACTTACCCGAGCGATACCAAGTGCCTGGTCAGACAAGCCCATGCTGTGGCAGAGTTGAGTGACCTTGTCAACCTGCTCCACCGAAGTGAGAGGAAGCTCATCGAGGATTTTCTGTATTTGTTGGTTTCCCAGCAATGTGTCATCCAGCCTGCCTAGGATTTCAATCCCCACTTCCCATCCAGGTCGCGATGTACTTCCATCGTGACTCTTCAGCTGGGCTTTGGGTGAAAGTTGGTTGACATATGTGACCAGCAGGTTATCCTTCGATAAGCCAGTCTGAATCGGTTGGTTGTAGCTCAGGATCATCAAATCACTCTGATCTAAGTGATCAAAGATACCGTCTGAGCGCTTCAACCACCCACCCGCACTAGCTACTTCGGCAACCGCGGACGCAGCTACGAGTGAGAGGCTGCGCAGTATATGCAACGCTGCATCAACATTGTCATCGACTATGCTTGCAATACCAACCTCGAACGGATTGTTAGTCGCGAGCGTAAACGCATCGTCACCGCCATCGAAGACGGCCTGCAGGGCAGATGCGAGACGTCCTGAGTATGCTCTAGCATCCGTAGTCTGCGAGCGAAGTGTTGGGCCAAGAGAACGACGGCTAGCCGCAAGGCGTCCTTGGGCAAGTTCGTCCTCCTCGCCGTTCCACCAGACCGTAAGTAAGAACGCCGCCTCAATCCATGTTTGCGACCAAAGCAGGATTGACTCCTCATCTCCGATCAAGACGTTGTAGAATTTGAGGAGTCGGTCGTATACCGACCAGGGCACTTTGCACTCCACCTTTCGACCATGGGTACTAAGGCTAAAGTTTGCGCGGGACTGAGAGAGGCCAAAGTGGGAGCCTCCAAAGGATTGCGACAATGAAAATCGGTTCTGGCTTTCCCCTTCGGCAAGATCCTCGAGGTTGCGTTTTGCCTGACGTGCCAGCTGCCTGAAGATGTTCCAGTCGTGGCCCTTCACGTTCCAGTCATTGTTCAACGCTGGACATCGGCGAACTAGATTGACAGCTTCTTGTGTAGCATGCGTAGCATAATCCAGTTTGGAGCCTTTGTACCCAGATGTACCTTCGTCTTCTTGTGACGTATGTGCGACCGCAAAATTGGCTCCATTAAGCAGTTCCAGAGTAGTTGTAAATTGACCGCGCAGAGCTGTGACCAGCACCATGTCCCAGAAGTATACGTGCCCGGAGTATCCGCCTGATTGGGCCAAAACCTCGTTGATCTCGGTGTCGTCATCGACGGGCCGTTCAGTATTGAGCCAGTCAAGGAGCAATTTGGGTATGGGTATAGAGACTCCCGAACCATGCTGGGTGAGCGCTCGGAGCGCTGAAGATGTGCGCGTCTCTTCAATGAGATGAGGTGGATGGTGTATGGCGAAAAGTAGTTTTGCCAATGTTGCTGCTTGGGACAGCTTCTTCGCCGATGAGGTTTGCCACAGCGCCAGCAACTTTTGTGCAGTATCTTCTAGTATATCACTCTTGGACCCATGGTCTTCCGATGCATGATCTTGTAATCGCGCCAACAGCCGCTCCGTCTCTAATACGATATCATCTGACTCGGTCAAGGTTCCGGCATCGGCCTTGGATGTGAGACCTTTAGCAAGGCTAGTCAGGTCGTACATTTGTTGCTTCGCGCCGCTCTGGACAAGTCGTTGGCCATCGTTGTACTCGTCCATGCTGGACTGTGATGCAAATGACTGAGAGAAGCTATTCCTCATTAACATGCGATGCTCGTTTGCACCATCCATGTCTTCGTCCTCTTCGCCTTCTGCGTCGTCATCGTCCATTGCATCTTGGTCCGGCTGCTGGCTGTTCGGAAAGAGGCCGAAGCCAGAGCTCGCTGCGCGCCCACGCTGCGATGCTGGCCTTCCTTCAGCCGATGTCTTGAAGCGGCCTGATCCAAGGCCCTCGAGGACGGCATGCTTGGGCGGAGAGCTTCCGAACAGCGACTGCCCGGACTCGGAGCGACCAGGTACGAAATTTGGCCTCGTGCCAAAGAGGTCTTTCGCTGGAGGTGGATCGGCCGGGGTAGAGGAGATGAATGATCGACCTGGCGGCGGCCCCGCGGGGGTTGTTGACGGTACGTTTACACTATAGCCATGGCGGCCGGGCGTCGAGGGCGGCGACGAAGAATCGGGGACGCGAAACATGATGCGACGACTCGGATGGAGCTTTGCTTCTGCTTCCGGGCACGCACAAGAATCGTCAGGCTGTTGCGCGCTTGCACTAACAGAGTCGAGGTCGGGTCAGGGCGATTGGCAGTCCATCACAGTTGCGCGAGCGCGCTTGAGAAGCGAGAGTGCAATCTTGTAGCTGCAGCGCGCGGTGCTCGTGAACTTGGAGCTTGACGCACGTCTTGGCGCGTGCGCGAGGCGCGAAACTCGACTTCGGGCAAACGTCGGGTGTATCCAGGCATGTTTTTGCCGTAGTCGCCTCGACTCTCGCGTGCTGCATGCTTTCTACAATCTCCACAACCCTCGTTCGCGTTGCACATATGCACCTCTGCTGGACAGTCACCGGAGCGCCGTGGGGCCTGACGCGCGCACGGGGCCCTGCCACAGTGTGGACGAGGCATGCAAGCGGCCATCTGAACACTGTTGGTGTAGATCCAAGGCCCGGTCGGTGTAGGTGAGTTTGGCGCCCCAGCATCTGCTTTTGCACATGTCATGGCATGACACGCTGCCCCAGAGCGGCCCGTTATCATTCTTCTCCGCGCCTCTCCAATATATGATGCTTGCTTTTCGCCCGCGTACCTCTCCTGGGCTGGGGGCTGGCGCGGGGCTTTTGGCTTCTGTCCCCGCTGGCCATGCCAATCGGGTCGGCACCGAATCAAGGCTCGGCCGGGCAACATCGCATGCGTTCGGGGTTCCTGCGCGCATGCAGCGTCGTTGCGGCAGGCTGCGCCCCAGTTGCCTTGACGAGAGCGACGAGCAGGGATTTGCCACGCGTGCTTGTAAGGTACCCGAACGCCGCTTGCGGTCGTCGACGGCATGCTAGCAAGCTTAGCCTGCTGATGGCTGACCGAGCACTTGACGTACGACGTCCACGGGCTCCCGCCACCTACCGAAGCCTTGTCTAATACTTTCCGTGCCCGCCCCGTCATGTCGTAGACTGCATTTCCGCTGCCTCGCTGCCGTGCGACCCATCCAAATCAATGTCCGCCCCAACCCTAATGTTCAGCCCTTTATCTGCTTGTTGATAATCTCCGCAACCGCCCTGTGCCTGGGTCTTCCCGCGCGACTTTCATCATGTGGGCGAAGACAAAGACCAGCAGCAAGGCCGGCTTCGACAAGCTGTACGGCCTGGTCGACAAGCTAGGCCCGCCCGTCAACCGTCTTAGCAACAAGCTGGGTTCCGAAGCTTTCTGGCCCACAACCCTCGACAAGGAGAGCGACAAGGCTGCGCGCATTTTGAAGAGTTTCTGCAAAGATGGCTTCTACCAGGAAGAGGAACGGCCTATCGCAGAGGGCCCCAGAACAAAACAGAAAGTGCTCAAGAAAATTCCGACCGAGGTATGTTCACGCTGCCTGCGTTGTGACCGACTGCGAGTCGCATGCGAGACATGTTACATCAAAGCGTATGACTAACAGATCTTTTAGGTAATCAAGAATGCAAAAGGCCTTGCCATTTTCACGACCATGCGAACCGGTCTCTGGTTCTCCGGCGCCGGTGGAAGCGGCATTCTAATCGGCCGGACAGAGGATGGAACTTGGTCACCGCCCTCAGGCATCATGCTGCATACCGCCGGCTTGGGTTTCTTGGCCGGGATTGATATCTACGACTGCGTCGTTGTTATCAACACGCAGCAAGCACTTGACGCTTTCACCAAGATTCGATGTACTCTTGGCGGAGAAGTCAGCGCTGTCGCTGGTCCCGTCGGGATAGGTGGGATTCTTGAGACAGAAGTCCACAAACGCCAGGCTCCGGTTTTTACATACATGAAATCGAGGGGCCTATACGCCGGCGTGCAAGTCGATGGGACTATTATTATCGAACGCACAGATGAAAATGAGCGATTCTACGGAGAGCGGATCGGTGTTGGTGACATCTTAAGAGGCAAGAGTCGGCATCCGCCTTATGAGATCAAGAGGCTGCACGAGACTATCAAAGCTGCACAGGGAGACTCGGACTTTGACGAGTCGATGATTCCGAGTGAGCCACCTCCGGCTGACTATGAGATCGAAGCTTCCACAGACAAGACCTTCGGCATTCCTGATAAAGAAGATCCCGACCCTTACGGAGTATTAGCACTACAGGATGCGGGTTTCGAGATCAAGGAAGCGGGCACCCACAAGCGGCCCACCAGCGAGCAATTCGAGTTTAACCCATCTCCGACTAGCCCAATATACTCAACGTTCAGACGAAGCTTCGATCGCTCAAGCATCGATGGCCGAAGCGTCAGCAGAAGGTCCTCTTGGAGGACCAGCACTATCAGCAGTGTCCTGGAACCACGGACGCCTTCGAAGATGGTGGATATGAGCACACAAACTGACACGGATGCGCCTGCGCCGATACAAGTACCACCGCCTCTGCCTCCACGACAGAATCACACACCCAGTCCTACGTTAGCGGACATTCCCGAATCAAAAGTTATTGAAGATACCCCAACAAAAGAAACTGAAAATTCATTGGTTCGCAAGAGCGAAGAAACGGATGAAACCCCTATTATCCCTTCCGCCGAAAATACTGCACGAGAACCTCCAGTGTTCGACGATGTTGACCTGGATGATGAAGCCTCGGACGAAGAGGAGCCTATTATTGAGGAAATACACCAAGCCGCAGCACCGCAAACCATCACCCGCGCTCGCATCGTTCAAGTCGCTAAGCCCATGGCACCAAAACTGCCACCCAGGAACCCATTCCGTAATCGAAGCTCGTTTCAATCCACCACGTCAAACGATGAATTGGCACGCGACGCCTCGACGGCCCCTTCGCCTGTGACGGGCCACAGCCCACCTGCCACCCCCTCGCTTAAGGACGGCTCTTCTGCTTCCTCGATCGACGATTTCGAGCGACTTGAGCACGTCAATAAGGAGCATTACCCGCAAGTTTCATACGAGCCCAAAGAGCAGAAGGAAGAAAAAGACGACTTCCATTCACTCCCAGAGTCACCAAACAAGGCTATCCCTGGAGGTTTCCATTAGATTTGGTTCCTGTTTGCACATTTTGGTGTACCTTGATTTTAATTTTGCTCCGCACGTTCATATCCCTTTTCGCCGCCTGTCTGCTTTTCGTCAGCGTGCATCTACATTCCGCATTCGCGAGCCGACGTGCAGATCTTCGCCTAGCGTTCGGCTCAGACCGTACGGTTTGTTGTTATTTGGTCGGCGCTTCTCTGGTTTGATATCACTGGTACTGCTTGAGATACCGTCAAAGGTTTGGAAGGACGATTTACGATCTTATGTATATCTCACCGCGACGTAACGCTGATCTGTTGCTGTAGCAAAAGTAGAACTATTGTTTAGTATCCGAGTGCAGCAAAACAGGCTGAATATTATCGAGCTAATGTCTGGTTCACTAGAAAATGGTTACGTGAGTGATTGCAGAGGCTAGACCAAGCACCGGTACACTTTCCACGTCGGCGTTGACACCATCTGGTACACTATGCATTGCCACGTTTCTAGCTCATAACGCAAAAAATTAAACCTGGGGGCAGCGCGGAGCAACGGGGCCGTCTACCTGCCGTGGACAAAGAAAGCTTCGATTGAATTCACCACAACGTTGATGAATTCTTGTTCCTGGTCACTCACGGAAATCTAAGTCAGCAGTGATAGTTTGTCTGATCATTGGCTGCTTTTGGATGTAAATTTTATCTGTAAAGCCGATTGCAGACTCACGCTCAGCGTACGTATGCTTGCGGAAGCTCGGAGAATTTGGCGCTAGAAACTGAACCATCTAGCAATGGAAGGGAGGACGCATGTATACCCAGTCATGCAGGTTCTAGATGTGCTATATACACCGCGGTTCTCTCTGTGTGGTGCTATGGCGGAAGTTCGATTGCCGCCGCAACGGTGCTATATGCAAGGGCGGTATATTGGAAAGCAACACAATCAATTACCCCAAGTAAGGTGCCTACCCAGCCTTCAAGCTTCTGATGTTCGCCAGTCACGTGGGGATTAGTCAGGACGAGCTCCACTGTTGACCGCCTAGCGCCCGACCAGAGCTACAAAAAGTCACAGCTCCCCACCTTGCTCACTTTTTCCCCTCAACGGTCTGCCTCTCCAACGCTGCGTTTCTTTGCTCACACACGGACACCGAGCTCGCCTCGCGCTGTCATCTCTAGCAAATGAGAAATTCGGAGTAATCTTCACTTCTTCTGCCAGCACCTCGTTCGCGAGTGCTAGCACGACTGCCCGTAAGGGCCTGGCGTGACTCACGTCTGCATTCGGCATCAGAAAGCTCAGGGCCCAAGCGCTGCGCCTGGCGTAGTGTCTTGGTGTCTCTATGGGAGTCGGTGCGAAGATTGTGTGCGCTGCGGCGCGACACTGTAGTACAATACGCAGCGTATCTGGACTTCAGTAGCCTTTGGCGAAAGAGCGAGGGTATCATTCGATTCTGATTACTCAGGCGAGGCAGGCCGTTCCAATTTTCTTTTCTCAGGTATGTCTGACAGCTGACCATGGAAGAACAAGGATACTGCTAATATTTCATCAAATCGCTCATTGACCTAAATGCCTGCTCTTCGTTCGATTCTGCGCCGCGCCATGCGCCCATCCCGTCTACTCGTCACTTCGACCGCTTACTCCTTGGTATACATGATATCGGTCCTCATAGTATACTTGATTCCGCTCTTTACATCATCGCCCGAATGAAGAAGGTTGCGATGCTGGAAAATGAGGATGCGCCCACTCTTCGGGTCAACATCGATCTTCTTGTCCATTCGATAATCGTAGAATGTGGTTGCGCCGCCCTTGAGCTGGTCTGCGGCGTCGTTGAGATACAGGTGGAGCGTAAAGTACGAGCGCTCTGTGCCGTCAGGCGTTTCGTAGCAGCCATCATTGTGGGCTTTTTGATCAGTGGTTGCTAATCAGTAGAGACAAAATACATAATACATACCTTTGAAGTACTCCCCTCCCACATATTTCAAGAATCGCATCCTCTCATTCAATCGTGTCACTTTCCAGGTTTCTTTGCGCTTTGCAGGCCCAAGACCAGTCACGTCGGCCCAGTCTTGCAACCGGTGGATGTCAGGAACCGAATCCTGTATCCTCGCCCATATTTTAGCAACCACCTCGCGGTCATCCCAGATGATACGCCCGCACTTCCTGGTGTCCTCATACAGCCTCTGTTGACCATTTCCAACATTCACCATTGCCCGCTCCCATTCGCCTGCGGTGGTCGCTTCTGCAGCCTTCGTCAACCAATCACATTCCTCCTCTGATAGAACGCCGTCCAGAATGACAGCCCATCGACCTTCATATACTGGTATGCCCTCCTTCTTGAAGTCGACGACGTGCTTGATGAGGTTTGGAGCTGGTCCGTCGAGGAACCCTTGGGGCAGCTCGGCCTTCTTTGCTGAAGCCATGGCGAACGATTTGAATAGATGAGCTGAAGCTGCAGGTAAACGTAAAACAGGTGGTGGAACTCGTGCTGCACACAGGCGAAAAACGTTCATTGTGTTTTATATGAGTTGATGGGCGAGCTGCTCCATGTTTGCTGCCTGGCAGCGCAGCGCTAAGATCTCCCCACTGCGCCTCCTGGCAAAAAGTCATTCGCCTTTTCGCATAGGCAGGTAACATCATCTGTGACTCGGCATCCCGGAGTCGGCAATATATGTAGACCAATGTGACGGACTACACATGCATCAATGTAGTTGCGGCGTGGAGTTGCAGGTGAACAGTCGGGCACGTGAAGATCGGAGTCCAGCGCGCGATCAGATCCCGAGACTGTCCGGTTGCTGTTTCAGGTTTCCAGTGGCACGACATCACCGGGCAACGGTCGATCGTCTCCACTGCAAGGCACCTTTTGCGACCGCGTCTTGTGCGCGCAACTTGCTAGCTCCGGTTGCTTTGCGCGAGCGCGACACTAATGCGCTGTCCTCAGCCGCCCGCCGTTTGTTTCCACTTACCGCGCCAAGCCTGATCTCGACCTTACCTCTAATTTCCCGCCTTCACCTCATCGTCCATCGCCAATTGCGCCGCCCGCATCCCGTCGAACACTCCAGTCTTCACCGCGCGTCGGGCCCACCGCCCAACTTCTACCGACTCCTTGTCGCTCGTTCTAGTTTACTACGCCGTCACCTCTCGGGGATAGCAGCTCTATCGCACGCGCTTCCCATTGTCAACTCCGTCGCTCGCAGCCACACCAAGACAACGCAACTTCGAACAAATCGCCTACCTCGACTGCGCGCTGAGAGAACACACCGCCCGCCGCTATGTCGGACTCACCGCTGCCGGCGGAGCTCAACCGCAACCGGTTTCCTAACCTGTTCGAGGTGTTGAGTCGCAAGACGGTGGCCCCGCTCGATCTCTTCTCCTTCTACATATACATGCGCGACCAGCAACGATCGGTAGACTATCTGGATTTCTGGTGGGTTGCCCTCAGTACGCGTTCCATGAAGCTTGCACTAACCGAGTACCAGGCTTGATGTGTCCCAACATCTTCAGCTATGCCGCCTGTACGTGCGCCGGCTCCACCGCTCCGTGATTGAGGATACGCCGGATATGGAGAAGAACAGCAAGAGGTCGTCATACATCCTGGACAATGCTGGAGAGGGCCCTTCTGGCGAGAAGGGCAACGTATCTGATCAGCGTCTCTCTGCCTTCCTACGGTCAGACCACGGAAGCCGCCAACACTCGCCACAGAACAGTCAAGGAAGCAACCAGAGTCGCGAGGTGCCCGGCCGCCCGAGTTTCATGACCTTGCACACGGACTCGCCGCAAGATTCATCGCCAGGTCAGAACTCATCTGGCGACAACCAACCTAGACGAGAAGACCTGCGGGCGTCTGCCGAGAAGATCCTATATACGTACCTGTTGCCTGGCTCGGAGCGAGAGATCATCATCCCACAGAGTATCCTGCACGATGTTCAGGAGGCCATTGAAGGGCCCGACCAGCGAAGCGACCCGGAATTGTTCGACGCGGCAAAGGACTATGTCTTCCAGGCCATGGAGCGGGACGCTTTCCCCGGCTTCCTACAGAGCAAAGGGCTGGGCAATCTCGTCCCGCAAAGCATGATGATCCGCCTGATCATTGGCCTTATTAGCTTCTTCGGCGCCGTATGGACAGCGTTCATCCTCATCTTCTTGAATAAGTCACGAGCGACTAGGTGCTGGGTATGCGAACAATTGTTTGTTTTGGCATCTGAAACGAATGTGCTAACGACCATAGGTCATTCTTCCCTTCACAGTCGCCCTCTACTTCATCTTCACACACCAATACATGCTTGACCCCATATTGGCTTTGATTGGTTACAGCGAGTATACTCTGATGGACTTCAACCGGATACGGGAGCCGTTCGTCAGGAAGACGCTGAACGCACGATCAGCTACCATGCTAGGGCTGTTTGTGCTCGTCGACACGGCAGTGTGTTGCCTCTTCATCTTTGTTCCAGGTAAGCGGCTGTGAGCCTACTGCTCCTTCTCAAGCGTTTTTGCCCTTACCCTTTCTTTCCTTGATGTTCACCGTGTTCTCTGTCGCATTGGTTCTTTGTTATTCCACAGTTGCAGTAATAGCGGGAAATGGGTTTCTTTTTTTCTTTCTTGATACCAATGGAATGCTCAAAGAGAGAGGTCGCAGAAGAATGTCACGTCTGACAGGTTTCTTTTGTCAGGCGACTGGGGGCCGTTGAAGTCTTGGGAATTCGATCTCGGCGCGGTGTTTAGGCTTTCCAGCGCAACTCAAATGACGCGCGATGGGCTACTCTCTCTGGGGGCCTGGGTCCGCGGTCACGATCCAGCGTGTTCTGTCAAGTCTGTAGATCATGGCAATACAACCCGACCGATGCAAAGACAAGTTCCACGAACAGTCAAGGGACAATCGCAGTGACAAGAAGTAGCAGTTGCACTCAAAAGACAATACTAGTCAGGGTTTTGCATGGCTGGTTGCTGGTGCATCTGTGATGGCGTCTGCGGGGTGGCCCGGGCGCCCATGACGTTCACAGATGGACCTCGAGCTATGAAGCTTTTCGACGCCAGCACTACTACGCGGCCGAGCAAGCCGTCTGCGCATGCCTCAGCACCAAAGTACCCGCAACCATTTTGCAATCTCGTGCGCTTTCTAGCGGCCCGACTAGTGCCAGTCCCACCGCGCTCGCGCGTACCGCACGCCAGCCGACGACATGGATTCCTTCAAGCTGCTCCAAGGCCCCATGAGCGCGCCCACGGCGAAGAGCAAGAGGAACCCCACGGTGTTGATGACAGACACCCGCGACACGCCTCCCAGACGACCTGTGACGCAAAGACAAGACACGGCCCAGTTCCGACCCGGCGCAAAGCTCATCTCGGTCGACAACATCCTCCAGTACGCTTCCGATATCCCATCCGCCCAACGTCGCGGCCCCCCTGGCCATCGCCCCCTCATGCATACGCGCACCCCCAGCGGTCGGCATCCGCTCGACCCCAAGCTCACCGGCCGTCTGATCCCCGCGCATATGCCCTCGCGGACGAGCAAATTGAGCGAGAAGCTGGTGTTGCTGCCCGACACGCAGGAGGACGACGACGACGAGAAGGGCGATTTTGACGACGAGGAGGAAGGCCCACCTACGGATGAGGATCTGGCGAGACGCACCACCAAGGGCGGGCCCAAGGACAAGAGCTACGCAGAGAGATTGCCCAAGGCACGCAGAGCAGAGAAGCTCTCGAGAGTCACGGCATACTGCACTGCGCAGGCATACAAGATGAAGAGCACGGCTGAGTTCGTGAAGACGCAGCACAACGCGCGGACGAAGCTCTACGACGACTGCCTGTACTGCGTCTACCATCTCCCGCTGCTGCCGGGAAGCGACGGCTACCGCGTGCGGAGCAGTCCTGCGCTGAAGAGCCCTGGCGGAAAAACAGTGCTTGACGAGGAGATTGAAAGGAACGAGCGGAGGGAGCATAGCGAAAGCTACTTCGAGGACACGGAAGAATTCAGTGTGCGACATGGCGACGATGAAGACCCCGCGCACAGTCCACGCCGCGACTTCGAGGAGTACTCTCCATCGCGTGACATATTAGACGGCATGCCCTCGCGCGTCCCGCCGAATGCACTGTCCTTTGGGGAAATGTTCGTCTTCTCCTACGGAGTAGTCGTCTTCTGGAACTTCACCGAGAAGCAAGAAAAGGACATTCTCGCCGATCTCACCTTCAGTACTTCGTCTACCAACATCTTGCTTGCCACCAGACCGTTGAACGAAGAGGATTTCGAGACCGAGGAATTCCACTTCGAGTACAACCCTGACATACCCAGGCCGAGAGTGTACAACGACATGATAACCCTAAAGAGCGGAGACCACATGATCAAGTTGGCCATGAGCCATGGCATTGCGCAGAGCACGAAGTTGAGTTTGTTCGAAGAAGGCATGGCGAGAACGATGCTGCAAGCGCAGTACGTCCCGAAGCGGCTCGCCTTGACCGGAAACCTAGGCATGGCGAGAACCGATGTGGTCAAGATGATTGGACAACTGTTTACCAGTCGTGTGGACGTCAATCTCTGTAAGTCCCCATTACAATCTTTGACAAATAGTATGCTCATTGGTGGTTAATAGCTTCGAACATGCTCGACACGCCCAACTTCTTCTGGGACTCGGAGCCCACGCTGCACCCGCTGTATAACGCCGTGCGCGAGTACCTGGAGATCAAGCCGCGTATTCAGGTTCTCAACGAGCGCTGCAGAGTGTTCCTCGATCTTGGTGAGATCCTGTCTGACTCCATCTCTGACAAGAAGATGACGAGAATCACCTGGATCATCATCTTCCTCATTGTCATCAGTATATGCGTCACGTGTTTGGAGGTAAGTCGTCCAGTCACTGATTTCCCAGGAAGCTACCCCGGAAATCACATTCCTTGCAACAACATACGCTGACTACTGCTAACCAGGTTCTCCTCCGCTTTGCTATTCTGCAAGGCAGAGGAAAGGCTGTTGACGTGGGCAGCCTTCGTCGTGCCTCCATTGCGGGACCTACACTGCTGTTAGGACGGTCGGTGGCTTGGGGTGTCAGAAGTATCAAGGGGGTTGTTGGATCCTAGTTTCCTTTTTCTCCTTTTTGAATCAGCTTAGCGATGGCGCTCATGGTTACTTGGAACTGCAATGTATATAGTTATGCATATTGTTAGGCAAGGAGGCACGTCGATAATGTAGCCTCTCCAAGATTCGCAATTCCATTAGGCTCTTTTGCGTTATTCGTTCCAGGCTGAGTCTCATGGCTGTTCCTCCGCAGCAACAGCTGCTTTGCTACATCATTTCTCAATATGCATCTTTGATTCTGTCACTCCAAGCATCGTGTGATATATGCGAATGAATCCAGTCATGTCAACAGAGGTATGTACTATGCCAGTCGAGGAACTTGAGAAAAGTACAACCAAGCGGCTGTGCAGTCATGTGCAACAGTAAGAGATGTTCATGAATTGTACTGTGACAAATTACATGCAGTCGTCTATCGACAACGAAACCCACACCAAAACGCCTATTTTCGTAACGTTACGCCGCCGATGAGGCTGGTACGTATCCAATAACGCCTGGGGACACCGCCCCTATCCATTAGGTCTTGGCCGTCAGACACATATGGCCAGCCAAGTATGTAACACGCATGTATGCAGTAGCTAATCGAAGTCGAGACAGATCGAGTGAGGAGGGTGGCAGCAGTGATGCAGAGTGATGAGTAATTCCCATGCTTTTATTCCCGGTGGAGTGGACCCCTACGCGAAGGAGCTCGAGGACATATCCCATCGTTCCCGAGCGCCGTGTCAGTCAATGCTCAGGGATTGAAGATCGGCGGTGGTTGTTATTTCGGAGAGGTGGAAGTGGTAAGAGGCTATCCCTTTTGCTGATTGATCTTCAAGTCCATGACATACTGCATCAGAGAGCAGTCTTCGCATTTGACGAGGGCCTGAAGGGCCTTGATGCGTGTCTTCAGAAGCTGATTCTCATCCTGGAGCGCCTTCTTGTCCTTCTCGATGTTCTTGATGTGAGCGGTTGCCGAGGCAAGGATGACAGCTTTGCTGGGCTTCGAGGGAGCGGGGAGGTCTTCGATGTCGGCGCCGTCACAGCCGCGCTGGTTTTGCTGGAGAGAGGGTACGACCCGGCGGAGGGATTCGAGTTGTGTGTTTAGCGACTCCCGGTACTTTCTCTCGACCTGGTTGTGGGGTAGCCGGCGGCGAGGCTTGGCCTTCTCCTCTTCTGCTCGAGCTTGCGGTGAGTCCTCGGATTCGCTCTTTACCTTCGAATTTTGCTCAGTGTCGATGCTGTTTCCAGAAGCAAAATGGCGGCCATTCGACTCATCCACTGAGACGTCGCTCTCTGATCTCTTTCTCGAGTGTGAGTGTGACTTTATTTCGACAACACCATCTTCAGGCATGGCTTCTTGAGCTTCGTTGAGTAGGTTGCTGATGGTAGAGGTGGGTAGATTATCGTCGTTAGCGAACAGGAAAGGGGCGCAGCCTCCTCCGCAGCTTGATGGATTCGGTGGCGGCCCATCCTGATCGTGGTTGGGGCACAGCGGCGATGTCCAGCATGCCGATAGAATGTCGGCCTTGGCCTTGTGTGGACGTTTAGTCGTTGAACCCGTCGAAGCTTTGTTCTCAGTAGCGGTCTTTGTGGAGTTGGAAGAACTGTTTGGTCCATTGGGGAAGGTGAGGTCCTCAACGAAGCCAGACTCAAGGTTGTTGGGAAACAAAGACTCGTACTGTGGATTGGGAAAGGTGTTTGCTCTTGAGATGGAGGGCTTCTGCATGAGCGGCATCTCGGCGACACGGTTGAAGGATGCAGAGTTCTCTGACGTCAAAGGACTGTTGCCAGTCAAAGCGGTGCCAACAGAGGGCTCTGGTGATGACTCGGATGTCGACTCGCCCCCAGTGGTCGATTCGCCAAAAGGCTGCAGCACCTCGAGATCGCTTAAAAAGTAGTCGTTGGGCGCAAAGAGGGAGTCGTTGAAGTAAGGGTCAGCTGATGTGCCGTTGAGGAGAGAGTCGAAGTCTACTCCAGGTTCTTGGGAGCCTGAAGTGCGCGTAGAACTTGATTTTGGCATCTCAGATGTGAAGTCTGTTGGTGGTGTTGTGATGTCCGGCCATTGATCGTTCGGTATATTGAAGGCCTCGTCAATGAGAAAGGCATCCCAGTTGAGGGCCATGGTGATTGTCAGAGATTTGCCGGAGGCTCGAGGGGTCTCAGGCGAGGATCAGGAGATAGTCAGGTAACGATGGGGCGAGGCGCCAAGCAGGGTGGTAAGACTAATCCCACGAGAGGAAGGCCTGGTCACAGCTGCGACAATTGTAGATAAGTTGGTGCGTTCCCTTGCTCACGGTGCACACGGTCAAAGACGTAGAAAGGCTGGAAGCTTGGTGGTGAAGTGTAGAGGAGGAGGCAGGCCCAGCAGCGTGCAGGGTCTTTTCTTTGCTAGGATAATTACGGGACCCGTCCGGGTTATGACTGTGGGCAGCCCGGCGGTCTCGCAGAGCACAGCTTCTGGTGGGAAGCGTTGGTAACCGCTGGGCCAGTTGCAAGGGCTTGGTGGTAACGGCGAAGATGGTTCTAGGCTCGTCGCGATGGGCTGTCGACTACAGGGCGGCCGGCATGCAGAACAGCACCTGGACGCGGGTGAAAACCCATTCGGCACGCGCTGAAGCACAAGCTGTGCAGCGTCCAGCGACGACGTTTCCAGAAGGAAATCAGACCACTTTCCAGTGGCGTGACATGTCGAGGTCCCGACCCGCCTTGCCGCTTCTGGCGTAGCTCTCGCGTACCCGTCGCTGCCGGGCGATGCTGCCGGCGCGATACTGCCGTGCAAGCGACGTCGCCGTGCGGGTAGCCATTGTCCAGACTACGCGTTGCGCTCGCCCAACCGCAGCATTGACCGTGGTGGACATGTCGCGAGGATGCCACAGTCCCGCAGCGGACGCTCCCGCAAACAACGCCGACGCTAGTGCGGTTGTCGAACCGACCAGACAAGCAGCGTGGGGACCTGCAATCCTCGACATCTTGCAAATGGCGGGCCCTGAACGGATGCTGCGACTTACCCAGTCACGTCCGTCTTTGCATATCTAGAATTCGGCCTCTTTGAGAGTCACGACCAGCCACGGACGCCATGAAATGGCTTTCGGCGCGCTCCGATGCAATGCAGCCTGCGTCGGCGAACAACAACATCGTACGAAAAAGGCCAGGAAACATGCCAGTCGAGATGAGAGTGCCCCACCGACGAGCTAGATGCTTCGCTTCACATGCAGCTTGCCTCGGTCTCGCTCCGTCGTCGTCCGTTCCTGATCCTCAATCCTGACAAACCATCTGCACTTCTACAAAGCCGAATTTTCTCCAGCGCTGCTGTCGACCACATCCAAGCATTGGCGAAGCGGCTCCAGCAACAGCCATTCCCGACTCCCGAGCCGCTCGAGCCTTCCATTATTTCCAGGCCTCGCCAGCAACGGGACGTCCTTGCACCCGGACCCGCCCCACATCCCACCTCCACGTTCTCCCGGCTCCACTTGCCCTCTGCGAGCGGCATCGAGATTGCACTTTGCCGTGCATCACATAGGCCATAGTGAGCCCTTCTCAACACCTGTCAAGCTGCGCATAGTCTTGTGGCACATGCATGAGAACCTCACTGTTACTGGGGGACCCAGATCCTCTCACAATGTTCGTCGTCAGGTATCTCACGATCTATTCGCTGACATTGGTTCTGCTTTGTCTATCAAGAGGAATTATTTCAACTGCTATCGATCCATACTCGCAAAAGCCTGAGCAGGGTAGGCTTGAGGGCACTTGCGAAGACCGGCACAGCGGGCTCATCGTTCCTGAATTTGGTCTCATTTTCAGGTTCATCTTCACGCGGCTTGCTCGTCTTCCCCACAAGGAACACGTCCTCGTCAGTAGAGACTATGCCTGGTGGACCGCTTCTCGTTGTAACGCTGCTGCTGCTTACCGCTGGCACACATTCTGCGACAGGTATGTGCGACGAAACCTGCTTCACATCCAAACTGGAGACAGGCTGACTTGTTCTTGATGGATCGAGCGGGAGAAATACACAAGTGTGACGAGAGCCAGCAAAGCGACGCGTAGGAGTCTTTCTGCTCCCTTGCTTGCGCATGCAATATCCAAATGCTACTCCTCTCGCTAACGATGCTCTCGCTCCCTTGAAGGTGACCGGGAAACGGCCCCCATGAAACAAGCCACCCCATGAGCCACCCCATGAGCCACCCCATGTGCCACAGCGGGCATAGTAAGCGCTAGGCAACCAAAAATAGGGCAGCTCCCCTCTTCTCACTTGCGCACCCAGTTCATCTTCTTCTCAGCAGCCTCGTAATTATAGCGCGGTGCAGCTTGCGCCTTTGCCTTTCTTTCTGCGCTCACAATCTCTTCTATTTTACGCCTGTCTGTCGCTGCATAGCATCGCGCGCCTCACTCTTTCCTGTGCTTCTGCGGCCAATCCTCCAAACTCTCGCAACTTCGAATGCTCGCTCGTGCTTAAGAACGCATTCATTTATGATGAGAGGTAACAAGGGAATCGAGCCCTTTCGCTTCTTGGACCTTCCCAAAGAACTGCGGCTTCTTGTCTATGAAAACCTCCCACGATCGATCAAACACCACCAGATACGTCATCCTGATGAGCCATCACACCGCGTGACCTGCATTCTAAAATCAGTCCCTGTCGCTATTTTATCGACATGCAAATTGGTCTATCACGAAGCACGCCCGGTGTTGCAAGCTACTACCAATGCCTTTATTCGCGACGTACCACCTAGGATTATCGACGGTATCAGCGGACGGGGGGAGGGTCGCATGTTGGACGCGCTCATTCGAGCGATCATGAAGCAAGTGGATGCCCTTCACGACTACGAACTGGGTCAAGGTCCATGCCTTACCCTTTTGCAACTTTTCGAAGGCCGGCTTCGTAATTCCCTCCTCAGCAAGCGCAATAGCCGTTACCTGGTGAAGTTTGTCCATCAAGCCGGGCACTACTTAAGGTACTCATCCATAACGAACGGTCCGACTGGACTACGGGCCATGGAGCTTGTCAAGTATACTTCGACAATCTCCGGAATTGGAAGACACTGGGCACTTGGCGCAGACTTGCATGCCTTGAACAGTCGTCTCAACCCCGACGGCATTGCCATAGTCTGTGCCGGTGTATTACCTGCTGGTGTGGCAGAAACGACAACCTCTGCTTCGGGAGACGTTCTCGTTCCCCAGCATGTCAACTTCCAAGCGTACGGTCTCGAATGCTACGTACCATCGTCACGCCAAATGGAGGAGAGTCACTGGCTAGAAAGCTGGCTCGAGTAAGCACAAAAGGAGTGATTGAACTTGATTACACTGCTTCTTTACTGAGCAAGATCGCGCTGTAATTTCGGAGCAGTACAGTAAGAACAAACTTCTCCCAGGTCGTCGCCACTAGAGACCATCCATCTCTGTTTGGACGGTGCGATAGGAACCTATTGCTCTCAAGAAAACGGCTTCGAGAACTGATCCTACGCGCAGGCAGGGTTGAATACTTGAAACCGGGAACCGGAACCGAAGTATCTCTAGCGCATGGACCATATGTTTGGTCTTTAAGAGAAGGTGTGGTATGATTGATTCTGTCGCCTTTGGGTGTCAACTTCCCCATCATGGTTCAAAGCCAGTCGCACTTCACCGTCATTGGTGTGTCGGAAGCAGTTTCATGCAAGGGTTCCTCTTGACCCATTTCAGATTTAGTCTCAAGTGTCTTCTTTTCACAAGGCCATCCGTATTAAGGTCGAGAACCATGTATTCCTAAATGATAGATTTATCTATTCCCTTTTTTCAAAATATAAACGTCAATCTAAGAACGTTCGTTACTCCGCTTCATTCTCTATAGAATTCAGAATCACAACCCCCGCTAGGGCTTTATCACTGTCCATGTGCAACGTATGTATCCACCATGTAACGTTTGCGACCATACGTGACTATTCTATAGTGTTGCTACCGGTTACTAGAATTATCAACTCTTGAAAGTCATTGAGTTCTGTTGCTTAGATGAATCAAACGAGGTCTATGTCATTGTGGTATGCAGTGTGACGATACACGTGGTCCAAGCCACATCAGGATGCCATTTCACGATAGCGACGTGCACCTGCAGTCTACATCCACAACAGAAGAGCGCAGATCCAAAGTTACTTGCGCCGTTACCATAGTACTTTTAGCAGACGTTGGGGACGCAGGAGTGATCATGTAAAATATAACGAGCTTGGAGGTCCCTTAAGGATATAAATGATCAATGGAAGCGAATCCCGCAAAGTGCCTACCCCTTGCCGTCTTGCACTGTGGACTTGCTTCCCAAGATTCTATCACTGTTTGCGTGCACGGAAACAACATCATATTGCAGCACTCCTATTGATGTAGTGACTGAGTGGGAAGTACGTTCATGCGATACGATATGTTACAATTGATAAGACACAGCAAGCACAGATCTGGGATCCACCACCGCCATCGGAACAATAAAGGCTTGTCTAGATGCTGAATTGCTATAAGGCTCTTCTTACGAGTTGTGTCGAAGGTCGGCCGTGTACATGCGAAATCAACAATCGAACACCATTACTAGGACCATAAGACAACTCGCGCTGCAATAAAATTGAGTGTATAAACGACCTGCATGCTCCGAGGAGACCGCAATGAATGCATAGCTACTGTTGACTTGGTGACGGTAGTTTCAATGACGTTGTGGGCAGCCCAGCGCCTCGGTCCAGGCTTTGACCGCCTACCGGATTTTGACCTGCCACGGTTTTCTGCCAGCGAAATGGTTAGCGACTTGGCAGAGGTATGTCACTGCCTCTCTTTGATTGGCAGGTTGCGCAGTGATCTTCAAGTGTTTCGAGACATAAAATCGGCGAAAGACAGCGACGGCGGAAATGCAAGGAGATACTCTACATCGGATCGTCACAGTATGGACATAACCACGCGCTCAGCGTCCCAGACAAGACCTCATGATGAAAACCCCTCACCCTTGGACGATGCCGAAAAGGGAAGCGACACCGCGCAGGTGAACCACGTTGTTGGTAAGTTTCGATATCCCATGGTACTCTCTGAGCACAATTGGTGTTCCCATACCAATTCAGCAGTTTACTCAGACTGCGCACAGAAGACGAGAAGATCCTACCCCCGCTTAGAGGTCTCTCTTTCCTGGATCGATTTCTCGTCATATGGATCATCCTTGCCATGGCCATCGGCATCGTGCTAGGAAATACGGTTGACTCAGTCGGCCCGGCGCTGCAGAAGGGCGAATTTGTGGGCGTCAGCATTCCCATAGGTATGTGTCTTGATGTTCTTATTTCCATGGGTGCTACTTCGGCGGTACGCCGATCAAATGATCGAATGGGCGCGGGCACGTAGGCGAACGCCCCAGTGCGTCTGCTAGCTGGGACCCGGCGCGTGGTCGTCGGTCTCAAGGTTTCGGACGAAATGCCCTGCAGAGGTATGATGTGCTCATCGCGCTCGCATAGACTCGGAGATTTGCATACCTCGTGGTAGCCACGCGCCCAGGAATGGTGCTGGTCGATCCCGTGTTATCCGTGGAAAAATCGTGGAGACTGCAAAGTTACCAGCTGCGCGGTACTACGTGGCGCTACCGCACCACGGAACCTGAGTTCATTCGCCATGACGAATTCATAAGATTTGAGAAACGTGGAGGGCCAGGCTAACGGAGCACAGCAATTGGCCTGCTGGTTATGATGTACCCCATACTATGCAAGGTCAGGTTTGAGTCGCTGCATTTGCTGCTCAACTCGCGTGCACTGTGGATACAAATTGGTAAGTGAACCGAGGCCAGCACTTTACCCAATGCAATCAATCGTACACAGGGATTTTGATTGGGATACTCTGTTAACTTCCATGCAGGTATAAGCTTCGTCTTGAACTGGATCGTTGCGCCGCTCTTTATGGTGGGCCTGGCATGGGCCTTCCTTCCAGACCGCCAGGATCTCCGCGAAGGTCTGATCTTCGTGGGGATAGCACGCTGCATTGCAATGGTGCTCATCTGGACAGATCTTGCCAAGGGTGACGGTGACTACTGCGCTGTACTAGTGGCGTTCAATTCGATACTGCAGATTGTGCTTTTTGCGCCTTTTGCCGTATTTTACGTACAAGTCGTCAGTCACGGTCAAAAGACGGACGTCTCATATGAGAAGGTTGCTCAGAGCGTGGGAGTCTTCCTCGGGATCCCGCTAGGCGCAGCGGTGCTAACGCGCCTCCTGCTCAGGGGACTTATCGGAGAAGACAGATACCAGAGAAGATTCATCAGGTATATTGCGCCTTTCTCGTTGATTGGGCTGCTATACACCATCATTGTCTTGTTCGCGAGCCAGGGGGCTCATGTGGTCAGGCAGATCACTGATGTTCTGCGCGTATGCGCTCCGTTGCTGGTATATTTCCTGGTCATATTCTCCAGCACGGTCTGGTTTTGCTGGAAGATGGGCTTCGGGTACAAAATTAGCTGTACGCAAAGTTTCACCGCTGCGAGCAACAACTTCGAGTTGGCCATAGCTGTCGTGGTCGCAGTGTACGGTGCTGGAAGTGGACAAGCTCTTGCAAGCACAGTAGGACCCCTGATCGAAGTGCCAGTCCTAGTAGCTCTAGTCTATGTGCTGAAGTGGCTGAGGGCCAGATGGCAGTGGGTATAGGAGGTTGTTCTCGAAGTCATGTCTAAAATCAATAGAGGGTACACCAAGTAATGCAAAGATCTCCTTACAAGGCGATCTCAGAACCAGGCTGTCCCCTGGCACTCAATGAGTTTTTGCTTGACGATGAGCTTGGTTCAGACGAGCGTCACGTGCAGGGAATAGTAATGCTTGGGGAGAAGCTTCATGACTTGATATGCGACCGTGCAATTGTGATGCTTGGAGACACGCAAGCGCTCGGTACATGTACCCGGAACATGTGAGGTGGTCATTAAGTAATCACTACGGTGTACCGAGCGATCTTCATTTCCTAACTTTCCGGTGAGAAGAGTCGAGGCTAACACCACGGACAGAACTCTAAATGGCGAGTCAGGGTTGCTGCACAAATGTTTCTTAAGCGAAGTTTTCGTCCGACTCCACTAAGTAAAGTGACCCTAAAACACGGGCGATGGGAGCGCCCGCTAGCTTGGTCAACTGACTATAATTTGGGTGCTGCCTTGGCACGCACCAGGTGGTCGTTTGCGGCGTGTTTGGATATTGAAATTGTTGCATATATGGCCAGAGTCATGGTTCAGCTAATCTTTGACACGGGTGGTGGCCAGCAGCTTGCATCAGTAGCCTTCCTTCTAGGAGACAAGATCTCGAGCAAGCCTACATACCGTTACAGTGCTAGCAATGCAGGGAATCTGCTCGTTCGACTTTCGATTTGGAGCAGGTGGAGTAATTTGGAGTTACGTTGGGCTCCAAATTGGAGTAAGTTAGAGAGCTGCGAAACTTTCTAACTTTGCATATTGGACTCGCTTGTTGCTATTGGACTGGTGACAACTTCAACATGAACGTCGCAAACAGAATTTCCAGTAGTCATTAGCGTTCCGGTCACATCTGATACAGAAGCATACCCCTAAATACCAGACTCAGTTGGCATAGAGGACCTCCGTAGAGAAGGAAGCGATCGTATCTAATGGCTGAAAAAGCTACAGTATATTGCAGTATTCAACCTCTGGATTGACTAGTCAGGAATTTCGGGCACTGCCATAAGTAAGGTCGAGGTAAGTCGCCTGGTTGTCATGCCGGCTCACGAAGAAAGGGTCCCTTCCACCAGTCATGATCAGAATAAGCATCATTTGGTGATGCTTCCTTACATATCCCACCCGATCACGTTCTTAACGCTGAAGTAGGTTCCTGTTCGCATGAAAGGGCCTTCACAGTTTCGTCTTAAGAGGACTTGGAGGTATGCGTGAACAGGCTAGATCGCCGATTGCGCTGTGTGATAATGTACCCGAACTGCAAGGGTTGCACTATTCATGCAGGCTGCCGTACATACCTGTAAGGCCCAGGTTCTGGCACTGTTGGCTCTGTTAGTCGTACCCGCAATGGCGTATCAGGGTTGATCTTCGGTGTGACGAAGTGATGCCAGAAACTCAAAGACGTTATGTGAACGCGGTGGACAGCTGCTGGAGCATTCTGATAACAGACATACTGAAGGGAGGATGATCGGCGCAATCGTTTCGATAGTAGCCAACAGACATCCAGACGGTGCTCTGAGAGATCCTCATGCTGGCGGACTCGTTTTATGAAAGTCCAACGTGTGGACTGCAGATTTTGATGAACAAGTCCAAAGTCTCGGGATGAATTGTAGTGCTAGTCTCTGCCTGCTTGAATGTTGTACCACATTCGAGGTTTGAGTAGCGTAGGGCTGACGCAACGAGCTGTTGTCAATGCGAGTCTCCAAATGGATATCCGCGAGCCGTGGTGTAGGATAGCCCTGGCTGCAGCCGAGAATGTCAAGCATGCTAACGCATAGAGCCGAGGACATGTCGACCAGGCACGTAGTAGCCTTACACCGCCATTCTCGCTTTGCCCAGTGACAGTATGTGGTGGCGTCGTGGCAAACCAATGTTCATGCGTGAGATGAGTTGCCCACACAAATATTTAGTGTATATAGCGTCGTGACACACTGCCTTTTCAGTATGCAGGCGCCCGTCCTACTGCAGAAAATCTTTGCAAAGCGGTCTGTCTGTCTTGGGCGCGATATCGGCCGTATCGGCATGATGAACGTCCATTGATGGATCAGCGAGACCAGGGTGATTGTGACCATGTCAGACGCCGGCAATCGATTATCGCATCGCTTTGGCCAGGGGCCATACGACCGTCCATCCGGGTCCACGTAGTCTAGCCTCATTCTTCTCATTACTGGATGAACGTCGGTCCACCAACCGAAGTCCTCTCGCTGCTTTGTGATGTCCGGAACGATGCATGCATGCGAGCGTTATCTGAGTGTTTATAGACAGGGGCATCTGCTCGCCGAATATTGAGCGTGCGCGACGCCATTGCGCCCACCCATGAACGATGCGTGAGCGCGCGCGTGGATCCTCCATCTCACGAATCTCAAAAGGGCAAGTGTTATCCTTCTTAGCGATGCAAGGCCAGTATAGGCCCCCATTCGCGTCGGAGTGGGCGCTTGGTAGGAATGCGGCGCTTCAATGGAATGAATGCGGTCAGTGGGAACCGCGCCTCCTCTGATGACCCTAGGTGCTATCGTCGGCAGCATAAGAAGAGGCTGGCGAGGTTGAAAGGAGGGTGTGCCATTGGCCAAAAAAACCTCGCTCTGGTTTCCCATGTGGTTGGAGCAGAACCGGAGGAGTGGTTGCGCCGGAGAACGCTTCGTTTAGCGGTTTCATGGAGGTTGGCTCGCAGGTGGCTTCGTTGAATACTCGCCCCGCATTCGCGCCTTCTCAAAGTTTGGTTGCATGGCCTAGCCAAGTTATATTGCGCCGGCACCCCTTTTGTGGCGGTCGCACTCCTTTGCCATAGGAGCAAAGACCTTGGTGCAGGAAGCCACCGTTCGCAGAAACGAACAGCACGAATGGCGTTGCCGAACAACAGACAGGGTGGGAAGGTGTCTTGACAGCGAGCGACGCCCTGAATGCGTTGCAATTTACCAGACTGCCGCGGCTGAAGCTAGGCTTTCCCGTACGTGTGTATTGAACATGGCATCACATGTCTCAGCGACGTTTCTACTCGCCCGGATGAGCGCTACGAACATCTACCACGCTGGGATGGTCACTCCACTCCGCGCGGCCAAACATCCCACGACCCCGTCGATCCATCATTTTCCGAGCGCTCCGTCCACCACGGCAAGAGCCCATGCTAACGGTTTCCATCAGACTGCGTGTATGACCATGATGTTGTCTCGCCGCGGTCCGCCCGTCGCCTCTGAGGTGCTTCGCTGACCAAGCGCTTCGAGCAGCTTTACCGGCACGTGTGGCCGCCGCTAAAGCGCTCTACGTAGCGTAGAGGCGATCCCAGACGGCACTCTGCGTGAACCACTGCGCCGGGACAGCTGCGATTTACGGTGACTCCTTTCTGCTCAACAGTTCCTTTTTGAGGTCTGCACAAATCGGGACAGGCCTGTTTTGCCCGCTGTTGGGATCGCTTCTCTAGGGCGTGAAGTGCCAAAGCGCCCCGACCGCGTTCTCCCAAGCGGTCAGTCTGCTATCCGGAGTCTATGGGTGTCCCGGGCGCGTGCTCCCGTTCAGGTTGTGATATGCATCGAAATCCTTCCTCGTATGCAAGCGACCAATGCGGCTTGCGTTACTGCCTTGGGCAGAGGCAGAGCATCCAATTCGAGACGAGAGTTTCAGACACGCCTGCAACTTCTGACATGACGACTACCGAGTAGCTGGGTCCAGTTTCGACTGGAAGCCTTCTAACAGTTGCGACTCTATATCTCAGTAACGGCGATGTGCCTTGTTTGGGCGAGCTTGCGTGTTCGTTCATTTCATCACACTCGCCCCGGGTCAGCACACTGGAGCGCAGAGAAACATGTTGGCAAGACGCTTGCACGACAAGACAGGCGCGGAAAACGTCGCCAAGAGTGAGTATCTGGATGGAAACACGGTCTTCGGGACGGCGTGATAGCAGCGTCAGGACGCTAGGTTGGGTGAGGCCCGCCCAGACGACAACAAAGGAGGGCGGCTTGACAGTATATACGTGACAGCGCGAGGCTACCACAGTACTCAGCTGCTTATACGGGCGCCAACACATCGACAAGCGTAGAACAGGCGATGCACTTCACAGGTGAGCAGAGACGAGGCATGGTTCACGAGGGCGGGGAGTGAGGATGCGAACTGCACGGTTCCCGGCGCGCATGGCACGCTGCATTTCCACCTACCGCAAGCGCGGGACGAAGTAGTGCAGGCGGACGCAGCTGTATGTATGCGCTGAGCTGGACCTCTTGCGAAGCGCAGGCTTGGGCAGTGGTGGTGCGTGAGGGCGGTGGGCAAGGTTTGGGCGGACTGTCCAGCGATCGGATGCAGGGTGCGGTGATTGGACGGGAGGGCAGCCAGACGAATCACTCGGCAACGCGGCTGTTGGTCCAGCGTCCATGGGGGTCGCGCGGGCGCCATGGCGCTTGTTCGCAGTGCGCTGGGCCGGGAGACTGTCATGCTTGGGCAGACAGCAGACAGGAGGCGGACAGGCGGGCAGGCGGGCAGGCGGGCAGGCGTGGCTGCAGCGGCAGCTCTGTGACGGCACGGCTGCTTCGGTGGGTGGGTGGCATGGGCGGCACCGGGGCGTCGCGGCCTGTTGCAAGCTGATGCGACCGCCCGACTGGGACTCTGACGGCGCACTCTCAAGGTCGCCCGCAAGCTGTCCCACAATCCAGCGTGTCGGGACTGCGCCAAAAAGAGCGCGCCTTTGGCGTCGGAGTGGGCCTGCGGGCTAACCGCATCGCTGCCTGTCTCCGTGTAGCAGCGCAGGGGGCCCGCGACGCTAATTAATATTCGCGAGCTGTTAATGCGCGGTTCCCAGTCGCCGTGGCCGCCGATGCTCACAGTAGCGGGCGTCAGCGGTGCAGGTCGCTCCTGGCGTGCCCGCCGGGGTAACTTGAGGCTGCTCCAGTGCTCGTGCTGCTAGCCTCAGGGATCGTTCGTGGGTCGTCCCTTGGGCTGTTAAATACTCAGCTTGTCCCTGCACCCCGGGCCTTCGTGTTGCGCCGTGTGTTGTATTCCGCTCCCCAGCACACACCGTCTCCGCAGCCTGGGACCGCCGTTATTAACCTCGTCGCCCGCACGCCCTGCAGGCCCATTGCTCCCGCTCGCTCGCCCCCCGTGCCCGTCGCCCACTGCTGCCCGAGCCCGCGCTGCAGCACTGCATTGCTCCTCGAGACGTCGAAGCGCTGCCGTCTGATGCCCGCCGGCTAGCCACTCCGTCCCTCCCTCCCGCCGACCCGTCCCGCTGCGACAGACGACAAGACATCACCAAGCACCTGGCCGCCCGCGAGCGCTGCATGCGAACCAAGGCTGCTCCAATGGTTACGATGGCTTCAAATGGGTGAGTGCAACCCGTCCCCGCTTGGTGCTACGAGCCCCAACCACGCACAAGCACCCCGCCCCGCCGCACCGCACGCTCGCAGAACAACCCTCCCCAAGTTCACCCAGCCCGCCTGTGCGCGGCACCAACCCCCCGCCGTGTCCCTCTGCAAGCCCACCAGCGCGCCTGCGATACCCACGCTGACCCCAGTGCAGCTTGGTCGTTCCTGCTTCTCACAACTACGAGGAGAATGGCCGTCTCTACCACGGCTTCCGACGCGGCCTCTACATGTACCCGTGCGACGAGCCCGAGAAGGACCGCATGGACATCTACCACAAGCTGTTCCTAGTCGCACGAAGAGAACACCTGCACCAGGCCCCAATCCCGCAGCATTGGGCGCCCCGCATCCTCGACTTGGGCTGCGGAACCGGCATCTGGGCGATTGACATGGCCGAGTGAGTGAGCCGCTACCGGATGCTGCTTCCGTCGTGCTAATAACCGTGCAGCAAATATCTGAACTCTGAGGTATGCGACTGCTAAGCCGCTGCCTGAAGCGGCAATCGCTAATCCGCTCCCATAGGTCTACGGCTTAGATCTGGTCAACATCCAGCCCGAGAAGTGAGCATACGGCCCGCAGCCCGCAATTGGTGCAACTACTGACAGCGCGCCCACAGAATTCCTCCGAACCTGCGTTTTCGCGTCCCACGCGACTACGAAAGCCCGTGGGCACTCGGCGAGGAATCATTCGATCTGGTCCATCTGAGGATGGCCTGCGGTAGTATCACGAGCTGGCCCGAGATGTACCAGAAAATCTTCACGTATGCATGTTCCGCGCTCCCCTGCGTCGCCGTGCTAATCTCGCTAGTCACCTGAAACCTGGTTCTGGGTGGATAGAGCACGTCGAAATCGACCTGGAACCCCGCTGCGACGACGGCACACTCTCCCCAGACAGCCACCTCACGCAGTGGTACAACTACCTCGCAGATGCCACGGCTCGCGTTGACCGCCCCATTGCGTATGACCACCGCACCCGCCAGCTTCTGCAAGCAGCCGGCTTCATTGATATCCAGGAGACCATCATCCGTGCGCCATACAACTCGTGGCCCGCTGACCCCCACCAAAGGGATATTGGTAGGTGGTACAATCTAGGCCTAACCGAGGGCCTGGAAGCTCTGAGCGCTGCGCCCTTCACACGCGTGAACCGGTGGAATATGAACGAGCACGTCAAGCCGCTTGTCGAAGCCGTACGCCGCGAAGTATGTAACCGCAAGATTCATGCGTACAACAACATGTAAGTCAAACTCGTCACACCAAATTATTGAGGTCACAGCGCTGATCCCTTGCTCAATAGCCACATCTGGACTGCCCGCCGACCGGGACAATGATCGCAGCTGGGCCATTAGCTCCTCGCCCTAGAGCAACAACACTCATCCTACCGATGCGGTATGCATCGGGCACTCTTACTCGGCCCTTGTGTGTCCTACCCGGCCTATTTCGGTGTCGGGCATTCCACGGCATCCATACTCCGTACTACGGCCCATTCTCGGATCGTTGTTGACGTTGTTGTACTTCCCATGGCAACGTTCGCTGTACGGCTCTGTGCGCTCAGCTCCTATCACATCACGGCGGTTCTTGGCGAGGCCAAAGGACTCGCCCACGCATAACGACACCCTATCATCTCGATCATGACCTTAACCCCCGTACCGATATGCCCCTGTTCGATTCGACCCACGACGTTTTACCTATTTTCTTTTGGCGGCGCATGCGTGCGTGGGACAAAAATGGAGTTCTCGGTCGGCGGCTGCACACTACCAGGCGTTCTCGTCTCGATTTCGGCAAGCATCTCACAGTTCCGTATTATTGATACCTTTATCGTTTGGCAGTCCATCTCACCATCATGTTCGTCGAATCCACGCAGATTGTAATTGCGCTTGCCTGCTTGGAGCGGCTGATTTTCATTACCGTTTCGCATCATGTCATGTCACGCCCATGTCGAACCGTTTTATATGGGGTTTTTCTCACGGCTTCATTGGCAGCTGTGGCCTCCGCGTTGAAAAGCATTTCGGCGCAGGCTGGCATGCGATCTGTAGCCCACTTATTTGTGGCTGTTGTTTGTTCTATCTGTGCGCTCGATGCGAATGACGTGTTTCGTTGCTGCATGACAGGCTGGGAATCGGTGGCAGCACACGGGCGCACTCTAAGGTGCGGTGTTGGAAGCCCACGCTGCAGTTGAACGAAGCGCTTCAGGAATGATACGGTCGCTCGGTATCCGATACGTGTTCTACATGCTATTACAATGGCTGAATCAAGTCCCGCTCCTACGGTGTGAAGTGTACGTGAGCGTGTGGCTTCATCATGGGCATGGGGCTCTGAGGGAAATTTGCGTGGAGAGGGGTGGCTGGTGTTGCAGCCTCGGCGGTGACCAACCTCCCGGTACCTCACGAGCCGCACTGAGCCGCCCTGCAAAGACGAGCCGTTCCTGTTGCCGCCGGCGAGCATGATAACTGGGAAACGGGACCTTGCGGTTGCAGCGCAGCACCGCTACCCTACCGTATGCCTTGTGTCCTGCAGCGGCTGTGGTAGTGGCGAGAGGGGTATGAAATGAAGCACGCAGGTTACTCTTTACGGACGTGGTAGGCAAACAGTGTCCACATGGCTTGCCGCTTTCAGGTGCCTTGAACGGCAGGTTCGCTCGTAGGCATTCCCGACACAGCGGCACCAATAGGCCGAGCTTCGGCCTCGCCATGGCGACGGCGGAAGGTGTCAACAGGCGGTCTGACGAAGCGGGACTGTTGTCTGTTGGCCGCTGGCTGCGTGACTGCGTGACTGCATGTCAGTGGCGGAGAATTCAGCCGCTGCATGTCAGGATCGAGGACTCCAGAGCGCCGGGATGAGACTGGGTTGGAGCTTGCATGGGGCATGTGTGTGGTGGGATAAGTATAGAGGGGCAAGAAACGTGCGTGCAAACGGGTGTGCAGGTCGCGCGTGCATGGTCTCTATGCATGGCGGTTCGCACGATTAGGCTTACCGTGGCCAGATCCAAGGGCAACTGACGGCGAAGGCCCATGAATTGTGAACGCTTTCGAAGGGCCATACCCGGGCGATACCGGAGTGCTGGGACTGCGGGACGACGCCTTGCTTTTGAATAATGGGGGGCGGGGGATTCCTCGCGGCGAGCATGCGAGGAGGATGAATCGCTGGTCGTCGCCAATAAAGTGCTCTGGCGCTTGCCTGTTTGTGCCGCTCCACTCTGCATCGGAGCTTCTGAATCTCTGACGTGTTGATCGTGGATTGCGGGTTGCGGTCCTTCGCCGTTGGATGACTGCCGTCCCCACCGTGCCCACTTCGCGCTCTGCTCAGGCGCTGGCGCATCGAGGGTCCGTGTGCAGCTCGAAACACCACTCCACTGTCCAGTCTCCCACTGTCCAGTCTCTTCCCGCCTCAGTTGGCTTCCTTGTCGCAGCCGCCCGTCACTGTCATCGCTGTCGGTCACGTTTGGCCGGCGTTTCGTATGTGCTTCCCGCAGTTGGCGACGGCCCTACCCTAGCCGCCCAAACAAACTTTGCCCACCGATCGCAGAGGCGCGTGCTCCATCACGCTCTCCCGCCGTCGCATCCCATGCCCATGTGCGAGCTGCACGCTGCCTGCACCTCTTCATCACGGCTGCATGGTTCCAAGCGGCCAACTCGACGCCCGCGACTCATGACCTGCGTTTGTATCGCAGCCACGCCTGGCAGACCTTCCATTTTGCCGCGAGATCCAGTCCCGGTTTTCTGCTCAACAAGCGCCATATACGCAGCTGACACGCCCACCGAATACGAAGATCCAATCTCAGTCCAGGCCGCTCGTTTCCCCCTTCTAGCTTTAGCACAACGCTTGCGGTGTACAACATGTGTTCCGATACCATGCAGTGTTCGGCCAAATGCCCGTTTCCAGTAGACTGTGTTGTCTCCTCCTGGTTAAAGGCGTGAACCAGGCTGATGGTTTGGTCTCGGCGGGTATGCACATGTATGCGGTGAGGAGCTACGCGAGCAGCTACACATGTGCAGATAGCACGAGGCTTGCAGGAACTATCTCACCGACTCCCGCTGATCTGGTACCTTTCCGCTCGAGATGGACAGACTTTGATGCCGTGACTGGCTCTCTAACGCGCGGCAGCTAGTACAGTGAAGGCAAGGGCCTGTATCACCACGTGGATGAGATGGTGCCTTCCATACGCATTATGCGACGAAAGCTTGCAAGCGAGTTACGGGACTGTGCCAACCTATTCAGCTCTTGCCTGTCAAGTGCGGCGTCACAGGGCTGAACGATACTATACACCTCGCCGAAGACAATTCCTTCCGCCCGGTCTCCTACGGCCCGACCTCGACGTGGAATACTGTACGCAATCTCGACGTGGTCAGACCGCATATAATGTCAGACCATTTCAGGAATTGACAGGGAATAGATCCCAATTTTCATCTTGCAGTACCAGAAACGCTTCAGGTACAGCGTACTGTGATGCAACAGGAACCCATCAGCCAAGACCTACGCTATCTACAGCCCAAGGTAAGTTTGTGTCATCTCGCAGTCGCCATTACTCCTACCCCCTGATGAATACGCTGGGGCCATATGAGCCCCGCAACCCCATCCGTGCTTGGTCTTCAAGGCCAAGCACAGAAAGCGGGATGCGGCCATGCTTTCAAAACCAGCAATCAATATCTTCTCAACCTCTGAAAAAGTTATCTCACCTCGCCCCATCGAAATCAGACCCATTCCGGTAATCAATTACTTACTGTGTGCAGGCCAGTACACCAACCACGATGACCTCGCATGTCTGACGTTCGGTGCTTATGGCGCCACACGGAGATCCCATTGCTTACTTACATTCACCCTAGGCCAGTGCGTCGAGGCCCCATCGCAGCACGCATGTCACCGAAACATGTGGGCCGTGAAGGAGCAGTCTAGACCTTGGCATGGTGTGCCTTACCTGTGTTCCCACGCCACGAGGGCCAGACCCTGTCTCGCCTTGATAAGCTGGTTGCGCATGCTGTTTTACACCATGTAACGACACCAGACGAAGACCGCACCGTCTTGTAGCGGATGTGGAGGGTTCGTAGCGGAGATGCGCCAAGTGGGCACGAAAGTGCGCGCACTAATAGGCGGCAGTGACATTCCACGCGCGGATAAATCTGACTGTGACAAAAGACGCGCATTGCAGCACGCTAAGTCCGGTCTCTGAGTGCCTCGGAAAAAGGGTTGTAGGAGATGCTTCACTGCTTCGTAGGTGTCTAGGTATATACATGCGCACGTGATTCTTACGTTGCCAGCGTGTGTTAGAGCTGGGATATCTTCCGTAGGACCCAAGCTTGGTACCATACATCGGTTCACTGTGTCCGATCTAGATTGCAATGCAAATCAGGTAGGCTGGTGAGAATGTAATCCAGGCCGATTTGATCAATCGTGCTGCCAGCCAACACTTGCAATGGCTATGGGAAACTGACAATGGTGGTATTGTTCTCGTGGAGAGGTTATGAGAACATGAAATGGAATGGAATGGAAAGGCTCAGCCACCAAGCGTAGATCTTTGATGGCCATGTATAATGATCATACCCTTTTCTTTTTACTTTGCCGTACAATTTTTACTCTCTGTTTCGTGGCATCGTTCAGTGTTTGAACGTGACGTCAGTACCAGAACCGTTGGTGTGACATGATAGGTGCTGGGTAAGACTTCCGTACATGGTTCCTGACATACCCAGTGAAGTATGAAGCCATCGAAGTGTCGGAAACATGAAGCCGCATATCGAGCCCGCCGAAGGGAAGAGGCTTTACCTTGCTGGTCAGGTAGTGAAGTCTACAACAAAACCTTCGTCTGCGTGTGATCAGAAAGATTCGCCATAGGCTTCGACTGGGAAGCCGTCTGCTTGGAGGAGCTAGCGATTGCGTCAGGCATGCGCAATAGGGTGGCCTATGCGAGCTGTAGCATCCGCGAGATAGCGCGACTACCCTTCCCCACAAGAGATCCCTGACCAGAGGCAGCGAATGGAGCATCTTGCGAGATGGGCTTTGCATTGGGGGGATGCGGAGTAGCCTTCTCGAGAAGAGACGAAGTAGTCCGCTCGTGTTGGTTTGAAGAGCCTAGAACTCGATCTCTCTTAGACCTATCCACTATGACGAACATGATCTGTCTACATAGTTAAAGGGAAGTTGATCTGGTATATCGAAATGTAATACCTTTCCAGACCACAAGAGTGGTGGTTCTATATGAGCTGTCTGTTCACCTTTAGCGGTGGGACCCATCAAGGACGACGGATGGTCCTGGCGTGTGTTGGCGTCAGAAAATTTTCAATCCGCAAAGGACAATGTATGCAATTTTGGTGAGCAAATGTCGATATATGGACGGAAATAGCAATGAAAAATGCTAAATTTGAGTCTGTGTGCTGCGATAGTATCCTGCTCAAACTCGAAGCTCGTGTTGAAGCATACACCCATAAACCCCTGCTGTCGGAGGACTTGCTGTTCTTGCACCTGTGAATGCTCCATCTCCACCATAGCCTTCGCCATCTCCCAAGTTCAGTCTCAGACTGCTACACTTCGCATACTACTGCAGTTCCACCATGGCGTCGCAATGTAGTCTCTACCTATATAACGTAGAACTAGTCAGTCTCCTCAGCTGCCCACTCGTCGTATGCAACGTACATGTGGGACAGCTCCGTCACTTCCCTGCACTCTCCTTCGCCGTCAAATTGTACTCTTCCAACGATCTCTACGATCATTTCCTCGCTAATCAGCTCCAAATAAATAGACCTCAAAACCTGCATCAAATCTAGAGTGGCCTTATTCTTGGTCTGGCCAGTGTCAAAGCGGAGTCGAAAACCGTTCTTCAAGTCCAAGTGGCGCAAGGCTTCGAGCTGAGTGCGGTACATGTGGAACCCGTGGGACGAATACTTCGACCAGAACCAGATCCGCTGCGCGGGCGAGAGGGTGAGAATGAAGTCCAGTGAGCAGTGGACCGTTAGAGAGCGAAGGTGCTTCACCGGATTGAGGCCAAGGTGCAGGTAGTCGATCTGGAGAATGTTGTGGAGATGGGCCGTTTTTGTAACTGTAGGAGTGTGCGTTGCACGACTCGTAGTATATGACTCCAGCCTCTTTGGCCACGGAAGCACCGGCATTGTCAGGTCGGACACAAAACGGGAGAAGACGGCTGTGCGGTCCACAACCTCTAGAGAGGCGGCAGTATGATGAGCAAGCATGGCCCCACAACTGGAAAGGCTATCAGCAAATAGCTCGTAACAGCATTTGTGTCGCAAAACTTACCACCATACCCAAAAAACTGACTTGGAACGTTCTGTCGGAGATTTGGCCCTCACTATCCTTCACCATGTGGTTGTAGACCATGTCACGGAGTTCGAAGGGTAGAGAGGCGTGCATGGCGTAAAAATTGGCACGAAAGGCTCGCGTGGTCTGTCGGAGAATCTCGAGACGCATCTCGTGTTCAAGCTTATCGCGTGTTTTGTACAAGTCTTTGTCCACGTAGAGGCGACCTGTGACGGCGCTGCTAAGCATCTCGAATCTAGAATGACATGAGTATAAGCACGTATGAGCGAAAAGATCGACAGTGATTTACTCTTCCTGCCAAGCTTGAAGCTCTTGGTGCGGTATACCGTAGGCGGTTTCTAGGTCCGCAAGGTGGTTTCCCATGGCTGTCATATCCGGGGGTGGCCCCGTGGGGTCTCGGCATCCTCTTCATGGCCCAGTTTCATCCGCAGGTACTTCCAGCGCTCTTCATCGGTTTTCTGCGTGCTCTTATTATTGTTCGCAATCCTGCGCATATGCGTCAGTGTCGGTATAGCAGGGGCTGGTGAGCAATACCCACTCCTTGAGCAGATCTTTATGCTCCACGGCCAGCCTGGCCGAACGTCAAGAACATCCTCCCCCAAGCATTCTGATAGGACTCACTCGTTCAGGGAGAGGCGGAGACCTGGTGTTTCAAGCCGCGGCTCGAAGGGGCCGAAGGTTGATTTCCTATGGAGTATAGACATTGCGGGGCGGTAAGCTGCTAGCGATGGTTTGGTGCCGCCCGTGCATATAGATCGAGCGAATATAAGTCAATGCTGTGGCGGACGCGTCGCTAGCCGGGTTGGCTCGTCTTTCAGACGGGTTTTGCAGTGCTCGTAGGTGATGAAGTGAATTGGCAAGAGTCGTTGAAAGTGGCAAAGCTGTAGTTCAGTTGAACCAGGAGGAAAAGAAGTCTGGAAGAAGAGGCCGGGCTTATTCGCACAAAACAAAAGCAAACACAGAGAGACATCGGAACGTAATGCAGATGAGCCGTGTGAACCCATCCAACACGCTTCCACGTGCTGGACGCGCTCATTACCAGAGCACAGCGTAAAAAACTCAATTAGAAGAGTGCGTGGTCATTCTAACAAACTGTTCATTCGGACAGCCTCGTTGCGACTAGCTCTTGTCAGATCGTGCGCGTGAATTATAGATTCTGTGCCGTTGAACGCGACTGGTAGAATCCAACCATCTGCCGCTAGATCAATATAGACCATGCTTGCTCTGTTTGACCGCAATGGGCGAGCCGGAAGGCGGTGAGAACTTCAATTCAAACAACGACACATCAATTGTTCGCGAGGTGAGTTCCGCTCTCTGCGCACGGAATCTGTTACGAGGTTTGTTGACGCTGCAAGTTTGGACTCTATACCCCCTTGTTGCACCCCCCGTTGCTGTGCGAGCGTGCAGTATTACGCATGAAAGTTCACGACCCACTATATGCTGAGTGACCCCAGGTTGTGCGGTCCAACGTCAAGGCGTGTGTCTTTAAGATCAGCATGTTGACATTGACACACGTACCAAATCGCAGCCTCTGGGTGGTTGAAGCCATCAAGAGACAGTGATAGCCAATGCCCTGCTAGCTAATGTACGTGGATACGACAATATCTAACAAGCCGTTATTCGATGTGCTAAACTTCATTGCTGCCCATATGGTATTTAATCCCCAAATCGACCGAACATGTCCAGCGCGCCTCCTCAGGGTATCGAACAAATCCACAAGAATGAATCGTAGATCTAGAGAAGTAAGAAAACCCTGAACCTACAATCTTGCACAGTTTTGCCTCCCAGATCCTCCCAATATTTATATACACACAAGCCTAAATATCAGAACGCCGTTGTGAATCCCAGGGTATACAGCATCTCGCCAACCATCGCACCAATTCTAGTCAAGTGAATTTCACCCTGCAACAGTGACTCTTGACGACAACGCGGCGTATTCCGGAGGTAGGTCCACAGTCGGCGGCGCGAAACTCCTGGGTGAAAGTACCCTATCTGCTTCAGCCAGGATCCCAGCAGCTTCCTCGCTTCGAACCCTCGCGTTCTCGTTTCCTGTTGCGCTGCCCTCCGCACACACCTGTAGGGGCACCTTGAGCGCCAGGGTTGGGTCGCCGAGTCCAGGTGCGTGCACGGAAAGGTTCATGCTCAGAGCGTATACGCGGGAGATAAGGCAGGAGTGGAAGGTCGGGAGGAAGTTCTTATTCAAGGGCATCGTGATGGGCACCACGATAGAGGCCGTGTAGAAAGCACCGCCCTTGTAGTTGGAAGAAGGAGTTGGAATGTTAGATTTGTACGACGGTGCAGAGAGGCCAGAGCAGTCGGATATCCCAGAGTCGCGGCGCTCAATATCTTCTTCGGTCGGTGGGTTGGCGGACGCGGGTTGCTTTTCCCATTGCGCGGTTGTGCCAATGCACATGGTCGAGATGGAAATCGTATCTGTGTATGCTCCTTGGGTGTGGTCATAGATGAGGGTTTCTCGTGTGGGGAAGTTGTTCCTTGCGCTAGAAGCGTAGAAAGTTGAGGCTTTCATGCTCGTCTTGAGAGAACCCAGCCTTGGAGGCAAGCTGTTCTCGTCTGTGGGGTCAAAACGCAGGTAAACCTTTGCCCTCGTTGCGATTGGTCCTGCATCCAAGGTCCGGGCTCCCGGAATTACGAGGGGTTTCGGTTGGCTGGCTTGAGCAATGAGAGTGCCGGTCTTGCCTTTGAACAAGCCCTTCTTGATGTTTCGTTCGAGCCTTGGGCGGAATTCCTTGTTTCCATCGGTGTTGAGTGGTGGCTGCTCTTCAAAGGCTGGCTTTACGCGAACCTTTCTCGTCTTCTGTGCCAACAATACAAGCTTATCTTCGTGCAGTTGCAGGATTCGCGCTTTGACTCCATATGTGATTTTCGCCATTTCGGGCGCCATGTCGTCGAGGAGGATCCCACCGAATCCCGACAGCTCGGCGTCACCCATACTCGGCGGAAGCATAAGGTGCGTCTGGCGAACGTAGTCTGAAGCAACAGCATGGGGGCTGGCACATATTAGACATTCGTCCGTAAGCATTCTGGAGGTGCGCACTTACCATGCTCTCGGTAGGAGCTGAGTCGGGATGGTAAAAACGAATGGGAAGGTGTACTTCTGGCCTGCCCGCAGGATACGTGGAGAAGGAATATCGTCAGGGTTGAGAGGCATCTTCAATGCGAGAAACTTGTGGGATGCTTCTGTTCGTCCGCTCATGGCAGGTGTGGTCGTCAGCCGTTCTACGAATACGTGTGCCGCGCCTGCACCCACGATTAGCGAACCGACTCGAGCGAGATCCACCCGGACATTACTCACCAGTGAATGCGATCTCGATTTCCCTAAAGTGGGTGTCATGCTGTGCTGTAATGTGCACTTTTCCTTCGCTGCCCTCGGGTCAGTGTATATGGTCGGAGGGCAGCCGGACTGGTGTACATACATTGTGTCCATGGTGGAGTAGCTGAAGATTGCACGATTGGCCTCATGCTGGCTTTCGTCAAGCTCGATGTCGATGGTAGGCTGGCCATAGTGTGCCATTTGAAGCATGCGATACTGAAGGTGGCTCCCAATCGCGTGCATTGTGTTGGAGTCTCTCCGGGCTGGAGCTGGCAGCGGCACCATGTGATGGACTGGCATTCTGGCTGAGCGCGTGCCCGCTTGGCTTGCGCAAGGGGGAACAAAGAAGGGTGTATGAGGGCGGCCGCCTGCTGGTTGGTTGAACGCGGCTAGCACGCGTCTGGGCCCAGAAGACACCGAACTACAAGATCAAAGGTCAAGAAGCCGTGCAGAGGGGTGCAGGAGGTCGTTGAGGCGGGCTTGGGCTGGAAACCGAGGCGGCAGAAGGCGAACAGGTGATCTTATAGCTACATGGCAGCTCCAGGTGGTGCTCACTTGAGTCATCCTAGAACTGGGTTGGGTCGAGGCACCCTGCATGTCGAAGTGAGAGAGATGGCGTCTGGCACTGGCACTAGCCTGTCCCGCCGGGAAACGACTTGTCGCACGCCCTTTCCCCGCTGCTTGACAACTTGGCAAGTCCAACCACTCACACGCTCTCGCGCCCACGCACCATGCCTTGTTGGTGCTGCATCTCGCGGCCTCTGGCCCTGAGCGCAGGCCGTCTTCGCGTCAAGCGCATGCGAATATCGGATGGATCATGGCACTGCGGTCCGGCAGTGTTGCGGCGACCGTGTAAGGAAAGTCGAGGCTGAAGCGCGCGGGCGTGTTACTCACCGAATCAGTGTATGGGAGGTATACGCTATCTTCTCCCTAACAATGTGTCACTCCACCCCCAAACTTTTCGTCGACTACACCATACACTGGAAAGCTTCAAATGGCCAATATCTTGGAAATGCGCCTCCAGCTCGACCTTGGCGCACAATGCGCATGTGCTCGACCGCTACGGCACGCCCGACCCGCTCGCCCAATTTTCTCATGATTCTGATCCTCCAGTGTAGAGAAACGCATTCGCCCCCTTCAACGCTGATCTGCGATAGAGACGCTGTGTTCATGCATGAGGGAACACTCGCTTCACACCCCGCACACCGCGCATTGCATTACCAATAATGCCTGCGCCGTGGTGCGCGCCATCATCTCCGGTAATGCCTGCGCGGCCTTGCATCCTGAAGGCTAGAAAGGGTAACCACATAACATCTGGGAAGGGCGCAGTGAGTGATCAGCCTGGAGAGAGATAGCGAGTCGACCAATCGCAGCCTCGTCCCTCGCCTAGTGCCGATATCGCCATCTGTTCCGGAACCCATTCCGACACCGACCAACCATCATTCAACTCCGCTCGCATATTGCAGCTCGACTCAAGAACCGGTCCAAGTGACGCCTCGAGGCCGTCATGTCTGACTACAAAAGCTCTCTTGCTGCCCTTGTACAGGGCCATCTGAGGATAGTGAAACCGGCGTACTGGAAGATGCCGTATCAGCTGAGTACGCGGGCTAGATCCAAGTGTACCATGGAAGCGACTTGTCCGTGGCTGGTAGACGTGTACCTGACAGCACGAGTGCACGTGACAGGCGTCCGGCTGACGAATAGACTTGGCTTTGTAAGCTTTCGTTCTCTCATGGCTGGAATGCCACTAGTTTAGCTCTCAAGCGCAGCAGCTCAATCCTGGTTCGTCTCGCCTTGCTCATATAGGCAAGCTGAAGCCATGAGTGTTACTCCGTCGCCTCGCATCCTGTAGCGGTTGCTATCTTAGTATAGGGGCACACTGATTACCGCAAATAGCTCATCCGCGGCCGACCTTTCAATCTGGCTTCAGACACCGCCTTTTGGCTGTAGAGTAAGTTGAGAAATGCTCGGTAGGGCTGGCGGACCCTGCATGAACACTTACCTGGCTGCGCCGCTGAACCGGATCTGGGAAGCACTGTGGCCCATCAACAATTGTTTTGCGGTAGACGTCTGTGAACGTGCATCAGTGCGTTATGAGACTCCTTTTGACAATGGCACATAAGCCGTTCATAATCCTGTATACCGGCGGTATAGTATAAGATCATAGTTGGAGACACTCATGGTGACTTGAGTTACGCCGGCATGTGTATCGCAACAGTGAAAGCCTCCAGACATATCTGCACACCATATTGACACGAGTGTCAAGCTGAATAGCCGTATACACCATTATCATTGCATCGTTACATGCCGTGCCTTCGCCATGCAGAACGCAGCCAAAACCGCGCGCAAACCATGATGCAACGCTACGCCCATGAATACCCAAAGAAACTATGCATGCTGTGCGTCATCCTGGCCCATCTCGCTCGTTACACCCCAGGAACAACATAAGAAACAAGTGCCAACCCAAAATAAAATTTGGAACAAGGACACCACAAGGGTACATCCCGCCTCACGACTCTTTATGGAACAACTTCCTCAAACTACTGAACCTCTTCTTCTCGCCTCCACTTGGACTCTGTAAGACCGGGGCACCCAAGCTTGTCTTCGGCCTCTCGACCATCATGCCATGCTCATTCACATCCTGCAGCCCAGTCCCCAATTTGCCGTAACTCTTGCTCGTTGCCGGGCGGTACGAGCTCCCTGGCCGCGGCAGGCTAGACCACCTTCGCGGAGAGGACGCGTAGCCTGCCGTCTTAGGGCGGGCCGGGCTCGCAGTCTCAGGGCGCTCCGGGTCAGAACCATGGCCTCTATCCTGGTAGAGCGAGTTGTGCTGGTGGGACGAATGACGATTGGGGACAAGGCCTGCGGTTGAGGGTCGGGACGGTGATGGCGTTTCAGCGTCCCGGGTGGGGGTGTAGTGTGAACGTTTGCGGAGGACGGTTGGTGTGCGCCTGGTCTTGCCGCTCCTCTCCAAATCATGTAGCTGTGCCTCACTGTCCCTGAGCGATTTCTTGAGCTCGCTCTTCACTTTCTTCATCCCTTTGAGTTGGTTGGCAGCCTCGTCACGCAGTAAGCGTACACGATCAACTTCGTTCAACCATGCAACCCGGCCCTCTGAAGGCTCGGTACTGTTGATTGGTACATCGGGCTGAACACTGGAGCCGCTGTGATCGCTCCCCAAAGTTGTAATGCGCTTTGGCGTCGAAGGTGTCGAGGGACTAGCATCGGCATCTTCCCGGTGACTCTTTGCATCAGAAAATGCAGGTGTGAAATTGTCAGCCGATTCTTGGGGGCGGCCCGACCTGTCCACAGAGTCTGAATGCCGTAACTTCTGGTTGAGCTGTTCGACTAGTGCCTCGAACTCGTCCTTGCTCTTGCGCAGTTCCCAAAGTTCCGCTTCCACGGCTGTAAGAGAAGCAGCAAACTCATCTTTGTCCTTCTGCAACCTATCTATTCTGTTGTTCTTTGCCTCCAGTTCTGACCGTAGCATGTTCTCATGTTCTTGCCTAAAGTCTGACAAGGCCGAATCTCGCTGTTTAAGCTGTGATTCATAGTTGCTCTCACTGCACATTTGGATTCGTCGGAGCTCTTCGAGCTGATTGTCCTTGCTCTTGCGTTCGTTCCGCAATCGCTCCTCGTGGGCCAACTCAAGCTCCTGGATTGTTTTCTCCTTGCCTTGGACTTCGCCCAGCAGTTTATTCCTGCTTTGCACTAGCGTCTCCAGCTCGTGCGATTGGTCACTAACATGGCGATGCAGCCCCGAGTTCTCCTCGATGAGGATTTCGATCTCCTTGTTCCTAGCGGTAAGCCGTCGCTTGTACTTGAGCTTCGCAGTCGTAGCGGCATCGATTTTGGCTTCAGATTCTGCGACAAATTCGTCAAGCCGTTGCTCGCTGTCTGCGAAGGCTGTCTCTGCTTTAAGCATATCTTGCTCCATCTTCTCAAGGAACATTTCCAAGCGGGCGTTAGCTGTCTTGACAGACTGCAACTCTTCTTCCGCTACTTCGAGCCGATGCATCAAGTCTTTCTCAGAAGCATCGAGCTTTTCATTTGTCTGCTTCAAATTCTCAAGCTCCTTGTCCGCTTCGGAGATCTTGGAAACCATTGTGGCGCCTTCCAATTCCCGTTCTTGGAGCTGTAAACGGAGCGCTTCGAGTTCTTTGTCACTCTGACCTCTTGAACCAGTCGCTGTTTCGTAACGCCTCTCAAGGTCGGTCTTGTCCTTGCGAGTAATTTCGAGCTCACTGTGCGCGTCCGACAGTTGAGCATGGAGAGCGGAGGTATCAGCCTCCGAAACCGACAGACGGGAGCGAGCCCCCTGTAATTCCCTCTCCACGTCATTATTGGATTTAGTCAGTTCCTCAAGCCGATGCTCGACCTTAGCTTTCGCAGAGCGCAGACCATCGACCTCTTGAATCATCTCAGCAATTCTCTCATTGAGAGTCGCAGTGTGGGTTTCTGATTCTCTATGGAGACCCCGCACGAAGCTGAGATCGTTCTCCTGGCTGGCTTTGTCCTTGGAAACACTGCTCAAGCGATCATTAAGTTCGGTGTGCTTAGTCTGTAACTCTCTCAACTCTGTACTGTTGCTATCGAGTCGCGTTTGGAGGGTGGAATTCTCCTTCTCCAAGGCGTGTAGACTGGACCGTGCTGACTGAAGCTCTGAATCCAGTGCCACGGTCGACTGTGTTTCTTTAGCCAGAAGTACTTCCAAATCGGCCCTTGTTTCCTGTAATTTGCGGAGTTCTTGTTCGGTCGCTGAAAACTTTGCTAGTAGCTCGTCCCTTTCAGATGTCACCTCACCCAGGTGAGACTCGAGTGACATAATCTCCTTCTCGCGCTTGCTGCGAGCCTCGGTTGCCTCCATCAGCTGCAGATCCACGTCCGTTTTAGAGGCCTGAAGTAGAGCCCAATTCGTTTCTAAACTGGAAAGCTTCGACCGAAGAGTTTCACCTTCTCCGTTAGCAGTTGATAGTCGAGTTTGCGTATTGGCAAGCTCGCTCTTCAGGTTCTCAAGGCTCTGTACTGCCTCATGCAAACTGCGCTCTACCTCAGCCTTTGAGGCATCGCTTGTATCCGCTCTGGCTTGCAGTTCAGCAATACGGCTGTTCAGAATCGCAACTTCGCCTTGGAGGCTCCCCAAATGTTCTTGAGCCTCAGAGAGGAATTTGACATTGCCCGATAACTGCTCGTCCAGGACTGACTTCTCAGCGCTGAGACCCTGAGCCTCGGACTGTGTCTTGCTAAGTCGTTCCTCAAATTCAACCTGCGACTTCTGGCTCTGGGACAGCTCGTCTCTCAGCATCGTCAGTTGAGATCGCATGCTGGTCGCCTCTGATTCCATGTGGGCTAGTCGAGATTGGTGGGCATCTCGCTCCCGCTCAACATCCGCTTTCAAGCCGGATATGGTGTGAAGACGTGTTACCGTCTCCGACCTTGCCTTGTGAGAGTCTTCCAACTGAGATTCTAACACACTCCTCATCTGCTCGGAGTCTTTCAGTTGGGCTGTGAGAGCTGTCCTAGCCTGGTCTGCTTCTTGCAATTGCGCAGTCAATTGAGTCGTTTGCGTTTGCAGTGAAGCAAGCTTGTCTTTGCTCTCGTTCAGCTCCCGATGTAGTGTACCAGAGTGTCCGCGAGCGACTTCGAGATCATGCTCAACCATACATTTGGAATCTCTTATAGACTGTAGCTCTTGTTTTGTAGCTGCATCCGCTTCTTCTAGCAGCTGTACTTTAGCCACGACAGCTTCCAGGTCGTATTCCAGGGCTTCCCGAGATCGTCGTAGTGCAATTACGTCGGACTGAAATTTCTCCTTCTGACCAATCTCATCGTCGAGACGCTCTTTGGTTGAATGGAGTTCCTCAGATAATTCGCGTTGGGCTAAGATTGTTGAACTTATTTCTGCTCGCAAGTCGTGGTTGGCCTCCTGCGCCGAGCGGAACCTGACCTCCAGTTCAGTCAGGGACCTTCGGGCGATCCCTAAGGCCACCTCTGCGTGGCGCTTAAGATCTTCTGATTCTCTCAGATCGTTTCTCAAAGAAGAGATGACGCCAGCAGAAACTTTGCTCTTCTTGGTCTCTTCCGTGATCTGACTCTGGAAGAAGGAGATGGACTTCTCCAAACTCGCCATATTCTCATGACCGTGTTTCAGTTGCTGAGCCATTGTGTCTCGATCCGCATCGTTCTTGGCAAGGCGATCGCGAAGGTCCACTTCGCGTTTCTCCGCTTCTCGAAGCTTCCGATGCAATACATGAAGTTCTTCCTCCAACCCAGTCGTGTACGTTTCCAACTTCTGCAAGCGGCCGTTGTAATCTTGCACTTTCTCCTCCAGAGATCTCTTCTCTCCTTCCATGCTCCTGATGGATACTTGTCGATCATTGGTGACGCTCTCGAGCTTTTGGATTTCCTCGCCTTTGTGTTGTACACTAGCACGCAGCTCCCCTTGAATTTTGGCCGATTCCTTGAGTTGCAGCTTCGTCTGGCGAAGGGTCTCCTCGACAGCAGCTCTTGATCGCTCCAATTTTGCGATGCGCGTCTGGTGGTTCTCAATCTCTGCTTCCAGCTCTGTTTGTGTTGCATTGAACATAACTGCCGCGTCGCTAGTCTTCGTACATTCTGCCAGCAACTCTGCGATCCTGTTTCGACACACAGCGAGCGCGCGGTCTGATTCCCGCTTCGCCTGGATCAAACGGCCATCTTGTGTGCGTACATCGGCAATGCTTGATTCCGGAGTCAAGTCCCACCCATGATTGTCGCAGAGCGAGTTAGGAGGTCGTGAGGTGGTCCTGGGCGTTTCGATTGAGTTATGGGTTTCGTTCAAGAAGCGAGTTGGTGGTGTGTTCGGTGGAGACGCGAGTCCAGGCTGCATGCGATTCGATACTTCGGGATCAGGGTCGGCATCTGCATGGATTGTTAGGACAAGCGAGGGCAGTATAGCTAAAGTAGACACATACACTGCAGCGTGAGCATTGAAGCTTTCTCCAGACATTCGAGGATATCCCTGTTCCGGAACTCCTCCTCTTGCAAGCTCTTGGTAAGCTCTGCAATCCTCTTCTCGGTATCCCGGGTGGATAGATAGTTCCTCTTGCGACTGCTAGCGAGGTTGCGTGCTGTGTTGGCAATTTGTTTCTCTTTGACAGAGATGTTCACTGCCATGCGGAACGCAAGGCGGCGAAGTGAGGATATCGAGTGCTTCGCTTCTGCACCCGCAACTTGGTGAACCTTGAGCTGCGTTCGGAGTTGATTTCTCTGGTTCTTGAGGTATGACAAGTGCGCCCAGTTGGATATCGGCGCGAAAGTCTCTTTTTCTTTCCGCGGGGATCCAGACGACTCATCGTCGAGCTCAGAAGGAGATTGGGGGCCTGTCTGCCTGAGATGTTCCAGTATGAAGCTATCAGTCATGGAAATGGTGCGCTCAATCTTGGGCGTTGCCGACGCAGACCTGTCTCTCCTCAGAAGGGTCGAACGTATGGTGTTTTCCCGGCTAGAACGGGATCGCGATGCATCGCGAGCGGCATGGTTATCCGAGGCACGCTCAGTCGCCATGTCGGTATCAATCTGTGAGGCATCGAGTATTACAGACATGGACGTGCGTCTTTATATTCGTTTAAAGTAAACAGTATACTGTGGCTGGCGGTGTGCCACGCGACAGAGAGAATGCGTGGTCGATGATTTGTTGGAGGGTGGGTAGTGCTGTCCTGCGGCGAGCGAATTGACACGCGAACGAGCCGAAAGTCAACAGTAGGCCCGCGAATAAGGTGGAGGCTGGTAATAATAGGTATGAAACGATTCTAGAGCGATGAAGAGACACACAGAAGGAGACTGAAAATAAGAGAACAGGCGTTTGGGGCCACTGTCGACTAACGAAGGAAGCGTGCCGTCATGGAGCGGCGGTGTTAGAGCCTCGCAGCTAGGAGACTCGGGACGAACGACATCACCCAGCGTGGGCGAAGAAAATGGCGCGACTTGGGTGGAGACGGCGCGGCGGCACAACGGGGGTCACGATATGGTGGGGAGACTGGACTGCGTGGCCGTGCAGGCGTGGAAGCAGGCGCTTCCCGGTGGGTCTTTTATGCAGGAGCACGGCAGAGGACGAGCATCCCAGCGCAGCAAAGCGCACTGCCTGACTTGACCGCTGCTGGCGGCGCAACAACACAACGCATCGCGCACGTCCTCCCTGTGCGACGATTCCGGCTCTGCAACCATCGATCAGTTGATGTCATAACCTGGGGACGACTGAAAATTGGCTCGCTTCGCTAGCCTAGCTTCAGCCACGCCGCGATCTGAGATCGGAGGACCCTGCACAGATCTCTCAGTAATGCATGCGTAAGTCTGCAGCTGACGTTCCACAGAAGACTGGACGGGTACGGGTGCGGGTACAGGAATCGCTGCCAAGTCTACACGCACGACATGGCAGGAATGCGAGACCGTTTCAGTCCACTTCGATAACTATCTACGTACATGGCACAGTACAAGCTCCCACCCTTTCGGCTATACAGTACCGAGTCAAAGCCTAAGAACTACATGGCTCTTCCTCGGATTACACAGTGCATTCAAACTGATGTCAGGGCATCGTTATACCAACACATCCCTCTTACCCTAGGTCTTGATCCATCAACTACTGTTGGCCCTTCATCGCGTGTATGTCTTCTGCAATTGTTTCGCAATGGTCGTCAACTGAATGTTGCTTGTGCCCTCGTAGATGGCACCAATCTTGCTGTCACGGAAGAACTTCTCCGCCAGACCTTCTCTTACGAATCCCATGCCGCCCATCCACTCCACAGCCTGGCCAGACACCTTCCCGGCAATCTGTGAAGAGTACAGCTTGGCCATTGCCGCGTCCATGACAAAGTCCTCGCCAGCTTCCTTCTTGCGGGCGGCATTGAAGACAAGGGCGCGTGCAGCCTGAATTTCAGTCCAGGCTTGGGCGAGCTGGTGCTGCATGCCCTGGAACTCGCCGACGTACTGGCCGAATTGCTTGCGGTCGTTCCATACGTAACTGTATTCACGGTTAGCACAGTAACATGCTGTGCGCTTAGCGTTCCGCTCACTTTGCGGCGTTTTCCCAAGCACCAAGTGCCAGACCGGTCATCTGCGCGGCAATGCCAATGCGACCTTCGTTAAGAAGGCCAATGGCATATTTGTATCCCTCGAACTCGTTGCCGAGTAGGTTCTCCTTGGGGATCTCGACATCGTCAAACGTGATGACGCACGTGCTGCTGGCCTTGATGCCAAGCTTCTTCTCCTTCTTGGAGATCTCGAAGCCGGGCGTCCCCTTCTCAACGATGAAGGCCGTGATGCCCTTGTACTTTTTGCTTGGGTCAAGGTTGGCAAAAACGATAAAAAAGTTGGCTTCGTAGCTGTTTGTTATCCACATCTTGCCACCATTGATCTTGTAGCCGTTCTCCGTTCGCGTGGCTTTGGTGGCGAGTGCAAACGCGTCTGAACCGGAGACGGGCTCTGAGAGACAGAAGGAAGCTGAGAAGGTCAGCATGGGCTATCAGACCTGATCCGGAGCGCTCGACATACCGACTGTATCCGTAGCCAGCTTTGGAAGCCACTTCTTCTTCAAGTTCTCCGAACCATACTTGAGCAGGGCAGTGTTGCACAATGTGTTGTGTACGTCGCACATGACACTGACGCTGGGGTCTATCCGCGCAAGCTCCTCAATGGCGATGATGGCTGATGTGAAGTTCATGCCCGAGCCGCCATACTCCTCAGGTATCTCGATGCCCATAAGTCCTTGTTCAAACAGCTGCTCTACCACGGCTGGGTCCATCATCTCGGCCTCGTCCATTTCCCGCACTTTGGGTAGGATAGCATCGTTGGCGAACTTTTGGACTGAGTCGGCCATGAGCATCTCGGTTTCGGAGAGGTGGGAGATGGGCGTGGGCGGTATGTCGGCAATGTCGACCTCGCGACGTGGCATTGTAGCCGAGAGGCATCGTGCTCTACGCACAATGGGTCAGTTGCTTTCATCGCTGGGAGAGGCGGGAATCTTACTGCGGGGAGGTGCGCGTGAATGCCGGCCGCAGGGTGCGAGATGAGCTTGTTGCTGCGCGCGCAAGCGGTCTGAAGGTCCTTGATAGAGACGCCATGGTTTCTGGGTGTGTGTATGAGAGCAATGGAGGCTATGAAGGCATGGAGAAGACAGTGCGTGGCGTCGAATGCTTGTGAAGGCCTGGGCGGACCCGATTCCGCTAACCCGCTTTCACTGGGCCGAGGTGTTGCGCGAACCTCTGGGAAAGTGCACCCGCCGATGGAAGCCGTGCCTTCCCCGAACCGTGCACAGCGCATCACATGCCGCAAACCTCCGCGTCTCCGCACAAGCTCCCAAGCTCAGAGCCGCACCACAAGCACGGCATCATACCGGAACAACTGCGGGATGAAGCCAAATCGCCTTGTCTGGGCGATTCCTGACGCTGTGAATAGATACACAACAGAGAACACGCTGTGCGAGATTGTGTTCACAAGCCCCTGCGTGAACGTGAACATGTGCGCGCGTGTACTCTTCAAAGAGAAAGTGTATACATGGGCTGTTTTCTATAGTCCGAACTGTACCCACCCGAGGCGCCTTCCCGTCTCCCATGGTACTCGTGAAACCAATGGACACGTTACAGCGAGTGCAAACTAACTTATACACATTTTCCAGACGTTGCGCCACAGCGTCCGAGTCTTCTGTCGCGCATGCTGTGCGTTACATTCTCAACCGAGGTAGTTGATGTCTCCTTGTATCTCTCCAACAACACCTCCCAGGATAGGGCATTGCATTGCGCAATAAGCATCAAGCTCTTGAGCACCACATGGGAGTTGTAGCAAGATTACGGGAAAATTTCGTTGCAAATGCCGGCAGCCCTATTACAGGCATATCAACAGGCAACAACAGATCTACATCGCAATATCCTCCAGCAGACCCGATGACGCATCGCTAAGTCACACCGCACAGGTGGACGCGAATCCAGCGCGCAAACTGGCCCCCAACCAAACTTGCGTTTGGTTCGGGCAGAATCCGCTGAATCTTCATTGGGCGAAACAGGCACATAGCCATCAAGCCACGCATTGTCATCGTTTAATCCACAAGTACACGGGCCAACAGTGACGCCTTGGGCGTGTCCAAACCTGAGACCAAGCGACTTGTTGCGACCTCTGAAGCTTGTCTGTTCATCAACTCTTAAGGCATTTCTTGATTCAGGCATGACCGCCTCGTTGATGGTTGTGTCGACATGTTTCAATGGACAGACGACCGTCTAGATACGCTTTCAGTTCCGCCGGTGAGGATGCCAATAAACTACAGTTACGACAGGCTTCCTGCCTTGCACGATTCCCAGGACATCGCCGAATACCTTGAAACGGCATGGAGCCCGACCATTCGCCTGGCTACGACGCGCTTCAGTCCACTTCCTAGCTGAGGCTTCCCAGCACGGCCCAACGCAGCGGGACCACCCTTGAACGCCGAAACACGGCGGACAGATCGAGCTTGAATAGCTTTCGTGAGGAGACCTCGTCATCGTAACAAGCAGCGGTCTTCAGAAATTCAAGGATGGATGGGAGAAGAGTATTGCCGCCCGGGTACGGAGAAATGCCCCTCGTTACATGCAAGGCTCGATACGCAAGCACCCTACAGCTAAGATCGAACCTACCCGTGTAAAGAGAAGAGTCTGGAAAGATCAATTGCTTGTCGATTGCTCAGAGTCTGCTCATGAGCGCTTTCGCTGTTGCAATGCTGGTCGTTGTTGCGACGCACGCACAAGCATTCGGCAACCGCATTAACAAGTTCACTTCCTCTGTTGGAGGCGACCCTCAAGTCTGTCATGCCGCCACCAGGACAAATAACGCAATACTTCTCGTCGTGGACGCGGCTGCTACTACGGTGCTTGGCATGAGTAATACCTACCAACAAATCATTACTTCTTTACAGACAAGCGACATGAGATACATGCTGAAGAAGTTTGGAGTAACTCATCCCCACGGCTCTATCTACGAGAGCACCTTCATTACCCTTCAGTGGAAAACCAATGTACTCAGATAATATAGATTTGTACTGACTTGTGCTTGCGGTGTAGTCCTCGAGATTGGGTACCGACTCACCATGGAACATCAATCGCAGCAAAAACAAAAAAAGGGGGGGGGACATCCTGGTCGCGTGGTTGTTGCTTGTCTTCACATCGCTGCCTATCCATTTCCTCGCGAACTCGTTCATTGGGCCATCCTACGTCGTTGAACCACCCATGGTCATCTTGAACGGGACGACTCATTCGAACGTCAATCAAGCATACCGAATTACCAACTAAAATGATGAAACTCTCATTTGGAGCACGTCCTCATTCCTCTGCTGGAGAACGTTTCGGACAGGTCGGGCTTCGTTTCCCCACTCTACCGAAGTTATGAAGAAAGAAATTGGTAGCATTAACGAAGGTGGGCTGGATTATTCGATCTTATCTGTCGCATACTCAAAGAAAACTGTTCGGGTCTCGCAGGCACGTGGGATGACTCTTTGGCGGCTGATGGCCTTGAGTCGACCTATAACGTTTCCGCCGGCGGCTATGGACAATACCTTGAGGGGAATTGTATCGGCAGTGAAGACGTATTATGCACATTACGGGGTAAGAAACCTGCGCAGTGTCGCTCGAACGTTCGGATGAGTGCTGCTTTCGTTCTCGCTGCGGCCCTTTCGATCAAGGCCATCTACATGGTCGTTGTCAACTTCTCAGCAAGAGGACATGTTAGGCGACAGCTCTTGACGTTTTGAGATGTTATTATTGTTTCGGCTTCGCATAGTGAGCTCCGTGTGCAAGGCGAGTGCATGGTCAACGCAAAGGAAAGCTATCGAAGGCATTGCACGCACACTTGTCACAAGCATTGCAAAAGCACTAAGGAATCCCAAACACGAGAGGAAGTCGGTATCTGTCAGAAGTGCAAGAAGTGTAACTCTGTTTATCAATTCACAAATGAGATACGACCTACCATCGCGACAAAGATCAAACGCAGTCTCATCTCAAATCTCGGAAACACAGCGCTCACCCAGATGGCAATAATGACATTCTGCAATATAGCGATGGTGGCTGCCTCGATTGCAGTAGCCGTACATGTGGGTCTATCCAATTCTGCAACTAACGAGCAGTGTCTTGGTTCAAATTATGACGACCCATTCTGCCAAATGACGCAGGGCGAGCGCTTTGCCTACAATTCAGGAGGTTGGGGAGGTTTCAACCGTTCCCTAGCGGTCGCTACCTTACCACCTGATGACCAAGGGAGCGAGGTCCTTTCGTTTCTGATATCGAACGGCGCGTAATTCATCTACTCGCTTCTTTACCTCCTGCTCATATATAACATCACCCTTGTTAGTCAAGAGTACGATTGGGGAAAATTCGAACATGAGCGCTCCCGCCTTCGCTGTACAATCGTAACAGGCAAGTCTTTCGACAAATATTGCCTCCTCCAGCTTCCCAAAAAGATACTCTTCCCTTCATGACTTGCTCCATACTCACACATTGGATGCTTGGGGAGGCTCTTCAGACACAGGAAACAATTTGGTAGGACATCAATAGTGGTACTAAGCGGCATGTCGAGCAGTCCATGTACTCGATCATGTATGCTGCGTATCCGCTTTGAATTGCTACTTTCCTCATCCTGAAAATGACCGGAGCATGTTAGTGGGCTTTTGGATATAGAAGGGAAGGCGTCATTCCGCAGATGTTGGAAGCATCAGAATTCGATGTGCGAGCACGACTCAAGTGGATGATTTCCCTGTTACGGGTGTTAAATGGGGAGATGCAGGCATGGGCAAGCAACATAGGCGCGCAGCGCTGAGTGCAGAGGAGGTGCAACAGATCATCCTTAATGAGCTTTATGCTGGGTTCGGGGGCGAGGAGGTGGAAGTGACGGAATCATGGAATAATGGGATCGAAGATTTGCTACCTACGAGGTAAGCTAATAAAGCAACTCAGCTCGTAGGCCGAGTCCTTCAGCATGTCCGTAGGCAACCGTCACATCTACTATGCCGCTTCTCAAGCTCCAAACTGGTCGACATCCATCCTCACGATCTTCCAGCTATCAAGTCAGCACAGAGTTCCGCTAGCGCATAGATCGTACATGAGGGCATTCCTCCCAGAGGCTCTGGGAATACACTTGCATCGCAAACCCTCAGATTCCCGCCTTTCACCCGTCGTACCCGAAACTCGCTGTCCAGCACATCGCCTAAAGCACATGTCCCCATAGGATGAGCGATTGTCTGCATGTGTTCTTTCACTCTTTCGTCGATTTCCTGATCCGTGCTCTCCATCGTCAGTGCCGGGAACCTTGAGTCCGCAGGCGGCGTTTCTCCATCCAAAACATCAGCGAAAGGCGGCGTAGATACGAGTGCAAGCGTTGTACGGATAGCCGTACGCAGTATGAACCGATCTGATTCCGTTGACATGAATTTGGGGTCGCAAACAGGAGTGTCAGTGGGGTTTGACGAACGAAGTGTAACGGTGCCTCGGGAGAGTGGAAGAAGGCTGAGTGCTGTGATGGCAATGTGTTTCCCGTCTCCAATCACAACATCCGGATTGTACTGGTTCATGTTTGCAAGGATTGGGAAATAGAAGGGGAGATGCATGATGTGACATCTTCTGTCTCTCAAATGTGGATGTTGCTCTCCATCCGTCCCAACTATGGCCTTCTCCTTATCTGCAGCGAGAACCGGCGCCAATCGCGACGGCGAGATATGTGAGAAGAGATTGAATTCCCAAGGAAAGCCCTGGCCGTATTCGGGACGCATGGTACCTTCGAATGGGAGTGCAAAGCCTTTCGATGGGTCCTTGAGCTTGTAGTATTGCGTAATGCATGCGTGGTCGAAGAGGTTCTTTCCCACCAAAGGAGCATCGATCTGGACTTGAATCTCCTGCTTTTCGAGCTCGTCGCGCGGCCCAATTCCAGAAAGCATCAACAACTGCGGCGTTCTCTGCGCTCCACAAGACACAATGATCTCCTTCCTAGCGAACAGTCGCTCTCCAGATACTAGCTCCACACCCGTCGCGCGCTTCTCCTCGTCAAGCAGGATTTTTGCGACAGGAGATTCGCAACGAACATCCACCTTCGTTAGATCATACACCCGCGCGCTATGCTGCCTCTCCGAGCTCGAGTCGGACGTCGCCCGAAAGCACTGAGTCATCTCCACCAAACCGGATGGGTCCCCTTTCGCAGCATCCGGGTTATACTTGTACCCTAATTGTTCCACCGCTTTTTGGATAAATGGTCGCAGCGGATACTTTCTTCCACCCACTGTGTGCAGCGGCCCCTCGAATCCATGATATTCGCTGTCAGCCCCAGCATCCCACCACGTCTCCGCTCTCTTGAAGTATTTCACCATCTCCTTGAACGAAAACCTCTCATGCCCCGCGCGTTCAGCAATGAGATCATAATCCGTCGAACTGGCACGCATCCAGACACCCACATTGGCGCCCGAACTCCCTGATAGCATACGACCCGCTAGGTTGACTATTTGCCGATTATTGCAGTGCTTTTGTGGGGTTGTAGAGTAATCAACTAGCAGGCCCTCGGGAATGAGTTCGAAGATTGTCGATGGCTCGGTGACTTTTGGGTGCGAGATGGCATTGGGGCCGGCCTCCAGAAGAAGGATGTGGGAGGAGGGAAGATAGCTAGATAGGCGAGAAGCGATGGGAACGCCTGCCGTGCCTCCGCCGACGACAATGTAGTCGAATTCGGTGGGTCGGTCTGCCATGGTGGAAATGAGAAGCTCAATGTCTTTGCGGTCGAGATAAGTTTGGGCTTGATCAGAATCTTAAAAGTAACGAGCAATTGCTTCCTTGTAATGTAAGGATGTCTGCAACCAAAGGCAGTGCTTATGCCGTGCTTATTCAGGTCCTTATCATGAATGTATTAGCTGAGCCAGAACGGCATTGAAGGACTCGATGTCTTCTGTTAATGGGCAAAGGTCCGAGTCTGACATAAGCGCGCCTTATATATGTATTGTCGCGAGCTACATTCCAACTGAGCCTCGTTCAGGTGGAGTGGCTTTTCACTGCGAAGCGGGGTATGTGGGGCCTTGACCAGCATAGCAATGCATTTGGTGTCTACGGAAGTACCTCACCGATTACAGACCCACAGGTAAGTGTAAGATAATTGTGATTTGTCAGTACATTTTAGTAGTGCGTTAAGCTAAAGTGCCGTTAAATAGTTCGTTGATCCTCCAGGCTCAACTCCCATCAAGACCAAGCAGTCTCGGGAACATTTCCGCCCCCAAATGGATAGCCGACCATCTCCACACTGTACTTGTGCGTCTTCTCGATCTCATCGGCCTGCTCTTTGAGCTCATCGACGTCCCAGTTCGTCCACAAGAATTTCCCCTTTAGAAAATCGGATTCCGGGCTCGCGAGCCAAACGTTGAAGCTCGCAGGAAGGGAGACTAGCATATAATCAGCCCCGAACGTATTCTATTGAGCGTTATTAGATACTCACCATGATCCTCATAATTCATAGCCTTGATGCCTCCAGCGAGTCTGTTCATGTCCGTATCGACGACACCTGGTTGAATTGAATAGACACTGAACCCTGGATTGTTGAATTGGACTAGCTGCCAAAGTCGGACATTGGCCCACTTCGCCACACTGTAAGATGCGAAGGCATCGCCGTAAGTTACGTGAGCCGCGTTCGAGTTTATATCGATGGCCGTCGCATCCGGTGCAGCTCGTGGGACGAAAGCCCTCGCGACGTTCCAAGCCATAGAGACGTTCGACGCAATACCGTCAAGATAATCTTGGTCGCTCACTGCGAGAAAGCCGCCCATTGGTCCTGTAGTTCCCGCATTACTGACAACAACGTTGATCTTCTTCCCTGAATCCAACGGTACGAAAGCTTCGAAGGCAGCGTTGACCTCGTCCGTTTTGGTGACGTCAACGGAGGCCGTGAAAACCTCAACGCTGGGGTATTGCTTCTGGATGGAGGCTTTGGTATCGAGGAGGGGCTGTTCGCGGCGGCCAAGCAGGGCGATGCGAGCAGCGCCCGCTTCTGCGAAGGCGTGTGCCGTTCCAGCACCAATACCAGTACCACCACCAGTGATAAGGACGGTCTTGCCTTTCTGGCTGAGCTCGGGTCGAGCAGGCGAGATCGATGGGTATGCCTTGGAGTGCCAGGTCTTAGTAGGAGATGGGAAGGGGGGCATGATGATGGAATGGAATAGCTTTTCAAGTATGAAATGGCTTTGAGTGGGATGAGTCGTTGTATGGCTCAAGGTTGAACGTTTGATGCAATTGATGATTGTGACGGCGGAGGGCATGTTATATACCGCGACAACGTATTATGTCAATTCACTACTTCCGAACATTCGTGCGACTTTAGTCCAGTATCCATGCGATCCATAATAGTCGGATTGTACAATTGTGTAGACAGGATCAGTTTCGACAGCATGTTTCGTCGTCTCCGTGGTTGCGAGATGGGAAGTACCCATAGTAATCCATCCCCGACACTGTCCAATTGGGCGCGAGTTGGCGGAATGCCGTCATCTCATTCTTTTAAGGCTTTGATTACGCTGTTGCTCCCTGCCAAATTATAGGCGATGATGATGTGGAGGGTACAAAACGTTGGGCCGGCCTGCTACAATTTGTAGAGTCCGCGCCTAGCCGAATCGGGGAAGGCGCGGGCTGACAAACCGCCGTTACGCCCTGCGGCGGGCATTTCAAAGTCCTTTGACGTCCAACAATTAAAGTCCTACGAGGCACGTCCGAGCGAATTAAAAATGTATGAAAGAGTTTCCACGTTAGTATTACGGTGTGAGCTGTGCAATAAGCCCTTCGACAAGCGTAAGTAAGATGTGGAGCCATCTCGCCTATCGTGGTTGGTATAGAGCACGCAGGAGCTGATGTGCGTCTAGCCTCAACCTTGAAGAGACATGGATATTATTGCAGGTCCAGAAGAGTTGGAACTACCACTCGTCCGCGCTCTTGCATCGCATGCGCGAAGGGGAAAGCACGGTGCGACAACAGGCGCCCCGAATGCTCGCGATGTGTAGCCAAGTCTATCCAATGTGATTACCCGCCAAGCCCACGAAGAGGGACAGGCACCAAATCGTATTCTCCGACCGTATCAGGGGAGCTCGATGGTGTGCAGATGTCTCCAGAAGGCAGCGATGAGATGGACATCTCTGTCGATACCTCTCCCACCACTACCTCAGACATTCATGTCGAGAACTCCAATTGGGAAGACTCGGAGATCAATTTCTCAGACTTTTTGAACTCACCTGTCCTTGCTGCAGATATGGGCGATGATCTGGCAACCGAAGACCATTCTCTGGTCCGGCACTCAACTCCGCCAACGAGCACGACCTTCCATATACCAGATATCGCCATCTCCGCTGCCCTCAACTTCTCTATTCCTCCAGCACCGACAAGTTCCACTCGCTCACTCGTGCTCAAATCGAAAGCAAGACCCGGATCTCACAGAGTCGTCACCTTGATCCTGCACACCCTTAAATCCTACCCACAGATGATGCTCCGCGACGGCACGTTACCGCCATATATTCACCCACACCTAGTGTCATCTGATTTCAACGGCAACGATATGGAGTCGCTAAGCAATTGCATTAGCTTGGTCCACATGATAAGTCACAAGGTTCGAGGTAGTCGCAAGCTCTTCTGGAAGAATGTGCGTTCAGAGTGCGAGCGGATGAGCACTGAGGTACGTTGCGCGTAGGAGGACCCGCCAGTGTAGCTAATGGACGAAAGCCTGCCAGATTCAGCAACTGGGAGCTTCTTGCAGCGATGCATGCTCTGAGTGTATACATCCTTATCCGCATCAGTGAAGGCGTGACCGACGATAACAATCTCGATCAGCTACTTCTTTTAACAATGACTGTAAGGACTTGTCCTGGCAACCAGGACCGATTGATATGGTGACATCGGACACTGACCGGAATCTTGTAGGCCACAGCCACCCACCTTGCACGCAGCGATGCTACTTTTACTCCCTTGGCCCACTCCTGTGACACCCGTGCTTGCTGGCTAGAGTGGGTGTACATGGAGTCCCGACGGCGTCTTGGTATCGTCTTCCGAGTAATCAATCTGATTGTATACTTCGATCCCGGCACAATGTGCTCACTGCAGTCGGATCTCCTTCTCGCCCCGCTGCCGGCAAAGAGAGCTTTGTGGAATGCCCCAAACGAGTTTGCATGGTACGTCCCGTCCTCGTCGTCTCAACTATCGCAAGCCCATATCATCTGCTTGAGATTTGTTTACTGAGTCCTGTTCATTAGGAAAGCTGAACGGGACAAGCAATCCTTGCCGCGCAGTGCATTCGGATTAGCTACAAGCGGTGAGCTGGTGAGGTTAGATGAGATGGACTTGTACGGTGGCTACGGAACAATCACCACAGAGAAGGACCACACAACCTCAGATCAAAATTGGGAAGAGTGGTGCTCTGGGATGGATTCATTCGGTGGGTTGGTTATGCTCACTGCTTCTCTGGTTGGATGATCTGGTCATATCACTCATCAGTAGAGCCGTTGTTGTTACGATTGCACGAATGGGAACGACAATTGAACGTTTGAACATGTTTTTCTTATCGCAACACAGACGTATGTATCCAGTCTTCCCCGCCAGCTACCCAGACACCTCGAAAAACAATGCTTTACAATGGCCTCGACCGTAGCCAAAATCGTATCGTCATGAAATCGTATCCGTCGGAGCGGCGCTCGAAAAGACTCCACCAACACCTTCAATGCACAATATGCTTCCGAGACGCCTTCGCTTAAAGTCGACAGATAGAGTTCGAAACCCAGCCGAGAACCCGTTTCCGAGGGCAGATGTGGAAGATCCATGGATAGGATCCGCGTCACATACCCAAACGAGATGTGATACTTACCAACTTACCGTTGCGCGTAGAGTCGGATGACAGGCTCCGTTGCGCAAGCCGTTGGTTTGGTGCTTAGCGATGTCGAGTGACTATGCTGCGCACATTGTCATGAGCCTACTGCTCTCCTCTGATTCTTCCACTTCCTCCATACAATATCTCGGCGCCAACTTAGCGGATCGTCGCCGACTTGACAGCGCTAGCGGTCTTCATGGATGCAGCACCAGCGGCGGCGATAGACGGTTGACCGGGCTTCTTCTCGAAGATCTTCCAGAACTTGAGAGACTCATCGGCAGCGGCAGTGGCGAGCATCTGGCCATCGGGGCTGAGGCAGCTGTGCAGAACGCGAGACTCGTGGGCTGGGACCTCCATGTTCTTCACGCCAGATGGGTAGCTCCAGATGCTGAGAGAGTTGTCAGGGAAACCGCCACTGCTGACGATCTCCTTGTAATGAGTGCTCCATCGCAAGCTGGTGACCTGCGAGTCAGTGGAGATGTTGTTGATGCGAGCGCCAGTGGTGGTGTTCCAGAAGTTGATTTGACGATCGTTGGATCCACCGCCGGTTGCGAGGAGGTTTGACTGCCAAGGGCACCATGAGATGGCCTTGACAGCAGCACGGTGGTTGGTCTTAGTGAACTTGGGGGCAGCAAGAGAGCGAGCGTCCCAGATCGAGACCAAGTTGTCATTAGCGCCAGTGGCGAGCTGAGCACCATCGGCGCGCCATTCAAGACCGCAGACCTCGCCAGTGTGGGACACAAGCTCGGCGACCTTGTGTTGCGCGATGCGCACGTCGTGGTTGTAGACGAGACCTGAGCGGGCACCAGTGGACAGAATGTGTTTGTTCCATCCCATGACGCCAACACGGGTCTCGTGGCCGAACATGCTTCGGAGCTTGGTGCCCTCCTCGACGTCCCAAATCTGGACTTCGCCGGAGCCGAGACCGACACCAACGTAAGCGCCATCGCCGGACCACTTCACAGACGAAATGTAAGTGTCGGTCGGGCACTCCAAGAGGGAAGCGACAGAGCCAGAGTCGGCGGACCAGATGTAAACGGAACGCTCGAGACCAATGGCAACCTGGTTGCCAGAAGACCAGTCGAGCAAGTTGAGGTAATAGTCATCAACGAGGCCAGGGGCGTCAAGAACGCGCTCGGGTGCCGAGGGAATGCGGCGGCGACTTTGGGCATTGACGCTGCTGGCGGGCTTTAGAGGGCGGTTGTACTGCGAGCGGAGATCGATGGGCTTCGATGACTCTGGGGGCGCAGGCTTGAAGGCGAGGATACGAGTGTTGAGGTTGACACCGCACGCTGAGGCAAGTGATGATTGGTATGCGGCTGCGTCTGGGGTAGGCTTCTTGGACTGCGAGCGTTCCTCATCATCCTCCTCCAGACTAAGACCCTCCAAAGAAAGGGTAGGCTCCTCATCCGACGTGCGTCCGTTGAGGTCGAATGTGCTTGCGGCATTGGCCAATACGGATGAGCCCTCGCCGGTTGAGCTGGACTTGGGTCGCTGCTCGAGGTCGATCTTGCCTGTGCCGACGTTGCAGGTAGCCTCGCTTGCTGTCCGGTTGGGAATGAAGCGGTCCGCCGAGTTGTATGCTATTCTGGTCTTTGTGGGTCGTGATCGGAGGGTGACATCTTTCTTTGCCTTGGGTGTCTTGGTCGAAGTTGCGGTGGTGGTGCCCGTGCCCGTCAGCGCCCACTCTGACACACCTAGCTCTAGCCGCCGTGGCGAGCTACGAGCGATGTTTGACTTGGGCGAATCGCGGGTGGTCTTGGAGACAGAGCGCTGGATGCGGGCCATGAAGCTACCGCCATGGATGGACTCGTGCGCCAGCGCATCCGGGGTCTGGTTGCGAGATGTGCGAGGAGAGGGCGTCAATGGCATCCGGCCGCCGGCGGCGCGGGTGGAGAAGACTGAGGAGCGGCTCTTGACCGGGGTCAAGACGGCTGGGCTGGCCATGGCTGCAAGATCTCGTACTATGTATAGCGTTAGTACTTAAGCGGATGTATGTAGGGCACGGGGTAGTCGTACCTGTGGTTTTCCTGTAGTTTTCGCTGTTGATGAACAAATATGAGTATTAGTAGACAATGGTTGTAATCGATGCTTGGAAGTATTGATTCGAGGTATGTAGAGCGGCCTGCGAGACCAGTTGGAGTGCGGGGAGCGTGGATAGTAAGGTAGTTTGGGAGCTGGATAGAGGGCTCGATGCGGGCATATTAAATACTGTTTGTTTATTGCCTGGTTGCCGAGCAACCGCCTGGAGGCGCAGCCAAGCACCGATGACATAACGCATGCCAAGACGCCTGGTCGCCACTTCTTGTTTCGGGACCACGTTCCTCCTTGCCGGCATTCAGCCGCCTCTGATCTCCGCCAACTCTCTACTCCATAGCCTTGGGAGCCAGGATCCGAGACCCACATTCTACACTCGCTCCACCCGACGACTCCCTTCGCTCCCCCAAGGCGCTGTACCCGACTACTGCCCCCTCTTACCCATATCGCCCTTGCCTGGCTGTACCTGAACTGCCTGGTCGGTGGCAGAAGGGTGCGCAGCGCCCTCCCCAGGAACGAGCCGCCTGCCACGAACCCACATGAATCCTTTGTCCCCACTTCCGAGCGTCCGTGCTTAATCATACCAATGGCGCAACCTCAACTGCCTGCCTCTCTGTTCGCTGGCAATCCGGCTGCGTCAAGCACGCCCCAGGTCGCCCTCACCTCCACCACGCCGACCACCGGCAACGCCGCCAACAACACCTTCGTCATGTCTGCGAGCCCTACGCGAAATCGGAGGTCTACCACGGAGGGCTACAAGCCCAAGCTCATAACCACCGTTGGCGCGAAGCCCGCGTGCCTTGTCAATGCCTCGGTAACCTATGTTGGCAAAGACGAGATCTACGCTTTCGGCGGCTTCGACCAATTCACTGACGAAGGTGAGTGCTCGTTTTCCTACGCACTGGGGCGGGTTCAAGTGGCTAACGGCGGCTGTCAGTTTATAACCACGTACTCCGCTTGAATCTCGTTACTCGCCAATGGAATCTAGTTGACAACTATGGCGACATACCCGGCGTTCGGATGGGACACACTGCTTGCCTTTGGCAGGGTGACAAGCTGTTAGTCTTTGGCGGCGAGAATGAGCATCGACAGCATCTCGCCGATGTAATCGTATTCGATCTGAAGACGGCCCACTGGACCCAGCCCGAATTGCACGGTCCCACGCCCCGCGGCCGCGCTCGCCACTCCGCAGTAATCTACGACGAGAAATTGTACATCAGCGGAGGTCAGACTGGGCATGACAGCGTGCTTGACGACATCTGTTTTTTGGACTTGAAGACATGGACTTGGTCGCGGACTTGGAGATTCGTACCCCGTTACGATCACGCGAGCTGGATCTGGAATGGTCGTATCTGGATATTTGGTGGCATCAACGACGAGATGGAGAAGAACAACGAGATCTGGTGGTTGGACCTCCGGGGCAGTCCAGGCTTCGAGACGGCTATGAACTATGGCACCGTGGACCGGACACTGCTTTCTTCACGACACCGCTTCCCAACTTCTGCATCAGGCTCGCTTGCTACTGGTAGTACTGGCTATACCGCGAACTCTAGCGTGCAGTCTAGCTCTCTGGGACCTTCTCGATCTCCGTACGGCACTGCGCCCGGATCCATATCCTCTCTGAAGTTCCACTCAAGCCCAAATCTCCCTTCACAGGCTGCGGGTATGCATTTTCACGTGTTTTCTTCGGGTTGCATGCTCGACTTCGTCACCCCCGCAGAGCTGAGCTGCGAGACGAGTCTCTCCAGTTTAGAGCTCGATGTCCTTCGTTGGCAGAAGCTTGCAGATGGGAAAGACATGTATAACCCAAACTATCGCTGGCACTACTGTACCACCAATGCAGAAGGCACTCACGCTTGGCTCCTCGGTAGTCCTGCTGAACCAGCTGCGGATGGCAACGGCGTGAGCCCTGGAGAATATCTCAGCGATGTATTGGCCATTGATTTGCGCAAATACGGCATTCTTGGCAATGAACTGGCAACCGATCCTCGGTCGAAGTTGCCATCCTCTGATGCCAATGTGACGTCTCATTTGACGGGCATCGGCGCTGATTTATCTTTAACCTTTGACAGGCCCCCAGAGTCGGGCAGCGGAGCTGACTTCATCGTCACAGCAGATCCGGATGATCTTGAAGATGTTACTTCGCCGACAGACGACTCAAAGACGGCAGTCGCACCTGTTTCGCAGCCGATCCACGTCCATAGGTTTATTCTACATGCTCGTTGGCCACACTTTGCTCGACTTTGGAGTGCCCAGATGGTCGAGTTCCATTCTAAAAAGATGCACATTCCCGAGCCGTACTCTGCAGTGCGGGCGTTCCTTTTCTACCTCTACACGGACAGCATTGCACCCCATCCAACGAACGGACCAACCCTGAACGATGTTGCCGGCATGCTTGTCATGTCCAACATTTACGACATGCCGCGCTTGCGTCTACTCAGCGTCAATCGATTGAGCCGCGAACTGGACATTGAACACGCAGCCATCATATGGGAACGCGCTGGAACCGCGAATGAAGAATGGTTGAAACGTCGGGCGGCAGCCTTCTGCTTGAGCAATTGGGGCAAGATCGTCCGCACAGCCGGCTTCCGAGCTCTTGGTCCCTTGGCCATCATGGATCTTTGCGCCGAGGCCGATATCGACTCTCGCGTTGTGGGCGGAGAGGAGCTCGAAATGTTGGGCCAGCTCAATCGCCCGTTCGCCACCAACCGCAAGCGTAGCCTTGGTAGCGCAGGTGTCCTCACGGCTGGTGAGGAAGAAGAAGACGGCGAGGTGGAAGACGACGGTATGGACGTAAACTAGGCGCTCCTCCGGGTGTGGAGGAAAGGGAAGTGCATTCACCGGGCGTTTTCGTTATCTGGGCGGGTCGTACATTTTGCATTCATGAAGAGCGTGGCGTTGGTCATTTGGCGCTTCGATAGGCAGACTTCACTCTGCGATGCTGCCGTGGGAAGCTCTATTTCGTAACCGAACGTCTTGGGATGGGTTGGAAGGGCATCATATTGGCGTCTTGGTTGGTCATGAATGACGATTAAAATGTCGAGTAGCATTAAGAATGAATAGATGACTCCATTAAGGGTGATTAGATGACCCCAGAGTGTATCAGCTTATCTTCCGTCAGTCCTGATGTGCTGTTATATTGCTGTGAATGATAGCAGCCAAGTAGGGCGGTATTACAGTGCATGGTCTGATGAGGCTAGGTCGACCGCCCTGAGGAGGTGGAGGTCAGTAAGATGACTGGACAGAGTACTGTTGATCGATATTTATATTCTAAGTCTGTTCGTCAGTGCATGTCCAAAACAGCAGATTCATTGCGCTTATGACGCGCCGTTCCCTGAAATGTGCCCGTGACGCGAAAAAGGAAGGCTTCTGGGAAGGGTAACACAGTGTACCGAATCCTTCAACGGAACACTATGCTTTCCGGTGTGAAACTATGGATAAGGGCTTGTACTAGCAGACTCTGACCCATAGTTTTAGAGGCATGCGAAGCTCGAGAACGGTACGGGAGCCTTGGGCACCAAGGGAAACAGACGCGGTTAGCGGCTTTGGCCCATGGTTAGACTGATTACTATCAATGATGGCACCTCGCCTTGCATACGTACGTCGGAGTTGGTTGCTTATACATAGTTCGATAATTGACTCAACAATGTTTGAATCTACGTGACCTTCTCTTTGATGGAGGGCGACATTTGCTACAGGTTGGAAGTTTGCAGTGTTACAACTCTCCGACGTTAGGCCTCCAACTCCGGGCTTGGGAGCCAGAAAGTCACGCGTTGTGTCACCACAATTAGTAACGAAGCAACGGACGCGGAATGCTCAGGGTAACGAAACTCTGAGGGAGGATTATGTGCGCGAGCCTGCCCAGGCCTGGTTACTGCAATGGTTTAATGGAATCGAAGCCTAGAGCTTCGTTGCATTACCATTCCGTGGCGACTATGACGTTAGCGGAGATTCGGGGATCACCATTGCTCGCTCGCGGGGACATGAGCATCGACGATGTAGGACCACTTTGAGAGTTTTGGCCGGCATGATAGCCTTAGCCACTCAGGATCATTTGTCTTAGATTTGAGCGGTAAAGGCTTCAGCGTATAGCCACCTATTAAGTTAACGCGCTGAACAGACTAGATCGGGGATTGTATTCCAAGGCGGTGTGTAGTAGAGATACTACAGACATCTTTAGGATAGTTACTGGCAAAAACTCTAGAGCTGATTTAGATTATAACAGCGAAAGGAAAACACAATGAACCTTGAATGATCGGCGCGCGCCCGTACTCCGTCCAAATGAGATGTCTGAGGCCGGAAGTCAGTGCTACCACCTGCGCCGCCTTCCACTAGAGAGACGAGACTCCCCCCATATAGGGTTGTGAAGAGATTAACTGAGCAAACAAGCCCCTGATGAAGAGGGTCCGGTATCTTTAATTGTGAAATAGAAAGCACAACTGAGAGTCCTAGATGCCGTAAATGTGGAACGTTTTGTGCGTGCAGCCGTCAGACAAGAGGCCGGTATGCTTACGGCTCCGTATTTTAGCGTAGATACGGAGACCACTTCGGGCAAAATATTTAGACTGACACCGCACTCGCATTATAAACCTTCCATTGAAGAGATTGCGAGCTAACTCATCGCTTGTGGAGAGGCGGCCGGCTTTATCTACGCGGTAGCAGTCAGCCCAAGCAACAGAACCGAGGCGCTCCTCATATGAATCTTAATCCTGGAGCATTTGAGCCTCAGGCTCTGCTCTGCCAATATTCATGATTAGCTCCCTAATCAACTAGCCTTGCTTATCTTGTGGTGGATTGGCCCTTCACCTGCGTCCGAGTGCTGCCATGCTAGTGGAAGGTATAGAACTCTGCACATCATCAGAAATGCCGAAAGAGCCTAAGTATGCCGCTCACTTGACTCGTTCCTTGCGCACGGTATACCGGTTGTGCTGATGCCCAACAGGTGGAATCCTACAAGCCACCACATGTAAGCTCGCCGACGAAGCGGAGCCGGTAGATCGTACGAACACCCGGGACAATAGAATGACCAGGTCGGTGGAACATACGTCCATACGAATCCTGCATGCGGCACATCTGAAGTAGTGGATCCCCCGCTGACCGTTTCGGAAGCCTGATCGCTGAACAGCCGTATTAAGCCGTGCCCCTGCCGTGGTTTGCTGTCAGCAAAAACAAGTATAAAGGGGGAAGGCGGGTACGTCTCATCCCTGTTGTGATGTTCAACGTCTCTCGTCTCTTCGGTTGTTTCTACAACCCAACGCGCGATCGATCAATGGCCTAAAAGTACGATCAGCGCGAATCGGTCACTTGTTTCATCTTCTCCGCATTTCATGAATAGCTGAGTACTGTGCCGTAGACATCGCCAAAGAGCATGCATCTATGCGCAAGACCTTCAACGGTGATGCATGAAAGGTTTCCTCGCTTGCGCTTCTCCAGCCTCCTGCCGTTTCGGCCCGCCAGTGTCAGCACTGTTTCCACATGTGGGAAAGTGCCATTCAATCCAGATTGAGATGGTGAGGCACCGCTTATCCGTAATGGTTTAAGACAGGAGGTCTCATTAATACTCGACATTTACTTTAAGTGTGAGCAGGCTTCATAGAGGGTCATGTTACGCCATCGTCGATCGGATCAAATCCCAACGCTTGTGTGCCTCGCAATCAAATCGACCCGTGGCTCCTAAAATCCACAAAGAAGATTTCGAAAATGAGGATAATGTAAGAGGATGGCACAGAGCAGCGGCAAAGGGATCGAGCAGCATTGAGATGAGTCATCGGCAGCCCTCTGCGTCTGAAGATAGACTGTCGCAAATCAGTATCGCCTTACTACAGGAAGGTGGTATAATGTGCTTTGTTGAGGCTGTGTCGCAGGAGTTAAGGGGAGAGGACAAGATATGTTAACTCTAATGTCGCCGGAAAGAGCTATCACACAGTGGCAAGAGAATGGCGATGAAGGTAGAGAAGATCCCTTATTGGAATGAAAGAGATCAGGATAGCTGAAGCCAACCGCGTCCTCTTTTCCAGTATCGCATCAGGCAACCAAAATACAGGTGAAGACTGCATGACTCGACACGCTTACAGTCTGCCTGAAACTTCGGCAGAGGCACACATAATAGTGTGGGAGACACCGCTCGCACACGGTCCAGTGATTTAATTACGCCGCTGGGTATGCAGACGGTGCATCGTGAGACCAAACATGGTGTTCGGTCGGTAGATTTCCAAGCCTGGACACGATCCCACGGTCCGCAGTATAGGCCCCAAACCTTCCAAGGAGTCATTGGATGCTGCATGAAGGTAGCCTGGAGGGTGCCTATCCTTGTCAAGGGGAAGAAGAGATGGTGTGGTCGCAATCCTTCCTGATGCCGGTGAAAGTTGTGTTCGGCGAGGTTGCACACGTGAGCTGGTACCGGGGAGGAATGTAGGATTGGTTCAAGTACGCCATGAGCGGCAAGGCAATTGCGATGCGCGTTGCCTGAAAAAATCAATGACAGTCGAGTATGCACGAACTAGGCAAAGGATAGGAACCGAGGAAGAGTTGACCTCACCGTGTACCTGGAACCTTTGAATTGGCGGCGTTCATTGATGTTTCTCTCTTGGAACCAGCTGTCATTCCCTGCAAGAGACACACGACCCTGTTCTTTGGGGCCGTGTCGGCCATCGGTTTACGGCCTAGTGCGCCTGGGAAAGAGTTGTATACGAGGTTGGAACCATACGGCCCCAGGGTGCCTCGAATACCACCCAGAGCTCTCGCACGATAATCGAAAGGTCGTTGACGCCGTACACTTTGCCCCCAACCGACACTGCACCAAGATCTCCGGTTCAGCGGAGATGAAAGCGACTGCAGACTCGATCTGAAGAAGCACAGGCATCGCAAGGCCCTTAACCAGACTAGTGTTTTTCCGTCGGAATAATACCATTGGTACCGTATCTGAGCGTTCGGTGTTGTGGGTTATCGAAGAAAATCTGACACTCGGACACGATGTTGTTAGCCCCAATGCGGGAGTAGTTCCGCAGAACGCTCGAGCACCAGCATGTACGCAGTCGACCGGCGCAGACGGCGTAAACGGCCCCAAAACAGGCACGAAAACATTCCAGAAGCGTGGGGTCGAGAGTTGGTTCACATGTGCCATGCATCACGAGATGTTTACGGCATCGATATGGCACATGCGAACGACCCGATCATGTGAGCAATGTTGCCTCAAGGAAACACCAAAAAGTCTGATTGCTTCTTAGGCAGGAGACCAGGTTGGAAGAGAAACCCACGCTACGCTGGTAATTGTTCCGCGCGTTACTCGGTCGATGCAGCAGTGTGCTATGCCAGGGTAAACTGCAGGTCTCTAGAATCTGGCTTACACTATTGTGCGGTTAGCAGCTGGCAGGAGACTGTGCAAGCGGACACCGAAGACCCACCCGCGGAAACGGGGCGTTTTTGATGAACTTGATCGGGACAAATTCTGCAGAGAGCCATGTTCCGTCCGGGCTATCGGCTGAGTCGAGTGCGCCTGACTCAATTTAGCAAGAGTACAAAGTTAGAAGACGCAAGGCGTTCAGTGCCGTTCGCTCCTCCGCCGAGCCTGTCGAACGCAAGATGGTGCTACTTCCGAGGGAACTTTTCTGAGCGTGGGTCTGTTGGAATATCGTTACGACTGGACGACGCTGGCTGAAGCATCGTTGATGGTCGACACTGGGGTCTTCGCAAGATGTTCTCTTTTCCCAGAAGCGGCTAGCGTGATACACAGCCACTGGGCGAACTATATTCGTCCAAGATGTGGATTGAAGCGCCAGCAAAGTGAGCCTGTAGTCCAGCTAAGTCAGAGTGTGTATATCTATCATTGCAGTGTGATCCTTCCACTAATCAAGAATCGGGGTCTGTTTTGTGTGGAATATTCCACAATAACAGACCATGATGGAAGTCAATACCACATGGTAGCTAGGCGGCATCGCAACGGCCAGTCGTAACGGCAATGTCTATCACACTCGTTATTCAGTGTTCTCTAGGAACTCTCACGAGATTGTTGTTTGTTCGTCGGAGAATTCAAGTCCAAGAGCATCTTCAGTATCGAAATTTCAGCTGGCAATGTCGCGCCAAGCCGTATCGATCCTTGGAGAAAAGCTACCCAAAAAAAAGACACTTGAACCTAAAAGAAAACATGCAAGGCTCTCTTGCGAGGATGCGGGTTTCTGTTCATAAGGATCTCCAGAATTAGATAGCGGACCTCAGTCCGCAGGCGGACACCGGGCCATCGCGCTTCTGCGAATCCGCCAAACAATATAGCGCGAACATGCTCGCCAAAAATAGTCATGGAAAGCAGTTCGAACCAGCCCGCTCTTGGACCAAGTCGCCTAGAAGCGTGCGTGCCGTGCCTAGCGGAGCGGTACAGGGCCAGCAACATCAGTTCTGATGCCGTGACGGGATATCGAAGTCATCTTAACATGGGCAGTAACATGACATCGGAGATACAGGGCCCATCCCGCCTTCGCCACCGCAGGGCTGAATAATAGGGACGATCAGCACTGTTCGAGATCTGGAGAAATTGGCCACCGAGACGAGCACAGCGCTGGCGACCGCCGCCCGCGCCTTCGGATGTGTGTAACCTACGGGTTCACGGTGAGCTCCGAGAGAGCGTGACAGATCTTACACCGTATCATGAGAAAATTGTGAAAGAGTGATGTAGATGTCACCGCTCCTTTGCAGTGTTCCTCGCGAACCCAGCACCAAGATCACTACAGAACAAGCGGTGACAAGCGTGGATCCGCTCTGCCCTAAGCCAGTTTTAGCCTACCGAACTCCAAGTCATCCCGCGCTACGCATCGCAACATCTTGGTGCAATGACTCAAAATCGGCACCGCGCAGTAAGAGTGTATGAATGAAATCTAGTAAAGGTGTTCGAACCTCGTTCTAGCGTATCGGCTCTCGCGGCTATGAGCCAAATATGCTGCATACGTAGACTTTTGTTTGACAAAGACGCATCAGATGGCCAGGCAGCCGGAGATACCGCACGGAGGAGAGGACCGACAAATAAGGTGCCAATAGAGATGATTGGTAGATTGCAAATACTCCAATGCTATCCAACTTGTCACCCGTGATCAGTGCTCCGTGCATGCAATCCACCACAGACGTATTCGTACAAGCCTCAATCCGACGCCCAGTATGCATGTCGTCCTAGTCATCCCAATCATCCTGTGTGATATCCCTGACCAAACTCCGTGTGAATGCCTTGCGCAAAATAACCAAGCTGAAGAAACATCGAAAAAGCGCCGAGCTGCGCGGAGTCCTGCTCGAAGAAATGAAATGCTTGCGCCGTGTATATGCCAAAACCGACAAGACGGCTCTTCAAAACAGTATGTAGACGAATACCAGGGCCAAGATCTGAGCACGATGTGTATTGCCCTAAGTAGGCAAAGCGAGCGCAGGCCCAAAGTACTTGGATATTCGCCTAATACTGTATGTTGGTTTGCGGCGTGGTTTATCGATGTGTCGAGTAGGCACCACTTCCGTAGCCAGAATCTGGAAGGACTCCAGTGCCGTAGGCAGCCTCTGGTCGGTGACTGCCATGACTGCTGCAGGCATAACCCACGAGAACCGTTTTCTCCTGAATTGTGTGGCCACGCTGTCCGTGAGCGGCACACGGATCGATTGAGTGTCTGTAGTAGAGGCACCGGCAGACGGAGAACCGTTCGACGACTTGATAGCACATGTTGAAGAGCGTTGGTAACGATGACAATAGTGGACGTGAGACGTAGGATTTTGAAACGATTCGACGGTTGAGACGGTTGAGACAGGCTAAGAACGATAACAATGCACAAGCAGTAGAGCAGTGAGCAGGACTGAAACTCGATGAGGAGATGTCAGGGCCCTTGTGGCAAGGAAGCTAGAATTTATAGCTGCAGGAAAAATGTAGAAGCAACAGACAAGAGACAGCTGCGGATAATTGTAGCCCAGAGAGAGGCCTGCCGTGACGCATGCTGCGGGACTTCTAGGCAACGGAATCCATATGTAGGTACACGCTGACTGTGCGCCAGACGGTGCTAACATGGTGCTGGGATGGATGGGGCAGTTGAAAGAACGAGCACAGCCATAACGGCCGCTAGTCATGTATGGGAAGCAGGATAGACGGGTAGGCGTAGTTCGGAATCGGGTGCGGCATAGTTAGCGAAGATGGTTCGCTCGCAGGAGACGTTCTCAGCTGGGGCCGATCGGTCCATCGGTCCTCCTATTGGATAGCGCAACGACATGCACAACTCCTTCATCCGAAGTGAAGTAAAAGTCTCAGGCAGCGCGGCCCTCGGGCGCAAATAGCTTGTCCTGTCAAGTTGAGGTATGGTTGTGGGCCCAACTCTGCAAACGCTACGAGGGCTGGTGAGCATGCGCAACGTGCCTGATACAGTGCGACTGTCCCTACGCAATGGCCAATTCGTGCACCAGACGGTGCGTGTTTCTCGCCAAAGCGGGAGCCCGAGATTCGGGGTCGGCCATATCCCTGGGATGGAGGCGCATATCGAGCATGTAGGGGTGCGTGAGTGGGAGGCTGACGTGGGTTAGACAAGCCCGCCTTTTCTTTCCGGGGGGCTTTTCCCTGCGCCTGCGTACGGTGTCGGCAGACACCATGCACGGCCAAGCAGGCGGGAGGGCAGCCTTAACGCCACAGCGAGATCCGAGACAGATGGCGTGCGCTTCTGGACTCCACGGGCGGGGGTTGTACACAGATTCCCTGCGCCCCGTGAAGGTGGACATAATTTCATGATGCAAGGTTCTGTCGAGGTAACGTGACCGCTTAGCCGACCAGTAAATCGCCGAGATGTTCCACTTCGCCCCAGCACGATGCCTTCATCATCACCACTCAAACATTACGCGACGATAGAAGTGGGCAATGACACCACGGCCGCTCTCGGCGATGGCTTCGTTTCCACATCAAGATCGCGCAGACGTGGACTCCATCATCACGTTGACATCAGCAACTAGGGGTGGCCAACAGGTGATCGGCAAGCGCCTACAGGCTGACCAGCTGAACCTCGATGCTGGCCGGTACCTTCCTTCTCGTCCCGAGTATACAACGCAAGTGGTCAGGACCTGCGATGACCCAGGGTCCTTGTTTTTAAATTCGTTCATCCTTCATCATCATAGTGGTCCTGCATAATTCCAGCCCTATCAGCTTCGTCCCTCAAGTCATGGAGGTGTCGCCTTGACTGGATGTTGAAGGCGAGCAGCATCAGCAACGCTCTTGAATCTCAGTACACGTTGCGATTCGCTCTACCTATGGTATCGAGTAGTCCGCACAGACAAAACTATGTTTCGGGAGTCATGGCGCTCGGGACCACTGGACGTTGCACGGCTTACCCTGCCGCCGTTTGACATTCCGTGCGTCTGCTGTAAGCTTATAAGCTTCTGCAGCCCTACGCAAGAATCCGTTTCTGTCCACGTGGCTGCAGCTCACATGTGCCACCCATCGACATCACTGCTCAACAATCGCAATATTGACGTTAGCATCGTTCTCGTCGACGTTTCCCACTATTAGGCTTCTTCGGCAGGAATTATTGCAGGACGCGTTGTCCTTGTTCTACAGATCTTGCCGTGGTCTTACGGCGGCTCTGCGACCACGGCAGTGTTTCGGACCCCAGGCACATGAGGAGACGGGGTAAGGCAGACTCTCGTGAGGCCGAATCTCCTTTTCGGCCTGCGGCTTGGACTTTGCGCCTGTCTGGCTGGAGCATAGTAAACCTTTGGCGGGCACTTTGATACCAAAATAAAAGCTGGTTCGAAATAAGTAAGGCATTTTCATGATTGCTGCAAATGGTGAACGAGCTGAACGAATGATCTAACAATATAGAGCATCACAAGATCAGTTTTTGAGAACGCCACAAAACCCGTATCTGCGACCAATTTCACTCTGAACCGACTAAGCCGCCGACGTCCGCGTGCTTCCCGAGAAAGCATCTCTCTTCCCCATCTTGTGATTCACCATCCTGAACTACACCGATCATGTCGTTCGCCTGTCGACGTTCGCACTGTCGATCCCCGCGCGAGGCGATTCGGAAACCAAAGCAAATCGGTATCGGCCGCATCTGCGACCAAGTCACCTAAGATACTCGCATTCTACGCAAGTCCGGCGGTCACTGTCAGTGTCTGCGATGCTGTGACGTTAGTCTGACATCTGATCGATTGCAGAGTCTAGACTAGGGCCCATGGAATTAACCGCACATTCGTTCTTGCGGTGAAACCTTGGGGCGAGCTGGGGCGTGAACGTTGCCTAGAGTGTTTTCATCAGCTTGATCTGCCTCAAACCCTGCGTCCCGAGAGAGGTTTCGTAGGATCAATCAACTTACTTCTGTTCACCGGAAGAGCTGGACATGGGGTTGTCTTACAAGGCGGTGGACTCGATAGCTTGGCTCCTTGGATTCACGCAGTCTGGGTCCTACAGACATAACTTCTGTCTGAACACTGTCAGATGATGTACATTGCAAGTTGTTCACAGTGTCCGATGTATTCCAGAACTTCCTCGCCGCTTTCAAAGAGTGCCGGGTTACAGACCTACATCCAAGTCATTTAAATCGCACACTTATAGTCTTAACGTCTGAGGTTGTTTGACATGGCATTATACGAATATGAAGTCTTTCATAGCAATCCTATGGCGCATTAACCTCACAATTATTACCGAGTTTTGGGTACGTCCCGTACTTTGGCAAGCCGCGGTAAAACGCAGTACATCAACTTCGTAGGGTGCCAAAACACAACGTCCAAAATCCCACAACTATTACTCCTGAATGATTTGACTCATACCTGTATCGATACTGCTCAGACGCAATACTCGTCGCGTGCCTTTCTACAGGTCAATAACATCCTTCCACATGCTTTACTGTAAAGATCCCGAGATCCATGTGCTAACGACTATTCAAAATGTTGTCTTGGTCCTTACCTCAAGGAAAGCCATAAAATTACCACGCTTGCAGTACAACAAAAGTGGTCCCCAGTTACAAGGTCATCAACCAGACCATAGCAAGTGACACATTTGAGATATTGCCAACATTCAGATGCGCCCTGCGCCTTAGCACAAGTCACATTCTGTCCTATGACATACCTCGTTGATCATCTCTTGCAACGCTACGTCGAAGGTCTCAGGGCTGCCCTATGCTAATCGAAACCCTCAACTGATTCACTACAGCCAATCGAAGGAAACAAGGGGTCGAGAAATGGTTCCACATACTCCTGTGGGTATTAAAGCACACTATTTCATACTAATTGAGAGGGCAGGACTCTAGTCACTTCTCTATGGTCCTTGAAAGGGCACATTACACTAAAAGACGTATTGAATTATTTGGTCTAATAACTCAGCTAGACATGGAAAAAGCTTGCTCAGTTATCACATAGTCAAGTTTGTTGTACTAGCCTCTGTGATACTATCCGGCTTGTTTGAATTTAATTGTATCGTTGTTTGAGATTAGGTGACCAGTGTGAGCCCCAAGGATTAGCTGTGTCCAACTTAACTGCCACACTGCAGGTTTCTTAATGTACAAGGTTCCGACGGATCAATTGTAGGACAGGAAGGATCGACGTCATGCAGAGAGCTGTTCGGTTAACAAATGACCATAATCTTGGTCAAGTGCAGATGACCTCGTGGTACTTGCATGTGAGACAAGATTATGCACTTGGCCTGCATGTCCAACAAGTTGCACTGTATGTCTTGATATTTCCTGTCAGCACGACTTAATGTTGATAGCGTAAAAAACTCAATCAGTGGAGTTTAGTCTCCGGTTGTACTGTCATATAATCTGGACTGTGGACACAGCCCTTATACTAGCAACACTCCAAAGATGCACGTCTAGAAGGAAATTTGATAGGAATAACGTATTCTGCAATTGGAGTTGCTGCACTAAAATCATAACAAACCTCGCGGCGATGGCCATGCCCTCGAAACAATGGGGTATATCCAGACAGAAAGAAAAAAAACCAACAATCGTCTTAACAATCAATCCTGAACGCCGAGCTTCTTTTGATTTTCGGAGTCGTTCCAATCTTAGAAAGCATTAACAAAAAGCAATCATTATCTCATCAAGGCCAATCTACCTCTATGCGTACGCACAGAAGTAGATGATGGTCAAGCCCATCGCGTACCATCCTGCGTACTTGCCGGCACCAAGTGCGATGCCAGCATCATCGGTACCGCCGGGAGCAGTCGTTCCGTTGGGCAGAGTTCCGTTCAAAATCAAAGTCCTGGTGCCATTGACATCGGCAACGTTGACTAGCGTCTTGTTGAGGGCGTCGTAGCTACCGTTTCCGACCAAATCCTTCAGGTACAAGTCGTTGTCATTCTCATCACAGCCGCACACGCTGTACTCTTCGCAGAGACACGTGACAGGCAACGAGCTGTTGGTACCATTCGGGTTCGTCGCGTTGTGGGCAGATTCGTTGATGAAGCGGTACGGGTTGTGGAAGTAGTACGGGTAGACGCTGTAGAGCCAGAGGCCTGGGAGAAGACCGATAAGCAGTACGGGCGCGAGGACGGCACCTGCAACCAGCCCTTTTGGTGTCTTGCTGCCAGACTTGTAGGGTGTTGATGCTCCTCCTCCATAGTAGCCGCCACCACCGAATGAGCGCGAGGGTCCAGAGCCTGCGACTGTGGCACCGCCAGCGTTGGAAGCGGGAGATGCGCGACCTGACGATGAGGAACCGCCTGAGCTGCTGCCGCCCGATTTGCTTCCGCCTGAAAGTCAATGTCAGTAATTTTCAGCGCATATACTTTCAATGTGAGTCGCTTACTGCTGCTGCTGCCTCCTCCTCCGCCTTTACCACCACCGCCTTTACGCTTCTCTAAGGTGTGCTCGGGAGCTAAAATATCCGAACTCCTGATGCTGATAGCCCGATCATCGCGAACCTTAACGTCAGTGTTCGGCACGGATACCGCGTGTGCTGTAGAGGCCGCAAAGGCGAAGTAGGTTGCGATATGTAATAGTCTCATGCTGACGTTGTAGTGTGACGGTTACCAGTGATGTTGGTGTCGCGCGTAGGTTGGTGTGAAAGATGACAGTACGTCGTTAGTAATAGCTGGTCGAACAATATTCTCGTCGCGCAGAGATTTGTTTTACCGTGGACAGAAATTTAATGGAGAACCGACCGGGTTCAAGGCCTATTATATGTATGATGAAGAGTGGTAAGGGAGGCGAAGGCAAACACCATGTCATAGTGCACTGCCCTGCAGCGGACACCATTGATGAGCGGGTTTGCGATGCCAAGCAACTAAGCCACGAGAGGAGAGGTTGGAGGAAATTGCCTCGGCGAATCGTATTCACCGCAAAGGTGCTGCGCCGCTTTACTCCGGTCTAAGTGGAAAGATTTGAATATATATCAATCAGATGACCTGCCGGATTTGATGGTAGTGAAGATTGGCGCATTCAATCATTTTATCCTGTGCAAAGATATGGGTGAAAGAGCAGGACCACATTCGGGTTCACAGTTCCCGGTGCCAAGCCATGATTTCATGAGTGCGATGCGGATCTCCCCGCGGATGTAGAAGCTTTGAGCACAGATCTGGACAGAAAGAAGCATCATCAGGTCTGCCTTCTATGACGATGTATTCCTTGGTAGCCACGCAAATGGGAAACACGGCATCCTGTTTTGCGATTGCCGTACGATCTTGCTGTAATAAGCGACCGTGCGAATGGCAAATCTATGGATCTAAGCTTCCATGGGGCGGTGTGCGAGCCAAGCCAGCAATACGAGCTTATTTTCTTAAAGGCATTAGTGTTCCGATGTTCACGAGAGTACCATCTGGAGACCCTGAAGGGTACACGTCCTGGACAGATTTGGTGGCAAACTACCAGAGCAAGCCAAACACGTATGAAATCCTGAAAGTATCGTCACAAGACAACCTTCATGATGGTCAGATTAGACCCAGTGGAGGGTGTCTACCTATAGTATTCATACAATCGCGAGGCTACTGCAGCAGCTACTACGTATACATCGATACCCCCTTGTCCCATCAGCGCCTCACAATGGTCTATATTCCTTGCAATCTGGTGAGCTTCAAAAAGCTTGCGCAGCCCGGGTCGTATCCACTTGAACGATGGTTCGCGAAGTGTTGCGCAGCCGCATTCCACCGCCACGGCCAGCCTTCTTAGGCTGCATTCAGGCTGTCTAGACCCATGTTCCTGGCTGCTGGTCGGAGGAATGTAAAGCCATGAAGGCTATCTCAACGTCGTTGGGCGTCGTAGGGCGGAGCGGGGCGGAGCAGGGCGGGCGAGGTTTGAGCACCCAGAGCTGTAGCGGATGGAGGCCTCGATGCTTTACAATTTTCCGGTGAGAGCCTCACTGCCTAGGCCTGTAATTTGCGCAAACGGAATATGGCTGCTACTAAGATGCTGTGCCGCGGCCTTGGTATGCTGCTGGTCCTCCACCGTCCGAAACGGTTTGGACCTTCCTGTATTCCTCTTCAAGAGCCCGTTGCATCTCGAAGTCGGCTTGTCGTTCGCGTTTCAGTCGCTGCTGCTCGTAGTCACGGATGACACCTGCGTGCATAGCCTGTGTCCATGTGTCAGTCACAAGTGAAGAACAGCAGATGCAGTTTAGCTCGTACAGCTTTCTCTGCGCGTTGAGAGTAGTGAACGAAGACGACGATGCCAATTGCACCGAGCGAAGTGGTAGCAAGTGTCAGCTTTGATGCGCGCGACATGATTGCAGTATCAACGGGAGATGGACGAGTGGAGCGGAAAGCGGGATTCTCTCGGTGGAGAGACTTTGGAGAGCTTGGGCCGCCGCGCTGCACCTTGGCGGAGTGCTGCCATGCACCTCCGATGCGCTCTGTACTCTGCTAGCTCGTGAATACAACCCACGATTTCACACGCCCATCATGGTGAGCCCGTTGACTCGAGTGTGCGTAGACTTGGTCTGACAGCTTCTAGTCTGCCCAAAACTCCGCAGGAATCCAGACGCTGCTTGACGTAAGGCGCCTAGTCCACGCCTACCCGCATGCTGCTCACACAGTATTCAGGCCGAACGAGAGGCACAGAAGATCGTGCAGCAAGGTACGTCGTAACCTATGGACTATGCTGACCTGCAACTGACAAATTGCAGCACGAGAATGTATGCTACTCCTGCCGACATCTGAGTCGTTGCGCTGACCCCACTAGACCGTACGAAGCGAGTGAAGGACGCCCGAAGCGAAGCGCAGAAGGAGATCGAAGACTACAGAAAGGAGAAGGAGGACGAGTTCCAGAAGTTCGAGAAAGAGGTCCACAATCACACACCCGGCCACCAGACATTTGTACTAACGGCGTCATAGCATAGCTCTGGTAATAAGAAGGCTGAGGATGATGCGAAAAAGGACACCGACGGCAAAGTCAAGGAGATTGACGATATTGGCAAGAAATCAGGATCCAAGGTCGTAGAGCAGCTCATCGAGGTTGCCTCGAATGCGAAGCCTGAGCCGCCGCGGGGACGCGACTGAGTTCTTCTCCGACGAGCCGAAGCAGTCTGCCAATACGTATTCTCGAGGACATATGCCTTGATTCGATCTGCACAGCTATTAGAAGAGGTCTTGCGGGTTTATCATGCTTGCTACATGTAAAGCGAACGTAAGGAGCTTTGTGGATGGAGTACGAATATTACGATTCTGAACTATTCACCGTCCATGTCGCCACGTCACGTACACGTTTGCATTATTACAAAGTAAACCAACCTTGAACATGCAGACTAGCTTTCTTTCGGCCTTTTATCCAGCATCTACTGGGACAAAGGAGTGGTTTGGTGCATCGTTCAAGTTGGGCCATGTAGCCAAGACAACATACACGTCAATATCTACGACCTCGTGCTTATTGTACCCACTGGCGCTACCGAACTCGATCATGCGCAAATGTAGTGATTATGAACTCACGTGGTGCCGTACCCCAAGTGTGGTAGACCCTGGTCGTGTGTCGGCGCGTGCAAGTGTGCACTACGTCATCTCCAAACTTTCCAACACGGAGTGCATCGCCCACGCGCGCACATACTCACATCATCAAACGATGCACGGCGACCAATGATACGGCCAATTGTACACGCGAGACTTTGCTCGCTGCGAACATCACGACGCGCCATCTTCACACCTTATGCGCGACGCGCGTTCAGCAACGCGCATGCACGGAAGGAAGACCCGCGGCTGCAGGACATTGGACGCAGCCTCAAAGACGAATACGCGGTGGTCAGAGATGAATATGGTACAAAACTTACATTTCCCGTGATGATGACAGTTGCTCACACCAACCAGATACCCCCGTATGTAGCGCACTCGCCTCGAATGTTCGCTCGATTTGTAATGACCACGTAGAAACACACCGTTGTCCTCGCCCATGGCCTCCTAGGCTTCGATGAACTCCGGCTTGCGGGGCAATTTCTTCCGGGAATACAATATTGGAGAGGCATAAAGGATGCACTGGCGGAGAAGGGCATTGAGGTCATCGTGGCGGCTGTTCCAGCCTCTGGCAGTATCGAGGCTAGAGCTATGCGTTTAGCAGAGGACATAGCACAGAAGGCGCAAGGAAAGGCCGTGAACATCATTGCGTAAGACTAGGACCATTGCACACGAGTATATAATGGAAGGCTAACTTGAGACAGGCATAGTATGGTGCGTTAGTGAGACTGGAACATTACCGTACCTGGGCTGATTCTTCAACAGGGGTACAGAAGTCGTTCTTGACAATCGGACTCAGCTGAATGACTGCAGTGGACTCGACTCACGATACATGATCTCTCGACTGAAGCCTGGGAATGTCAGGGTTCTGTCGTTGACAACTATTGCCACACCTCATCGTGGCAGTGCTTTCGCAGACTACATGTTCGACACCATAGGTCGTGAGTGGGCTCGTCCGTTTTAGAGCTCCCATCTAACTCCAAGAAGCCCGCCAGATCCGTAGATTGTATCGAATCATGGAATACTTTGGACTGGAAACGGAAGCTTTCTCCCAACTGACGCGCACATATATGAAAGAGGAGTTCAATCCCAAAACTCCAGATGTAGAAGGAATCAAGTGAGCGCCCGTACTCCTTCTAAAAGACGTGCTGGTTGATCGATCATCAGGTACTATTCCTACGGTGCAAGCTTGGAGCCGTCGTCCTGGTCCGTGTTCGCGCTGTCGCATTCAATTATCAAGCAGAGAGAAGGCGGGATCAATGATGGACTTGTCAGGTATGAACTCACGTTACACATTCTGCCGAGTGTGCACTTAACATGTATAGTGTGGCATCAAGCCAGTGGGGAGATTACAAAGGCACATTGGTCGGCGTTAGCCACTTGGATTTGATAAATTGGACCAACCGCCTGAAGTGGTTCTTCTGGGAGCTTACTGGAAGCAAACGAAAGTGAGTCTCTATCCCAATTGTCGCCTTGTGAAATTAAAGTGCTGATTCGAAATAGCTTCAACGCTGTCGCATTCTATCTTGACATAGCAGGTACGCCACCCAGGCACTGCGTCACAACGCAACGCGCCTCTCATCTCTGTAATCGTATTCCCGCTGACTCCAGGACCAGACATGTTGGCGAAAGAAGGCCTGTGAGCAATCTCGCCGTCTCTGCCACCTGGCTCAAACGGGTGACAATCCGAAATGGCCCCCAAAGCGTTACGCGTAAGCTCCTGAGTTAGCCTTACCCGAGGAGTGTGCATGTGCTGCCACAGTGTTGGGGGAGGCCCGCGAGGGAAGAGGCTTCAGCGAACTGCGGTCGTGGCTGTGCTTGGGGAATGAGACGGGGAATGCGGCTGGGATTTGCGCAAAGCCGAACGCCGCACTGGAGCTGCATGCCGTGCACGCACCCAGATGTCGAACACGCGATGCAGAACGGTGCGCTCATTGTTGATCTTGTTTACCATGCAAGAAGCAGTAGACTTTAGAAGATATTCGTGCGTGGACAATGTGATAACTTCCTTGGATCTTTCCCCAGCGCGCCCAGGCCCAAGCAATGACGTGTGCGGGGAGGGAGCTGGGCGCGAAAATGCCCCTCCGAGCAATCCGTGCCTCTTCAGCCAGACTCACAGCTACACACCGACTACGCGTCTTCCGGCTGTGTTCAAAGCTTTGACAACAACGTCCCCCAGCGCATCAACAAAGTCGACCAGTTGTGACTGCCGTCCAAGGATAAAACGATTGACATGTGTCTTCCACCCTAATCACGCGCTTGCGACAACACCTCACATTACAAACAGAACAGCCTCTAAGAACTAGTATCGCGTGAGCGGCAGCGACCGCACTCACAACAAGATGCTCGTTCAGCTACACCTCGACCAACCGCATGACGGTCCACAACACTATACCAACCTAGATGTACTCAGCGGCAAGGTTCATCTACGAGTTCCAAACCCGGGCAGCATCACCAGTATCGTTGTCAAGCTCGAAGGAGAGTCGCGCACTCGATTGTTAGCGCCTGTGAGACCGGATCGTCCGGACAAACAGAGGCCTGTGTTGGAAGTGCACAAGTTTCTGTACAAGACGCAGGTAGTATGGCCAGCAAATACGCGCTTGGAGGACGTCAATCCCAAAGCAAGCTTCACGATCAACTCTGGCAACTACGACTACCCTTTCCAGTTCAAGGTCGGTACAACATCCCCGAATCTAGTCTTCTACTAAGACCTTCTGCTAGATTCCTCTTAATACCCAATGTCAGCAGCAGAACAGCCTAACTACGAATGTCTCCTTCGCGAATATGGTTCCCGAGGTAGCCAAGACACCTACGCAACATATGAAGGGAACCCTTCCGCCTTCCTTGAGCGGCTTCCCTGGAGAAGCGGAAATACGATACTATGTGAAGGTAACGGTAAACTTGCCGTCATTCTTCAAGGAGAACCCCAGGGCTACAGCCAATTTCACTCTGCTACCGATTGAGCCACCTCGCCCGGCAGCTACAGACGGCGAGGCGTACGCAAGAAGGCAACATCAATTCTTGGAAAACTTCCAGAGTCCTTCCGTTGGCAAAAAGAAGGGCCTCTTCGACAGAAAATCCTCAGTCCCGACGTCACCAACTGCCACTACGACACCACGTGTGACGGTGGATGCACGTCTTCCAAATCCCGCTATCCTTACAGCGAACCACGATCTACCCTTGAGACTTCTCGTGAAGAACATGAGCGAGCGCACAAAGAACGTGTATCTACAAATGCTTCAAATTGAGTTGATTGGCTACACCAAAGTCCGCGCGCATGAAGTCACAAGGACTGAGTCAAACAGCTGGATCCTCGCCAGTATGAGCAACATGGCGATTCCTATCGGCTCCATCTCTGACCCCGTGGGTACTGAGATTCCCATAAATCCGGAGTACTGGTCCGGCAAAGCCGTGCCCAACTCGGTAGCGCCAACTTTCACAACCTGCAATCTGAGCCGTTTCTATGAATTGGAAGTACGCGTGGGTCTAGGCTACGGCTCCTACAACCATGGCGAGGACCAGCTCGTTGTTCTTCCACTACGCCTGCCTGTGAAGGTCTACTCCGGCATTGCCCCGCCCAAGGCTCTTCTGGACGCTACGCTTGTGGGTGCAGACACGAAGTTGAAGCCTGCGACGGGCCAAGATCTCAACGCACCGCAGATGCCCACGACGCCGACGCACCAAAGCGGGTTCCCGCCTGCGCAGGGCGCGACCCAACAAGAAGCGCCTGCGTATGATGATGCACCGCCCAGCTATGAGGATGCCGTCGGGCAGGACCTACCCCCGATCAACGGTTATAGAGGTTCCTACGACCCTCCGCCTGTACCCGAGGGCGCGCCGAGATTTTCGGACGAGAAGCGCAGATGAGGGGTAGAAGACATGGGAACAGCGCAACCTGCATATGTCGCACACGTTTGCAGGCTGCGAGTGCGGATCGACGCGGCAGAAGACTCAGGCCTGCGTGTCTGATCCAATCATTCGAGCGTTTGTACAGCCTTGTGAGGACTTGGGGTAGGATCGATGAAACGATCGCAGCCCACGGTGCTCGCTTCACATTGTTCTGGTAGCTAATATCCAATCACGATGTTTCACCTGTTGATCGAAGTCTGTGTACAGTTGTTACTTCTCCCAGGTTGCAATGAGTATTTCTCTGAAGGCCGGCGATGTACAGCATCTCGTGGTGGGACGCTGTGCACCGTGCTGCAAGTGAGGCATTTTCGCGCGGGCGGCGACTGGGTTGTGTAGCCGGGATTGTAAGCGGTGCTGCCGTGCGTGTGGGGTTCGCGAGGTGGCGGACGGGGATGCGCGTAGAACAATGTTGCGGCGCCGCTTGGGCGTGGTCATGGCAACAAGCAGGGCACGATGCGCGCACGAAACTGTTCCCGAAAGGCTGAAGCAGATAGCGGTCCAGTAATGCGACGGTCAAGCAGTAAGGCGACTACCGGCCAGTCGAGCAACGGCTTTGCTTAGCAGTCGTTGCTGCCTTTACAGCGTCTCCAAGAGGTAGTCCACGATGTTGCCGTGGTGTTGAGTGCCAGCCACAGGGTCGCGGTATCGATAGAGCGGGTATTTATCTTATCGTCGGCACCGCATGCCCACGATTCGAAACGAACCCGATCTCCAAAACGCGCGCAATGCGCGCAGAAGCACTGCTTCCCTGTTTGTTGTCGAATCGCATCGTGAGAAAACATGCGCGGCGCGTCAACACAGCGCACACGCGACGGACGGGAGCACCTGCGTCCGTTCGCAACCAATCTTCACCGGTCTTCTGCGCCCAGCCACGGCTTTTCGAGGCGGCGTGCAGAGCTACTGCGGGCTACTGCACGGGAAAGCGCTTGCTTCCCGTGCATCCGCGCGTTCGATTGGCCCAGCCCTCGAAACGTTTCAGGCCCGGCTCCAGGCTGCAAGCGGGGCTGCAGCAAAGGCGAATCGTCGCGTCGAACACGTCGACGAGACATAAGAACACGCTCTTGCACCGCGAGATGGTCGTGTTTTCGCACATCAATATACAGCCCGAATCCAGCAGTCGGCAAACTGGTGCTGCCCGAAATGGCCGCCGTCTTGACTCACACCTGCGTCTCACGTGGAAGAGTGGGGAAGTGCAGAAGGGATGCGGTGACGGTAAATATGGGCGAACAGAATGCGGTCCTCAGGTTCTCGTTGTTTCCTGAAGTTGTTTCCGACGCCCTGCACCTTTGCCACCGACTGCTACATTGAAACGAACCTTTTGACGACTACGACTGTTCACATTTGATGCCATCTACGAATGTATTCCCCACCACGAACACCACCGGTGCTCAAGCGCACGGTGTCAGGCGACAGCCACACTAGCTATGGCAGTGTGTCGACTGCCGCTTCGCGATCGAGCTCGAGGCTGCTGTTTGGCGAGATCCCGCTGACACCCGCGACTACTATTGACGGTCGATGTGAGATCCCCTACGTGCATGTGCCGATGAACTCCCAACATTGACTCTGTTAGCAACGCGGTCAAACAGTTCTCTTGGCCCCATATGCAACCTTGTGCTATCGACGAGTTCTTCCTTTTTGCGTTTCTGGCTGAACGATACTTGCCGCGACAACCTGTTTGCCCATCTCGAGGAAGAAGACTTTCCCAATTTTCGTCTGGTGTGCCATGACTTCGCGACGCGGGCGGCGCCTGTCCAATTTTCATCCCTCACTACCACTTTCAAGCCTTCTACCTTCTCCAAGCCGGCTCGCATCGAGGCATTATCAAGGATAGGCCGCCACGTTAAGACCTTCACCTTCCACATGCCTCACGGCCCTGAGACCTTGCTACCGCCCATCATTGATCCAGAGACTGGCGAGGAGAAACAGTTCATCTACGAGCCGCAACTACAAACACCACAGCACATGCTCGGCCGCGAAAAGACACCCAAGTACGGCTCATTAGAGATGACCAACCTACTGATTCAACAATACCCGCCGCTCTTCCACGCCGCAACCAACGTCCCAGCCTTTGTCGCTGCCTTCTCTGAATTACTCAATCTCACCCACCTCAAGGTATCCTGCCCTGGATACGATAACGCCCCAAGCAACCGTCGCAGCGTCGTAGACTATGCCCTCATCTCCTTACGCATCGCCGTAGAACGCGCCCCAATGTTCAGTCTCAACTCCTTGTCACTGCATCCGATCCACCCAGGTGGCCTACTCTACCTCCACCCCATGCATGGCTTTGGCAGCACACCCTCATCTGCCAAACGCTGGACCCAAATCCGCAGCCTATCCATATGCATGGACTCTCTTTCCACCTCCCCGTCCCCCAAACAGAAGGCGCAATCTGTCGAGCACCTCCGCATCCTGCACGCCTACCTGCGCACGCTATCGCGAAACCTAACGCGCATCTTCTTCCGCTGGAAAGGGGCGCGCGGGCCCTCACCGCTGAGCTTGGACAAAGAACCCTGCATGCTGCCCATCGACGCAGACTACATGCACCCCTCGCAGCGCGGCGAAGTGCGCGGCCCGCGACCAGTGCGCTTCTCCCGTTTGCGTCACATGGAGCTCGAGAACGCCATCATGGACTCCTCCCAGATCTCAGAGTTCATCCACAAGCACCGCCGCACGCTGGTCGAGTTCAACTTCGAGGACGTCAAGCTACGCCAGGGCAACTGGGACGAAGCGCTGGAGCCGCTGACGCTAATCAGCGGGAGCGAACGGTGGAAGAGGAACGCCGAGGAGGTCATGGATGTGCCTATCGTGCTGAGCCCCATCAACATGGAGCCGAGAATCATGGGGCCGCTCCTGGAGGAGGTTGACGCTGCGATCGACGAGACTAGCAAGGAGAAGGGACCGCATAGCTTGAGTCGGTGGTTGGGCAAGCCGAAGAATTCGATGCGAAAGACAAACAGCCATGTCAAGGAGAGCTTTTTTGGAGGCGATCACGTCAAGAGGCTATTTAGGGGGACCATGTTCCACCGCTCCGTTGCTGCGGCTGCGTAGAGCTGGCGGGAAGAGCGGTGATTTGTCCGAGTACTGTACTGTGTCTTGTCAACTGTATCACGGGTGGAGACGGTAAGGAAAAGCTCGATCTTTGCATATCGCTTGGAGTTCGTTTTGGTCGGTTGGGTCTGGAGCCGGACGATGCCTTGTCATATACCCCCTTCGTCCGGCCTGGGTGGGTTGGGGATGGTTAATTCATGGTAATGGGACGGCGCACACAAACGGTGGCGACCTCTGGTGAGGAGCCCGGGACTGTTTCCTTCTTCTCTTTTGTCCTCATGTTGTTCCTTGTTCACGACGCTCACTACGCATCTTCATGCCCTTTTTCTTAATGTTGCCGATCATGCTCACGGCCTTCATGACTATCATAACTTACAAAATCATGTATATACGATGTTTACGAGTAGCATACCCCACGATCCTTCAATGAACTTTCCTACGGTACCTTTGACTGAGGGATCACCTGCTTGCATGGTTTGATTTGATGCGTAGAACAATGTATCCAAGGGGTATCTAGGTCTACCGATGCAGTAGCTTTTCGTCATCTACAACGCTCATTGCGGCCTGATGGCATACTTGCTCTTTTCTCTGATTCTGGGTCCCCACTTGAACAGTGCCCACGGGATCGGCACCGCAGCAGCACTAATACAGGCCAGTATTGTCAGCGCATAATGCGGACCGAAGTTCTGGTACATCGGCACGCCGACCACAGTCATTCCACCCGTAGCTAGATACCTGACGAGCGCGACGATCGTCAGCACACTCGTCTCATTGACCTCGTATGCATCGATCATGTACATGTACGCGCTCACAAAGATCGAGATGATGTCTGCTCCGATCATGACTGAGACAGGATAGGGCTCCAGATCGAGATTGGAGCGTAACCCGTCCACGCCATCAAGAAGAGGCCGATTGGTACGAGGAGCGCGCTGTACATGGCGAAGAGCAGGCCTGATTCGCGGTGTACTCGTGCCTTGGCCGGTATCACCGTCGCGTTCGAGTTGCCGGTTGGTCTTCCGTAATACGATAAAAGGGACCGTAATCAGCTGCTGCAGCACGTCGATGAAGAGACCGTCGCTTGTGCTGAAGTCGCTCGAGCTTTTCCAGCAGGAAGAACCCCAAGGTACTGTCTTTCTGGACTGCTGGGCCGGTTATATAAAGCTCTGTCAGTACTATACGAAGTGGGCTTCACTTTCGCAGCTGTCGTCCCACTGGAGGATCATGAGATTGCGGTCTTCTACTACACTCGAAGAAGGCGAAGCTCGACGCATAGTATGGTCAACTTCCATGTTGGCGTGCTCGGTGGATGCTGAAGGTCCGATGTGTCCCAGACGTCGGAAAGTGCGATTGACTTCATGTAGCATCACTCTCAACACATCGCTGAGACCCTCAATATTTGAGGGGACCTCAACTGCAATTTGACAAGTACGTGACGGTGTGCTGGTGGAAGATCCCGTGTGACAGTCACGGCTACAGATAGCTGCTATTGACGGTTCTCAAATCACCGTCCGAATAGAGAAGTTTGCCCGCGGCCGCGTGCACCGGATCAAAGCCTCGGCATCTTCGTTAGTGTGCTTGGCAAACGCATGGGATTCACATGCTACCCCGGATTCCATCCGCGCCGACGTGATGACCTAGCCGCTGTCACAAGCCTGCTCGGCCTCTCAAATAGCCATTATTCCCAGGGACTGACTTGACACCTGTAATACAAACATCTCCTCCATTGTAGCACTCCGACTATCACTCGCGCACGCGACATCACAAGTAAAGCTCACGCAGCTACAAAGAACAGCCACCTAGCCCACAATGTCTCTCAAGTCAGGTACGTTGTAGGCTCATAACCAATCTGCAGCATCGGCAAAAGTCCACCGGAGGGTCCTTCCGACCATCGATGCCTTTCGTGTCTTCCGACATGCACGCGACCTTTCTGCACTCTGAACTGGATGCTGACACCACGCCGCAGACGCCTTCCCCTCCTCCGTCGCATTCGATGCCATCGCCTCATCACTCAAGAACGACGAAGCCGGCCGCAAAGACGCAATCAAAAAGGGCAATGCCATATTCGCTTTCGATCTCAAGAACGCGTCGGGTGCGACCGAGTCGTGGTACATCGACCTGAAGGAGACCGGCGAGGTCGGCAAGGGCGCACCACCCAAGAAGGCCTCCGTCACACTCTCGTTGAGCGACGAGAACTTCGGCAAGCTGGTCACAGGAAAGGCAAACGCACAGAAGCTCTTTATGAGCGGGAAGCTGAAGGTCAAGGGTGATGTCATGAAGGCGACCAAGATGGAGCCGATTCTGAAGAAGGCGCAGACGAGCGCTAAGTTGTAGTGGTGAGGGCATGTAGGGAACAATATACCATATTTGAACTTCAAAGATTTCTATGCCATTGACTCAAATTGGTAGCATCGGCTACTGTACCATCTTCAACTCACGCTACGCTGCGCCCTGGTGACTCTTCCCGTGCCCTACCTCACATCGAGGATTATTCACATCTTCGTTCCATTCGTACCGTTGGTTCCGTTGACAATTTTTCCCCTGATGATGTCCGAAGCCTTCTCAGCTACAGCATACACCAATGAAACAATGTTGCCCTGCACGTGTGTAGGGAAGATCGAAGCATCGACGACCCGCACATTGCTCGTCCCGTACACCTTGCAGTGATTGTCAACGACACCTCCTTTTTCTCTCGGTAGCATCGCACAAGTTCCGATGGGATGATACTCCGTTACTGTGTTTGCAGCCGCCAGCTTCTTAGCTTCTTCAAGTGTCTGAGGCATGCCCGTGGCTCCGGTAGATGGGTGGAACTGGACTTGGCCGTCGGCGTTAAGGTCCAGCGCCGATCGCAGCGGTTCGTACTCTGTCAACTTGAGGGCGTGGACGACACTGCGCGCCGCCATGTCGAGATCGAGGGGATGGTCAAAGTAGTTAGGGTCAATTGTAGGGTATTTCGTTGGATCCGAGGAATTGATGTGGATGCTCCCGCGAGACAGGGAACGCGTGGAACATGTCGCCAGGATTATCCAGTTGCCAGGCTCATCCTGTATGAAGACCTTTGATGGAGTATCGCAATTACGAATGTCTGCTCCTACGGTAAGCAATACGAACTGAGTGACAGCTTCCTTTGGATCCATGAGCTGACGAGCTAGCAAAGTATCACGACCTCCCGGGTCAGCATCTGGATGCAGCTTCCTGTACTCCGCGACCAGAGACTGGATGTGCTTCTGTGCGTCCTGAAGTTGGGGATCGAGAAGCTCAAGCGAAATGAATCCGCAAGTAGTCGGGGCATTAGTGAATGGGCCTGCTTTGTGATGAAGGTAAGCCTCCATGGCCTGTTGTGCAATCTCTGGGTTTCTGAAAAGCACTTCCGCGGTGGGATATTCGTCCTTCACTTTCTACGACCAACGTGAGCGAAGTAACGTCAGTACCTGAAGACATAACTTACTATAGATATTCCAGTAGCAGAATGGTCGTTCAGATTCTCACCTACGGCAGGAAGCTCTACGACCACATCCACTCCTGCTCGGGACAGAATTTCCGGTGAGCCTATACCGGAGAGTTCCAAGATTTGTGGCGAGTTGACAACTCCGCCACAGACGATTACCTCACGGTTGGCTTTGACATGGTGGGTAGTTCCATTGACGATGAAATATACTCCTGTCGCCTTCGCATCCGCAGAACCAATCTTCTCGAGGTCAATCTTTGACACTAGCGCATTGGTCAGAACCGACAGATTGCTCCGGTCCTTGTTCGGTTCGTAGTATGCTCGGGCCGAGTAACTACGACGCATAGTCACAGGATCCACAGTTGTGAGTTGATTGAATCCACCTATTGCGGAGCCAGTACGAGGATCTTTAGGAGTAGGATATCCGGCGTTGAGTGCGGTTTCTGGCCATATCTCCTGGTTCCAGGTGGTGTCTGCGTCGCAGAACGAAACCTGTTACTTGCTTAGCATGACATACAGATACGACCTATACATAAAGCCACCAACATACCTGGATTGGGCCGTCGGTGCCCCTCAACTGCGGATCAATGTACTTGTCGTTGATCTTGGAGCTGAGGACCTTCGAAGACGCGTTGTACCTCTCGAATTTACGATAGTATGGTGCCAGCCCATCGAAGTTCCATCCATTGTTCCCTAGCTCTTCCCAGTTGTCGATGTCTTGCCTGTAGTATGTCAGTTCACAACTGCCTCCAAGAAAAATTTAGGATACAAGGAGAGCCTACCGCGAAGCCATTGAAAACATGTTGTAATTGACAGCAGATGATCCTCCCAACACCTTGCCACGTACCCAGCCATGCACACGGCCCTCGGTTCCTTTCTGATAGAGTAGTGAGTGTCCGCATCCCAAGAGTCTCGATACACACATACCTGTGGCATCGTCTTATAGCTCCAGTCATACTCTGGCTTGTCCCAAAGCTGCAGGAACAGATTCGGCGCATCCACAAGCGGATCATCCAATCTGTCATCTCCGGCTTCGAGCACTCCAACAGTGACATTAGGGTCCTCACTGAGACGGGCAGCAACGACAAGACCCGCAGTTCCCCCTCCGATTACGACATAGTCGTATGGAGTCTCGGTAAACTCTTCTGGCGACATAATTGATAGACCTCGATGAAAAGTCTGCTAAGAGAGGAGGCTTCAATGCAATCCTGTAAGGAGTCCTATATGTGCCCCGAAGGCAGGCACCACGAGTGGCGCCATTCTATTCGCATCGTAGTGCCTGTTATAGCTCGGAAGCGTCAGCAAACTACTGCATCAGCATCAATACCGATAGTCCATCATCATTTGTCAGTGTACATGTAAGCCTTTTCCGGAAATACACCTCCCCTCCACAAACGATACCGAGTCATAGACACAGTGCAATGATTGGGCGCTCACTCCCTAGAAGAACTGTTCTGGTAGTGGTTTGCGAAGTTGACTTGGTTAGTGGCGCGCGCTACCCATGGTGTTACAAACAACGTGTAATTATGCTCGACTAGTTACCGAATATCTTTCAATGGTGAAGAATAACCCCACCCAGGTCATGCTGCGAGTTAGCTTGAAATAGGCATTAACGCGTAGAAAGGGCCTCCAGGTGCGGGGCAAGCGCCAGCCGCACTACACCAAAATCAGCCAGCAACGCGAGCAACAACTCAACTCAGACACAGGTTTAGGCATGGTGTCGATGCTGCCTCCCTTTGACCAATATTTCGTCCCTCGGCTGTACTCCATGTCGTTTCGTAAGCGTCATACGGAGCCGTGAAAGGCGATGCTACCTGAATCACATCCATGCAGGTGTAAGCTTATTCGTGCTCATTCGTAGTCGGGGAGCCACCCTGAGCTAATGCAGCCGCTAGGTACTACAGTACCACATGATTTCCCATTCAAAGCGGAGACAGAGTTCCTATTGTGACAATAGCACTGATCGGTCGCGTGATCGTAAAATAGACATCTCTCCTTACGATCCCGATAAAATACCACCACGGCTTTGAGTCTCTGTGACATAAGTAGAGAATCTCAACGTTGTAAATTCAAGGTGTTCTGTCGGTAGATCTCGCCCTCAAATGGACATATACATGAGATAGTAGAAGTTACAAGAAGCCGGGGTGAACATTCGCTCGGGGCAGAAGTAGTACAACATTCTAGGACGACGATTTGAATATCTCCATGCACGCCGCAGATTGATTGCCCGAAGAGTACTTCGAATAGCTGCGCTGAGACAGCACACGCATACAAAGCTTGTATAAGAATTTGGGTACACCGTGTTACCCCACGTGGGGCATTGTGCTACTCAATCCGTTGACCCACTACTGTTCAAAACTTGTTACTTGCGTATAGACGAATAATCGAAATCGGCAATTCCTCCTATAACTCATAATTGATGAAGCCCCAACTGCCACTGTGGTCACCATGGTGTCATTGGTTTGAAACGGGTTGCAGAAATTACATTACCTATCTATCACTTAGAGTTAGTACAGTGTTGTATTCAGAAAACTGTTAACATCTTTCTCAAGGTCAAACTCCTCAACAAAGGGGTCTTCAACTTCACGCCGCGGACCCGAGCATCTTCCTGATCAATCTCTTCCTCCGTAGCTCTTTGATGTGCGCGTGAAACACCTACGGCGTTATTGCTGACTAGGCACTATCAGTAACGGGAGTTTCATACCTACCAAGCATGACTATCTTGTTGCAGGTATTTCAGCATTGCCTGGAGTTTTTCAAGAATGTGAACCCTTTCTCCAAGAAAGATAAAATTGAGAGACATCTATCCGATTCATTGTATTCGGGCCTACATACGTGCTCGTTAACGCCGTCCAAGGCGATGCGATCCCCACTCCCTGAAATCGCCCATCACCTGTGGCCACTCGGTGCTGGACTTAGCGGAACGATGCTTTGTAAATGGTTTTCTTGGAGCTAGAAGCAAGAGATATGGACCTCGACCGTACGATGTTTTCTCCGAAGCAAGTGCGACAACGCTAACCCAAAATCGTATTGCTCGGGCCCGATTATACTACTGTACGTTCACAACCCGTTGACTGTCGCAATGCAAGTCCGTGACCCCCGCTATGTCCGGAATACTAAGATCGCTTTCTCCGCGTCATGCCCACTATATGAAGGAGAAGACGCCCGGCATGTTGCTGCCAACTCTTCAGAGTTCTCCTATTGCCTTCCCGTCTCACAACTACCAATCGGGATCACTTTGGAGCATTGAACGAAACAAAGTATTGCATTATGGGTACCGGCCCTATCAATGGTATGTCCCCGGACAACGACAATCACATCCGTAAAGTCGCCGTTATTGGGGTATGTTGTCAGCCTCATGTCTCTCTAACCCCCTTGCTTGCCATGACCCGGGCCTGGGATTTTGTTAAGCAGCAATTGACTGTGGGACAGGCTGGCGGCCACATGGGCAGTCATATCGTCTCTCAGCTGCTCCAAACCGGAGAGCATACCATCACCGCTATCACCCGTCCCGACAGCACCGCCTCGATTGTAGATGGAATCCGCACTGTCCGGGTGGATTATGTCAACGACGATGATGCAGCCTTGGTAGCCGCCCTCGTAGGGCAACAGGCTCTTCTTATCACCATGTCGGTCACTGCGCCCCGCGACACCGTGCTCAAACTCATCCGCGCCGCGGCTAAAGCAAAGGTCCAATTTATCCTACCCAACTGGTACGGCCACGATCCTGCCAACGAGCAGATGTGCAAAGATAGTCTGCTTGCTCAAAGCCTCGACGCGACATGCAACAAGGTCAAAGAACTGGGCGTGAGCTCGTACTTCCTGCTAGCCTCCGGATTCTGGTACGAGTGGAGTTTGTCTGGCGGACCAGATCGCTACGGCTTTGACTTCAAGCAGCATTCGTTGGTATTCTTCGACGGCGGTGAGACACCCATGAACACCACGACATGGCCTCAAAGCGGCAGGGCGATCGCGAAGCTACTGAGCTTGAAGATAAAGCCAGACGGAGCGGACGACCAATCTCCTACGCTTTCGCAGTTTCAAAATAGTCCGGTGTATATCTCGAGCTTCCGAGTTACTCAGCGCGAGATTTTTGAAAGCGTCAAGCGTGTTACGGGTACTACTGATGCTGATTGGAGCATTAGTCACGAGACCTCGGAGCAGCGCTGGAAAGACAGTATGGATGAGATAAAGAAGGGAAATTTCAGCGCTTTCACCAAGATGCTGTACAGCCGAGCGTGGTTTCCGAATGGCGATGCCGACCACGAGTCTAGCCGGGGGCTTCATAATGATATGCTTGGTCTACCAGTGGAAGACTTGGATGAGTGGACAGCCGTCGCGATTCGCATGGCGGAGAACGACGAGGTGCCTTGGATCATGCATTAAGTAAAATATCTGTTGAACCTTTGCATTGCCCACACCATTGGATCATGCCTTTAGTTCAACGCGATTGTCCTCATCAGGCCCATCCTGAACAGAGACAGGATCCTTCTCCTCTCGGCTGGCATAGACGCCCTCGTGCTCTCGTCTCCTATCTGTCCGCTTCTGCATCCAGACGAGAAGTGCCGTCCAGATGGCCACTTTACTGTATTAGCTTCAGAATATCAACGTCATGGAATGGATATATACTTACATGCAATGCTCGTCGCAATCATCGCGTACATTCCCCTTGTGAAATATGGTGCAAAGTTCGCACCATAGAATACGATGCTCCACCATGCATTAATCGCATTATTCCCCATATTCATGGACGCTATGACTACAGCTCGAAGGCTGTCCTCTTCGTAGCGCAAGACGTCGTTGGCCCATGCGAAGAATGTTGCTTGACATGCATATACGCTTCCTGCCCAATAATACATAGCAAAGTGAATGCTAGTACTTTCTGGGTAGGCTAGGATGAGGGCGCTGGTCACCACGCCTGTGATGCCGATCCAGTACCCGACTTTGATATATTAGCGCTTTGAAGCCCTCAGGGGAGACTGAGCCCTACCGAGATAACGTCTTCCACCCCAAAAGTCTGTCAGTGTGGCCCAGAACAAAGTCGAAACAATGCCGACAGCCGGCACACCAGTTGGGTAGTTGTTCAGCTGTGAGACAGTATACTTTTTGGTTGGATGAGCTTTCATGTACAGCGACAGAAGCGCGTTTGAGCTGAATGATTCTGTCTCGCCGGCGATCATCCAGAGGACGACGAAAAAGTACCAGAACCATGTTGAGAAGCAGTGTTTGAGGAAGCCCCAGGAAATCGGTGTGCGTTCTGGGGTTTCGGGTACCCGAGAGATGGCGAGAGCTTTATCATCTGCCGTAAGATATGGCGCTCTGGTAGTTCTTGGTGTATCAGGAAAGAGAAAGAAGCCATATATCGCGACGGGGATTGTGATAATACCGTCGATCACGAATAGCCAGCGCCAGCCGGACAGGCCGCTCAACCCGTCCATGCTAGAATGAATACCGGTTTGGATAAAACCACCAATCATGGTTCCAGCAAGCCCGGAAGCTGTGAAGATTCCAGATCGTTTACCAAGCTCGCGTTCAGTATACCTACGTGAAGGGTAAGCAAGAGTGTATGCATATCACTCATTCACACACCAAGAGCCCAGAATGTAGTGGGTGCCAACAAAGGTGGACGCTTCGAAAATAGCTTGGAAGAAGCGAATGGCCATGATGTCTCGCGGATGTTGCGCGCCTGCCGTTGCCATTGTGAGGCCAGCCCAAATTACCTGTAAACCGTCAGTGTTTGCATAGCCTTATTGCCATCCCACAAGACTCACCATACAACTGGGAAAGAAAATCCTCGGTTTCACGTAGTAAAGGGCTATATTGCATGGCACTTGTCCAATGGTATATCCCACCGTGAAGACGGTGTTGATTTGATTGAGTTGGTTTCCATGAAATCCAAGCTCTTCTTTCATTCCACTGACATACGCATTGTTGAGATTGGTCCGATCCAGATAGTTCAGGAAGTACATCAAACAGCAGAAAGTGAGGATGAAGAAATCGAGTTTAACAATCAACTTTCGCTCACCAGGCACTCGTGACTCTCCTCGAAGATACTGGATGAATGAGGCCATGGTGTGGGGTGTACTGCGAACAAGGCGAGAGCACTCGCATGAGGCAGTATAAAGTGCAACGGTCGGTTCTGTTGGATGTAACTCTGGGGCGATAGCGTCAAAAGGTCCGACTCGATGAGGCGGCAGTGCGAGAGGTGGATCCAATACACTGTGTACGAAGGAGTTTCCACCCTAGGCTAGCTGATCCTGCGGACTCTGATACCCGAATGGTGATAGATACTGCGCATTACTCCATGACCCACGACCTTTCAGATAAGGCCTTGATAGCTGCAACTTGATCTTGACTGACAAAGTTCAACAGCGATAAGCGTACTTCCGCACAAGCCCTGTTCTGTGGGTTTGCGCAAAGCAAAAGTTGGTCTCGAAGAGAAGAAAGAGAAAGAGTGCAGATTTCGGCGACGCGCCAAAACTTCCCGAGCGTGTTGCGTAAAGCTGCCGAGAATGCGGGGTTGTGCCGAATCTGATCTAGTGCTTCAGACGCCCCCATCGTCATCATGGGAACATCTGATGCTTCCGTAACTAAAATGCATTATGTGGGGGGCGTTGGTGGCGTTGGCTTTCCGCTGCGGTTTAAAAGCTTATCTCCTGCGTATAACGACGAGATGGCCCAAGACATCGCGTATCCCGCGTTTTATTTACACGTTTAGGCACATGATTGATCGCTATCATGACGAATTTCTCGGGACAGACCTCTGGGAAATGGGAAGAGATCGCCAGCAGTAAAAGGCTGGCACTGGCGGAACAGATACCCCTAGAATACCGTATCCCGCAGCAGTTATTTCCCCCTAAAGATCAGCTCGATGTGACCACATTTCCAAGAGAGTCAGGATGGTTCGACCGGAAAGAGTTGGAAATCACAGAAAGCAGTGCAACACAGATTCTGAAGAAGATTGCCTCGAAATCATGGTCCTCAGAAGAGGTCACACGCGCATTCTGTAAGCGCGCTGCGGCAGCGCAGCAGCTGGTACAATCCGGGTCGAGCATCTCATGGCACATAATGCTAATGAACGCCTCAGACGAACTGCTTGACGGACTTTTTTCCGACTGAGGCTATCAGCATTGCGAAATCGCTCGACGAGCATCTCCAGAACACCGGAAAGCTTGTTGGTCCTCTTCATGGACTACCAATCTCCTTAAAAGATAACTTCAACATCATCGGTAAAGACAGTACTGTTGGATTTGCGTCTTTGGTCGATCAACCTGCAACGTACAATGCTACGCTGGTTGAGATCTTAGAGCGATTAGGAGCTGTGCGGTATTGCAAAACAAATGTCCCAACGGCGATGATGATTGTACGTTGAGCGTGGCCCCCTTGAGGGTTATATTAGCGGCTGACGGCATACAGGCTGAGTCGGTGAACAACGTATTTGGTCGCACATTGAACCCGAGGAACCGAAAATTGACATCCGGAGGCTCGAGTGGAGGTGAATCGGCTCTTATAACATTCGGTGGAAGCGTGCTAGGAGTTGGAACTGATATCGTGCGTGGCCATCCTAGTCGTGACCAAGAGCACATCTGACATGAAGACAGGGTGGAAGTCTTCGCATCCCAGCGGCCTGTACGGGCATCTTTACCCTTCGGCCGTCCTTCGGAAGGTTTACCACCCAGAACTGTCGCTCAGGACTAGCAGGCCAAGAGGCAGTTATGAGTGTGAACGGCCCAATGGCGAAGAGCCTAGAAGATATCACATTCTACTCCAAGGCCGTGATAGATGCGCAACCGTGGCTGGTAGATCCCAAATGCCTCCCAATTCCATGGAGACCAGCAGAACGTAATGCCAAGCTGAAGATCGCGGTTTTGTGGCACGATGGGGTTGTTCACCCAACTCCACCTGTAGCCAGAGCTTTAAACGAAACGGTCGAGAAGCTGCAGGTGGCAGGTCACGAGATTGTCGGAGCTTGGGACCCAGTCCAGCATCCCAAAGCCGTGGATATTCTAGTGAGATAAGTACCTGTGGTTGAATACTCTTGCTAACAGTTATAAACAGGCCCGCATGTTCGTTGCTGATGGGGGGAAAAGTGTCCGAAGATTGCTAGCATCCACTGACGAGCCGTGGCGTCCCGAAATGAAGGGTTATTCGGAGGCAACTGAGCTAGGGACCTATGATATGTGGCAGCTCCACCAGGAGCGATCCGAACTGCAGAAGAAATACCAGGAGCAATGGATGTCTTACGATAGCCTAGATGCTATCCTGGGTAAGTGTAGTTTTAGGCAGTGAAACAGCTAGATCGACTAACGGTGGCGGTTGTAGCACCAACGTGTCCGTATGCAACCGTCGCACATGGCCAGTTTGATTATGTAGGCTACACCGGCGTTTACAACGTTGTCGACTATTCGGCCGTATCTTTTCCAAGCGGAGTGACTGTCGACAAAGAGAAGGATCGCCCTGGAAACCATAAGCCTTTGAGCGACATATGTAGGACTGTGCACGCAAAATGTATGTCGAAGTGCCGAGTTGGGTATTGCACTGGAGTCGGTCGCTTACATCGATTAGATGATCCTGAGGAGATAGATGGGATGCCTGTGAGCCTGCAGTGAGTCTTCTGTGATGGATAAAGCATGTGGAGATCTTGCTAACCCTCATTGCAGACTTGTTGCGAAGAGGCTTGAGGAAGAAAAGGTTCTTGCGATGACGGAAACTGTTCTGCAGGCTTTATACCCCTCCCAAAGTCGTCCATAACCTCGAAGATCAAGGCCAAAATTTAGCCATCTAACGACTTCATTGGTCGTTCAACAAATTCCCAATTTAAAGGCGCTTCTGAAGTTCCTTCATGGCTCTACATATAGTCTCGGACGTATGGCCACAATATTTGATCCCATTTTGCATATCCATCTCCTATGAGATGCACGTGGTCGACCAGCAGGTCTTTCCCAATCATAGTACGAGCCTCCAATCGTTGAACAGCCATAACATGTTAGTGAGAGCCAATAAACTATTTATCGCCTAGCTCTAAACAGGGGAAAACTTACGGCCATCTGTGATACATTACTTCTTCTCTCTCATGCGCTTTGACACAGTCTGATTACTCTCTTGTACCACTGCCTTCAGCATTGCGTTTCTATCCTCTATGATGTGATTAGGTATATCATTTCGGTAGAAACCGCCGCAAGCAATAATCTTGCTTTTCGGAGCAATCCCAACACAGGCTTGCAGCGAACGAGCGGTACGCCCCTACGTCGGCAGTGCGAAATGGTTTCTTAGGACGAAGCATTTTGGTACCGGAGATGGTACCGGAGATTACGACCCAGAGCTTTGCATGACCATGTTGTTCAAGCGGGAGGTGCATGCCATCTGCTCTGTCAGAAAGTAGGTAGTTGACGTTCTCGGTCTTGTCACCGCCGCAACCTGCGTTCCATGCTGTACCTGACTTCGCAAGGTGGCCAAGACTGGTGGGCATTCCGGTGGTTTTCACGCGTACAAGCATAGGGTTTTTAAGATATGTGACTTTTATCTTGGAGGCATTAGATAGGTCGGGCTGCGGAGCCAAAGGATTGTCGCGCGTGTCGCTTGCCTGACTAGAGGGTGGGCTGTTCTTGGGAAGGCCAATATGCAAACCCAGTTGTGCATCGAGTTCAGGCAAGTGGACCTCTAGCAACGTTCTGTACGAAAGTTCCTTCCATTTGGATGAGGTTGTAAGCTTTGCTGCGAAGGCTCAAGTAGCAATGTGGACGTTATGCTCCGCTTTCATTAAACACTTTTGAACTCAGCAGACCTTCCGAAGCTATAGAGAAATTCTAACGTATTAGAATGGCCATCTTGCTGGTTGCGTGCGTGCAGTGTCGAAGAGTTGGGGTTGTAGCAGTGCGGCAACGTTGTGTGTGCTCAGTCTCTCCATGACTCATCATCCCGAGCCCAGTCTGCGTATTGACCTATTCGGGTACTAAAGCTTGGTACATTTGGATAGGGACGTTCAAAGGCGGCAGGGCGGCAGGGCGGCAGGGCGGCAGGACGGCAGGAGCTGGGCTGTGCCTGGTCTTAGTGAGTTATCAAGCGACACCCCTCGGGCCACATTGCCCATCCGTTTTGACACCACTTCGACAGGAAATATCATCTACCCTGCGCGTATTTTACGCAGAACTACCTTGATTCGTTCGAAACGCTTCACAAGACGCTGAATCGTGCAAAAACAGGTGTGATGATCACATGCATTTTAGTCTCAAAGTACATCAAAGTGATGTCTCAAAGACCAGGAAATAGCCGTCTGCCTTTGGCGGCCATTACTCTCAAATCGAACGGCCATATAATTTGGGGAGTGGTCCCTTCTTTGTTTGGTAAGAATGGAAGAGCGCGGGAAGCGACTACTTTGGGTCGCAAAACATCAGACCTCGCGCAGCTTTTCTCCATAGGTCAATCACACAACACCCCATCTCATTCATACCTCACATATCGCCTAATTCCTGAATCTCATCACGACCAGCTTCATTCTCACCTTTTCCGTCACGCCCACCCACTCCTCTTGCCGTTCCCTCTCCTGAAGCTGGTCGTCTCCTGCCACTTCGCTCTGTTTACTATCACACCCCCATCATCCCGCGGTAGCGCTCGTTTCCTCCTACCGAAGTCTTAAATCGAGCACGCAGAAAGACCTCTTCAGCAGCTATACATTTCCTTGTGCACCTCATTTGCTCAGAGACTCGCGCCATTTCACCCGCGGATCAGTACTAGTATGGCGGCGAAAGCCGTACAGCAAGAGAAGAAGGCTCCTGAGAGACTTCCAAACAAAGTACGACCAGGGGTCACAAAGAAAAAACTCCCTTGGTTGGATGGCCGGTCCTCGATAGGGTCTTCGCCGTTGGTATCGCTCCCAAGACGTGCCTCGATCCCAAAGCGTGAAAAGTCGGTATCACCGCTGTCGAGGCAGCCTATGTTGGCATCTATGGACATCGCTTCTGAGACTGACGGACGACCCAGCAACGCTGTCAAACGGGTGAAAGAGTCAAATATTTGTCGAGCATCGGTTGCCCGGTCTGTACCAACTTCAAGGGGCCCCTCAGAACCCAGGAAGAGACTTTTGATCGTAAACAATGAGGAACCGGAACCGTTTTTGGGTATTCGTTCCAGGGCGAACAGTCTGGATCCTCTCCCAGGTCACCTTAAGCGCATTGAAACGCCAGACTCAGGCCTCCGTCCAGTCCAGCATGTTGTGCATGTATCTCCTCCCACATTCGTACAGACTGTCCAAAGGTCGCCCAACCAGCCAATCCCGAAACCTAGCGTTTTCGAACGCCACAGCCATCGGAGACTCAGTAACGCGATCGAGGGCTTGGAAGACCTCGTTGAGGAAGCTGTAAACACGGTTGAGCGTACAGAGCGACTCGAATACGTAGAACAGATATACGCAATTATCGAGGATGCAAGCATCGCTGTATCAGACGCATCTTCGGAGCCCGCTCGACATCTTATGAGAAATTCGTCCCCTTTACAAGTTGCTACCGAAGAGGTGAGCCAATCCTTTCAATTGCCAACGCATACGAAGGTTGTTGAGACTGTTGTGGAGCATGTCCACAATATACCCAAACTACAACCACGCAACGTTGAGCAAAGGGAGTCAGAGACGATTGACTGGGCTTACCGCAATGTGAAGGATCCCAAGTATCATGATCAATATTTGCGGTCGTCATCGTCGTCATCGTCGTCATCGTCGTCATCGTCGTCATCTACCTCGTCCACGTCCTCGAGGTCTGGCCACAGACGACATTCCCACGCTAGCTCTGGCAGCGACCTTTTGCAGCTACTCCCTCCTCAACCCATTGCGACGGCTTCCCGTGACCATATAGACCACGTGCTGCGCCCAAAAATTTCCCGCTCCCACTCCCGAGGCCGATCGCGACGACGGAGAGGCAGTCTTGATCGATGCCGGAGACGCCATCGGCACATTCCCAGTTGGCGAAGCGGTGACACAAGATCGCACTCACCGCGCCGACGCTTTCGCCATCATGGATCTTCTAACTCTGATACCTCCTTCGATGAAGAAGATTTACATGCTGTCGGCAAGCCAGAAGGCATTAGGCGCTATGGCGAAGAGTTGCATGTACGAGATGCCCACCACCATACCTTCAGTTTGCGTGGCAATCATCGCCGGCAACCAGTCGCTAGAAACTGGACAACGGGAAAGAAGCGGATTTGTGCGTTCATTGCGTGTACAAATACGGCAGTGCTAGGCATCATCGTGGGGATATATGCAAGTTCACCTACATCGACAGATCTACCAGAGCTGACAATTGTTAGGCTGGAGAAGTTCCTCGAATCCAGTATGTGCTAGCCGACGAGCATCATCGTGTGATTCTCGGAAACGTGGCGTGAGTCAAACCATCGCCACTACGCAAGCGAAATCTGACCAATCTTCCAGCTTATATTTTGGACTTGCATTTTCGACGTACGTGTGTTGGCCTCTGCCTCTTCTTCATGGACGTAAACCGTACATTCTCGCCTCTTTGGCTCTGGCGATGCCACTACAGTTTCCCCAGGCCCTCGTCCTGAGCCAGAAGCGTTCACCGACGGAGCACCGCTGGATTGCGGGTTTGCTCATTGCTCGCGGCTTCACTGGTCTTGTTCTTGGCTTTGCAAATGTAAACTTCGTCAGCCTTTTACTCGATCTCTTCGGTGCTTCCTTACAGAGCAAGCATCCCCATCAGGAATTCACGACTCCAAGTGACGTTCGAAGACACGGTGGCGGCATGGGCATTTGGCTGGGATTTTGGTCTTGGTGCTGGATTGGCTCACTAGCTGGAGGCTTTCAGATCGGCGCTGGGATTATCGACTCGCTGACCCCGGATTGGGGCTTCTACATAACCATCGCGATCCTCGCTGGAGCGCTCCTCGTCAACGTCATGATGCCTGAAACCCGCCGTTCTGCCTACCGTCGCTCCGTTACTGAGGTGTATGACCGAGACGAGAATTACATCACGAGGCGCGTTGCTCGCGGTGAGATCAAACTCCATATTTCCACCGAGGGTCCGAAGTACTGGTTCGAAGAAGTGTGGGCTGGCCTCAAACTCTCCACCATGATGCTTTGTCAACCGGGTTTCCTTGTTCTCTCCCTGTACCTCGGATGGATCTACGCCCACATCGTCCTGGTCATCGTCCTACTGGGGGCACTCCTCTCCCGAGACTACAAGTGGCACTCCCAGATGGTCGGCCTCGGCGTCATGTCAATCGCCATCGGCGCTCTCTTCGCCATACCTTTAACCAAAGCTAGCATCTTCTCTCGCGAGCGCAAGAACGCCTTTCGCACAGATAGTATGACGTTCCAGAAGCAAGTCAGCTGGTCGAGCCATCTCATCCGCCGATGCATCTTCACCCTCGTGCTCCCACTCATGGGCCTCGCGTATACTGTCTCTTCGGCTAGCCGTCCGAAGCCCTTTATGGTACCCATAGTGTTCGCCGGCGCCGTGGGATTCCTCTCAATCCTTGCGATCGCCGAATGTTATGGCCTGATCATGGAGACGTTCGATACCTGCGATCTCCAGCCTGGTGTAAACACACGCCACAGACTCCAAAGCATGGCCGCCGAGGACCGCCGGCGGCAGACAAACTACTCCTCCTTCCCGCGCGTCAGTGCTGGTATCTTCGCCTCACACGCCCTTTCGTTTGTCGGCGCGGCCGTGGCTACAGAAGTAGGCGGCATCATGACTCGACACATTGGCGCGCAGGCTTCGACGGGTGTCACAGCGGGGATTCTGCTCTTCCTCACGCTCCTGCTTACTCTTGTGTTGTGGCGTTTCAAGGAGATTCAGGTCATTCCGAGCCACACTTTCGGTACAAGGCGGGATACGGCGGCGTGGCACGAGTTTAAGGAGTTGGAGAAGGAGGGGAGGGGATCGGAGTGGAAAGCGGTGGTAATCGGGAATCCGAGTGGGAAGATGAGGCGGATGAGTGTGCTGGAGCTCGGGGCGCTGAGTCGCTGGACAGAGATCAGGAAGCTGAACTTCTTGATCAAGGCGGATGATCGCGCAAGAAAAAGAGATGATTGGCACCAGGGTCGGAGTTGGTAGGCCGGTATGCTTGCACGGCGGACCGTGTAGGGGTAAGGACGCCAGAAATGGCGGTAGACTTTTGTGTAGTGTGGTAGACTGCTGTAGGGAGACTAGAGAATGGGAGCCTGGGTCTTCTCTCTCTGATGGCGGTAACAGGCGAGCTTGCAATACGTATTGAAGTGTGAACGTGGATTTTCAGACCTATAGTGAACGCCGACATATGCTATGCTACGCCATGCCAATGCACTACTGCCTGACTTCTACTCGAAACAACAAGAATAGTCTATGTCACACGTGAACGCCGTCTATGCAGGTTATGCTTTTAACAGTCCTTTCGCTGCGCTAGGGATTTCGTCGTCTAGCGGGGCTTGGTTGGGGTGTTGGTGTCTGCTCCGTCAGCCTCATGTCCCGCACCCCCTCGCCTAGCCCTTGTGGTTCCTTGGTCGGTGTCCGCTGTAGTACTGCTCCTTCGTCACCATCTGACTCGTCCTCCTCTGAATCCTCGTCTTCCTCGTCGTCTTCCTCGTCGTCTTCCTCGTCGTCTTCCTCGTCGTCTTCCTCGTCGTCTTCCTCGCCTTCGTCAATCGCGCCGCCCTCGTCTTCCTCCGCATCACCGTACCCGTCACCCTCCACACTCTCCAGAATGGAGTCCTCCATACCCTCCGCGTCATCAATGCTCGCCTGCGTGAGATAGCTCGCTTCTAGATCCTCGCCGACCTCGCTCCCCTCGTCTTCACTGGGCACGCTAGGAGCCTCTGTACCGTCGTCCTCATCTTCGTCCTCGCTGTCCGTGAAGTTATCGAGGTCGAGCGGACGTTCGCGCCAGTAGTTGAAGTCTGTGAACTGCTCACCGCCGGGAGGGACGAGGAGTCCAACAGGGGGGAAGAAGTGGTCTACGATCTCGCGCATGGACGCGTAGCCGGTGCGGTAGGAGTTGAGGGAGAGGACGTCGAGGGAGACTTCGGCGTTGGAGTTGATGGTGAAGATGCGGGTGGAGGGGATGTTGACGGAGCGGTAGGAAAGGGCGTCGGTGAAGCGGTTGCCGAAGCCGGCATAGAAGGGCGTCTGGCCGGGGGGCTTGCCGAAGAGGTTCATGATGTCCCGGAGACAGGACATCTTGAATACCTCTGGCTTCCGCAGGTAGACTTCTCGGCGTAACGCTGCTATCGTTCGATCTGGGCTCATGATTACGGGCCCTTTGGGCAACCGGTAGCCTTCTTGTACTACGCCATTCATGTATGCTCTTGTCGTGTCTGCCATGCCAACAGAGCGACTTGTCAGGTAGAAGATGTTGTATCCGTTGTTGATGATGTCAGTGTATAACTTGGCCACTCCTTCGTGGGTCCAGTCTCGACCGATCATGTTCAGGACGTGGCCCAGAGCGTCCGACTTGGTGATTGTACCATCAATGTCTGAGATGACGATAGGGACGTCGTGTTTCCAGTAGAACATGGATGCCTTGCACGTTGATTTGTTGACACTGAAGCTGCAAGTGTTGGCTCTGTCCTATGTGTCAGCAAACAAGGCAACTGACCAGTGCACCGAGCAACCCACCCTGGTTTCAGGTTCAGAGACTTCAGTTGGTCGCTCGTGAGGCGGAGAGTCTTTGCATAGCTACGGACTTCCCTATGACCCTCGGGTGATTTCGGTGGGGATGTTAGGCCAATAGCGCTATCGGAGTCTCTGCGCATATGTGGTGGAAATTCACCGGATGCGTCGCTCTGGGCGTCGTCGCTATGATAGCCAGGGTCCGAGACGGCATCCGTTGACTGCAGCGCTTCCTAGTCGAGTGTCAGTGGAGGACCGCAGTGTGTTTGGTAGAGTGAATTCATACCTCGCTCAAAGCTGCGATACCTGATCTCTGCATAGCGGCGGCCTTGGATTCTTCGCTGCTGTATATCCAGAGGTTCCCATGCTCATCAGCGCCGATCAAAGCGCCAATATCGTAGTTCCCCTCAAGCTCATCCGAGAGTATTCTCCGAGCAACCACCTCGGCGCGCAAAGCCTCCTGCTCGCTGCTTTTGTAACCCGTCATATCCAACATCAGGTCTCCGCTCTCTGTGACCTTGTTTGGTATGTTGGAAGTAAAGAGTTTCTTGGAAAGGTTGATGGCGCGGGCCATAGCTTCAGTGGGTGACACGGGTGGCGGACTTGTTGATCGTTTGTGGACGTTCCATGCGGTAGCCTCGTCTCTGCTCAGCTTAATCGGTGCGTGTTCCTTTTCTTCGAATGTCTTCGCAAACTGCGTCTTTGTGGAGGGCAGGATCTCGTCGCTATTGGAGCGGAACGTCTGCAGACCAGACCAGTCGCCTGACTTGGGCCGTTCGCCGAGCAGATCCGGACGTGGGACGCGGCCTTGCAGTGTCGAGCGTCTCGCTCCGCTGATGCCGTCGAGCTCGAGCGGATCGGGTTCGGAGAGCGCAGGGTCGATGGGTTCCTGGGTGGGCTTTTGCTCCGGACTCGCGGCGGGAGAGGCGAGCGGCGAGGTCTGCATGTCTTCGGGGATGGATGCCGTGGTTTCAAAGACGAAAAAGGCCTCGCCGCCCTCACCGAGCTTCATGGCATAATCCTGCTGCTCGCCATTGACCTTGAAGACGACCTTCTTGTCCGAGGGCCGCAGTATCTGGTATTTTCCGAAGCGGACGTGGAAGGGCGAGCAGGCCAGACTGCCGTCTTCCTGCTCGACGACTATGACATCGATGGCGCCGCTCAGGGTGGCGGGGTTGATTGAGTTCCAGCCCTTGGACACGCCGCTGGTGAGGGAGCGCACGTAGTTCATGGCTGCCTGGCCCGCGGGCGCTCAGCGGACGGGGGAGCTTGGTGCAGCGCTGTGGTAGCCGTGCAGGTATTGCTGTTTGTTGCAGTGTGTGGTTCGACGACGCAACGTGCGGGCCTTTGTCGCCTGCAGCTGCTGCACTGCTCTGGGCTCGGGGCGGTCGCTGTGGCGCACAGCGAGCTGCGTCCAGGCGTCGCGGGCAGTGGGTTCGTCCACGAGCGGGTTGTGTCTGGGCTTGCGGGTACCGGCGGGACGAAACGGCGCCGGGTTGCGACGAGTCTGTCTGGAGGAGGGCGTCGGGCTGTGGGAGGCAGGTGCGTCCTTCCACGGCGACGGCGATGGCGATGGGCGCACTCTCACCGAGGTCACGGACGCACTAGACAGCTGCCCACAATCGCGATGGCATGTCAGATGTCAGGGAATGCGCACGCAGATCCGGAAGCAGCGGGAGCGTGCGGCGGGCGCGGCGCGGTGGAACTGGGGGTTTCGTGGCAGCATGTGCGGGCACCTCGGCCGGGCACTGGCATTTGGGCGTGAGGCTGCGTGTTGTTGAGCTGCACCACGCGGTCGGATGGCCCCAAGGGAGGCCCACCGCGCTCAACGGCGCGGGAGAGCCCTCGCTGCACGGCACTGCTCCACCCCAGGCCAGGCCAGGCCAGGCAGACAGCAGCCGCCCGCACAGTCGCTGCCACCCGCCGACGAGCGATGGGTCGCGCTGCAGCGTGCCCAGATCCCCCGTCGGCCCGACTCGGCCAAGCTTGCGGCGCATGCAGCCTGAAGACGCTGCCGCCGCCGCCTCCGCCAAACGCACGACACACGACCAGGCCGGCGACGCCTGCACACCGTCGCCATGTTGCCCGACTCGGCCCACTCGCTGTACTGGCCTCCGCACGTCGCCCGCTACAACATGGACGCCCTCGTCTTCCTGTCCTCGGGCTGGCTGAAGACGGCCTGCGTGCTGCTCGCCCTGTTCTGGTACGTGCCGCCCGCCACCAGGACCAAAACATGCAAGAAAACGTCGTCTGACAGTCTGGCCGCGCAGGGTGGCGTTCCGCGCCTACCGCGTGCTTTCCAAGCCCGTCGAGGAGCTCATCAACCTGCTCGGCCTCGAGGTCCCCGTTGCGCCCCTCGTTTCGCTTGCCGGCATCAAGGCAGACGGCGTGCTGCTGCACTGGAAACCCCCCGACCAGCGCGCCTCGGTTGTGAAATATGTCATACGCATCAATGGCATCGATAGTACGGCCGTTCGCTCCATCTGTCCCCGCTGAAGCTCACACATGACAGTCGGCGATGTCTCGCCCCAGGAAACCTCCGTCACCATCGAAAACCTACAGCCAGACCACCACTATGTCATTCGCATCGTCACCCTGAATACCGCCAATTTCCAGGCTCCCAGCGTCCCAATCCGCCTGCGCACCCTCCCAGCAGAGTCCGACCAGTTTTATGGTACCGCGCCGCACAAGGACATCCGCGATGGTGCCCAGGGAGACGACTACAATCCGACGCCCATCATCCGACCGAACAAGAACCTGGTCGATTTCATGGCTCCGTCCGTCACCGCCCCCGCCATGACGCGCGAGCACAGCAACAGTGTATCTCGACACCGACGCTCTGAACCGGGAAGGCGCAACTCGCCGGCATCGGGGACGGCAGAGCAGGCACGCGCTGCCCAAGAGGCCGCCGACTCGCAGGAGACCATCAAGCAGTTGACCGAGAAACTCGACGGCCTGAGGCGAGAATTGGAGGACATGGAAAAGCAGATCCAGGAAGAAGAGCAGGAATTCGTAACGCAAAAAGCCTTGTTGGTTGAGAAGCGGGATGAGAAGAAGGCGTCGCTCAAGGAAAAGGAGGATGCGAGCCGCGATCTGAGGAAGGAAGTAGCCACCTTGGAACGTGCGAACGCCTCGGCTCAAGCCAAACGATCCAACCAGGAGCGCTTGCTGCAAAAGAAGGAAGCGGAAAGGAAAAAGCTCAAGGACGACATGGCCAAATGGGAACGCGAGGCTGGAGAGCTCCGGGATGCTGCCAAAAGGATGCAACAAGAGCGGACTGAGTACGAGGCCCAGTCGGAAAATCGTATCAAAGAGCTGAAAGGGAAACACGAGGAAGAGCTGCAGACAAACAAGAGTCTTGAGGAGGTCATCCGAGAGAAAGGAACACAGATCAAGACTCTGGAAGAGGAGAGAAAACTTCTGGAAGAAGGCGAGGACGTGGGTGATGCCCAGGACGGTGCCGAGACAGAAGCTGAGGACCGGAGGTGGATGGAGCTTTACAGCAGCCTCCAGCAACGCTACGCGGAAGCCTGGCAACAATTCAACGAAGCTGAGCATATCAACAAGGAGGCCTCCGCCCGGCTAGCCTACCTACAGCAGCGCCGCATGAGCCAGCCGCAGGTCATGTCCGTTACCGCCCCTGAGTTTGTACCGGCCAGGAGAAACAGTGGAGTACGCTCGCGACCACTCAGTATGCGCGAACCGTTGACCTCCGCCAATCTCGGAGGGTTCATTCCTTCCACTGCAGCACCGTTCAATAGCGGCATTGCTAGCACCTCTCCTCAGTATTCGAACCCAACGCCATACTTCAATCCTGTAAACGGCATGGCACTTCCCCCGCCCAGCGCTCATGCTTCTTCTTTCTCTCAAGCGGACATTGAGAGTTTGACCGGTGGAGCACCCATGAGTCCCACCGCAGGAGCACTGCTGCCGTCGGGCCTGTTTGGTGATGGTATGACTGACGATGGAATGACCGATGAAGATGACCCGGGGCCTCCGCTTCCTTCATTGGACCCCTCGCCGAACCTGCGCCACGTTCTACCTGGTTTAGGAGCACCAGGCACTTCAGAGCAGATACAAAGTCCCAGTTCACCAGTGTCTGTGCAAAGCCGTTCTCCTTTTGCCAGCCCCCGCGAAAGTGCCGGCCAACTAGGCTTCTTTCCCAGCAACGAAAACGCCTTGGACAGCGATAGACGGTCGATCCGCTCCACGTCGAGCTCGTTCAAGAACCCTCCTACCACGCGATTTGGCAGCCTGTTCGGCTTGCATAGACAACGGGGTAAGACACTTGATCAGGGACCGCCTCTTGGTTCCCTGAAGGCGTCGCAGAGCCAATCTCTTCCTCGACAGGAGCATGAGGACCTGGATCCGATCGGCACGCGACGGCGACGAGGAAGCCACTCCGGAGGCGCTTGGTACAACGCATTCATACCTAGCAAAGCACAGCCTGAAGAGTCTTCGAGTAACCCGAAACACGTGGCCACGCGAAAGCGGGCATTCAACATGTTTGGCACGAAGGGTGACCCTTGGCTGACCTCTGCATTGGGATCTGAGAGGCCATCTTCACCCCGCCAGGGTTCAACTAAATCCAACGAAGCCAACGTCTTGCCGAGACCTAGTACGGAAAGCCAGACACGTTTCGGTTGGTCCGTGGAAGGTTTCAATGCTCGAAGTAGCCCGCTCGGCGTGGATTGGAGCGTCAATAACACCAATACTTCCTCCTGGTCGCGTATGCCTTCCCGTCGTCCTTCCATCCAACACGGCTCGACGGTGAGCTTGTTGAACGACGAATTGCTTCAGGGCGATATGGCCGACTTCCCTTCCACTACACGCTCTCCCACGCAAGCACCTATCGGCACAAGGCCGCAATCATCGGCCTCGCATATGGCGCCTCTGGTGCCTCCAACGCCGCCCAAGCAGCTCAATCCGGATGCTCCAACCTTCACATTTGCTTTCGGGAGCAGGGAGGATAAGGAAGCAAAAGCTCAAAAGGCTGCCGAGAAGGCTGAGAGGGCAGCGGAAAAGGAGGCAAAGAGAGCGGAGAGGAAAGAAGAGAAAAAGGCCGCCAAAGCGGAAAAGTCGTCTCGCAAGCAGTCTACCATCCCCGAAGTCGCAGTTTCAGAGCAGTCAGGTTCGCCTGTCGCCGCACGCTTCTCGAGAGACAACTACTCTCTGTCAACTGCAGACTATTCGGAGTCTTCTCCGCGCGAGTCTCTCGACCAATACGGCTCCCAGACTACCTCGGAACCACAGCCGCCCTCTTCCCTCGGAAAGGAGTCTCTCATGCAGAAGCTAACGAGGAAGAGCAGCTCGAGCCAGTTCCTACAGTTTGGAAAGGGCCAAAGGTCGCTGTTCTCGAAGAAGTCCAGCGAGGCGGTTACACCCGACGAGACGGAGGAAGACGGCGGACTCTCAGTCAGGACTACAGATAGCCCTGGAGCCAGTCCTAGTATTGGCACGCCAAAGGATAAGAGTATTGCACTAAGCTGGAGCTCTATCAAGCGAATCGGCAAGCGGGGTGATAAGACGCCCAGCTTGCATGAAAGCGTTGCGAGTGAGACTACGGGAGATGAGGACGAGGAAGCTGAGGGATTGGGTGTTGCGATTCAGTGAACGCAGGCCTGGGAATGATGGTCACAGCATATAGCGAGGCGCATAATAAGACCATGTACAGCTCATGCATTCTTGTCGTGAACAATGGACGCACTGGTTGATTTCGCCGGTTCCGTGGTGGTGGTTGCCAAGCCTCGGGGGTCCGATGGCGACCGCGGCGGCTTCCTCTCACCACGCGCGGCCCGTAACCTCTCACCTGCACACGCGCCTGCCGCAGCTGCCCATCATGGCCTCCCCAGGCGGCGAGAACATGCTCTCGACACCACCCACCACAGCCACGGGCGCGCCAAATCCGAGTCCACCCACCGCCTCCTCAACACAAGCCAACACGCAAACCTCGCAGCCCGCGCAGACCAACGGCACCGCACCCGCACCCGCACCCATGAGCGCGCCATTTCCCAATACGTCTCTGCAAGACACGGGCACCTCTAAGCGACCTCGCGACGCGCGCCTTATCCACCTCGTCCTTGCCAACATGGGCGTCCACGCCTACACGGAGCGCGTGCCCCTCCAGCTCCTCGACTTCGCATACCGCTACACCAACGGCATTCTCTCCGACGCCGTCTCGTACGAGGGCCCGCAAGCCAACGTGGGAAAGAAAGCCGCGCCCAAGGACGACGAAGGCGTCAGCTTAAATGCGCTGCGCACGGCGATCCACGCCCGCGCGCAGCAGCAGTTCAGCTCGGTGCTGCCCAAGGAGTTCATGACCGAGGTTGCGTCGGAGCGGAACCGGGTTGCGCTGCCGCGCGTGGAGCGTGAGTGGGGGCTGCGGTTGCCACCGGAGCGGTACTGCTTCACGGGCGTAGGGTGGGGCATGAAGGAGAGCTGGGAGGAAGACGAGGAGGTTGTCGAGGAGATGGATGGCGTTGCTGGGCTTGCTGGCGGCCCTGTGGGCGGGGACGACACGGCCATGGGCGGCGTGGAAGACGAGGAGATAAACGAGGATGAGTTTGAGGAGGTGATGGGCTCGGGCAACAAGATGGATACTAGTGGCTGAAGACGATGCTGTCTGGGGTCGAGCTGCAGAGCTCTGAGCCGGGCGCGAATGCTGCGGGGAGACCTTGAGCAGTTGTTTTGCGAGACCACCCGTGGCGTACGCTACATGATGAACGAGGGGCTCGGCTTACGAGGGGAGCTCGCCCTAAAATGGGTCCGGAATAGGCGTTGTGGGTTTGATGCATTTTGCGGCGTTTGAGGTCTGGGTACGGTTACGGGTATACCAGAGCTGAATTCTTTCCCATCCACTTGCCTAGCACCCGTTCCAGAGGTACTGTACCTAGCAATACAACCAATATCATACAACATGCTACGCATCCTCTTGCTCTCTAGTGATACAACAAGCGTGCTATACGTCGCCTGTACCGTGCCATGTGCTTACAACGAGGATCTGACCTTCCCCAAAACGCCATGCAAATGCAGATAAAACGTCGCGCCCTGCCCGCTCCTGCCCATCTCCCAGACACGCACCTCCAGCCTATCTTCTCCCCTCGGCCGCCCTTTCCCCCGCCTCCCTCGTCTCCCTCTCCAGTTTCGTCTCCAGCTTCTTCCCCTGCAGCTTCCCATGCTCATCCAAGCCCCACCACTCCTTGTGCCGCCGCTTGCTCTCCTCGACGAGCTTCGCCCGCTCCTCCTTCTCGCGGCGCCGCTCCCCCGCCAGCGCGAACCACTCGGCGCGCGCCTTGTCCAGCTCGTCGGGGCCTTGGTACTGCAGCATGCACGTGTTCATGGTGAGCTTTTGCGCGCGGCAGGCGTAGATCATGGTAAAGGTGCGGCCGGTAGCGCACTCTGCAAAGGCTGGGGTGGAGCTGTTAGTATGGTATCGTGTGGGGGAAGTGGTATGGGTGGTGCGAAAGGAAGGCTTGTCTGGCTGCTCAAAACGCCGTCAAGTACAAAGCGCTTCGACGTCTGCACAGCATAGTCCCCGCAGTCTGTGAGAGGCTTGCGTACCTGCTATCTCGGAGGCGCATTTCGCGCGCACGTTCCGGTAGTAGAGATCGCGGACCTGCTGTTCCTGGGGTGCGGAGAGGGGTGTGGGATTCGACGGGAGGCGTGGTATCGCGGGGGGCGCTTGGTCGGTTGGGGTCGCCATGGCCATATCCGCTTGGTTGGGGCTTGTGGCGGTAAGGGCGGTCGTGGGATGCGGGCAATTGCGAGCTGCGTTGAGCTTTGCTATAGCGGAGTTTCGGTGGTGGTGAGATGCGATTGGCAGTTTAGGGAGCGGTGAGTGGATTCGGAGTGGGCTGGGCTGGGTTGGTGGAGCCGATTGGATGCGGGTGGACAATGTCAACGTCTTGTACCTACACCTTTCGTCTCCTGTCAACGTTCGCAGGTATTACGGGTGAGAATCAATGATTATACCTTTCCTCATGGACCTGTCTGGGACGTGTTACCTTGCCAATGCATGCTTTCTCGATGCACCATGTAGCATCTCGTCACCCTGAACAACCCGGAAAGAGGTACGGTACAGTCATTATAGCTACACCAGAACACTATAACGTCCAGGTACTACGTCTGAGGTAAATTTCATATGGCCACATGAAATTGTCACCTACAGACCCAGCATCGCTTGCATATCGCCTCCGCTGCAGGCGTGCCCGCACACTGCCGATTTGGATCATAGAACTGCGCTAGATATTCACGACCACTCCCTAGAACATCACGATAGTCACGTAGCCAGCGGACCACATATAAGTAGCATGATCATGCGCCAAATTCGCAGAGATAAAGCGGTGCGGGAGGGGCTCCCCACTAGATTTATATCTAGGATACTCTCGCATCACTTCCTTCAGGGAGAGAGGGATGGCGTGGGTGTAGTGAATAACACGCCAGCGATATCTCTGAATGCAGTAGGCACGAAGCTAAGAACAACCGCCCATTCTCGTACCGCCAATTCATATGCCAGCAAGCCAGTTCGCCTCCCCAAAGGAATCAGGAAAGGGGGATCTAAGCATAAATGTAACAAAACGGCCCCGCAGTCGTCGAGAAAAGCTGATTGCTCGGGATTCCATCCTGTCCCGTCGGGGCGAGCACATCGAGCCATTGCTTGTCCGTGGGCTTGCCTTTCGCGGACGAAGGATTCATCCAGTTTGTGCCGCCTTTGCTTCATCAGCACGCTTCTTGAAGCAAAGAGGAAAGTTCGACGACGGGAGGTGGGGACAGGAAAGGTGACTTACCCTCGTACATGCTCGTGCGCGATTTGACCTGGTCGGAGAGATAGTTCGCCCACATCCACCAGTGGCGATCGAGTTGGCCGTGATGCAGCCAGAAGACGGGCTCGCCGGGGGATACGTATACGTCGCCTGGGAGGACAGTGAAGTTAGAGGTGTTCCAAACGTGGAGGATGGCCGCGCTCAGGCATGTGTCTCACTCCCATCATCCTTGCAGAACCTTTTTTTTTTTTTTTCTGTCTGTAAAGTTCTGCGTGACAGACACATCTTCTGCCCATGGAATTTCATGTACGTACCTCCTGGGTCCCCCCAAATCGAGTAATGCCCACTGCTATGAATCGCCATCTTGCCCCCCTGGTCGTTCTGCAAGGTAGTCTGAAACGTTCCGATCGCCGAGTTGCTGGTGATGTGGGCTGCCAAGTACGCGGGCGCCAACGAGGTGGTCACAACGTTGTTGTTGACGTCGCGGCGCAGACAGCGCGTGTTGTCGCCGTAGCCGTCGCGGGAGGGGTTGGCTTTGATCTTGAGGGCGGGGTCCATGGTTCCCATTAGGGGCCCAAGAGAGACGGTAAGGCTGACACACTACGATCAGTACAGTACGGGAATGTGGGTTTGGGGATGATATGGAGAACGCACTTCCCAAGCGGGCCCTTTGTCACGCAGCCACCACCATTGCCCGCCGGGAATGGCGACCCCATGAGACCGCCTGCGTGTTTTACGTAATCACCATTTCCACCGAGACTCGTTTCGCTGCCGTCGAAGATTGGAGAGGCGGGCAGGTCGGTGTACTTGCCCCAGTTCCAGTAGGGCTGGGCGCCCTTGAAGCCGCATTCGGTCTTGAGTGCTGTTTCGTACGCCCTGTCCATACATGAGCGTTCTGCTATTGAGGCCATCCAAGCAGAGTGAGATAACTAAAGGGGAGGAAAAGTAGGAAGAGCGAGAAAAGGTATTCACGTACCAAATGTAGTACCTATGCCAGTGCATGAAATTGGCAGTCGAGTGCACGGTAGGGGTCATGTTCATGTGAACAACAACGAAGTCGTCGTAGCGGGTCTTCGCACCGGGGTATTTGCCAGCGGGTAGCTTGCTAGGCTGCGTGCGGATGCAGTTGACGGCGCGGATGTACTCAAGTTTCTCCTCTTTTGTGAGGTCGCCACTATTGCCCATTAGATCCAGATGCATTTCAATCCCTTCAATGCAAGAGGGGAATGGTCAGTCACGTACTATTCCTTCCGCACGGAGACAGTGTTCTTGTTGCAGGTGGAGGGGCGCGTCATTCCATCTGCGAGCGTGCCGTCGAGGACTTTGTACGCGTTTGCCAGGGCCTGCTTCTGGATGTCATCAGTGGATAGCGTCTGCCGCTTCGAGAATGGGAATGCCGACGAGCCTGAGAACAGGCAGAGCGCCGTGAGGAGGCTGATGACCGTGTGGCCGGCCATGGTGTGTGGTGTTCTGCTCTCCGGTGGTGGTTCCCAAAGCTAGTACCCCGAGTCTCACTAACATTGTGCTTTATACTGGAGAATCCAGCTCGAGCATGGGCCCCGGTCATTCACCCTGACCCCTCGCGCGGACGCATAGTGCGTTGAGTGCGGGAATAGTATAATTAAATCGGTGGATTCCTGTTCGGAAGGCGTCTCCGAGTCATCCAGCTCTTGTAGAGTAGGGCTGACTAAAGGCAACGTTCCCATTGAGCGGTGCCGGGGTAGTGTTATTCGGATACTGCCCTGTCCATCTGCCGTGAATGAGGTCCGTACACGTGCATGCGGCGAATGGCGACCGATCCTGCCGGAATCGAGTTTGGGATTTGAATTACGATGAGACGGAAGCCTTGGGCTCTGCAGTCAGTATTACTGTTGCCAGGATTGCAGCGCGATCGCCGTCAGTTGTAGCATCTCCGAGTACCCAAGCGCATGGACGTTGAATTTGAGACCAGTGGAAGGATTTAGCCACGGTAAGCACGGATGGTAGAGTGACTGAGGTTACTTGAACGTTCCCCTTACAAGCAACAGCTTGCATGTCTCGTGTCACCTAGAGGAGCGACTTTCATAGTTAGGCACTCACCGTTTTCCCCACCCTGATCCCCACTGCCCGCAAAACTTGCTCTCCAGATCCGGAACGGTGACTGGGAACATTGACGATGGTAGCACAAACGTCGGGTTTCCAAATGATGTTTGTGCCAAGACCTGGGGTGCAGGTGCACGAGATTGCTGTTGTTACGGTCGAGCGCGGGATTGGGTGGGAGTTTCCGGCAGAAAAGGATCTCGAGCACACAACAGGTCGGTAAATGAAGATTTTTGTACGACCACATGGATAGCAATATCACGCAAAAGCCGGTGAGATGCTCGGCAATGCGCTGGGTACTATGTTCGCGACTGGCGCAACTTCTATGAGCGATTGTTTAATGTGTGGGCAGGGCAGCGTGTGACTGTGACCATCGAGGGATTGAATTGTGATTACGCGGAAGACACAAGAAGAACGGGGAGTACCTTATAATAGAATGTTTGCGCTACCGAAATAAGGACTCACGCACCCAGAGCTATTGCCACGCTGACATTGAAAATGCGCATTATCGCGGGGTAGCATGCTGTCGTCCAGTGCCAAGACTCGCCGCAGTTCCAGTATACCCCAAGAGCGCCCAACGCCCTAGGACCAGTGTCGAAACAGTTCAGTGGAATAAATGCCTTCCGCAGGAGTTCACAAGGCAGGCGTGATCCCGAACTTCCTACTCTAGGGTCTTCATTTCTGCATCACCATCCTTGTCGTCCTCCTGCACCTTGTTCCCTTCCGTATCGTCGTCTTTCTCATTTTCGTCTTTCATTTCCTCGTCTTTGGGTTCAGGAACAGGCTGCGGGCTTCTGCTTGAGCGATCGATACTTGGCCGGCCTACTGCACCCTCGATGTCAAGGCGTGAGGATTGAGTCTGTGGTCCAGTGTCTTCCATGCCAATGAGCTCGGGGCCGCGGGCATGCGGTTGCTCTTCCTCTCCTTCAACGGTATCCATGACGGTGCCCCCGCTCTCCATCTCTCCGACCGTATTCCGGCTCAAATTCGTTGTAAGCGAGTGGGGGTTGTTCAGCACAATGCCAGCTTCTTGCTCCTGTCGTAATATCTCGCCTTGCGTGACAGGGCCTGTCGAGGGTAATGTCTCGCCGTCAGGGTGCGATGACGCGATCTGTGATACGCCGTTCGAGTTAGTCGGCGAAGTAGCTTGGGGTGATCCATTGCTGCCAGTAGCGCCACTCAGCATGCCCACTGTGACGGTTTCTATCCGGCCAGTGCCATTCGGTCCATCGACCATCTCAGTGCTCTCGGAGATCAACTCGTTTTGGCCACGATTTTGCAGCCACGGTATAGGTGTGAGCAGAGCCCCACCAAGGGATTCATCGGAGCCAAGCGAAGCCTGAGTTGCATTTGTAGCTGTGGTGCCGTTAAGGAGTCCGGTTGCGGTAGGGAGGACAGCCTGTGGCAGCGGGAAAATGGTGTTAGAGGAGGAGACAGAGACCACGCGGTCGAGGGCTTTCAAGTAGGACATGAGAAACTTGTACCGTCTCTTGGGTTCCAGGACAAGCTCTGCAAGCCTCTGAATTGTGTGGGGCGCGCCTTTAGGAAAATTGGTGGACAGCGCATTCCGTATTGAAGAGTAGAATGTCACGGCTTCGGATGGCAGTTGCGATTCCGTGTTCGTGAACCCTGGCACAGGAGGCCTGACCGGCGTCTTCGGCGCTGCATTTTCTTTGTCGCCTGAGTGAGACTCCTGGCTCGAGCCTTGCGGCTGTTGTCTCGAGGGTGTGTGCGGTACGGAGGCGGAGCCTGATTCGGGCGGCTTGGGAAAATCAGCGACTATCTAGCTAGCATTAGCAGGCTTGAGCGGCGGTGTATTCGGTGTTCAATGCCAGATGTACCTCGTCTAGGCGATCAAGGATATACTTGAGTGTGTCGGGCCAGTCGGCACTACAATTGGTGTCAGTGAATCCAGGCCACCATGCGACAGCGATCGGAGGGGCACTTACGCATCCAGCGAACCGTCCTCGGCCGCCTTTTGCAAGACTTTCTCTGCAGCTGCTCGAGTGTCAGTCTATGGCAAGCATTGCGACCTGAGGCGACTTACCGGACGATGCCATGTGAAATAATCTAGAGCTGCACCATGCGACACGGCGCGAAGACGACGATCGGGCGTTGGCGCGGAGCTGAACGCGCTAACCATGCACCGCATATGACGTAAGCGAGCCGTTCCTCGAGACGTAGTCAACGAGACGACAGACACAGTGATGAATCAGAAACACGCAACCGTCAAGACTCGGTGTCCAAGTGGGAGGCGAATTCGTTGTTGCTTCAGCAACATCTCCCTTACAAACAAAACTGTGAAGCATTATGGTGATTGGTTTTCTAGAACCTCTTAAGCCTCTGCGTGTTCATCACATATATAAAGGTCATCATATATACAAATGCAAGGCGACGCATGCCTCGGCTATACACTAGTCCGAAGGTTCCCGCGCGCCTGAAAGAATGTAAAATGGGGTATATCGCACAGAATGTCAAACACAAATAACCAGCCCCTCTGACAATGTCAAAAAGTCAAACCGAGAATAACACAAAGATGCTGCGCTGCGTTACACGTTACGCATTAATAATAAGGTTGCGTTGCCCAGCATCTTCTGGAAAGGCACCAAACACGAATCGATAGAGGTCTGACATCCAGCTGAAACTCTTGCTTCGCGCCATCCACTGGACTGCCCTTCCGATCTCACTTGCAGTGAGCCTGCGAAGAGGCTGCGTGTGGATGTTGCGTAGAGTGGGATCTGTAAGCACGAGGTGCTTGTAGTGCTCGAAAAGAGCGCTTTGCCATGGCAGATTTCCGAAGCTGTTCGAAGGCAGAGTCCGAATGAAGTCAGGCAAGGGCGTTTGCCGTGAGTATCCAGTATTAAGTGCGGCTTTGACAATGAGGCCTTTTAATCGAATGAGGTTAGGGTCTTCACGACCCGCTGTTGCTGTAGAGGAGCTGTGGATGGACTGGGACGCGTCCGAATACGTAGAGAGATTCGAGGAAGAAGATGACCAACGATCATGTGTTCGCGTTTGCCCAGCTTCCGGGCCTAGGATCAAGATGTTCGGAACGTTGGGTTCTTCTGCAGGCGAAAATTCTTCTCGTTCGTCAAATATTGTGGTGGGCGTCTCAGGGTGCATGAGGAGCTGTTTCCGCATCGACACCGCGGAATGATATGATTCGTTGAGGCTAGAAGAACGCCCCGATGTGTCCGAGTAGGTGGTCTGTGAGTGTGACACAGAGGCGGGGGCGGCCGTGAACGTGTACTGCGATGGGCGGGGTGTTCCACGCTCCGGCCGTACCTGTGTCCACCCTTCTCGGAAGAGGTCACACAACTCCCAGCACGCTTGGATCGCAGATCCAAAGATCTCCTCGTCGGCCGGCTTGTTGTCGCGACTGTTTTGACGGATGCTAAAAAGCATCTCAGCCAGTGACCAGCAAGCATGTAGCAATGCATCGGTTTCCTCGGGAAGGGATGTTCGTTGCTTCATCAGTCTATGACACAGCGTAAGGTAGAATTCGAGCGTGCGTTCTTGAAAAGCCTCGGGCAGGTTGCGGTCGTGGGCATTGTAAAGATGGTTGTTGAGTTCGAAGCTCACTCGCAGCACGGAGTCCGAAGCTTCATCGCCGCGCTGCCGCACATCGAACAGCGCCTGGCAGAAGTCGCGGCAAAGTTCCAGGGTTGGCTTAATCTGAGTGGTGGGATCCTCGTCTCGACTCTCGTATAGCCGCTGGCAAAGGCGCCAGCAAGTTCTCCAGGCGTGTTCTTGCACTTCGCCGTGGGAGCCAGAGTAGTAGAACATCTTTTGGCGGTGGGTCTGGCTAAGCTTCGCTAGGGTGTTACACAGGGTCCAGCACTCGTGCAACGCATTGCGGAGGGCAGCGATTTCCTTTTCAGTTTCGTTGATGCCATGTAGAACTTCGCCCATTGTCTGAGTGCCTGCGCTTGCGGCCGCTGCCATGGATGCGAGGGGTGATTTAGGGCTTTGTAAGTCTCCCTTCTGACTCTCATTGTCGAATGTGGAACTCGAGGCTGTCTCCGATATGCCAATGTCTTCCGTTTCGGCGATGTCTACAAGGAATTAGCTTCGCCTATCGAATGGGCGCGAGAAACAGACCTGCGAGGCTGACGCTAACCCGGGCACTGCGTCGTTTGCCTTCCTCTTCGTACTCTTGACGCGTCTGGGCGCGTGGAGTAGAGCGGTCTGGAGCGGCGGCGGAGGGGACGGCGGTATCAATTGGATGTGTATAAGTAGACGAATGCTGCGGACGTTCAGCCATCACAATCCGGGACAGAGCTACATGCGCGCGACGGACCTTCTCGTCGGGGATCATGTTTGCTTCTGGTGTTTGCGGAGACACCACAGCAGTGTTATCGGAGGCCGTCTCATTTGACGATGGCACAGACACGCTCGAGCGATTCTGTTTGTCGTGTTAGCGCCCATGTGGTGCAACCACGGCGACACGACACGTACAAATGTTTTGAAGTTGGTGGGCGCATGGATGACCGACTGCGGCGCATCGTCGGAGTCGGCGCGCAACCGCACAGGCAGCGACGTGTTCAGGCGCGAGGGCTGCGCACTGTTAGCTGCATCCGCGTCGGTCGTTCCTGCAGCCGCGCGTACTTTGGCCTGGCTCTCGAGGCTCACCGGACTGACGATGTCGTCCAGCGGCGACTTGATGTGGATGTCGCTGCCCTCATCGTCGCTGGGCTGGTTTACCTGCGCGTCGTCCTCGATCTGCGGCCGTGTCAGCGCTGTCTTCGGCGTAGTTGCCCAGCGGTATGTACCTCAGTTCCGCTGGTTCCGTTGCTGTCGACTGGCGAGGGGTCCACGGTGGAGGGATAGGGACTCGGCGGGGGCTGCAGATGGTCCGCATTCGAGGATCTGGCCGTTTCCGTTAGCGCTGCTCCGTCCATGCATTACCACGTTCGTAAATGTAGATGACACACCTGTTGGAGAAGACATGGGAGAAGGGCGCGGGCGACGAGGGCGAGTCGGTATACGGGCTGAACGAGGACTTCAGGCCGTTGGTGGTTGGAGACGGCATGAGCTGCGTTGCGGTGGCCATCCCTCAGTTCACGTCCCCTCGGGCTGGTGCACGGCGAGACGGCGCCGTGATGAGAGCCCTTTGTATGGCCCTCGCGGTCTCCCAAGCGGCCGCCTGATCGAGGGCGCAGCGGAGGCTCGCTGGTCGCAAGGCTGAACGCAGCAGACAGCCCACGACTCGGGCAGTGTGTGCGGCGTGGGAAGGAGCGCCGGGGTTGAGGCAAGAAGCAGCCGGCTGCTAGGCGGAAGGCGCGGAGGGGGAGGCTGCGTAGAGTGCGATATGCGTTTCGTTTCACCGACCCGACTGACTGACTGACTGCGGATGCGCGCCTGGCTCGCGTGGAGTCGGGGTGAGATGTGCGATGTTGTCCGCACCCTGAACCTCTCATCCTCCGCAGCCTACTCCACCTGCTCGCGGCCCCAGCAGCAGCTGGCCCCCTGCTTAGCTCTGCCGACCGCTTGGCCGTGCGGTGCCAATCACAAGCATTCCCAGGGGTTGCTGTAAGCGCCGCAACGATGCGCTAATGCACGGGATCCGCCAGCCTTCGTGCCTCGCTGCTGTTGCGCATTCTCACGCGTCCCAGAGCTCACGACAGAGACCCGTCCAGCTGGATGCTAACGACCTTTAGGCCCAGCTCAAAAGCCACCTGAACACGTCGACCGTCCAGCTGTTGCGACCAGGTCACGTCCCGCGTGTGGTTGGAGCCGTGGCCACGGAAATTCTCCGAACTGACATGACATGACAGTCCAATTCCAGAGGCACCAGATGTCACCGGCCAGACATTTCCTTGTGCGCCATCACACCTACCGGTCCAGGATTCTCCACCTGCTGCCACTGTCTCAAGCCTCCTAGCGTCACCCTGCCCGCCCGGCTTGACTATGCAGACGGGTGTAGGGAAGCCTGCACTAATGCACTTGTGAGCCCGCCCAACTTGTGCACCGGCTGATTCAGATGTCCGCGTAGCAACTGCACAATCGAGGCGTGGAAGCCGGCCGACCTCCACTCCTGGCAGGATGCTCCGGCTCACTCTTCCCCTCGGCCGACGTGGCCAGCTCCCACCAAATGACGCGAGCGCAATTGTGACTGAATCCTCCGGCATGCACGATCTTTTGCGGCCCCCAAATCGCCGCGGGGAATTGTCCCACGTTGATCGGCAAAGGCCACTGCAACGGCGACATTCTTCGCTAATATCGTATCGGCTTGACTAAGATGTGCTACCAAGGCCCGGTGCCTCGTCACCGGAAGCCTTTATCACACAGTCGTCACACCTCGATCGCAAGATGCGATATCGTCGTAACCCACTGTGCTCTCTCGGACAATCTAATGTGCTACAGACTTATTAATCGAGAAAGTGGCGGTCCTCGCCCACGTACTGTGCCTCTGAGGCGCAGAATTACCCGCGTCAAAGTCCCAGGCCTGGAAGCAAACGCCACCCGACCACAACATGCTCACCCCGCGTGTCTCGTGGCTCTGGGAGCACTTCAGCCTCAGCTCGGAGCTTTGCGTCGGCAACACTGTTCTTGTGCCCGGTCGACGCCCGCAACCATCCCTACTTCTTTGCGATCACGACGTGCTGATAGTGACGCCTCATATCTACGTATTCAGTGTGATCATTCGTGAGAACATCGATCCTGAGTGGACTAAAGAGATCATGTCTGGGACCCTTGACCGAAAACACTGCGAGATGAAGTTTTCCACCACGACCGCCCTTTTGCTCCGCCATGTCTGGTTGCCGATCTTGCCATAGATCCTCATGCAGTCATTTTGAAGCCAAGTACATCCTGTCCAAAGCCCCATTCAGATGTCAATCTGCCGCACACTAATGTCGGACCAGGATGGAGGGCGCGTATTTGGGCCATGTCTTTGGCGAGGACCGTCTGACCAACCCATAGAAGGCGTTGACCAGGCCGCAACCCACAAAGAACTCTTCAGAATTACTCTAACGATGACACTACCTTTTAATTTTTGTCCAAGCTCTGAGACCTTGTGCGCTCCTCTTTATCATGAGGCACTTCCCGACACGGCTGCGACCACAATAGGGCCACCAACACTAGGACCATCACCTTAGAAGGATTGAATCTCGCCTACGCTACAGCACCGCGAACGTGTGGTTCATGTCAACCTGTATGCATGTTTTTCTGGATGACAGTGTCCGCCGATTCGCCCCCGAGACAGCGACAGCACAAACGGTGGAAAGAGCTGCGCCGTGTAACACACTGTCCATGCCCGCTATCACTCCGCGGATCAAACATATTCTTTGTCCCAAGACCAGAGGCCACCCACTGTGCTGGATTCTCCTCGAGCTCTTTTTGGGACACTATAACGCAAGGCTGCCATGGCCCGCCCTTGTGGCTTTGCCGCGACATGCGCCGCAAACGCCTCTACACACGACTGCAAAATCTCACCGATCAAAAGGCACCATAACAGTGATTTCATTGCGTCTTGTCAGGAACATCATCCTCCTCACTGGTTCTGGAAATTCCACCCTGGCTAGTCCGATACTGTCCGTGCCTCCTACCATGTCTGTACACCTCATGCACTTAAGCGCCGCCTGCTTCTCCACCAACTTGAGCCTCCATGTTTCAACATCTCTGACTTTGCAGAGCCTCCGCCGCGGCCGTGCGCACTGTCGCATAGAGTCTGCCTCGCCAAAGCTTTGTGCATTGATCATCAACGAGTAGATGATTGACACTTGCGCAAGGCCACCCGTCTTCGACAACAACACCGCTCCTTACGTAGTCGGTCGGCTTGCAATGGCAGTCAAATACTTAGCCGCAAGGGGGCTGTGGATCGAAAGGCACGATGAAAGAGTTTGGTCGCGTGAGGCCGTTCTATGGTACGCTACAATTGTCGTCCTTGTTAGCACGGCGACGGTGGCACGTCACTTTTCCAATGAGCCATGCCAACCCAACGTCAGCTATCACCTCAAAGGAATTTGCCTTGCCATTATAACTTTCAACTCGCCAAAGCTTGTTCGGGTCGTTACAAGGACCTTCCTCGAACATGCAGCATTGTTGTGCTGTCCTAGAGGTTGCACAACTGCCGTGTACCCGTAGAGTACGGAAGAAGCAAGCATGACTTTCCCTCGGCGTGCAGTCAGACATATGCGCGTGGTGTTGTGATGTGGGTCTCCAGTCCATTCTCCTCAGAATACGTTGAGGAGAGCTACTCGAGGGTGTCAAGCTTCTAAACCTCGATGCAACAACGACTGCTTAGCCGAGCTTACGCTTTCTGGCCCTCGATACCATGTCAGATTCTATTGAGACGCTTGCCACTCTTTTCCATAACTTTGACCAGCACCTACCTCCGCACAAGTACAACCCACCATGTTCCTCTAAATCCCATGTGCACATTCGACGATTTTCTCTGTCGTTTTGATGCTTTTGCATCATTCTTAGACATCCGCATCGCGCAAGCAAGTAAATTATTCCTGTGTAGTCTCCCCATAAAAAGACATGTCGATCATCTACTCGCGCCGCGTCCAATCACGGCGCTGATCCAGCCGCCTGGCTTCCTACCCCTGCATGCTCACGGTGCACGATCCGATGTCCTCACGAATGCCGTTGTCATGCCTTCTTTTGAAAATGAGCGATATTGGCTGGCGACGATGTAAGGCGCCTTGCACGATTCTGCAGCATACGTTGATGTCTGTTCTTGCTGTTTCGGTAGCGGTAGGTTGGGAGGAGAAAGTAATAGCGCAGGTTTCAATGCATCCGGAAAAAGACGATCCCTGGCCATGCGAATGCTGAGAAAGACTTGCAGAGTCAGATGGCTAGATAGAATTGCCATATTTCTCCGTTGCGTCGCCACATTGGACGATGGGCGCTCGCTATGAATGATATATCGCCCCAAATACGCAAGTTTGGTGCCGAAAGTGAATGGCTAAGCCCTGGGTTTTCATATTTGGCGGGTTGTAGTTTGTGTTGATTCGTTGGCCGGCATCTCTCAACGAGGTTGAGTTGCAATGCAGCAGCTACATATCAGGAACCAGGTCGAACCCGCTTTGGAGCACTGACAGTGAGTAGTCTCTCGCTCGGGCTACGGGACTTGCTTGTCACTGATGAGAAGATGTATGTACCGGCACATACTTGTAGTATGTGATCCTGCCCTTTCACTCCTCTTGGCTTTCTTTTTGTGCCTTGCTCTTACGCATTCCTGCCAGTCTGAACTTGTACATCGAGCGAACCGGAACTCAGCTTGCCGAAGCGGAGAAGTTTTGCAGCACGAAACCAGACAAGAATCACATCATCGACAACCTCCACGTTGTCATTAACGACACCGTGAAGACAAAGAAGATTCAAGGACTACCATATCGGTCTCAATATCGCAATTGAGACAGGACTGCGCAAGGGAGAGAGCGATCAGAATCTGGCGGTCTTCATTGGTTACTGTATAGCAAGCGCGACTTGGTCGAGGAGATTGGAGAGACCAGGTACGAGACAAGCAAGACACCACGTTTGTGGAGGAGTGTCGCCACAAATTCGCTGAATTGGTGGCCGACTTCTGGGAGTCGTTCGTCGCGAACACAGCGAAGCTGGACCCGTTGAACGACGTCATTTCTCCGTTCGTGTTTTCGCAAGTAATTTAGGAGCGTGCAGAAACAATGACCGGATTCTACGACTGGGTGGAGGAGTGCAAAAAGAAGAACAGAATCCGTCCAGCACTGCAGTGCTGCGATACCCATGCCCACGGGACCTGGTGCTGGAGCGAATACTTTCTGCGCTGCATCCGTTGCGCTTCCAAGGGAGGCAAATGCAAGGCATAATCACGGCATAGCTTCAAGCTTGGAGGAGTTTAATGGGTTTCCAACGTTAAGTAGTACCAAGAATGGGCGCTGATCTTCCAAGTACGAACGATACGAAATCACGCACACGTGCGGGTTCAAATGTTTCCAACGTCTTACAGAGTGTCCCGATGTCGACCATAGCATGAGCCTACTCGCCTGGTGGGTGATGTAGCCTTCACGAGTGTCATGGACAGCTGTGCCACATTTCTGCGGGCCGCAAGTTGAGTGTGCTCCGCATTTTCTCCTGTGTTTTGCGCAGTTGAGATGGGACGGAAGGAAAACGAGTGGACTCGCTAGTTTCGCTGGAGATGACCGAATTGCAGCGGCTTCGCGGTGCTTCGGGAACGTTCTGGCAAAGGACAATCTGGGGTCGGACGGTTGTCGCGGTGACGTCGGCCGTGGTGTGAGCAACAGCAACAGCCAGGAGCGCCCCGGTCGCGCCGGCCAATCAGCGGGCAGCAGCCAAAATGCGGTCCACGGGCGCAACTGTTGCATCGAATTTCCTCGAACATACGACAAACACTCAGAAACAAAGCTCGCTACTTCACCGCCGTCGCCCTACCGTTGCCGCAAACGCACCGCCGGCCCCCAAACCACCTGCACGACCTCACAACACCGCCCGTTGGCCGCAACATGGCCCCCCAGACGTTGCACGGCTCTTGCGCCTGCGGGCGCAACCGCTATGTCGTCGAAATCCCCCAGCAGCAGACGCAGCTGGCGGAGCTTCGATACGACAACACGTCAGCTTCAAGTGAGTCTTGCCCTGCTGTGCGAGCGCTCCCCGTTGCGACCTGAGCATTACATCATGGCTCGCGAACGCAATCCTACAGCCCCTCCATGGATATACAACAGCTGACCCAGGGCTCAGGACACCACTCGGCCAGCCCACTCACTCTCTGGCTCCGCGTGCCTCTCCATTGGTACACCAGCGCCACCTTCGCACAGTTCCCCGACGAAGAACGATCGAGCATCCAGCGTACCTTTGTCTCACCCTTCGCCTCCCACTCGCGCCGCCAGTTCTGCGGATACTGCGGCACCCAACTCACATCATGGCACGAGCAGACCAGGGAGGACGCCGAGCACATTTGTCTCACCGTCGGCAGCTTGCTGGACGAAGACCAGGAGCTGCTTGGTGAGCTTGGATACCTGCCTGGCGGAGAGAGCAGCGACGAAGACACGGTCGTACCGGGACCCTCGAGATCAACCCAAGCTGTGACTCGATCCGATCAGCAGCTGCGCGGCGCACCGTGGTTCGAGGAGATTGTCAAGAACACGGCACTGGGACACTTCAAGCAGCAGCGAGGCGGGCACACGTCGCGCGACGGCAGCGTCAAGGTCGAGTGGGAGGTCGTCGAGTGGACCGAGGGAGACGATGCAGACGACGAGGGCGGTGTCACACCCAGCAAGAGAAAGATCGGCCAGGTCGAGGAGACCGACACCGAGATGCGAAGCGCCTAAGTTTCGCGTGCTTGATGTGTACGTTGGGTTGCTAGATTAGGGTGCTCACGCGTTAGGGACAAGGAAAAGGGTAATGGATAGGGATGGATAGGAGCGGCGCATCATGTTACGGCGCACAACATCTGGCTTCTTACGGACTGAAAAAATGCTGTGAAAACAGCTGTATAGTCGGTCAGGCCAGTCTTTTAGCACATTGGTATGGCGTTGATTCAGGCCAGCCTTTTAGGCAATCTCACAATTCAAGAATCACGCATGTTGAAGGCGATGGACAAGTTATACAGTACAAATTGACTCCCGTCAAGTACGCACTCGGCTTAGGCCTACTTGATTCGCTCTCCTCAAAATGCTAATGCAGCACCGTCGCAACGGTCTTTAGCGCCATGCGAAGGTGGAATGCCCTCTGTTAGTTGTCCGTGGTCAATCGTTCGTCATCGAGAGATTATCCAAAAACGTCCAACGCGATAAAGCGAGATGAACCGTGCCTTCGTTCCCTCAGTGGCATCCTTCCCCCGGATATGTCACCGTCGTAAGTGATCTTTGATTCTGTGCCTCTACCCCCTTCACCATCCGGTCCACTTACAGAGGATACTCGGAGCTCACGCGCGTACAAGATGAGCTCTTTTCCAGATCAGACAACTTCCTGTCCCACTCTCCTGCGCGGCGTGCTAACGGCCATGCCTCGCACCCACGTTGAACGTCGGTCTATCTTTGAATTTTTCCTGTTCATTTTTTTTTTTAAACAAATGAACTGGTTCCTGCTCAGTAATTGCTCCGACCCCTTTCTGCATTTTTGGTCTCTGTGCGCCTACGGCTGTCGAGCAAGGCACTTCCGGAGGGAAAGCGCACTCTTGCCGTCTACAGGCATTGTTTGACGTCTGGTCACTCCATGGCTCTTACACCTTACTTTGTGTCTTCAGTAATGCTCGCGGAAGATACCAGTGATGGAGCACCACGATCAAGCTACGATCTTTTGATTTCCCGCCATCCAACCACGCTTTCCCATTTTCGCTTCTCCTATCGCTCGTGATGCAGGTGGCTGATACAGTGGGTTGTCGATGTCGCTGTGTTACATACCGTACTTATTCAGTCACAACTTCAGCCCACACAATGACAGCTGGGGGGTCTGAATGGGCGTGCTGCTACGAGGAGCGCTTCTTCTGCCCTGTGAAGGCTTCTGCTCGGTGGACAGGTGTAAGCACACATTACCAGTCCTCTGTTATTCGAACGATTGACGTCATTTTTCTCTGTGCAGGCGAATGATGCGGGCGGGTATGCAGCATAGGCACCTCGGCGAGCTAAATGCCTATGCGGCAGCTCCTTCAGAGACCTCCACCATAGTATCGACCCAGGGTGGTGGAGAGCGGAGGCTTTGCATTGACACACTGGACTGTCGGTCCAATAGGATCGCAAGGGTAATGGATATGAAACATACAATATGTATCTCTGCGGCGCGGTGCATGTGGCACAACTCCGAAGCTGGGCGCAGGAAAAAGAACATGACGAGCACATACACAACATTGAAGCGTTCTGCAGCTCCTCATCAGCTCCTTGCACGTGTGCTCCTCTATGGACTCTAGCAGGCCTCTGATACCTATTCCTGTTGTCAAATTTGCCATTTGAGCAATACAGGGGCGTTGGTCGCAGCATGAAGGCATTCACGAGCCTGTTGACCTGCGTTGGCCTGTTCGCATTCTTTTCGAGCGTTACTGCCGAAGTCGAACCAATTGAGATCAAGGGGTCGCATTTCTTCTACAAGAACGGTACTGCCTTTTTTGTGAGTCCTCCAAAGGGTATAATCAACAATGCTCATCACCATAGGTTCGAGGAATAAGGTATGAGCCGTTTGGATACGAATTGTCAAACTTCAACCCGCCACCTGACCCACTTGGAAGCGGAATTCTATGCCGACGCGACATTCCATACCTGTCTGGCTTCAACATCAATGTCATAGTAGTGGCTTATATCGACCGCGACAAGGACCATTCAGAATGCGTGAACGCGCTTGCTGACGCTGGTATATACGTCGTCCCTCAAGTCGATGCGGGTGTGAATTCGTATTTGTATGTATGGAATCAGGAAACGTTTGATTATAAGATCGGAATCATTAGCTCGCTTGCCAATTATTCAAATGTTCTCGCTTTTCGGATGACTGCTGCTGGCCAGCAACCTACGGACCTGCTGTACTTTCGGGCGGCCTTTCGAGACATGCGGACGTACATGTCCGAGGTGTTGCATAGGAGTATCCCGATCGTTCTGTCAATACTCCCAGAGGAACAAGAGAAAGACACGATCGACTACATATGGTGCCATGACGATGCCGCCGACATTGTTCAGTTGTGGATGGGCAATAGTGTCATAAATTGTACCTCAGACCAGAACATTGAAGACGCTGTCGACTTCGCGAAGTCGTTGAGCGGTCCCATCGTCCTGGAGGGAATGAGATGTGACTTATACATCGGAGAATTTGACGACCGAAATTACGAGTTCATGTACGACGTGTACTCTGACAAAGGAGCTGCTGCGTTGAGTGGTGGGATCCTTGACACGTACTACGGGGACTGGAATGAGAGCATGACCTTTGGTTAGTCCAGCGTTGTGAAGCATACTACGAAACCCACAGTTAATGGTTTCGCAGCTATCATGGTGTTAAGATTCGAGCCCAACAATGAAAACGCTATCGAACCATTGGCGGGAGCCATGTCTCTGTCTTCAGTGTTGGCAGCGGCAAAACCCTCATTCACCAACGAAGCGCAGTACAATCCTACGACGATCACAAGGTCTTGTCCAACTGGCTCTGAATGGGCTTTCAGTGGAGTACTTCCACCTAGGGCGTACGAGCCACTATGCTCCTGCATGCTGAACACGCTGCAATGTACCGCGAAACTAGGTGCGGTCGAGACACTCTCCGATAGCATGATGTACATGACACTACTCGATGCATGCGGACCCGATAGGGAAAAGGACTGCGGGGCCATTGTAACAAATTCCACGACTGGCAAATATGGGGCATACAGGTAGGATACGCCGCTCAGCTTGATTGGCTGTTCTCTCATCAGATCTAGCATGTGCAATCGGACGACAGTGTATTCGTGGGTGGCCAATCATTACTGGCAAACCGGCGGCAAATGCGACTTGAACGGCACAGCTGAGCTTCGCGATGCACAGCAGATGCCGCAGGGGGATTGCAAATTCCTACTCGACCAGGTCGGCGCGGCCGGCGAGAAGACACTGACTGCGTTCCTCGGCGCCAACACCGCATCAAGCACAGCACCGCACCCGGTGGCCCGGACGAAACTGACGGCCTCGTAAAAACTTCCTCAGAAGAACCGAAAACATCTGGACTTCCCACAGGCGCAAAGATAGGGATTGGCGTCGGCGTCCCGGTATTCGTTGTATTGTGTCTCGTATCTGTGTTGCTTTTACTAAGAGGAGAAGGGCGGATGCGGCGCTTCATGGCAAGGAAGATGTCCCCGAGTATGTTTCACCGCAAGGTGAGGCTCATGGGGGCCAGAGGCCCCGAACGATCTACCCGAATTGCAAACTATACTGAGGTCTTGATGCACATTCGATCCTGCAGCGATCTTTGTACATATAGTCCGAACGGGTCTCCGCTCACGGTTCAGAAATGCGATCTTGGTTATGTATTGATATAGGTACTCTGTTGCATCTGGGTTTGCAGGTTGCTTTCTTAATGGTCGAATTGGGACATCTTTCCACGATCGGACGTTCATCATTTCAATTCCTGAGCATGAATACGGCCTTCTATGTTATGATCACGTTCTCCATCCCCGCACGCAGCAATCATAAAATCACAATGATAGCGTTTGCAAGGACCCATACTAATGAAAGTGCACCAGATTTATGTCTTTATTCTTACCCTTTACTCTCCCTCCTCCTTCTCGAACCATATCAGATCCCCGGAGTTAGGGTAAAGGTCCACGCCGAACCTCTTCACCTTCCCACTCACCTCCTCAGCGTCAAACTTACACTTCATTGTGCTCTTCTCCCCACTCGCTGGATCAACATTCTCAAGCATGTACCAGTGCCCATATGCCCTCTCCCTCACCACCCACACAAAAGAGTATGAGCGGTCCCTGCCATCGATCTCGATCTGCTTCTTCTCCGCGTCATACGCAAGCCGAATCCTGTGGTATCCAGTGTTCGCGTACGACCCCACAAAAGTCTCCAAATCCGGATCAGTACGTGGTTCATCGTCTGCATGCTCCGCTCGTTCAGGGAAGAGTTCGTCCAGGGTCTGGACGTGCGCCCACTCCGGCGCTTTGTTGTCGTAATGATCTCTCCACCCAAACCTCTCACCCTCGGGAACTCCCAACAGCGTGTCGACAAGATGAAACAGCACCTCCATCTCCGCGGAATACGCATCCTCGCTGTTCCCCAGTATCACAACGCCCCACTCCCTCTCGGGAACATAGACCATGCTCGACGCAAACCCCGCCCACGACCCATCGTGCCGCACTATCGTGACGCCACGGTAGTACGCGACTTCCCAGCCGAGGCAGTAGAACGTGGGTGACATGCCTGTCAGCCCTGGGATGGCGTCGTCGGCCAGGATGCGCGGCGTGCGAAGACTTTTATAACTGTCCTGGGATAAGGGTGGGAGTGTGTATATCTGGGCGTGGATCCAGCGCGCGACGTCGCCCACGCAGGACTGGATGCTGCCTGCGCCGACGCCCTCGGGCTCGGGGATGTGCGGCATTTCCACGGCTTTGCCCTGCGAGGTAGCGTAGATGGACCCCACGGCTACGTTCCCTGCATCTGCTTCTGCCGTGGGAAGGGCGTCTGGCCCCAGCCACGTGCGCTGCATGTCCAGCTTATCCCAGAAATTCTGCTGCAAGAAGGAGGCGAAGGGGGTAGAAGATAATTTGGACACGAGATGCGCGGCGCAAGTATACATCAAGTTGTTGTAGAAGTACGTAGTCCGGAGGGCGTGTGCGAAGGGCAGATGCCGTATATTGCTCACCACTGACTCTGGTGTATCTGCATCCGCGTGACTGATGCCCAGAAGCGACTCTTCGTGCCCAGGCAGCCCGCTGCGGTGGGATAGGATGTCCTCCACGCTTATGCCTTGCCTCCCGTCTCCATCGCTTGTTGCAAACTGCAACTCTGGATCTAGCTTTGAGACGGGCGTGTCCCACTTCACCTCTTTCAGTGCCTCATCTTCCTCGTTCTGCACCAGCAGCGCCATCGCCGCCGCAGTGAAAGACTTGGACATGCTTGCGATGTCGAAGATAGTCGCTGGCGTGACCGGACTCGCGCCTCCTCCAACTTGGGAAATACCATAGCCATGCGCCGTTACAGTGTGCCTGTCCACGATGGCCAGCGCGAGGCCGGGGACGCGCCAGTGGTGCAGGGCTTCGTTGACGCGGGCGTTGAAAGTCTCACCGCCGTTGTTGTTGGCGAAGGGGTTTCTTGACGCATCTTGTTCTGTCGGAGAAGGCTGTGAAGAGTCTGGACTGAGCGTAAAGCTGGCGTGGCGTGGGTCCGAGGGCATTCTTGGGGATTTGTCGTTGAGAGTTGTTTCTATGTCGGCCATGGTTGTATAGAATGGTGTAGGGTCGACATAGGGTTGGTTTGCCCAGCTTTATACACTGAATACAGCATGAGATGCTTGGAGGTCAGTCTCTCGTCCCAGGGCCACAGTTTCGTATAAGCGCTAGCGTTGACCGGTAGCTGTACTCACTATGAGTGATTTCAGCAACCACTTCGCTCTAGGCAGCTAGCGAACAGGCGTGGCGCAGTATCTTACTAGTCTAAGGCGCAAACCTTGAGACATCACAATCTGTTACCATGTCAGAGCCACTGAGTCACGAATCATCCATCAAAGCGATTGCGACAAAACGTTGTCAATTTCGATATTATCTCATCGCCCTCATTGCCTGCAACTCATCATCCACCTAGGTATCACCCAACTCAGCGCAAATTTTCTAAGCCTCCCTTGCACCCCTCGGGCCCAAAAGCGCAATTTAGAGGGCCGCGCAGAATCTAAAACGCAGAAACACTAAACGGCAAGACTGAAATGTTTGAAAGCACAATGCCCTGAACGCCTCGCATTTTGTGCACTAGGGTCGTGACCCCATCGTCAAATATCAATCGAAAAACAAGGACGCCGTTAACCCCCGTAAATGGTGCTCGGTGTATGTAATGCAGACGGGATAGGAACATCTTTTTGCGGTTTTCGGCGGGGGTGTGCTATCGAAGCACAAATCGCTCGTTTGTTGTACATCGTAGAGACAAAACATTAAATAATCGAAAAGGCCAGCTGCAGCGGTCGCACGTGTGGGTGTAGACGTGGGCCTAGCTAAAGGTACGCCGACGCCGTGACGCGAGTGTGACTGGCGGCCGTGGTGTGCAATTTGAACAGGGTGAGCAGACTGATTCGGATCGGAGCTACCCATCACCGATGTCAGCCTTCACGTTCAAAAGAGCGAAAAGGATGAATTTTGTACAAAGCGAGGCAAGAACCTGCTTACATGAAGAAATATTCACGAGTGAGCGAATCACTGCTGAGGCGAACTGTTCATCGTTAGCAGATTGTATCTTTCATGGGAATCATACAACTATGACCAAGACTTACGTCGGCGAGTACTTGGGCGACGTCGGTGAGTACTGCGGAGATGTAGGGGAAGTGGGAGAGTATTTAGGCGATGTCGGGCTGTACTGGCCCATGGGGCTCGTCGGGCTGTACGAAGGCGACGTGGGTGAAGCAGGGGAGCGCCTATCGCCGCTGTTGAACTGCGGGCTCGTCGGGCTGTACATGGGGGACGTTGGGCTGTACTGTGGAGATGTAGGGCTCCATCCACCACCCGGAGAGGTGGCGCTTCGAGCAGCAGCTTGTGCGGGCGAGGTAGGACTCCACTGCGGAGACGTGGGCGAGTATCCCGGTGATGTAGGTGAGTAGCTCGGAGATGTCGGAGAGAAACCTCCAGGTGACGTGGGCGAAAATTGAGGGGAGGTGGGCGAGTACGGTGATGTGGGATTGTAGCCCGGAGACGTAGGTCCGAAGCGGGGGCTGGTCATACTCATGCCGGGAGACGTGGGCGAGTACTGAGGCGAGGATGGAGAGAAAGAAGGCGAGCTGGGGCTGGCGCCACCGCTGAAGGGGCTCATAGAACCTGCCATGCCAGGGCTGCGAGTATTGGCGTACGGGCTGAAGCCGCCATCGCCATACTGCGGAGCATACTCGCTCATGCCACCATAGTTTCCTTCTGGGGCTGCCAGAGGCGAGAATTCTGCACTGTAGGATGGGCCGCTCATGCCGCCTTCGTATGTTGGAGAGCCAAGGTCGTATGGAGTGGCGGCACCGGTGTCATAGTAATTTCCGGTGGCGCCGGTGCGCATGCGGGAATTATCCTCAACCATGGTGAGCAACATCTGGCTATCCATTACAACCTCAAACTCTCCTGTTCCCATCGGTGCAAGTTGACCAAGCATGATATTTTCAGAGACACCCCGGCAGTCATCGAGCTCGCCGTAGCCAGCGGCTTCGAGGAGAATCTCAACCGTTTCCTCGAACGAACAGCGCATGAGTGCGCCAGTGTCGCCGCGATTGATGCCGTGGCGAGTGATGGCCATCAGGAGACCACGCTGGGTCATGATATCGACGAGGATCGCCATGTGGCGATGGTTCACGTACGAACCGTCGAATTCCAATACGTTGGACAATTCTTTCAAAAGACCGGCGCGAGCGGCTTCGATACCGAGAACGCCAAGAACCTCGATGAACGAATTGGAGTATGAGCAGGTGGCGTCCACACCCTCTACGGAGAGCACCTCGGCCAGCGCAATGCCTGTGGTATCCAAGACCCACTCCATGCAACGCTCATCGTCCTTCTTGAGAATCAAAGACTCATCTTCTTGTTCGAAAACCTTCTGCTCAGTACGGATGAAAGCACGTTCAACGCCCTTTACTCCGCGCAGAGTCACATCATCCAGCAGATGAACGGCGAGCTTGCGCATCCAACGTTCATCACGATCTTCTTCATCATCCTCGTCTTTCCGGAGATGCTGATCCCACTTGAAGCGTACACGTATCACCTGGTCGTCGTCGTTCGGATCGGCGTTTATGACGCTAATATTAGGAGCGAACTCTTCAAGAATCCTTCTAGACACTTCTGTTATCTGTAGGTTCTTGTCCAGGAGGTGCTTCCGTTCCAGAGTGATACGAAGCAGCCACTTGGACAGATTCGAGACATCCTCGTCGACTTCGATCCCATAATGCATATCGACCATGCTCTCATCAGCTTCGATCAACGTGGTCCTCGGATCGGGATCATAGTACAGCTCGACCGAGTGCGTCAATGATCGAAGGGTGGTGTGTTCGATCCGGCTTCGGAGCTCCTTCGCCGTTTGTTGCGAATGCTCCGGGTGATTCTGTTTGATCAACATACTGGGTGTCTTAATATTTGCGGCAATGTTGAGAATTTCCTTGAGACGAGGTACACCGAGGGTCACGTTCTTCGAAGACACACCAGCGAAATGGAATGTGTTCAATGTCATCTGGGTTGCGGGTTCTCCGATAGATTGAGCTGCAATCACACCTACCATTTCTCCAGGGTGAACAGCAGCCCTGAGGAAGCGGTCTGCGATTTCGCCGATCACGTGGTTAAAGGCCAGCTTGTTCAAGTGATCTACTGTCACCAGGCGCTTGAAGGCCAGACGAGACCGCAGGAGACATTTGAAGAGCATGGTAGCGCTCTTCTGCGCCTCTAGAGTGAGAGGATCGTCACCGCGAATAACGATGAGTTTGTCGAGCAATTCGCGGACACCCTGGATAACATCTATTGGGTGTAGGTCGCTCCGTTGGGAGTTCTTGATCGCGAATCGAGTCTTCGCGTTCTCGATAATGCGGCTGATGTGAAGAGGCAGGTAAACCTCCTTCTTGTCGGTCTTCATTCCTTGTCGCAAGAATGCACGATCCTCTTCAAGCGCAGCAAATTCCTCGTCAAAGTATCGACCGACCTCAGTGTCGCCTTGGATTTCGTTGGCAACTTCCAAGACATCGGCAGAGATAGGTGGCCTGTCGCTCATTACATCCATCTTGTATTGATCCTCGAACTTCTTTCGGGACAGTGGGACCGTATCGATAGTTTGCTTCTCGACCTTTGCGCCATCGAGACCGTCCTCGCCGTAGACGAATTCGACAATATCGCCCATGGAGTTACGGACAGTGCCATCGTACTTGACCATGACGTCTTCAAGCGCCTTGACTAAACGACGCTGAATGTAACCAGTTTCTGCTGTCTTGACGGCAGTGTCGATGAGACCCTCACGACCAGCCATAGCGTGGAAGAAGAACTCTTGTGGGGTAAGCCCACGCAGGTAGGAGTTTTCGATGAATCCTCGCGATTCTGGAGAATAGTCGTCCTTCGTGAAGTGCGGGAGCGTACGATATTTGAAACCAAAGGGAATTCGATTACCTTCGACTGCCTGTTGACCGACAAGTGACACCATCTGGGCAATATTGACGTTCGAACCTTTGGATCCGGAAGTGACTGTTTGGACGACGTTGTTGAAGGGCTTCAGGTTGTCCTTGGCTGCGGTACCACCGGCCTCACGTCCCTCATTGAGGGCCTTCTGCGCCTTGGCTTCGAAGGTTTGTCGCAGCGTCATACCAGGGTTGGGCTCTAGTTTGTCCGTAGTCGCAAGTTTCAGGACTTCTGCAACTTCTGCCTTTGCCTTATTGACAGCTTCCACGATCTTATCAGAGGTAGCCTTGTCAGGAACAGCGTCGCCAACACCAATACTGAAGCCGTTATGTAGGAACCAGTAGGCCACGATGCGCTGCGTAGCGTTAAAGAAGTCAACTGCTGCTTGTGGGCCGTGCTCATTGTATACTATGTGAACGACACCACCGGGAGAAGCACCGACTTGCTTCTTGACGATTTGGCCCATGACGATCTCGCCTCCATGGATGACAACAGATTTGCCGCTGAAATCATTGAACTTGTCGTCTGCAGAATCACTCCCCTGTGTGAGGTTGAGATCATCCTTGAAGGCGTAACTGATGATCTGTTTGCCGGTCCAGCGAGGTTTCGGCCTCAGAATAGCAGGTGGGGGAAGAAGACCATCCCAGTCTGGCACCCACATCATGAGGGGCATGACTTGTTCTCGAGTAAGGAAAACGTCCATGTGAGTCATCTTGAAGATACCACACAGGGTGTCTTGCACGATACCCATGAGCGGTTTGTTTCCCTGGGGAGAGACGATCTGGAGCGGGACCATGCACAGATTCTTGACCTCGGCGCGTGTTTCGTCGCTCTGCGGCACGTGCAAGTTCATTTCGTCACCATCGAAATCAGCGTTGTAGGGTGACGTGACGGACAGGTTCAGACGGAACGTCGAATACGGCATAACCTTCACACGATGGCCCATCATAGATTCCTTGTGTAGAGACGGCTGCCGGTTGAAAATGATGACATCGTCATCGTTGATGTGGCGCTCAACCTTCCAGCCATATGCCAGTTGTAACTCGCTGAGGTTCTTGTTATGCTTGAGATCAAGACGTACACCGTCGGACTTGATGACGAAGTTGGCTCCAGGGTGGTTCGTGGGGCCATTGCGCACTAGTTGCGACAGCTTGCCGATGTTGAACTTGGTTACGGTTTCGGGGTATGTCAAGGTCCGAGCGATTGAGCGTGGCACACCAACCTGATCCAATGACAGATTGGGGTCGCCTGTGATGACAGTGCGGGCAGAGAAGTCGACGCGCTTGCCCATGAGATTGCCTCGTAGACGACCTTCCTTGCCCTTTAAGCGGCCACGAATGGTTTTGAGCGGACGACCGGACTTTTGCATTGCCTGGGGCACACCGTTCGCGTCGTTGTCCATGTAAGTAGCAATGTGATATTGCAAGAGATTCTCATACTCTTGTATCGCGTGCTGTGCAGCACCTTCGGCATGTGCCTTTTTCACGTTGCTGTTGGCGCGAATGATGTCGCCCAACTTGTAGGTCAGATCGTCCTCTCCACGGGCACCCTGGCCTGTGCCATCGACTGAAATGCTAGGGCGAACCGGGGGTGGGGGCACAGGAAGCACGGTAAGAACCATCCATTCCGGGCGGGCGTAGTCAACATTGAGGCCGAGCAGAGACATGGTGTTTTCCGTCATTGACTTCAAGATGTTCTGCGCTTCTTGCGGTTTGATCAGTTTCTTTTCGTTGTCTTTGTTGGGGGGGTCTTCCTCGTCTTTCCGCGGCTTGTACGTGGCCCACAAGTTCATGCCTTCCTTCTTGATGGTGTCGGGCATTCTGTTGCCGCAACCACCGTGGTGTGCCGCCGTCTTGTCTTTGGGGATTTCATTATCGCAGAACTTGCGCGTTTTGGACAATCGCCATATCATATCGAAGCGCTTCTTTGGGTCTTTTACTTTGGTAGCTGACGGCCAGTCTGGGTGGTTCTAAGTCATGAGGTTAGCCAAAGCACTGCCCCAGGCCGCGATGTTCGTCTTCCGCCAGGGAAGACTTACGAAGTCAGCCAGAATGAGGCCACAGTTGTGGCACACAGTCTCGAGAAGCTTTTTGATCTTCACGACAAAACCTGCAGGGTGTCAAACGAAGCTCAGCGCGTCGACAGGTTCAGAATACTGACCAACATGGAAGCAAGGCACGGCCAACTCGATGTGGCCAAAGTGCCCTGGGCAGGTCTGCATGTCTTCCTGGCATGTGCCACATACAAAGCTGCGATCGATGCTGCCGAGCCTGCTGTCGTTAAGGCCTTGGACACGAGCCTGCTGCTTGTCTTCGTCCATGGTCTCCGGGTACAGGATATGCACGACGCTCATCGCCTTGATCTCTTCGGGTGAGAGCAGCCCGAACTGGATCTCCTTGATCGTGCGCAGCGGGCACTTGGAGACGACAGGGGCCCCAGGCGGCATGATGGCGGTTGTTCGAGGTAACTGCGAGAAGTCGCTGTTGGTGGACGCAAAGAGCGTGGAAATGTGGCTGGACCGTGTTACCGGTGAGCGCGAGCAGCTGGTGGAGCCGTGGGTGAGGGAACGGCCGCGGTGGCCACGCCGGGGCTGGCGCCTCCTCGGTTGCAGGAAACGAGTCTAGATATGCGAAGGAGGGTATGCCACGGGTAGAATGGTGTCGCTGATGCGCCGATGCGCGCTGTGGGATGCGGTCGAAGAATAGCACCTGCGGACAAGGGCTGAGCGGCTCGGGGGCTCGCGGTCGGTCGCGCGTCGCTGCAACGGGCAGCGCGGGTATTTTGCGCAGTGGCGGGAGCGCAAACGGGTGCGGCGAGATGTTTGACGCGCTCGCGGGCACCACAGCGGTCGGGAGTGATGAGTTGGGGGTGGTGGGGAGGGGAGTGCAGGAGCGGGAGGCGTCAGGCAGCGCAGAGCAGAACAAGAGGAAGCGGCGAACAAAGGAGCCAAGCCACGCTAGGGCCAACACGCCTGGCGCAACAGCCGCACAAGGGCGGCCGCCGTTCGACAAGCCGACGCGAGCGCGGAGCACTGAGCACTGCCAGCGTGCCCTGAAAGAAACAACGAACGGCATGGAGCGCCCCGCCGCAGCATGCGCAGCACCCTGACACCGCGCGCTGCCCTCCCCGCCCCAGCCCGCCGCTATGAATCTGTCGCTGGTTGATCCCTTTGTCCTCGCGCAGGACTGCCCAGAGGTCATCACCGGCCGTCTGCGTGAGTCGGTCCCAGCTGCACCATTTTTGTTTCTTCAAGTCAATTGCTCCAAGTAACATGTGACTAACGCAGCCCGCGCAGGCAGCGGCCACTCGACGTCGATCCGCTTCAGTCACCGCGGCGATCTGCTGGCCTCTGGACGGGTAGGCAGCAGCACCACCACCAACCACTGCAGCACCGGCTAACCCTGCCAGCACGATGGCATCGTGGTTGTCTTCGACATCGAGACCAACGGCGTCGCGCGCAAGCTGCGCGGCCACACGCGCCAGATCCAGTCGCTGAGCTGGTCCACCAACGACCGCTTCCTGCTCAGCGCCGGCCAGGACTGGAAGTGCGTGCTCTGGGATCTCAAGGATGGCTCGCGCGTGCGCACCGTCCGCTTCGAGTCGGCCATCTTCATCGCCGAATTGCACCCCAAGAACCAGTATGATGCGTCGCACACGGAGCAGGCAATCGCTAACACGGCGCAGCATGATCTTCGCCGCCGCGCTCTTCGAAGACCAGCCTGTACTCGTGGACATGTCCGCCGAGGTGCCTGTCAAGCACACGCTACCCACCGCGCCCCGCCGCTCCCAGACGGAACGTGAGAAAGCGACGGAGAAGCAGGCCGCCCAGGACGCAAAACAGACAACGACTGTAACCGTCTTCACGCCCTCCGCAGACCACATACTCGCAGGCACGAACAAGGGCTGGCTGAACATCATTGATACCAGGACACACGAAGTCTTGTACTCGTATCGAGTTACTAACTCGCTCATCGTGCTGATTCGCATGACGCAGTCTGGTCGCGATGTTGTTTTGAATTCCAGCGACAGAATAATTCGGACATTCCTTCTTCCCGATCTAAGCGATCCAAACCTCGATTTCGACATGCTCGAGCTCAAAGTGCAGCACAAGTTCCAGGATCTGGTACAACGGTTATCGTGGAATCACGTCACCTTTAGCTCCGCTGGCGACTACGTTGCAGCGACAACGTACATGAACCACCACGTCTACATCTGGGAACGCGGCCAGGGCAGTCTCGTAAAGATCTTGGAGGGGACCAAGGAAGAGCTGTCGGTACTTGAGTGGCATCCGTTCCGGCCTTTTGTCGCTGCTATTGGCGTTGACTCCGGGCGCGTCTGGCTTTGGTCTATCCTACAACCCCAGCGCTGGTCTGCGCTTGCCCCAGATTTTGTTGAAGTGGAAGAGAATGTGGAGTACATTGAGAAGGAAGACGAGTTCGACATTCAGCCGCTAGAAGAACTTCACAAACGGAGACTCGATCAGGAAGATGAGGAGGTCGATGTGTTGACTATTGACCCTGTCAAGACCAATGCCCAACATGAACCTGGCGAGTTTAGAATGCCAGTGTTGCTAGACATTGAAGCAAGCGACAGCGAGGACGAGATTGTAGCCGTGGGGGCGGGCCAATTCAGACGGCGGAGTCCTGGAGCTGGAAAGGAATACATGAACGATGATGAGGTGGGAGTCAGCGGTGATGAGGTGAGGAGGGCCAATGGCTCTTCGACGAGTGGAACGAAAAGGCGACGCGCCTGAGGCTTCTCCGCTTCTCTCACGCACCTTTCCCACACGACGTTCAGTCGATCCGTGCGCGAAGCAAATCTACTACAACCAGGAAATTGGCACCGCGGCTGCGACAGTAGGGCCATGCTCGCAGCTCGTGCCATTGCTCAGCCGCTCAGCCGTCATCGCCAGAAGATGAGAGCACAGTACGTATGGTGGGATTGACCCCGCGGATTTGAAACTTTGTCGGTACAATGGTAGTCCGCCAGCTTCTAGGGCCAGAGAGATGACTTCATTGTATCCATCCACTAGCAGTCCACTCAAGTGGGGTTTCGCCGCAGCGTTCTCTCCACAGAGACTAACGAAGCCAAAACATCGTCACAATATTCTATAGCTTGCATGCACTTCATCGTTGTAGTGAGGTTCTGCATGCCAAGTGCGGAAGCTGCAGCCCAGCCCTAGGGACGGCACCCGAAATAGCAACCGTGGAGCAACGGCGCCACGCCTAAATATATCGGGCTGCATTCTTCGCATCACTATTCACGGTGACTACGAAGTATGGAGTACGAGGTGTTTTGAGGCCTGCTGACGCACCAGTCTGGTCCGAAGAATTCGCATTGGAAAGCGAGCATGTCCAACCGGAGTGAAATAGCTATGTACAACGCCTGCTGAACGACCCTGCACAGGCTGCTCGTCAAGGCTAGTGGCCAGTATTGCATCATAGACCATGTCTGTCTTTTATTTGCAAGCTTGAGTAAACTATTAGGTACGTTCGTACCCACAGGAACGTGTCTAGTCATCGTCCGTCACATGTCTAGCCACGAGTATTGCGATAGGCGTGCCGATCTGTGCGACGGGCCAACCGTTGCAGCGCCACTCCCGACTACTGTACCTCGCACCACACCACACGCGGCCTATCTCCCGTATCAGCACCCCCATCGTAGCCTCTGTTAACATCATTTTAGGTCCATTTGCCGGTATCATGCATCCCTCGTCCACGTTTCAGACACAACCCAGCCGCAGATACGGCTAGCTCATTCCCCTTTTCTCACTGTCGGATGGCGACAAAACAAGAATAGCGACAGCTTCGCTGCCATGTTTAGCCCCACAGGCTCAGCCCGCATGCATGATGTAGCGCCCTTCGTTCTCAGATGTGGATCTCTGCAGGGTCCACAGCCTGAGACACTCGTCTGCTCGTGGCAGACGGTCCAGACAATTAGTCGCGTTCATTGCGAAGCAAGCGAACTTAAAGTCCCAGACGCCGTAGTGACGCGCACAGGTCTCACCTCATCCGTCCCACATCTCGTGTGCTTCTTCCCAGTCGCGCAAAGTGTGTGTTGTGTTGTTCACTCGTTCCTATTTCTACGTACGTCGTAATATACATCCCTGCCCCGGCCGGGACCACGCTCGCTTCCCTGACTGGACGACTGCCCTAATTTCCTCCGAAATATCTTGCTGCGATCCTTGTGACTATTTCAACAGTCAGCCGTCATATCACAAACACAATCCGGAAATCTAGGTGCTCTTGGTTGTTGCCACATCCGGCCACTGGTCTTACACCCAACGCAAGGGACTCACCTTCCGTTCCCAGACCATTCCACTCCCCGTTGTGCTACGACAAGAATATTCTTGAATTAAAGAGTAGTTTTTGAAGAAAAGAGAAGCTATCAGTACGTTATGCTTTTGACGCGCGTGTTGGCTGCCGGCCTGGCGACGGGGTTGGCGGTTGCGGCTCCTGCGTAAGTGCTCTCTTTATTGTTTGGGAGCATGGCTTTGCGTACTCTGGAATGTGCATTTGCATATCAGGGGAAGGAGTGAATAGCTGGATGCCACATGAGGCTTCCTTCATGCCAATAAATGGCCATTAGAAATAACTTCACAGCTGACCATATACAGCACCAAACGTGGCGTCGCCTACGCATGGGGTTCAGAAAAAGTAAAAGGTGTAAATATTGGAGGGTGGCTCGTTCTTGAGCCGTGGATAACGCCGTCTTTGTTGGACAATCTTGGCCGCAGCGATGTTGTTGATGAGTTTACGCTAGGAGAAAAGCTGGGGCAAGATGCGGCGCTCAAGATCCTCAGACAGCACTGGGATTCTTGGTGCACGTTTGAGGACTTCCAGAAGATCAAAGACTCGGGTTTCAACTTAGTGAGGATACCGGTTGGGTACTGGGCGTATGACACGCTGGACTCGCCGTACGTAAAGGGCGCTGCACCTTACAGTAAGTTCTATTCCTTCTTGCTAAGCCGAAAATGTCGAAGGGCTCTCTTCTTTTCCGCCTACGCCTGATCCTGACTGATTCTAATTCTCACAGTCGACGCTGCCATCGACTGGGCCCGCGGCCTCGGCCTCAAAATCCTCATCGACCTCCACGGCGCCCCCGGCTCCCAGAACGGCTTCGACAACTCCGGGCAACGCATCTCTCCCCCAACCTGGACCTCCGGCGACACCGTCCAACAGACCCTCAACATCTTCTCCACCATCACAAAGAAGTACGCGCAGTCTAAATACCAGGACGTCGTCGTCGGCATCGAGCTACTCAACGAGCCACTCATCCCCTCCCTAGACGAGGCCACTGTCCGCCAATTCTATCGCGATGGCTTCGGCCGCCTGCGCCAAACATCCGACACCCCGATCATCCTGCACGATGGATTTCTGCCGACGGCAAACTGGAACGGCTTCCTCACCCCCTCTGACAACAACGCGCAGAACGTCGTCATGGACCACCACGAGTACCAAGTCTTCACGGATGCGCTCGTCGCGCTCTCCCCCGACGCCCACGTCTCGGCAGTGTGCTCCTCATCATCCTCCTACGCCGGCTCCGACAAGTGGTCCTTCGTGGGCGAGTGGACGGGCGCAATGACCGACTGCGCGAAGTACCTCAACGGGCTGGGCGTCGGCGCGCGCTATGACGGGACGTATCCCGGCTCCACGAAGGTTGGGGACTGCAGCTGGCAGAACGACATTAGCAAGTGGAGCCAGGAGTACAAGGACCAGACAAGGAAGTACATCGAGGCGCAGATGAGCGCGTTCGAGACGAGGGCTGGCGGGTGGGTGTGGTGGAATTTTAAGACGGAGGGGGCGGCGGAGTGGGATGCGTTTGCGCTAGTTGATGCGGGAGTTATGCCGCAGCCCTTGGATCAGAGGAAGTTTGAGGTTATGTGCTGAGGGGTTGGGGGATAATTTTTGTTTGGGAAAGATGGTGGCTAGACAATAAAAATATGGAAGGCTTTGGGAGGGCGTTTTGGTATACCCGAAGACATAGCTGAGCGGACTGGCTTCTATTCGTAGTGTGTATTAGTGGGGGATAGGGACATGATAGCCTATATATATATCTGGCTATTCATGACGCATACAATGGTCAGCACGCATGGGTGTACCGAGGATCAACGTACTGTTACCATTCAACGACTTCCGTTGGACCATGCACCTTCCAGCTCAACAGATCGCAAAAATCACAATGTATGGAAGCTGTATGACGCAGGACGCGCGAGGTCAGATGATCATAGCAGAGCTTACCAAGTACCTCGCGACGACAGCAGAGTCCCCGACTATTCAGGTCTTGCTCGATGCTGGACGGCTTAATTTCTCGGACTTGCCCTCGCTGAGCGTGATCTGCACGGCAGTGATCGTGAACGATCTCGAGGCGGTAGCGGAGTGTCTGCAAGATCGGAGGAGACGGCAGTACTTTCTGTCAATGACCAATACTTACCCCTCGCGTACTCTCTACGTCTTCGGGTAGCCGATATTCATCGCAATCGCTACAATCAAGACTTGCATTCTTGCGGTTCATGCTTAATGCCGAGTTCCGGAAGGGCAGGTTGGGTTGGCGGTTTCGCTTGGTGCGCATCTATCAGGCTCTTCGATAGACCTTCAGCGAGAAGCAGCTCCGAGCTATCTTCCTAGTGCATAACTTCATGTTCACAAAGAAGAAGTAGTGGATGACCAGTGTGACTACTGCCATCTAGTCAAACTGGCTGCGATGACGAATGAAATCGCCATCCTCCGTACGGTCGTCCACCTTACAGCTCCGGGTCTGGCTCAGCAGCCAAGTGGTCCCATCCCGCTCTTTGAGACCTGCGAAAAAGCACACGGTTATTAGGTCTGGTACACGCTCAAGCGAGCGCTCTCCAGTATTGAGGTGACCGACCCACACTCCCGTGCCGAAACGCGGAACGCTGTCCACCTCGCCAGCTTCATCGTCGCTTACTACGCCGTTGTTTTCGAGAAGTTGTCCGGAGCCGATATCACCCTCATGAGGGTGTGACTGCCGGGAACCTGCGGCGAGTGAAATTCTTCCTGCAGCGCAAGCACACCGTGTCAAATGAGGACTTGTGGAAGGAGGAGTGGAGGCTTCGTCGTGTGAAATCTAACGTGCTGGTTTATGAGCCGCGCAGGATCGACGCTGCGCTGATAGCTCTGTACTTTGTGTACAGAGCATCGAACAAGCACCGGAGTCGCACCAAGGCGAAGCTGTACACTTGGTCAAGTACGTGGAGCGCGGCACCGAGTTCAAGACGCGCGGGACGCAGTGGGTGAAGACCAAGACAACTGAAATTGATATAGAATTGCTGGACAAGGCAATACCCATCGCGAGCAACCATCCCGTGGCTGCGATCCCCGAGGATGCGAAGGATCCGCACTGCCTTGCGGTGCACGTGGACATACATTGTTTTGAGTGAGGCACTGTGACCCTGCGTATCGGGCGCGGATCTTGTTGGTGGGATGCACGTTCAATGCTGAGATTCAACAATTGTTGGGAAAGTCCTCTACACGATACCTTGCGAAACATTTCTGTGGTTGGAATGGACTGCGAAAAACGATGGCTAATAACAAGGAACTACGGAATTCTCGTGTAGAGGTCAATGCTACGACAGAATTCGTGGTCATACTGAAGTAAATGTGTGTTCATGATTGAACACCTGCAGTTGCGATGTCACGCGAATTCAAGCCCACGAAGATGCGCGCTTGCTTGCTCAGGTTAGTGCAATCAAACCCCTCATTCGTTCCATGGCGCCTGTGTAAATTTATCATTTATTTGATTCCCCGTAGTTAAGCAGTATACTCCGGTGTGCCTCCTATCTCGCACCATTCCAATATCAGCAGGGCAGTACTGATGCGGCAACTTTGCGCCGAGCCTGTATTAGGCTATATCTCACATTGGTGGCCAGCTGCCTAGTTTCTCCGTCCGAGGCTGCGCCGGATCGGCAGTCACACCAGGGTTACTTTGAACGTCATGGTATAGATCTACCCCTCAAAATAGGGCGATTGACGAGAAAGGCAGGTAGGGATGCGGCACTGTCAATGTGTTGCTATAAATCAGTCACGTCGTCCCTTCCCATAAGGGCTTACAGCGCCAATACTTAAAGCTTAGTCTATCGTTGTTCAGTACGCGATCTAAGATGTTATACTTGACGTTAATCATGAAGATATTCATAACGGGAAGCCTCGTGGCTTTCGCAGCGGGACAGGATAATCTTGGGCTTTCCGGAGGATATAACAACTTGCAATCAAGCGACTTCAAAGGCACGATCGTCAAGTCATCTGGAACGCTTGCTTCGCTCAATTCGAGTAGCACGGGCTTTAATTTCCTGCCAACCGATCTGTTATCTCAGCTGGCTCAGAACGGTGCCCACCACCTGGGAGACATTACCTTCCGGTATCGAACCTTGAGTAGCACATCGTGGACCAGTGTTGATTCTGCTACCTCCAGGAAAGCAGTCACGCAGTTGCAAAGCCTGGGGACTGGAGTTATCGCTGGTGCGGATCTAGCACCGACACTTGGATCAGCCCGTCCACTAAAGGTCACCCGAGAATGGCTTACCTCCGGCAGCGGTTTGGCTCTGAGATTCAACTTCACAAACACCGGGTCATCGTCCATCGAACTTGGAAGCCTGGGTATTCCTGTCGCCATCAACAACATCTTTACCAACCGCCTCGCAACAGATACACAAGCGAAGTGCTCTTTCGCTGATCCCTACGTTGGACTTGATGCAGGATTCGTTAGGGTGACTCCTTTGTCAGGTACCGGAAATGCGCTTGTCATCGCACCTTTGGGATCAAGCAATTTCGAGGCCTGGCGATTTCTTCAAGAATCTCCGGGCTCGTTTGGCTACCAAGGGCAAACCTACGAAGGAAATTATGAGTGGCAAATCCACAGCTTGGCATACGCGCAAAATGAGTGGAAGAGCACCACGCCATGGAATACAGCTACGTCAAAGACACTTGCGGCCGGAGAAATGTATTCAGTGGGTGTGCGGTTCGTCTTGGCTGACTCCATTCATACCATCGAAGATGCTGTGGTGAAGAGTGGCACGCCTCTCGCTGTTGGCATTCCCGGCTACGTCGTGCCATCAGATCTGACTACACGACTGTATCTCAACTACACATCTGCCGTAAAATCCATTGACGCGGCTGATTTCACGATCGCAGGGCCGTCTACTACCCCAGCGGGCGTGCTGTACTCGCTTACGCCGAAAAGCTCCGCCTGGGGCAGATCGCGTATCACTGTAACCTATGCGGACGGAAAGAAACAAACGGTGCACTATCATGTCACGAAAGATTCATCTTCAACCCTCGCAGACATGGGGAATTTCTTCACTACTAGAGCGTATTTTAACAAGACATCCGATCCATTCAACCGGGCACCATCCATTATGACTTATGATCACGAAGCAGGCGCAATCGTAGAACAGGACAGCCGTGTGTGGATTGCCGGCTTCAGCGATGAGGGCGGAACAGGTGCCTACCTTGCAACAGCTATGAAAGAATTTGTACAGCCCAATGCCAAGGAGGTCTCACTCTTCGATGACTTTATCCAAGATACTGTTGTGGGTACTCTTCAGCAGAATGGTAGCTTTGGAGTCGTGGCCAGCACATTTTACTACCAGCCTGGTGCAGTCAACTACACGTACAATTCCGCCTTCGACTGGACGTCGTGGACATCATGGGATAAGGCGCGTGCTTACACAACGCGTAGAGCATATAATTATGTCCATCCTATTGCTGCATACTGGTCCATGTACCGCGTTGCAAGGGATTACCCTGAAAAGAAGCTTCGACAGGACTGGTCGTGGTATCTGAATCGAGCTTATAATACTACCCAGTACTGTCTCTCCAATCGGGCTGCAAATTGCGACTACGGACTTGTCGGACTGATGGGTGAATGGGTACTTGGCGAACTTCTCGAGGATCTGAAGCGCGAGGGTTTGACGAGTCAAGTGACCGAGCTGGAGGCAACAATGCGATATCGCGCCAACCTCTGGGAAACTGAAGCGGTTCCTTTTGGCAGCGAGATGGCCTGGGACTCCACAGGCCAGGAAGGTGTATATTACTGGACTAAGTACGCTGCCCTCGTTCATTCAATGCTCTGACTAACCCGCTTCAGCTACTTCAACCTCACTAAAACGCCCATCAAAGCCATTAACTCAATATTCGGCTACATGCCAACTATTGCGCACTGGGGCTGGAACGGAAATGCCCGCCGCTACTGGGACTTCAACTACGCCGCGAAGATCGCACAAACGGAGCGCCAATTGCACCACTATGGGTCAGGTCTGAATTCTCTCCCCATGCTCAATCACTATGAGCAGCACCCCACAGACTTGTACGCGCTCCGTGTTGGGTACGGAGGCAACATGGCCCCTCTGACGAATATCCACCAGGATGGTTTTGCGAGCGCTGCTTTCCACAGCTTTCCTGATCTGCTTAAGTGGGACCCTTACAGTGGGGACTATGGGCCGGGATTTCTGGGGTTGAGCTTGGGTCAGTGCGTATACATCTTGAGTAATACGAAGTATGGTGATATTGCATTCGGCGGCAATTTGCTATCGACGTCCGGTGCGTCGATCATCTCGGTTGCACCTAGGGATGCTGTCAAAAGACGTGTGTTCATCGCGGACCTGGGGCTCAAGGCGGAGATCAGCGCGGGAATCATTTCGAAGGTTGACTTTGACAAGAGTGGTAGCACGGTTACGCTGACGCTAGCGAGTGCATCACGGTCAGGTGATCTGCAAGCCAAATCGGCGATTGTGTGGCTGAAGCAGCCGGGGAGCTTGAGCGTGGGATACAAGATTGATGGAGCTAAAACGAAAAGGGCCGGGTGGAGTGTGGATCTTTCTAGTGGACAGGCAACGGTGAAAGTTGTGAAGGCGTAGATGTTACTTTCCTATTGTACATAAGGAAATGAAATGCAAGCGGAGCTGCTGAATAGTCCCATCGAAGTTCTTCGACCTCCATGCGCAGCTACTTTGATTGTGAGGTAAAAGCCCGCAAGGAGGCGGAAGCAGACTTATGACACCTTATGACAGTGCTGAAGTTGTTCACGCCAAGTGGCATATGGATAGGGACCAGTGAATCGAGACCGCGCCAATAGCATGTCCTCGATCGAGTACTATGGGTATACCTACCCCGGTCTACACGCCCCAGGTTCTTGTCTCGCTCTGCACCCGGGTTTCAGAGGTCAATATGTCCTTCGCCAAACTTCCCTTCTCGCGCAGAGCCCCAGAACACTTGGAGTCTATGACGTTGATACCCATCGCTAGGTGTGACACTTGTGCGCGATATGGAGGCGGTAGCCGAGAAGAAATGTATTGCGACGTTTCGAAGGCTGGTTCATCTTGCGATCATGCATTTCCATTGGGCCACCAACGAAACCTACCTTCCAACCTCGCCTAAGCATTGAGGACCGCTCGGAGGACCTTTATTCGTAATTTTCTCTGGAGAAGAGTCCTGGGTAACAACGAAAACCACATAGATACTAGGCGGACAGCTGTTGCCAAGATTGCATCGTTTGTCTTAGAAGATTACGCTCATCTGCTTCGCGGCACTATGATCTACGTTACCTGGCTCTAGGACGCACCCGGTACCTCCACCGTGGCAAGGATCAAGAAAAATTGTATGGAAAGGTCGCCATGAGAAGAAATGCTTTCACATAAACTTGTTGGAGAAGGTCAACTGGGAGCTCGAAAACATCACCTACGACTTCAACACTTTCAAGAATACCAAGAAGGGTGGACCCCTAAAAATCTATGACCCTGCAAGAAGACGGAACACCTATTGGGCCTGGACATACTACTCGCGATATACCAAACCAATCAGCGATCGTATGACTCGCCTCGGCGCAGCTCAAGGTCGCAGCTGACAGCTCTTGAGCAAGTTGTTAAGCATATCTACGAAGATCCGTGGCTATCAGGGATTGTCAAGTTACGAATAAAGACTATCTTCGCCACTGAATCTTCGGTCACCCTACCTGGCCGAGCAAAATGAGGCATTTTGCAATGGCGACAGGGGCTCCTGGCTGCGGGCAACACATTTATGGCGGCGACCTTTCAGCCATGGCTCTAGGTCGGTGGATCCTGGATCAAACGGGGTACGAAGAGGCCATACATGGATACAAAAATGGTCGCTGAAGGTCGTAGTGGGACCAGGGAGAGTTAGCAACGATAGGGCTATGAACAATGCACATAGTTTAGAAAACACGGATCAGTTGGGTGCTTCATTAGCACGAGAAATATATGGTTCCTAAATGTTGCACATGGACCAGCACCCTTGGAAGAGTAGAGATCGTTCTCTTATTGACAGATATCAACGGAAAGTGTTCGGGATGATTCATACCGTATGGCTTTGACTACTTTGAAATCAACTGAACAACGGAGACTAGATTTTTATTATTAGGATTAGACTATTCCTTGTGAAGTATACCCAAAACCATCGTCTGTCTTTTCCCAGGCACAACATGATGCGATGCCTGACTGACGAGAAATCGATATCTGGCCTTGTACCCCTGAAATCTCATTCCATATGATCCTATCTATTCTGCTAGTTCTGTGACATGAAAGCTCTAGACCCATAGTATCAACTGGCAAGAAAGACCCATTGGACGAATAGCGTAGAAGAAAGTCAAGACTGGACCCGTCTCAGCGGCTTGGACGCTTGGCGGGTCTTGGGAAGGAATTGTAAAGTTCGTGTCCAGCCCCATTGTGTGCCTAGTGCCTGTTCGTCCCGCAAGCGCCTAACTGCGTTGCTGATGTTCGAGACTAACGCTGTTCGAAGGAGAGCGAGCGTGCATGTTACGCAAGCCTCACGATAGGCCCAAGTCCTTTTAGATTTGAACCAAACAATCCGAAATAGAACTCGGCCTTTTGAATTTTCCTCATAAGCATGCCTGCGTTCCAGATCTTTCTCCACGTTGCGTTTCTATATGATAGGATGCCTGCTTTGACCGACGATAACTGATTAGACGGTAGCTATACATAATTGATACAGTGAACTATATTATGAAGACTTGTGCATGGTTTTCAGAGGCGCGTGTCAAACCTCGGCATTTCAATTCTCGAAGCTGTCGTCATTATTTTCCATTTGATGACTGGACTATGATCCTGTTTCTCCTCGGTGCGCTCGTGAACATTTCCGCTTGAGGATTAGCGCCATGCAAGCCCCCCCAAGGCTGTGTTTGCTTTTTTGGGGGACGGATTGGCACCTGGGGCCAAAAATTTGAAGAGTTGCGCTCAGGTACGGATACAGTCACTACATATGTTTTACAGTATATCCCGACTATTGCAATTGATTGATAAAAAGGGTTTGTCTCTTAGCTATAGAAATTGTGACAAGCGGAGTGCGGAACGCATCACGAGATATTTACCCTAGATGTCACATCTGTCTGATCGGATCAAGTGCGAACCTCGTGGAGAGCAGGGAACTACCCTTGCAAATCCTTAACGATCCTTCCGGGCTTCCGCAACCCAGGTTTCCCGTCGCCCCACAAGCACGGAAGCTAAATTTGGATGTGTTCACAATGTCATGGGTCATGTAACTTGGATGCTTGGCTAAAGCGTCACCCATCTCTGAGAACTAAGATTGACATTGCGATGCAAGGCTCCAATGATGGTATTTTATTCTCGCACAACATGCACCTGGCACCGCTCACCAAAATGCGGCACAGCTCACTTAAATACGGCACAGCTCACTAAAATGCGGCACAGCTCACTAAGATGCGGCACAGCTCACCCTGTTGCTTTCCCTACAGCTTTTTGCTTGTACTCACGCCACCTGCCCTCAATTGTTTCGTCTTCTTGTGTCGAAAGAGACTCGGCGTAAGCGATATGCAGAGTCTGTGCGCCTTGAACAGTAGTCCGGGTCCCTTCGCCTGTTCCATCTCCGTATCTCGACAACGAGTCATGCGACACATCTCAATTATCAGACCAGGACCAAAACTGGTCGCTATCACGTTGTCCTTACCCCTACCCATATGCCTCAGTTTGTCCAACACAATCAGTACGGTTGGACTGGACGAGTTCCCGAACTTATGGTATACATCAAGCGAAGCTCGTATCTGGTCATCGCTGAGGTCCATCGCTTTTTGAGCCCCTTGTAGAATCGATGCGCCACCGGGATGGACCGCCCAGTCATAGGCTTTCGGATCGAGCGAGACATCCTTCTTCGCGCTGCAGACTTGGCTGAACATAGGGCCGACGGCGGCGACCGTGGCCTTCGGTACGTCTTTGGTAATTGTGACTAGCATGCCTAGCAGGCCGTATCAGTATCTTGTGCTAGAAAGTGCTGAACAACAATCATACCTTTCGGGCTAACATTATAGGACATGTGGCTCTGTGTCCCAGTCAAGATTGCACTGTTCCATTCCTGCAATTCATAGATTGGCCTTTGCTTTTCAGCCAAAGCAATGCCATTGCAGACGACTAAGGCCGCTGAGCCGTCAGAAAATAACAGAGGAGCAATGTTCAGCACACCGCTTTTATGGAAAGCGGCTTGTAGCTCCGCTCTCAAGAATAGACTACAAAGTTCCGTCGCGAACACGAGGATACGCGCCGGTCGACGTCTTGAGGATGCAGCGGTTGCAAGATCAGCAGCCTCTCGCAGCGCTGACAAGCCTCCAGCGCAGCCGACACCATGCAACAGACTTCTTTGTACACCAGGATGAAGTTGCAATTTGTGGCTGACGAAGAGATCATATCCGGGGCTACCTTGGTCGGTGCAAGTGACAGCAACAACATGCGTGATGTCAATGGGACTGATTCGCGCTTCTTCAATTGCCTTATTGCATGCTGCTACTGTAAGGTCGACCCCTATTGTACGAAAGATATGCGAGAGTTCGTCAATAGTCGGTGCCGCCGCGTCTTCTTTGGTCCATGTAGATTGATCGAAAATCGTGGGACGGGAGAGAATTTTCGTGCTCTTGTTGACTTGTAACAGCTTTTGAACCCTACAGACTATGAATCGGGGGACAATTGTGCCTGGGGCATTGTAGCTTACGTTGGTGTTGCGCTGACTTCAGGGTACAGGCGCATAATGAGATCCGCGAATTGATCTTGCGTGATAGAATACTGTGCATACTGGTGACCTAAACCTACAACATATACCGAGTTAACTTTGTTGGTGTTCATAACGAATGCGGAGGACCTCCTAGGCGCTGTGTGTGATTCAAATCCCATATGGATAGTGAATTCTAATGCAACTTCGCTGTACCGATGTGGGAGTTACGACAAGTTATATGAAAAAGCTTTAACCAGGAAGAGAAAGCCATGATCAAGATTGGCAAGGAACAGACAGGGCATGGAAATGGTCAAGCCTTGTTATGGGGACTGCATGCGCTAAAAGTTGAAGAGTTGAATCTAAGGGATCATGTCACGCAAGGATTGGGTCCGCCTCACAGCAAGCAATCTGTCCCCTTGTGATGTGACTGCCACATGCGTATGGCTTATTGGTTACTGCACACTTTGGCGTTCAGGCTGAGGGGTTCACTCAGGGGCCTGGAGATACGATCTGCTTATCTGCTTCATTCAAAAGCCCAAATACACTTCTCAGGCACACAAGCCGAGTGCTTGTTTTGTATACGACTCTCTCCAAGCTCTATTCCGCATTTGCCTTGTTGGGGTAGCACAAGGCCTCTGTTCGTGTGTGGAACAATTCGTCGGTACAACCAGTCCCCGAGGCATAACGTCAGATTCTCGAGTTATTTGAAGTAGGGCTATCGAAATGAATCATCTCCTTTCTCTTTGAGAGCTGACCCAGCTCGTATTCAGCTTTCAGAAGCCCTCAGTCGTTCTTAGCGAGATGTCAGGATCACTTCCCTAGAAAGATAGCAGGCGGAGCGAATCTCGGCTAAGGAAGTTCATTGGTGGCTTGCACGGCTGAAGCCTACAGACCTAAGACAAGGAGGTCAGATAAACGTCAATGAGACCCTTTTGAGTTTCATGGTGTAGGACTGTGCCGTGCCCAGGTGGGCGATGGTCAGCAAACGCCCTGTCAAGGGTCCCGCACGAAAGCTCATCGTAAGAGCATGCCCGACTCTCGGATAGTGATTCCGTGCTCCCCGCAGTACATTTTTGCGGATAGATCAATGTTTCGTCTGGTACAATAAACGTCATTTCGTCTGGTGCTCTTTGTAGTGGCTACCCTCCACGATTCATCATGCAAAGTCAGAACTTCTATTACGTGAGTGCTGTTCAAGAACCGCAATACAAGATGCTGTAAGCGAATTTCTGAGACACACCTTATGTGACGAGATTTGACGCAGTGATAATAGCAAAAGCGACGAGGCAACGGACTGGCAGTCAACAACCGCCATGCACTGCGACCTGCCCCAAGAACTTCGCGACCACATAAACAAATTCTTTGTGGAAGGCTCATACGACAATGAGGTCATTGTCCGTCAAGCAAATGGGAACAAGATGGCGTATTACGTCCGGCAACCTCTGAACGCGGACTCGTATCTATGGATGGAGGATCCTTTTTTCGCGCAGTTGCGAGCCGACTGTTTCGGCCGGAGAAACACCAGAGATCTCCTTATTGCGTACTACAGGTCGCGTACATTCAAGTTTGCTCATCGAGAGCTTGGGTTGGTGCGAGCGTTTCTTGACACGGACGAGCTTGGCCTTCGTGCGCGCCCGCTGGATCATATTCGACGCTTGCACCTGGAAGTTGAACCGTTCTTGATCTGCTCATCTCGTGATGAAAAGACATCCGACATCGACGTCGAAATTTGTCGCGCCACTCTGGAAGGTATCGCTGCGGCCCAGGCTCCACACATCACAACTGTTATCCACTTGAATCTGGCGCAGGATATTCTTGATGGACACGTGGAGCAATCGCTCTCTAGTGCTGCCAGTGTTGTTCTAGAGATTGCGGCAATCGTCACTGCCCTAATAGAACAAGGCGTCAAGATTGAGGTGATTCTTGAGGGTGTTTGGGATAAGAGTGGCGGGCTGAAGGTATGTACTAGATTGTTATCGTCACTTGAAGAGTGCATTGCCCAGATAGAGACCGCTCGCAGGCAAGAGTGATGGACGGACACCTGGGGATGGAGTCAACTCAAGCTGGTTTAGATCTTGTGGTGAGAGATGATGGGCGAGGATAAGAGGCTTGAGCCTGCAATTTTTTGTTATAATTATCTGTATATTTATATTATATACATAGTGCCTCTGCTTCAATCAAATCTATTGGCCATGGCGTGAAATGGATTATGGACTGGGTCACGTGAGGACAAGCCAGCTCGTTAGCCCTGGAGAGAGAACCAGATCGCATAACATCGGCTAGCAATTAGAACCTGGTCACAGCCTTGGAAGCACCATCTATCTATCTCAATTCACTACTGAGCGCGCGATCTCATCAAACATGTTCAGTGTGCGACTTACCGCCGATATGTAGTCATCGCGGGGAATCTGTGCCTGATGCACCTTCCCTTCCCGGTTAGTCCCCGAGGTGCTTGTGCTGAGCCTGCTGCGCCCATCCGGCACCTGTGCGACAATAGCCAGTCTGATTTTCGGTATACCAATAAGCCGAATTCTTGGATTCGGTTTGCCATATGCCAAATTATCCGTTCAGTGACATCAATGGCAATGCTTTTCCGAATGAATTCAAATACGAACAGCCACCACTCGTGCAGTCGCCCGGCCAGACTCCAGGTGTTCAGGCAATATCGCCATGAAGTTGAATCGCTATCTTTGTGTGACACTCGCTACGAGATGCATGGGAGGGATCATTGCGCCTAGGAAAACGACATTAAGCGCCGGTATGCTTCACCACACACATTTCCTGGTGAATCTACTCACACGTTCTAGACGCGCAAGATTTGTTCGATTGGTCTATGCATGTACAAGATCGCCGCTATGACAGTTCGTATAATTTTATTGCATATCCAGACAAAGGTGGCTGGTCTGTTCGATTCACCGCATGGTATCTCGTGGGCCTGCTACACCGCAACAAGGGCGATGATCTTCAAAAAGCCAAGGCTGCGATTAGAAACATGTACGAGCTTGTACCATAAAAGCGGCCGACAGCTTACAAGTTCTTCAGTATCGCTTGTCAGATGACTAATGACTTCGCTGCGCCGTGGTATGGAACCTACAAACTATCTCCAGACCAGCCAGATCCGACGCCAAACTCCACGATGTATCCCCCTGAAATATATACGACATACGATCCCAATTGGAGAGAGTTCATCGGAACTCAGCTGGTTCAGGTAATCGAAGAATTCGGCCACCTTATCGGAAGCGAGCTAGTCGAAAAGATCGAGGACTCTCTCGAGATTGCCGCTATCGGGGGTATGCGCCGTAACGGCACATTCCCTGAAGGTGATAACCTGGGTATCTATTACAGCAATCCCGCTATCATGCGTGCGTTGGTGGTTGGCTGGATTGGCGCTCGCCGTAACAATACTAAGCTCCTCGACTTCGCAAATGATCAAGGAACACGTCTCCTCAAACTCTTCCAGCTGAATGGAGCTAACACTCTCTCTGAATACAACTCTCCGGGCTACTACGGGATCGATACTTGGGCGCTTGGCGCCCACCTAAAATATGGTCCGAAAGATCAAACAATGGTTTCATCAGCAAGGATCATTCTCCGAGAAATGTGGACCGACTTAGCGGATCATTACAACGGCTATTTAGGAAACATGGTTGGGCCATACGACCGCGCCTATACACGAGATATGACTCAACATTCAACCGCACTAGTCAATTTCTTCTGGGGTCTCTTTGGTAATACAGCAGCTCCGCTACCCTACAAGCTCGAGAGCGACTTGGTCTTTGATATCGCTCAAGGTGCTGCTGTTGCGCTCATCGTCGAGGAAGTGAAGTCGGCTATCCCAACCCACGTCCAAGACACACTTCGACTTCGTGGCTCTTTCCAAGGACCAGCACGCTCCATTAACAAGACCATATACGACGACCTAGAAGGCAAGCATTCGCGAGTCGCGACCTCATGGATCAGTCGCGAGCTGATGATTGGCGGACAATCGGTAAACGAGACAGTCAATCGCGGCGACCAATTCGTACCTGCAATCGTACACTGGGCTGGTGATAAGGCTCACGAGCCCTTTCCACTTAACACATTTTTCAGCCTGTATCCGAGCGCAAGCTCTATTCACGCTATTGCAACGCCCAATCATCTGAGTATCAGCTATCCAAACCGCACACAAGCCGGGGCCGACATCTTTACATTTGCGCTATCGAACGTACCTCCGAGTTGGACTTTATCGGGGAATAAGGTTACTGGATTGGACGATGCATTGCCATGTGTTAAGATCGAGGTAGATGCGCCAGGGTTGGAGCTTCAGCCTGTGGTGTACGGGAGTTCATTGCGGAACCACGTTTTCTATAACATCTCGTATGTAGTGCCAGAAGATTTCGAAGGCGTGCCAAAGGTTGACTTGGCCATCACGTACACCTGTTGAGCGACTTGGGTTTGTGGTGTAGCGGGCAGCATGATCTTAGGAAATATATTTACAACTGAAGGACATGGAAAGCTGGGCTTGTACAAAGCTCAAGGGCGTAGAGAAAAAGAAAACCCCTAGTACAGAGCACGACTAATGGTACGGGGCCACCAAGAAACCGAGGACTGTAGGTTTACTAGGTCGGATAAATCTATTAGTTATAGTGGGAATCTTCTATCCGACGTGTTCGGTTCTGTTAAAGTTCATGGAAGGTGTTTGACTACTAAACAGGACAAAGGTAACCCCTCTAGAATGGCGATGTCCGATTTTTGTTCTATCATGAAGTGAATGGTCAGTGTTCAAAGCCTGGGCAAGCAATCGCATATGATTTTGTACGACTCCCAGTTGCAATGTTCTCTCACTAGTATCGCGATTTGTGACTTTCACAATGACAGAGATTTGTTTCAACTATTCCGCCTAGTCAAATGCGGCATGAGCGCGAACGTTGAGCACTGATGCAACCAAACTTATGGAACTCCAAACAGTCGTAACACCCGACAAACAAAGCATGTCCTCAGGTCTCATAGTTTCTCCCGAGGTAAGCGATCATCGACGCCTGCGGCGAGCTGCAGCCTGCGAAACTCTTTGGCCCACTGCTAAGGATACAGCGGCAAGTTTCGACTAGTATTTCGGCTTTTTGGCAAATTTCTCGCAGTCATCGCATCTTTTGTGATCACAGAGAAGCGATTCGCATTCATCTGAGCTCATTTCGTTAACTCTTTTATTTTCGCAGCATATCCACCATCCTTTGCCTCCGCCTCCTTTCAGCAATTGAGTCTCGCAGGAAATGCTGATCATCTTATATGGTTGAGGGATGTGAAATGTCTATGTACTGATATTGGTGGCTGTACTAAGGTTTCGAGAAAAGAGCTGTGCTGAGTAGAGAAGTCCGTAAACATCAGCATTAGGTGTTAAGTCCAATATTTATCATCATAAGTTCGTGAAGGCTCGTTTGCTAGAGTCTTGACACGGTCGTGATTGGGCCAGAAATTGATGATGTATATGCGTCCATGAAAATATAGAAATGTGCTGTAATAAGAGAATATTGCTGCGGTCAGAATACGTATACACCCAATAGCTGAGGCTTTCATTGTATGATCAATATCCAAACATTCACTGCAAAGCCAACGAAGGATTCTATTGCTCTTGAGTCTTGATTGAAGATGTCAAATTGTGAAGCCGTATGCACTAGACAGCCAACGAAGTACCCAGGATTTGAAACGACGAGCTATAAACTCACAAGACCAATGAACAACGGAAACATGTGTTAGATATACTGAGCTTTGAAATTCATTCACACAACCGTATGCGCAAATCGCTGTGTATTGAAGGTGTTAAGCTGTGCACTGATGACGATAGTGAATCTCAGGTCAGTCAAAGAGTAAGATCGACTGAACAGTTCCCAATGCCTTTGCCACAAGTAAAGACACGCAAGTGGTGCTACGCAAAGGTTTCCTATCCCCTGCTATTCAAACTACAGCTGTAGGTACGGGTCTTTCCAAATGAAGCTCCGAATACATTGGTGGACGCCACGATCATCCCAAGAACTGTAACCTGCGATGATCGATCAAGTCATACGAGTAAGTGGAGACAGTCTCCTGTTCCTTTCTAGTGAGAATTGGCAGCTCTTCATGAAGTGTCTTCGCTTAACTTATATGTCTAGTCGATTCAAACGTTACTGTGATCATGGTAGTCGCAAGTACGCTTCTGGAGCAGCCTCGCCCAATTTTCTCCACTAGCCATACACCTAGGAGCACATTCAAGCTCTCTAGACGCCAGTATCACCTCCATCATGAATTCCCTGGGATAGCTATCTGCATCCACTTGAAAGACTTCGAAATTGTAGCAAGCAACCGCATCATGCGTGAGATACTTTCGCAACAGGTTATCGTGAAGGGTGTTTTCGTAAGCGTAATTGAGCTGATATAGTGGGAGAACGTCATCTTGATCACATTTCTGTATTAGGGCGTTTATGGCAGCGTTGCAGAATTCCGGACTCTGGTGTGCGTCTCCGAAGACATATGCGAAGATGATGGAGTCAAAGGTCAAGGGAATCCTGCCTTCTTCCGTTGGAGTGTAGATGGTCCTCGTGTAAAGCCAGTCGTAGAAGATCTCGAACCCTACTAGGTACTTTCCTGGTAGCACAACGGTCTTGTCTTCACCTGGATTAACTTCACCTTCACTTCTGTTCGTGAATATGACGTAAGAGAAAAGTGAGTGATCAACAGTATCGATTGTATTGTGCTACCGTGGGAGGAATATACCAATTTCGACCTGAACTTTGCACTCTGTCGACACTCAGGGTACTTTAGACTCACGTTGTTTTGAGATGGGAAGATCAGGTGAACCACGACAGATCATATGCTTGCGGGTCGAAACGCACGATGTTGAGACCAATTGCATTTAGCCAGTGTATTACGTTAGACAACGCGCAAACAAGCTGGTCAGGGAGATCTCTCATACTTGAACAAAGACTCATCGATCTCCATAGTCTTACTCTAGGGGGTCTTCGTCTTCTTCTTTACCCCAGGTACCCTGCATAACCAATACAGCGCCGTAGCGGCTGCGACATTGAACAAAACATAGACCCACAACAGCCCAAAGTCTCTCCATCGGTTCTCCCACGTAGCGTTGATCTGTTGCAAGAATTGATCAGTGCTCGACAGCTGACAGAAGTTACAAGTATCGGTCGCTCTTGGATCCTGCAGATAGCCTCCGGCCATACCGATGTAGTCTTGCATGTACTGGCCACAGGTTTGATTTGGCGGCGGTAGGAATGTCTGGAACTCGTTCGGCAAACAGTACGCGGGCGCTTGGCCGAGCGCCGTACTCATGAAGGAGCTTACGAGGTAGGTGAACGGATTTGCGCGGTACATGAAAATCCAGAAGCCAGGAAGCTTGTCCGGCCCAGCTAGGATGCCGCAGAAGGCGTAGAGCATAATGCTCATGATCGTCGCGATACCTCCTGCAACTTCCTCATTCGGCGCGCCAGCGATCAGCATGTGAGCGAAGGAGCTAGCAAACATGAACGTCGCCACGATGATGAGGAGGATTCCGAAGCTACGTATGCTCACGGAATCTGTAGGCTCTGCGTTCCGATACAAACCCACAGGATAGAACCATACCAGGAAGCAGAAAGTACCCATGATCTAGTTTGCGTCAGCAGATGTCGATGAGTTGGACCGACTGGATATTGGATTACTAAGTTCCAGAACATCTCAATAAAGATGTTAGAAAACAAGAAAGCTTGCCACACGTAGGTTTTAGACTGCCGTTCGCGCGCCTCGTACAAAGTCCGCTGCACTACGAAGTTGGGCATGATTTGAAACATGAGCTGAATGACGACGAACAGGAACACGAATATTCCGAACATCTAACTCAATCAGTACCATTTTTGACGCATTTGGAATATGTGAACAATCACCGTACCTGATTCTGGAGTCCTTGTATAGAGTTTTCCATCTTGTAGAACGAGAAGCCGATGAACAAGGACTAGTGATCTATGTGTTAGCAGCGAATCACAAGAATGTATGATCTCAAACTTACACAACCAATAGACAAAAGAGCTTTAGAATAGATGTACGAGGGTGTCCTCCAGTATTGCTGAGCGCAGCGGTTTGCGACGACAAGAAATTGGGTCACAAATGGCGCGGCGAATTCCTGGTAGCTGGAAGAGTTGGTATCCATGACCGCGGATGGCTCATTACGAAGTTGTCGAAGCCTTGCAAGTTCTGTTCGTATCTCTGCATACTCAGCAGAGGACTTCCATACAGCAGGCCAATCAATTTCGGTATGTGTTGAGCCTGGTGTTGCACCGATGGCGTCCAGCATATACTCGGCGGGATTCATGCTTGAATCATACTTCGGTCCGCCATTCCGTTCGAAATAGTCAACAAGAATGTGTGACTGAGATCCAATGTCTCCGAAGTAGACCGTACGGCCGCCTTTGGCAAGTAGAAGCAGGCGATCGAATCGCTGGAACAGCATCGCGCTAGGTTGATGGATGGTGCAGAGAATCCTGCATAGATGAGTTTGTGCCTCATAAAGCAGGAGCACGACTTACGCTTGCCCGTTCTTCGTCAACTTCTCCATTAGATCGCAAATGGACCACGATGTTTGACTGTCCAGACCGGAAGTCGGTTCATCAAGGAAAAGTAGCAGCCTCGGTCTAGCGGCGATCTCAACACCGATAGTAAGTCTCTTTCGCTGTTCAACGTTCAAGCCATCGCCAGGGACACCGACGACGGCTTCAGCGTAGTCTTCCATGTCCAACAGGCGGATGACCTATCGTGAATTAGCTCAAGCTCATACATGTATGCAAGAGTAAACCTACCTCATCAACATACGCTAACTTCTCGCCCCGAGAGTAATCTGCAGGCTGGCGAAGCAGAGCACTGAATTCGAGCGCCTCGCGTACAGTACTGCTATGAAGGTGTATGTCTTGCTGCAGGATCATCAGTCTCTAATTTGTTTCAAGGTGGCCACGATCACGAACCTGCATTACGTATCCTGTCTGTCGCTGGAAGGAACCATCTCTCTCGCGACCGTCGACAAACATTGATCCGGAGATGACTCCCATGGTAGTACGGCTCGCGAGAACATCCAGCAGAGTAGTCTTTCCGGCGCCGCTCACACCCACTGTTATACCTGATCAGCGCAAGAAACAGTCCAGTCCTTCACAACACTTACTCAAGGCTGTCAGCGTTCCTGGTTTGACCCAGCCATCGACATTTTGCAAGATTTTCCGGGTGTTGCCCTTGATTTGCACCTCGTAGCAGACATCTTCCCAGTGGAGGATACTCTGCTGCTTCTTAACGATCGAAGCAGCATCACTGTCGCTGGTGTACTTCTCAGTCTGGGCTGTAGTGTTTCTCCCAGTTTCTTCGTCCATTTTCCGACGCTTTGCCATCGCCTTGAGGTTCTTGCGACGAAAGACAAGTACTTCGCCTTTGGAGCGGGCCGACGCAACTAATTCAGACGTGATCAGGTGCAAGGCGGCGAGACCAACCACAAAGACCACTATAATTCCAAAGTTTCGCCATCGATTGGCGTATTGATAGTTGTACGTCGTGCTCGCAAACGCGGTCCCGTTGACGTAATTGGCACCGGCGATAGCACCTTTGACAGCACAGGCTCGTTGGTCAGGTGCAATGGCCTCGTAGGATGGTCCTGAGGGTACAAACTGCGCGCACGGGAACTGGCGGCCATCGAACTCGTTTACGATAACGCTTTCGAAACCATAGGAGATCGGGTTGATGTAGCGGATCCAGCTTGCCCAACTGTCCATATATTAGCTTGATTCGGATATTGCAGAGATGGCTTACCCTCTCATATCAGCCACAGGAATAGCAAAGCCGGTGTACAAAACGAGCCCCATCAAGATGATCGACGATGGCGCGAGTGCTTGAGCAATAGTCTTCGTGATTGAAGCAAAGAACCTGATTTGGTGAGTAAAACGTCATCTGAGAGGGCAGACCACCAACCTGAAAAACATTGACATCGACAGCAACATGGAAAAAGCGACGAGGAAAAAGAAGAAGAATGACCCTGCATCGCGGCGCAAGTTTGCCATGAAATACAGAGTTGTATTCACAATTACCGCATTCGTGATCTTGTAGGGCATATCCACGATCATGCTAGCCAGAGCTTCTGCGCTTGGGTGCTGTTAGAGTCAGCGATATAGTCGATGATGAATGAGCAAGATTTTGTACATATAGTGCATAACGAGTATGCTGGATGGATCATTAGCTCGTACTCAAGGAGAGGGGGGTCAAAATGGGATACTAGCCTTCTCCACGACCTCTCTTTTTGCATACAAAGAAAAGATCTCCAACATGCTACCAAAAGCATTGAGAAGTACCTAAAGCTGTTAATGAGTGCATCAATGGGTGAACAGTGCATGCAGCATTGATCCGGACAAATACTGACCATCATGAAAAGGACAGCTCCTCTAGAAAAGAACGCAGATGTGTCATCTGCCAGATTGAAGAAGATACTAGCGATGATCAATCCTTCAATAAAGTTGATGAGAAGCATCGAAATCGGAACAGAAGGATCGGCCTTGAGGCGCTGCACATCTCGCCACATGCAAAGCTTGACTTGTCCCCAGTACGACAGGGTATACGGCGAGCGCTCGCGTTGTGCCTTGGACTTCTCCACCTTCCTCGCCTCGGCGAACTTGCTACAACCTACACCACCCAGAGCATGATTGCGGGTGTACTCGTCGATCTGAGCCAAAAGAATCTTTCGCCCTTCGCTCTGTTGCCAGCATCTTGCGAAATCGTCGGAGGTCCTGGGTACCCGATTTTCGAAACCGGGTTTGACGACTCGCTCGGATGGAGAAGTCATAGAAGTCAGGAAGTCGGGCACTGTCTGAGCATCGGGACACGAAAACCCAAGCTGCTCAAAGTAGCTTTTGGCGCTTTGTGCAGGTCCGAAGTAAATCTGTCGTCCTTCATATAGCACCGTGACCTTGTCAAACAGCTATGAACGTTGTCAGCAAATTTCCTGGTGGTGTCGAAATGACGCACGTCGTAAGCTGCCTGCGGAGCCTGGTAAATGGCAACGAAAGTCGAAGACCCAAAGACATCGCATTGAGTACGAAGCGTCTTGCAGAACTCGACTGCATTCGCAGAATCCAGGCCTCGAGTAGAATTATCCCTGTGGATGGTCAGGCTATGTCGGCGAGATGCGGCGGGCCTTCGGCTGTCGAGACTTGGAGGCGGTGACTTACCAACATTGGAGGGGTGCATAGCTCAAAGCGGCTTCAGCAATGGTCACTCGCTTCCGCTCACCGCCACTCACTCCGCGTACGAAATCGTTTCCAACACAGGTGTTGATAGTGTGGCTGATACCAAACATGGCCATGATGACATCTCGGATATGTTCCGCATACTGTTCCCGCGAGACACCTCCTGGAATGGTGCGTGGGGTTCGGGCGAGTCTGTTTCCGTTCAAAACTTGTCGACTGAGGGAAAACCGACAATCACTTACGCGGCAAAATACAGAGTGTCTCCCACCGTCAGCTGGGGATAATGTCTGTCAACCTCTGCTGTATAGATGGCCTCTCCTCGAAATTGTTTGTGCATCTCCGCCGGTGCGATTCCGTGATAATTGAGTTGCGAGTCCGGGTTTACTTTGAATCCATGCGTTTCTCCCGCTATTGTCTTGAGCAGAGTAGAGCAGCCGCTCCCTGGTGGCCCCAGCACGCAGCATTGTTCACCAGGAAGAACCAAACCATCCAGATCACGGAGGATTTCTATCTTCTGGGCGCCTCTTCCGAAGAGCGCTGGTAGCTTGAGAATAGAGTTCGCAACACTGGATTGAAAATCGGTAGGCGATCCAACGCCTGAAACGTTGAGGTTCTTGAAGGCCACTCCGGCTACGCGCGCCGGTACATCTGAGGTATACCGTATGTTGTAGAACGCCTTCGCCCACGAGCGAGCATCGAACGCAGAAGAATTCGGGTCGAGAGTGGAGCCTTCACTAGCCTGGAATGGTGATTCGTGGTGAGTTTGGTGGGATTGCACTGTGAATTCGCGTGCTAACGAAAGGATGACTTGTTCGCGTTCTTCTCCCTGCTCCATCCGTGAGTGGGCATCGAGGTTCGAGCTCGAGCTAGACCCAATGAAATCTTGTGTAGTGCACTCCGTCTCGCCCTGAATGCCCAAAAATGAAGACATCGCAGCTACAGCAATGCGTCACCGTGCAGATTGAAGGTAAAACGGGATTTTCCTTTTTTAGAGGTGCTCAATTCGTACGACAATGCGCGATTAAGTAGTAAAGGTTATGGTATCAGTAGAAGTGACGCAAAGAACGGCAGGCAAAGAATCTTGGAAGAAGCACAAGGTGAAGCGAGTTGCAATGACTGTCATGCCATCCAAAATAAGTATACAAAGTTTGTGATTGTTCCAGAGAACGACTTGATTGCTAAGACGAAGGCCAAGTTTCTCACGCGCTGCGCGCGCACCGAGCGCCAAGCCTAATTATTTGCCCAAGAGAGCAAGCGCCGTGGCGGGGCATGGATCCGTCGTTGCTTTGGTCGACCACGCCCCATAGGTCGATGGATCATCCACTGGGTGTTTTCTCGATGCGAAACTGGCCTGAATAGCATCTTGGCGAAGGGCGGCGAGTCCCTGCAGTCGGACACTGAAGTGGGTCGGGAGGAATAGCGATGCTGGAGGAGAATCGTGCACGGCGTCCGAGGAAACCGACCCCGGTTTTTCATCGCGGATCCGTGCGCAGCAAGCGCAACATCACCTAAGCTAGGCAACCTTCCGTGCATGCGGCACCAACAAACCATCACAACATCATTTTGGGACGACTTTTCGACTATTTTCCCACATGTGTTCACGCCAGGCACGGACATCGAATCAGTTCATGGACGAGAACTGCGCTATCCACATCGGAGTCTAAACTCAAAGAAGATAATTGAAACCTCTCCTGCAAAAGCTATGGCCTCTATGCAATTGCTTAGTATGTGAAACATGTCCAGGTAGACGGAATAACAAAGGCACAGCGATGAGAGTCAATCGTTAACGGTCAGCATACGAACTCGCAATTTCAGTTGCCCTCTCCATGTGTCCGTATAGTACCTACCTAGGTATCGTGTACGGGTAATTCTATGCATGACTACATTTTCCCTTGCTTTCCTTCACTCTGCTACGTACAAGCCTATTTGTTATGCCTCATCGTATTCAAGTGGAGATGCGTCCACCGCAAATCTTGCATCCGCATCTTCGCTTTGGCTTTCGGACAATGCTTTGTCCTGAGGAGCGCCATCAGCATGGTCGTGAAGCGAGTAGATATCTGGTACCAGATTCTCATGATGCTTTCGTCCCGTTCCCAACGCCTAAAGCCCATCCACCTCTATATCCCCACTACGATATCATGTAAGCACTCCTCACGAAGCTGTATGTTTGCGACATCCCCGTAAACATCCCTGCATCTAAGGAACTCGTCAATTAATAACGGCCGGGCGTGATCTCGCTTCGTAGTATTGTCATAGGTGTAATCGATGTTCTGGTTGTGAGTATCGATAATGAACCGGTCCAACACCAGCAGAGGCCGCGGCTAACTTTTTCTACTTGGAACACTTATGAATTACATGTGAATAAATACATGTTTAGATATACCAGTCACCGTAGGGTCTGCAGTCGAGACGATTACTAGAGAGTAGGGGATAGAGGCACCGAGGACCTGATTAGTATCCATTTCTTACAGCATCACCCCAGCGTTTACCGCACTGCCCATGTTGCAATTCATTGAGTACTTAGACTTTCAATCCTCGAGCTCACGTGCTCTCCACTAAGTCTCCTCGGGCTACAATATCACGAACCGACTTACGTGAGCAAAAAAAGGGTATGTAATTCACCATCTGTCTATTTCGTATACTTCTAGAAGGCCGATCGAAAATTCCCCGCTTTCGCAACAAGCATACGAAGCACCGGCGCACATTGCGTGCGCAAGGAACAATAACAACGCCTAAGTGGAAAGTCTCGCATGGTGATCCTCACGCGCAAACAAAGACCACCAGGGTCGTTAAGCCTACCCAACACAAACCCCAGTACATCTCCGCAAACCCCATAGACATACATGTAGAATTTATTGCAACAATGTACTTCCTAGCACGCTTCATCTGGCTTTTCGCCGCCATCGCAATGGTAACACCATCCCCGGAGGAGGAAGTCGTCTTGCAGCGCAACCCACCACCATCACCGCCGTCAAACAAATATTCGACGAGGCTGACAAGCACGCTGAAGACGAGCGTGACGAAGGCTCCGGTAGTAACGACAACGACGGTGCCGGTAGTACCGACGACCACTGTGCCGGCGCCAACGTGTCCTCTCAATCCTAATTGGGCAACATGCGGACCATGTGCTGTTATGTAAGAGACTGAGCAGTATATGATATAGAGCAAGGGTGCCGTCGTGTCGGCGTTTGAGGACTTTGGGGGGTTCGGAGGGTGAAGCGGGGAACTTGCCTTCGACCTGAGCAGATTATGTAGGAACCCTTGATATCTGATAGTGTTATTGGAACATCCGTAGGCGAGATAGATGTGAAACGTGTAAGAATTGCGTCTATAGAAAGTGGAACGCTGAGCTACTGTACTTTGTTAGAACGATGGCGGAAGTAGACGCTTGTTCTGGATGATAACCTTGTTCGTGTTCAGCTGGTCTTGCTGTTCCCTGATAAGACGCTTGGTATTCAAAATCGTGAATAGAACTGGTACAGTAGGATTCACGGCTCCTGCCTCTTCTACATGAGAATGGTCTCCCGCATGTTCTCCTCGAGGTGCGCTTGTGTCGCCGTTCTGTGCATAGATCACTCTAGATGACTAACTCTACGATAGTCGTGCCCAACGGGTTGCATTAGCAAGCCCTCGTATGCGAAGAATTCCCGAAAGAGTTCGTCCCTCAAAATTGTTGTCATCGACAAAGTGTTGTGCCGAAGTCGAGAATGTCGCATCAATACTCGGAATTCAATACGTCCGTCCACTGGCGCCCAAGACCAAGATGGTGAGTCCTCGATTTCATTGTACAACGGAAAATTCAACGAAGAGGGTGGTTGATATTAGGGGGTCTTTCGAGATTTCCTTTCAAACAAGGTGATAAGCAAAGGATCACATCAGTGTAGCAACGTCAAGGTCACAAATGCGTGGATGATGTGATTTGTCTTGGAAGTCACTTAAAACATCGCCTTCGAATAAGACATACACCTGTCGCAAAGCATCTCTGAGACGGTGGGACTATGTGCAAAGTCGGCTTGTGCGTAGAGAAACAGTTTACGCTGAGCTGCAGCTGACTGGTCTCGAGGCGGCTGCGCTAACCCGCACTAGCTTAGGTAATAACCCTGGGGGCCATGTTCCTTTTCAGCTTAGTCATATTATGATACACTTTGCGAAAGCTCGCGTCCATGACCTATTCATGGTAACACGGGGGAGATGGCATCGTGATCGTGAGCAGGCGGCGATGATGCGGCCGCAAAATCATGGGACCTGATTTGCACCATCTCACCCCTCTCTGAGCCTTCGAATTTCAAGCTTTTTGATGGTGACTCCCCTGACGTCTTGCTGACAGAAAGGGACCCAACCAGCGTCGGAGACTGCGTATCTTGACTCGCAAGTCTGGATGTTGCAGATCTCTCCCGGTGTTTAGAAGCATTCGGTACTGACGGGCCCGTCGCCTGTGACAATCGCGCGTTGTTGCTGTTTGTCGTGCTTCGTGGGGCTGGGTAGAAAGACCACGGCTGAGGACTTGACGCATTAAACTCGTCTACCTCAAAGAGCTCCCGTAGGATGGTCCAGGTGAACGGTATGTTGGCAACAATAACCGCCATGGAGACCTCGCGGAGGTACCAAGAGAGCCAGGTGTGGATGTAGGAGTTGCTTATGGAATAATACAAACTCAGGATAGCCGCCGTTATGGTGAACAGCCCAAGTGAGAAGATAAAGCAAAGGACCATTTTCCGCTTGGTGGGAAGTGACGACCGGATAAGCATCTGGAGGGCGATGCAAAGCATGACCAGATCCGATGATACGTTGAAGACGGTCTTGGTGATGCGATGGTCGATCAGGGTATCGCATTGCTTATTCGCAGTCGGTACCGCGTAGTATAGTGAAAATGGACGACACCAGGCAGCGAAGTACAGAAGTTCCATGACAACGAAGCCGAGCACAACGTAGGCGGCGAGAAGTTTGATGGCGACGTTTTCCTTGCGCAGCGCTGTGCGTGTCAATCGGTGGTACATGACCAACAGGCAGCCCTTGCAGGACCAGATGACAAGAATCAGCATCTGTTCCACGACAATCATGAGTTTGCTGCCGTACACGCGACGCGAAATATCTCGCGCGCTGACTGCACTCCAGTCGAAGCCGCTCGGCTCAAGGTTTGATCCAGCCTTCAGGTACTTGTTGGAAATTACGATGAAAGTGGTGTAGCAGGTTGCCACAAACAGGCCCATGACCCAGTCGTCAACTTGCAGGCCTTTGATCGAGCGAAATAGCAGTTTTCGAGAAATTCTAGGGGGGCAGTCAGTTCCTGTTCTGGTTTGTGAGCTGCGAAGGTGCGTAACTCACAGCCGCGCGCCGATCATGGCGAGTACGACGATCCACCATATCCACGATTCGCCACTGTACGGTGTCTTTGCCATCGCACGCGTTATCCGTACGGTCGCTTGTATTCGCGCCGTTGTTGCGTGCGCATGTTGTGCTGTAACCGAGATACGAGTAACCCTGGCGAGGAAGGCTCACTGTGGCTGATCGTTTGGCGATTGATAAGCGGCTGCGATGTGCCAATCACAAGTGAATATGTCAAGATGAAGATGGATGTGAGTGAGCATACGCGCGCGAAACTGTTGCACAACGTACTTTCGGCTAAGTAGTCGTTGGACTTTGGCGATAGCAACGGTGAATGGATTCATGGGTTGTGGAGCAGGGAAGTGGACCGTCGGAGAACTGCTCTTGCTTTTTGCGGGGTTCGGCGCTAATTTCGTTCCTATGCTACGGGCACCTTTCCCGTTACCGCGATGTTCTCTGCATACCGACACGCTCAATGGTAACATGCAGTCGCTCAAATGTGCAATGGCAGTGTCCATTGAGCCATCTACAACACGACGATTTTGGTGTTTCAGCATGGTCCCGTTCAGCAAAGAGAATGAAGCTCGTGCTTTTCCCCCTTCACGTTAAATGCCAATCTCTAGACTTCGACATCGTCTGTCCCTAGTGCTGGAAAGTCATGCTCCAAGTTTTGTAGGTAAAGGTAATATCCAGCTTCTGAGAGTTACGTGCTCACCCTGATTCCAAGTTTCCAGCACGTACCTGTATCACGAACCCTGCTCTCGGATACATATGATCAATTGGCCATCATTGGATAGGCTTTTATACAACTGGAGAGACTTCGATTTCTGAAACTATATCCCCAGGCAGCAAAACTCGTGTCCAATTTAGCGCGGCAGGACGTATCACGCTAAGCCTCGTCGCAGGCCTAAAGTACCCATCATGTCGCCAAAGCGTCATTGAACGTAGACAGTCCTATGATCTGGACCTGTCATCGTCCGCAACATTACGACTGAAACAATAGGTGCAGTGCAATTGTTTCCCCGTTGCCTAATGGCCTAAAATACTCGGTATGAGACTATATTCGTGCAAAGTTGGAAGTCCCACAGTAAATCATATGAAGCTTCTAACGCTGGTTCCCAAGCGCCGGGGCAAGCTCCGACACGATACGATGCGACACGATGCGGTACGAGCGAATACGACGCGGCATGTCCTGCCTGCCATGCAAGTATGATAACGCATACAGTTCAGAAGGAACGGAAGGTAATGGCTGAGATTTGCCGGCCGAGGGATGCGACAGCCGCTTCGCACCGACAGTGGTCGTAAAATCTGGTATGCCTTGCTCGTTCAATCGTTTAATGCCATATGATGATAGCGTCGTAATCGGCCAGATGATGACGAGTTGGCTGCCCAAGCCACTGGCCCCGACGTTGGCGAATCAGAGGATGAAACGGCCGCACTGGTGCGCCGCGTCCAGGGACCAGGTCCACCTGTGAAGGCTACGCTTGCGAAGGCCGCCCTACGTAACCGGTCTGCTGGCCTGGCCGTCCTGCCTTTGCTGCTGCGCTCCTTTGACCAAACCCCTACTTTTGTCTCCGTTCTTCTCCATGATACCCCTACGACTCTTCTTTTGACGCCACGCACCATGACGAACGACGAGAGACCGCCCCGCGGCGGGGCTGCGCAAGGGGACGCGTCCCCGCCCCCACTACCACCGCCCTACAATGAAAATGCAACTGCGCCGGCAGGCGCCACGCCCTCGAGCTCAGCGCAGCAACACGGCCCGGCTGGGAACGACCAGCTGCCCGAGCGGCCGCGAACGAAGCCGGAGGGGTCGACGTACGCCAGTTTGTACCGCCCCGGAGAAGCGCAGAATGTCTCTCGGCCAGCGTGCGTACGTGGACTAGAGTGCCAATCTACAGTGCTAACCCGTCGCCAGAGCCGGTGCACACAGTCAGGATGCCCTGAGCAGCATTGCACACGCCGAGCACGCCGCCCCCGCAGACCATCCCCCGCCCGCGTACAGCGAATTTCCAGGCACATTAAATGACGACGGCGGCCAACTCGGCGCAAACGCGACCGTTGCGAGCGATGGACGAGTCAACATCAACATCGACCAAAAGAGCCGCGGCCTATCGCAACTCATCGTACCACAGCTTCAGCGCCAGCTCACCCGCGTCCAACGCGAACCCGCACCGCCGCCTCCCTACATTCCAGAATCGCTCGGAGGCGCACCTGGCCAGAGGCCCCCTCCCCCACTGAATCTCGTCATACAAGTCGTTGGCTCGAGAGGAGACGTGCAACCATTCGTTGCTCTGGGCAAGGTGCTCAAGGACACCTACGGGCATCGCGTGCGGTTGGCGACGCATGCGACGTTCAAGGACTTTGTTATTGAAAACGGGCTGGAATTCTTCAGCATTGGCGGCGATCCCGCCGAGCTCATGGCTTTCATGGTCAAGAACCCAGGCTTGATGCCAGGGTTTGACACACTGCGCAGCGGCGAGGTGGGCAAACGTCGAAAAGGCATCGCCGAGATTCTGCGTGGCACGTGGCGATCGTGCATTGAGACCGGCAATGGCATGGGCGTGGATCCGCTCAAGCAGACTATCGAAGAATGGATGGGCGTTGAGGACCAGCTACCGGACGACCTCAAGAAACCCTTTGTCGCCGATGCCATCATCGCGAATCCGCCAGCCTTTGGGCACCTTCATTGCGCTGAGAAATTGGGCATACCCTTTCACATCATGTTTACGTAGGTCAATCCCGTCTCTTTGGCCGTCTTGAATGCTAACAATATCCATAGAATGCCCTGGAACCCGACGCAGCAGTTTCCGCACCCCTTGGCCAACATTCAAACCTCAAATGCAGACGCGTCCATCACCAATTACATGTCATATATCCTCGTAGATATGCTAACATGGCAGGGCTTGGGAGACTTGATCAACAAATTCCGCAAAGATGCCCTGAATCTGGATCCGATCAGTTTGCTCTGGAGTCCTGCCATGTTGGAACGGATGAAGATCCCGCACACATACTGCTGGTAACTTGACTTTGTCTGCTTCATAGAACAGGGCACGCTAACCTAGGGCCAGGTCTCCAGCGTTGATCCCGAAGCCCAAGGACTGGGGGCATCATATTTCGATTGCAGGCTTCTTCTTCCTCAATTTGGCATCAAACTACACACCAGCACCAGATCTTGCCGAATTTCTAGCCGCAGGCGAACCTCCGGTGTACATCGGCTTTGGGTCGATTGTGGTGGACGATCCAAACGCTATGACCACGATGATCTTCGAAGCAGTAAAGACAACCGGAAGACGGGCATTAGTGTCGAAGGGCTGGGGCGGCCTGGGTGGGGATGACCTCAACGTACCTGAAGGTGTCTTTATGCTTGGCAACGTGCCACACGACTGGCTGTTTAAGCACGTCGCAGCTGTAGTCCATCACGGTGGTGCTGGCACCACTGCCGCAGGTATCGCTGCAGGTCGGCCTACCGTCGTCGTGCCGTTTTTTGGAGACCAACCTTTCTGGGGAGCCATGGTGGCCAAAGCTGGTGCTGGGCCTGACCCCATCCCTTACAAGGATTTGACTGCAGAGAAGCTAGCCAACGCCATCCAAGAGGCTTTGAAGCCAGAGTCGCTTTCCAAAGCCGCAGAGCTTTCCGCTAGAATCTCGAAAGAACAAGGAGCCCAGGTTGGCGCTCAGTCATTCCATCAGATGTTGAAGTACGATGATCTAAGATGCGCTGTTGCTCCAAATCACCCGGCTGTCTGGAGAGTGAAGCGGACTCAGGTCCGCCTGAGCGCCAAAGCTGCGACTGTCCTAACTCAAGAGGGCGAGCTTAGCTTCTCTGACCTTAAACTGTAAGTCCCCCGCTCTAGTAAGCGGATACAGCCTGACCGCATTAGCTTCCGCGCGCGCGAATACATTCCTGACGAAGGTCCTTGGGATCCAATCACTGGTGCTACGTCCGCTCTTGTCGGTACTGCAGGACAAATGATGATGGGTGTGGCCGATTTCCCCATTGAAACCTTGAAACTCCTCAACATACATCCCGACTCCTCGCGCAAGGGCAAGGGTAAAGCGAAGCAGACTGAGAACGATGGTGCCACCGATACAGGTTCGCGAGCTGGCGACAGGCCCCCGGCTAGGTCAAACACCGGATCAGGAGCCGGGAGTAGCACCACTTCAATCACTCCGACACAACAGCCAGGCACGCCGGACGGTCGCAGTGCTGCCTTATCCCAGACACCAAAAGCATCTGACTCTTCCAGCCCCCGCCCAGACCCGGAACGCTCTGGATTTATGGCTCAAGCAATGGCGCAGCATTCTCAAGTCTCACAATCTCGTTCGCCGTCACGAGATCGGGCTTGTTTCATTCCAGGATCCAGCCATAGCCGCCGATCAAGTCAAAGTCGTGCGGCTTCGGCCTCAGCGTCGGAAATTCGTGACAAGGCAGGCACCGTCTACAGCGATAAGAGTACCTTCGGGGATAAGCTCGGCGAAATGAACAAAGACTCAATCGTTGGCACCGGCAAAGGCGTCGGTAGAATCGTTGGTGCGGGTTTCAAGTCGCCTCTAGACTTCTCCATGAACGTGGCGCAAGGGTTTCACAACGTGCCGAAGTTGTATGGCGGCGAAGTGAGGCAGGTTGATAAAGTCACCGATCTTCAGAGCGGCTTGAAGGTTGCTGCAAAGGTATGATGATTACCCCGTAGCTACGTCAGCGTCTCACATCCTCTTTAGCAATTCGGTTTCGGCCTTTACGACGGCATAGCTGGCATCGTCACCGACCCATATAAGGGCGCAAAGAAAGAAGGCGGACTAGGTTTCGTTAAAGGGGTGGGTCGCGGTATTTTCAGCGTCCCCTTCCGTGTCATGGGAGGTGCCTGGTCCGTTCCCGCGTACGCCATGAAGGGCCTTTACCAAGAAATGCTCAAGAACCAGGGTTCGGGTGTCCAAAACTACATCATCGCAGCCCGAATTTCGCAGGGATACGACGAGGCTTCAGCGTTGTCGCCAGCTGAGAAAGCAGATATCATCAGTCGATGGCGATGCATCAAGACTAATGTCAAGAAGAAGAAGAATCCTGGCGAAGACCAGCTACAAGCCTTACACAGCTACATGTCAGAAAGACGCGAGAAGAAGGAGAAGAAAGATCGCTTTGGAAAGCTCAAGAGGCAGGGGACTGCTCCTGGGGCCCAGGACTCTCGTCTCTATGCGACAGACGGGAGGGGCTCACTGGATCTTCCTGAACCTGTTGTTCGGAGCGGAACAGGGATCAGCACAACGACACAGAGGGGAATGGACAACCCCGTGCATCCTCTGCACCACGCACACACTTTCCCCGAGCCCGCCCTCCCTCACAACGCACCAACAGTCCAGCAAGCCGATCTTATCCACGACGAAGAAGCTGAGCGTGCCGAACTCGAAACCGCCATCAAAGCCTCCGTCGCTGAGACGTCACGCGGCAACCCCGAAGAAGACGAGCTCATTGCGCGCGCCATCCGTGCCTCTATGCTCGAGCTCCAGCGCGAGCCCGAGCCACACGAAACCGAAGAAGAAGCCCTCCAGCGTGCGATGAAAGCCAGCATGAACGAAGCGCAGAAGAGCGGCGTCTCAGCTGACGAGCAGCGCATCCTCGAGGAAACGCTGCGCGCGTCGATGCTGGAGACGTCACGTGCGCGCCGGGCACACAATACGGACTCCGAGTGGGATTCGTCGGATACTGAGGACGACGAGGACTACCAGCGCATACTGGCTGAGTCAGAGAAACTGCACCAACTTCATTCCAGCGAGGACAAGCACGATGAGTATTTCTCGAGCATCGTGGAGGCCGGCGACGCGAAAGCACAACCCCCAAATGACGAGGAGGAACAGGCGCTGCGGAAGGCGATCGAGGAGAGCGAGCGCCAGGACAGAGAGGACAAGGAGAGACTCGAGAAGCAGATGACGGAGGAGGACATCGTTATGGAGTATGTGAAGAAGCAGAGTTTAGCGGAGGCGCAGCATAGGGAGAGGTTGAGACAGGGGAGGGATATTGGAGGCGAGAGCTCCGGTGGTGGGACATCAGGGGCGGCGTAGTATGTTTTCGTGGTGGGGGTTGGTGCTGAGGGGATGGGCCTGGGTTGAAGGAAAGTTTGGGAGGGAGATGGTGCATGTGATGATTGATTGATACCCATGACTCGACCAGTACATGCTTAGCCTATAACGACGTTATTGCTATGAGTCCATTCGTTGATACGCACGACATGAGCATGTGTTGTTCGGCCTGCCATGGTCTGCTCGTTGTCATTCCGACTACCTCGTCGCTCCTCTTTGAATTCAAGGGATGGATGCTGTGAAAAGATTCAGTTCAACACGGGGTACGGTTTCCTGGATTTCAATTGTAGATTCTTTGTTCCTTGAGCAGTAGTAGGTGGAGTCACCTCTATCTGCTTTTGGTTGTGGGCTCTACAGACTGATACATTGTTTCTTACTTTCTCAATACGTGCCTCGTATCAGAGATGTATATATAAGCTACAGCAAATAAATGCGATAGATGAGACGCAGTCGAAATAGCTAATGTGTGTAGAGAGATAAATTATTGACAGAAATTAGCAGATTAGTAGCTGTAATTTGACCTGAAACCCACTTTGGCTAGTACAAGCAGTACAACATCAACGTATAACATGAAACACATATTATGGAATAGGGTACCCAAAGTATGCTGAACCGATCTTATTTATGTACACAAATGTACGCTTCGTGTCTGGAAGGCGGTTTACTGTACATATCTCTCTTCAACGATCATAACTAGTTACAATTAGGAGGTGCAAATACTCACTATGATTCAAAACCATCAAGAGCTATCACATTGAGGTTTTGCGGTCATGCCTATGGTAGATAGTCGTCTAATACCCAGGCTCTACCGCGTTCGGAAAAGCCCGACCAGCGTGCACCGAACAACGCGTAGATCTACTTCGTACCAACACTCAAAATATGGAAGACCGAACCGTGGCTCGATACTAGGGTAGGAACATTTTATCCGATGTAGCTTTACTATACTTGATGCGGCCATGCTGGATATCTGCCCGCTCTGAAAAGCTCGGCACCTACCGGATATGGTTAGACAAAGTTACATCTTGGACGTCGTTTCGGTTGATCATTCTCGTGCGACCCAACATTTGAACATTTGCCTCCGCTATAATAGCGTGTAGAGGGCTGTCACCGGAACAAAACCTGGACAGCATTCAGCATTCATACGAAGCCTTCGAGACTCGCAAGAGTGCACACCACCAAAATGAAGCGGACTGTGACAATCATGAGTCTTTTTGCATTGCGTGTTGCTGCACAAGCATCACCAGGCCTTCCTTTCGTCATCAACACATGGGGAGGACCATTCACCGCAGCCACCGATGCAGCCTACCTGTCTTTGCAGAGACCCACCACTTCAGCGCTGGACGCCGTAGAGATTGGCTGCTCCACTTGCGAGAAGAACCAGTGTGACGGCTCAGTCGGCTTTGGTGGCTCGCCGGACGAGGACTGCGAGACAACCTTGGACGCCATGATCATGGACGGCACGACTATGAAATCCGGCAACGTTGCAGGGTTGCGACGGATCAAGGACGCGATCGCAGTTGCGCGACACGTGCTAGAGTACACAACGCACACCCTTCTCGCAGGCGATCTGGCCACGCAATTCGCTGTCTCGAATGGCTTCGCCTTGAGCAATCTCACTACCACAGAACAGACCAAGAGATGTGCAGCGTGGAGGGAAGAGCATTGCCAGCCCAACTACCGAATCAACGTATCCCCGGACCCAAAGACGTCGTGTGGACCTTACACTGGTGTCGCACTCAATTCATCGTCTCCCGTGTACCAAAGAGGGCTCATTCCTGACGGAAGTCAAACGTCCCACGACACCATCTCTATGATTTCCATTCACTCCTCCGGTACGATGGCAGCCGGAACGTCCACCAATGGCGCAACCTGGAAGGTTCCAGGCCGCGTCGGCGATGGACCAATTACAGGCTCTGGGTCGTATGTTGACGGCGATGTGGGAGGATGTGGCGCTACGGGTGATGGCGACATCATGATGCGTTTCCTTCCTTGCTACCAGGCTGTTGAGAACCTACGGCAGGGTATGAGTCCAAAAGCGGCAGCCGAGGACGCCGTCAAACGTATACTAAGGAAGTATCCTGATGGCTCCTACGGCATCGTTGTGGTGGACAAGGATGGGCAGCACGGCGGGGCGGGAGCGGGATGGACTTTCACGTATGCATTCAGAGGAGGGAATATGAATGCCACTGAGGTGGTGTCAGTCCCGCCATTGACTGAAGCCAGGCGAAGCGAAAGTGAGACGGTGATGCAAGCTTAGATCTTGTGGTCGAATGAGCAATGCACATTTCAAGTACCTGCACGCCAAGTCATGAACTTCTCATAAGAGTATCCCTGAGCACATTAAGTGCCGTTAGGGATGCGTGTGTGTCTGCATTATGCAGGATATTGGAGCCCATATCTAACCCTCGGAAATTGCGAAGGAGATTCTTGTCGGGAGCTGAAGTGTCGGCATGCGGCAGCGCGAGCGACCAAACGGTAGGCTTGATATAGAAGATCGCATGGACCAGAAATACTGATGGAGTATTCCAAGTCCAGGTAGAGTCATCGGACTACAGCACCCATGAAGGAGGGCGCGATATTGATCTCCTTGGACGCTTCATCAATCAGATCGTCGGGACCTTCGACGTTGGCATGACTCACCAAAATGCGTCGCGAGTGGGCGAATTCGGCGGAGTGATGACAAGTCGGGATTCGTGGGCTGGAGGGGCCGCATCTTTCCGCACATATTGGTGAAGATCACTTTCCGCGATATGCTGGAAGAGGTCCAATTTGATTGCAAAGACACGCAAACGAGCGTGTTGAACACACTGTCGAGTAATTCGGTTCGGGCGTTTGCAAAGGCTATGGAATTCCTGCTTCGAGCTGCGGTATCGTGCGCGGACAAGAGCGAGATTGTTGAAGGCTGGCCTACTGGCATATGCATTTATGCCACGAACATACCTGTTCGATGTATAACTCTTCCAGACTGCAAAAAGTAACCTTCAAAGCTGTCCCAAAAATAAGGTAGAATGCACGATACGATGGTATTCATTGATGTAGATGTAAGGATACAAGGGGTGGACAAAGGATGGTTAGCTCACACACCCAATTCCGTTGACCTGGCACGATGAAATGATGATCGCAATGTGCTATTGCTACCCATGAACTCCTTGTGACCGCCTTCATATACCAGACACAAACTTGCCTCTCCACGACCCGTTCACCTCTTGGTAACTGATTCTGTGGTTATTGACGGTGGAACACAGGGTAAAAATTAACCTCCTTCGATCTTCCATACACAGAGTGTACGATGTCGAAGGCGCCTCACCTACAGGTTCATCAGTCCTCGTCGTTGGCTCCAATCATAGATACTAACCATAGATGCGGCCATACGGTTACGCCCACCTGCGTCAGTTCTTTCTTCTCCTGCTTGCCCACATTGTTAGTACACCACGGCAACTCATAGAGCGAGGTCTTCTTCCCCACACGCTCTTTCCCGAGTGAATGCTTGACGAGCCAGATAAGCTGATCCCGGCGGACGGCGTTGTTGTCAAAGTCCTTCTCCTTGACAGTCTTGTACATCTTGGGACCCGCTGACTGCGCCTGCTCAAGAAGCTGGCTGACACGTGCCTTGCCGTTGAGGTCCAGGCCGGTGGTGAAAGAGTGACCAGAGGTGATATGGAGTGAGCGCATGCGCGCGCCGGTGGTGTTGAAAGCGCATCGGATCATGTCGGCGACGGATTGCTGCCTTTTTGAGCCGTTCTGTTGGGCGTCCGTGTCAAGGGCTAGATGTTGTCAGTGAGACTGGGCTGTGAATTGGAGCAATGGTAAGGTTTTAGGTACGACAAGATAAAGTGACGGGAATTTAGATGTACGGTCCATCGTGTGGCAGACACCAAGGCGCAAACTGAGCGGTCAGTGTTTCGCTTCACGACTTCTTCTAGGGAAAGAAGGTACCCTTATCAGCTCAGAACCACGTGGGCGGGACGAGATTGGTTTTCAAATTGGAAGAAGTCTTGAGATACGCTTACGATCAGGGTGGCTTCCAACCTTTGGCTGCCCTTGCCGTTTGTCAGGTCAGTTGCTGCATCGAGGACCAGCTTGCAGTTGGGTGGAAGTTTTGATCCGAGGATCTTCTACAGATAGGACGATTCGGTCCAGTCATTTTGTGCACAGAATGCCAAAGAGCTCACTTTCCCATTCGCTAGATGTCTTGGTTGAAGATGAAAGACGGAAGGAACGTAGAAAGTTGTCTCCTCCAGACTCGGTTAACGTACCTGGCAAGCGAGCGGCGCAGGCAAGCGAGCGGCGCACCCCACCAACTTTTCACCACTTCATAGGAATCTATCTTAACAATAAGATAAAATAATAGAATATACGCATTATACTAGATTAAGCTGCATCTCTAGTATCCTTCTTACATGTTCGTGAGTTATGGCCAGTCTCCCTACAGCGCCTATAGCGCGCGGAAGCCTGCCGACTGGTACCTAATTGCGCCCTACCTTGACGCGTTTCCCCCTTAAGCTGCTGCTCAACCTTATTTTAAGCTATAATTTCCTCTGCCTCTGCCTTTAATAGGGTGCCTTGCTTCTAGATACGCTTCTTTTTGCGCTTTCTGCGCATTGTAGCAGTCTCATTTGCTTTCTTAAGGCTCTTGATCTGATCGCGCATTAATGCTATTTTGTACATTACTATTGTAGAGCCTTTCTCAAGCTAATTAAGTCTCTCAATAATAGATATAGGTGATGAGCTTCTATGCCTCTATATCCTATCGCGTATTAATGTTAATTGAGCCTCTAGCTCACGCGCGTTGCTTGGTGTTCGCGCTTCCTAGAGGGTAGTCTCTAGTGCAGGTAGTGTTGGCGTATAAAGCTGTTAAGATCCAATCAGAGATCTCACATGTATCGTAGTAATATTCACTGGGCGCCAACTGAGACAACCTCGAGGGCGGCGCCTAGACGTCACGTGACCGACAGACGCGACAGCTGCTGTCAAGTCTGTCGTAGACCCGACAGCGTCTGTCAGATCTGTCACGTGTCCTATATAGGAACTCGAGTATGAACCTTCATACTCGTGTTCAACCTGTTTATCAATCTATCGTTTGGATTACACTCAGGCTATATTGTTGACTCGTTATATCCTCCTCCGATACTATCGTCTCGACAAACCCCTTCCTTCCCCAGTTGTCTT